ACTTCTTGAAACATCTAACCCTCTGGAGGACCTTTTGATAATGACCCCAATGACCCAAAGGACGACCACCTGAAGCAACCGTCAACTAAACCCCGGGTTCTCGATCTGTCGGGACGAGATTGGGTGAAAGCTAAGCAAGCTATTTGGAGTCTTGGACTCAATGGGCGGCACATGTGTAACAGCTACACCACATACTACTCTAATATGTGCTCTACAGGCGGATGCGCGCTTATGGTTACCAAACCTCACCTTAGGTAGTCTATTATTTAGTTACATATGGTGCGGGCTGAGGATAAGTACTTACATATGTAAGGTAGTTAGGCAGACTGTAACATAACCTTATGCAGACCATTGATACCCGAGAGTCAACAATTTCCGATCACTACGGCTACCTGCTTGCCTACGTCGACCACACCTCGTGGGGGCGGTTTTGCAGCCTTTCAGTATATTTTGACGGGCAGCAAACCCCTGTCGTGTAAGTGAGAGTACTAAACCTACTTAGCCTGCGCCACAAATTCGTATACTACCATTTCTGATTTGCTACAAAGTTGGCTTTGGATTGTCCATGTAAGTCGGACTGCGGCTCTTGCCAGTGATTTTTTTTCCCTGAAGTACCGGCCGGTGTCTGCTTGCTTCCTTACTGTCTAAGGATCTTACCATAATCATTTCCGTTATTTACTGTAATAAAGCAGAGCTCGTAAAGAATAAGGTAGAGTTCTCTCAGGAAAGCGGAAGTTGCCGAGCTATCAAGTAAGATATTTGCAACGATCTACAAATCCAAGCGAGCCGCACCAGTCGCCGAAAACCATACTGTCGGAATTTAACTATATTACGTTCTACTGCTAGCTGTCTCAAAATCTCTTTCGTGCGATCTACGTATCCGAAGCATTGGGTTGCTTGGTTGCTTGGTACTTGGCATATTAATACACATGTAAATGGAAGAGCGTTTTGAGAAAGCTGTGGGTTAATCCTTGTCACAGCCGCGGTTAACCCCTTTATTAACACAGGAAAAGCCTTCTATCAACCGAGCAACGTTAGTAACAACGTTAGGTTAGGTACACATATAAATTATATATAATAATTATAATTTTGAAACTCGAATATAGTAGCTAATGGAAAACCGGTCCAAGCGACATTTTATCGTACGTACGATACGAATCGCCCTTGCATAATTCGTTGAATGAAAATGTTTATTAAGTGTCTGGTAATTGCGCGAGATAGGAAAGGTACCTAAAATGTTCTGTATTGTATTGTACCTTGGCTGCTTGGGTGTAGTAAAAATAAGGTATTGTTAGTTAATCCATACTAAAAAGATCAACACCATTATCTGAAATTTTATGGTGTTGTCCCATGCCCAGCCACCCCGTGCTGCAAGACATCGATAACCTGGAAGTCTGTGCTGGAGGCCGTAGTTGCCAATCAATGGACATAGATCGATCAGGTTGTTTGTACTTTGTACCTTGTACCTCCGGAGAGGCGACCCGACACGCCGGTATGCAGGTACATCTACTAGCTGCAAAACCACCCTTGGAATTGCCATTGAAATGTGATCTCAAAAATGCTTAACTTCCAATTCGTCCAATTCGCTAGTGATTCGCTAACCCCCTCCCCCCCCCCCCCCTCCATCGCAAACTTAACTGTATACCTTATTACTTTACCCCCAAGTTGTATTCCCCAAATATTTTAACCTTCTTTTTATTACGAGGGGGGAGATTGAGTATCAAAAGTTGCAACCCGCCATTCACCGCCTTGGATTATCAACAACTTTTTAACAACCTACCCTATGTTAGGTACCTAAATAGATAATAGGTAATGTTGGGGACAGGATGATCATCTTATCATGTCTCCACGTCTGTCGCGAATCGCGGCCAAAGAAGATCAAAATCAATATGTGTTCGAGCGGCCATGCCCACACGTCCACAGTGTCGGGATCTCGGATTCTCTCAGCTGTTTGACATCCATTTACATGTATGATGAGTTACGCAACGATACAGGATGTTTCTCGCTGCTAGTTTTTTGTATGAGACAACTTGTCCCATGAAGGTGGTCAGTCAGGGGAATGAAAGGGCTTTCGCACGTCTCCACAGCTTCTCGCGGCTTACAGCTCACAGCTCACAATACAGCTTCCGCTTTCTTCAAAGCTCAACTGTTGCTAAATCGACATTAGCGCACTTATAATCAGCCCCTCAAAAAAAAGGTGAAAAAAAAGGTGAAAAAAAAGGGAAAGGAAAGGAGAAGAAATAAAAATAAAAAAGCGCCGTTCACGCTAAGAATCCTCCTTGTCGCTGATGTTGGAAATGTCGTCGTTTTGTCGAATATCCTTCGTCTATCCAAAATGGCGTCTGAAAATGGCATCTGAGAATGGCATTTCAGAAGGTTAGATCAATCTTATCGCGCCATCTTCACTTTCACCCTGGAGCAGACCCATGTCGTCGCCCAGCCAGCTTCCCCTGGATGAAACCACGGGCTGATATCCTTGCCGCAGAGCCCTCCCACGCTAGAGGCTTGCTCCGTTCTGTACCCCCCAGACCTCCCTACAATAGTCTAGCCGAATCGACCAGCAAACATTTCGAATTTCTATTCTCAACATCCAAGATCCAACGTGGATCTCATTAGACCCTTCACACGGTTCACGTCATCCCTACTCCTTGTCGACTGTTAGTAACGTCGAAATCTCTTTACCCTAGGAGGCTTTCTCCGCTCAGATCCCCCTCTGTACCCGTTTTCATTTGCGGCTCCTTCTAATAATAATTAGACCTCGCAACGTTAACGTTGAGGAATTATTAGAACAGTTGTTTACTGGAATAGGTAACAATACCTCATTACCTGAATTTACCTACCGTTGCACTTGGCCCCACTGGGTGGTGTTTTTTTCTTTCTTTTTTTTTTCTCTTGGTCGGTAGCACATTATCAGCCTACGGCTCATTCGGCGCAGATTCCCACAAACCCCCATCACTATTCGGGTGTCCCTTGATCTTTAGCCACTTAGCGCGTTTCCTTGTTTGCCTCTCGTAACGGCATTCGGTTCTGAAGCTGTTAGTCAAAGATGCTTTACATACTGTAGCAGCTACCTAGCTTCCTCGAAAACAACGCCCGTATTTTTTCTTCGTTTTGCATACTATGTAATCCGTCGAGCGCGTAGTACAGAAGGTCCAGTTTCTGCTACATCACTTCAATTGATGTGGAGGCTTCTGTCGATCATATTTTACGTCCCATATGTGACGGTAGAGCAATGAGCAGAAAGCCAAATCTGCCCACATCGGCTCACTGTTCTTAATAAGCATTAAAACGCGGGACGATGACAGGTGCTCTGCATGGCCTGTCTTGTCTGTGCGAGGTACATATGTTGTACTGTCATTCGGCAAGGAAGATCTTATGGGATCTTCCCTTGACCCCCTGTCTCCACCACCAGGGCAAGCATCACAAATTGATACCCCTTGCTCGCTGCCTCGACCCACATTATTCGCAGACTTACTTTCCTACCGATTCGGATGCGATCCTCCAACACTTCTGTACGTCTTGTACATCTGTACAATACCTGAATACCTACCTACCTACCTAGGCGTCCTGACCATGGGCCAGTCCTCCAAGCCGTCCCCGCAGACGTCGAGGGCCACACCCACCCAGAAGCGTTGATCTTCCTATTGGCGTGAACCTCCACTAGTCTCATCAACAGTCATGCGTTCATCCGCGAAGTCTACGCTGAGCTAATGTAATGAAGGACCAATTACCAGCTCCCAGATGTCCCAGCCGAGATGCTATGTTTTCCTTAACCTGCCCTCTCTCCGAGGATCATGCTTACCACTGTACCTCAGTCTTGGCAGTATGCCTCAAGGTGCTATGAATTTTTTTTTAGCTGGAGGTATTATACCTAGGGCTGTGTGGACGGCTTCGTCTTGTTCGTTTTAGCTGTGCCGTATATTCCTCTTCTGTTTCGTCTGGATGTAGCCTAGTTGTTGGGTACACTAAACAAGATTTCCCGATTTCGAACCTGTCAACACAGACACTATGCTCAGCAGTGTAGCGGCTGTCTTTCCGCAGTTACTACTCTTGTATTGACGTTTCCGGTTGGGGTCTACAATGGCAAGGGTTATCTGTTGGTTCTTTGGCAGGCCACCATAACACGGCATTAGCCATTCAGCCGAGAAAACCAATGGTCACGGCCCACTCGATATAGACGTTGCTACATCTGCTATCATCCATGGCGGAAAAGGTGTGTGGCTCAGCAGTTACCATGCTGGGGGAATTTTTTTATTATTATTACCACACCTAGCCTATTAAGCGTGCGGCTTCTGACCTGGCGAGCCTTAAAACGTGCATTTAATCCCTTTTCAATATCTCTACCGTATCTGGGCAAGTACCGTCCTAGGCTGACCCAACATCCACGAACACCGTCTTCTCCAGCCCGTGCAGGCCCTGTCTCTTTTTTTTTTTCGGACCATCCCTGGACATTTCTCCGTAAGGATGGGATGTACCATTCGGTATTAATTCCACCTCTGTCATCCTCAAGAGCAGGGGTTTCCTCGAAGTCGTCTCGTTGCGACCACGGTCAACCTCCAAGGCCCAATACATACATAACACAAGGCCTGCCAGTGTCTAGACGTTTTGAGGCGACCGACCCCACCATCATTCGAGGACTCTCGATTTATTCACGACCCATCATAGAATTAAGAAGGACAGACTCCAAGACCATTTCTTTCCCTTCTTAACGTATACATTCTAGCTTCATATCTATGCCTCGCAACCCTCTTACCATCCAACCTTGTCAATGACAAACAAGCTTAACCAGGACCATACTACTACAGCTTACCTCCTAACTACCTGCCCGACGACTCGATATATATTCAGCACGTAATCATTAGTTGGAGAGCCTCTACTCTGTGGACTTTTCGTTGCCAGTACCTAATCTCATCTACAAAGGCTTTCAAACGAGACCCGTCGGCAATATATCTAAGAAGAAAAAACACCAACTCGCACTCTGGATCCCATGGTAGGCATATACGATTGCCTTCTACAACATAAGAAGATCTGAAAACTACAGGGTTTTAAGGGTGGCCTACTTTTAGAGCTCTTGTGGTAACCTAGTGTAGCAACTAGGACGGTATTGATCTTACCATTAGCTTAAGGCTTAGAGAATCACTCTTCCGGCCAAGCCAATCTTTCGTCAAATATCGACAGTGGGAGAGCTGATGCTTTTTTTGGTACAATCCCCAACGATATACTTCGGCAAGTAACCACTTAACTTCTGGAATTACATCGCCTTCGATACCCAACTACCAAAGTATTTCCAATGCTCGTTACCAGGCATCTCGATACAGAGCAGCACCACTGGTCTAGCAAACTTGAGACCGCCTTTCACAAATCCACAAGCCCACGCATGTCGAGCTACGACGGCCATTTGTCGACGCAGCCTGATTGGCACGGGCAATACTCTTATCTTCCTCCCGGAGAAGGCAGCATCTTCACACAGCCCTTTGAGCAAGTTTCGGGCTCCAGTAGTAACAACGATGTCGCTTCTCAGCAGCGCACTTCAAGTGCGCATAACAGCAATCTCGAGAACACAACCCAGACAACTCAGAGCAGCTTAAACTCACCAATGAGCCACCATCGTATATTAGACCCTCTTGGACTGCGCCAACCGAAGGCCGAATCTCCCGCACATGAACAGCCTGATGTGCAGGGTGCGAGCTATGCTATTAAGGCCGAGTCCGCACACGAAGAGTCGTTAGCTTCAGCGGACCCTCAAGGGCTTGCCCTCAGACAGAATACAATAGGCTCAACATCGTCAGCTGGACAGGGCCAGGAAGTTACAGCCGTTCCAGCCGGAAATGAAGAGACCGCTTTAGGAAAGGATGAAGATGACGATGTACTGGAAGACGACGAAATGGTAGAGACTGAGGGTGATGTGGTAACGCAACCGCAAACTGCAGCTGAGCGCACAGCTGCCCGAAGGAAAATGAAGCGTTTTAGGTAAGCCGTGATGGTGTGCAGTAACCCGTAACTATGCTGACAACAATAGGCTTACGCACCAACAAACCCGATTCCTCATGAGCGAATTCGCGAAGCAGCCTCACCCGGATGCTGCGCATCGAGAACGGCTTTCGAGAGAGATCCCTGGGCTAAGCCCTAGACAGGTCCAAGTCTGGTTTCAAAACAGGTAAGACTACCAAAAGCGTTATTTATTCTTTCAAAGAGAAATCTAAACAGTTATAGGAGAGCAAAAATCAAGAGACTCACAGCTGATGACCGAGACCGGATGATCAAAATGCGTGCCGTACCGGACGACTTTGATAATGTGCAGGCACTGCATTCTCCTTACGGAGCTGTACACGGACTGGGAGCGCCAATTACACCTCCCGTTGACTTTGGAGCTTCATCGTATACAGATCATATCATGCGGCCACTGATGGTAGATGGTATGCGCAGAGGTGATAATGACGACCATATATCTTCTTCGGGCCTAAGCCCAGCTTTTGGAAACATCGGGTTTACGCCTTCGGGGACCATGAACAATTCTGATCTTCTTTCCCCACTGTCGCAGTCTTCAAGTGATCGAAGCTATTATTCCAGCCACTTGGCAAGTCCTCTCGGAGGAGCTCACAGGCCTTCAAACCCCTTCGCCAGGCAAAACAGTCTCGACTCCGGTGTGCAAATGCACTCTCAAAATAGGCAGCAAATTCGGCCTCTGCAGCCGCTTCAGCTCAGGGAGACATTATCCAGGTCGAGACCAGAGAATCTGCAGTCCCCTCTACGCTCAAGTATGTCATGGAAGGGGGATTCAATCGACTACACGACGTTCTCAAGCACTAGTGGCAGCCCAGGGATAGGCGGTAGACACCAGTCTATCTATCAGCCGGATCAGATGGGAAGCAATCCAGCTAGTTCACTGAACTACGACTCGGGCTCCTATTCTTGTAAGGAGGTATTTCATTTGTGTCATTATTTAATACCAGCTGCTGACTCCTCCTATAGCTCCCGGCGTCCAAACTTCTCCTACCAATATCAACTACTCGAGCCTACAGCAGCCTTCTCAAAATAGGTCACGCCTTAGAGCCGCCTCCGCGACTCTTCCACTTGGCCTAGATCTGCGACATCAATATCGACCCATGTCTTCTAGCCATAATATTCAGTCTCCTGGTCACTCCTCTACGCCTCGAGTTCCTACCTCTTCGCCTTACGGGTCGTCAACTGCATACACTACGAGCTTCCCATCTGCTCCCCTATCGGCGCCGATCGACTTCCCACTATCTAGGACGCCTGGGATTAATAGAACTTCGGTCCAGGATTACTCCATGTCCCAGCTGAGCGCACCCATTGCGCCCCCTCAGGATTTCTCACAAGCGCTACACGGTGGTATAGGCAGTTCGAGTTCTAGGACTCCTATGAGAGATTCGTTTGGAGGTGGTCCTTTGAGCATCAATCAAGGACAAGGATCTGGCGAAAGAAGCGAAGACTATTCACAGGAGGGTTCGAGCTTAAAGCGCAAACGAAGTTCGTTCAGCCTCTCGCAGGGCGGGCACACGCCTGGACCGGCCCAGACCTCCCAGTCATACGGGCACACAACTTAAAAGGATACGCCACTTAGGCCCGTGCTCTTCACAATATTTACCTAGCACGAAGCAACTGTACCACGGAAAACTTGAAAATAATGCGGCGCTCTTCTGGTTCGATTTTGAAAATAATACCCATTTTAAGGACCCTTCTAGATTATCTTGTGTTACTATATACATTTTTATTCGTTTTATTCTTATTCTTTTGCATTTTGGGGCGGGCGGAAGGGGGGGGGTTGGATGCGCCACAGCGCCATGACAGCTTTGGGGGAGGAGTATTTAGTGTTTGGTTTGGGGGGACCAGAATGATTTCTGTCTACGAACTTGAGAAAAGAGCATAAAATACATACACGCATACATATTGAAAGGAGGGCACGACTGGTGGGGATTTGGGGACGGAACGGTCGTGTGGGCAGATGGGGTGAATATTCGAGCGAGCATATTTTTCCACCGTTTAAGGCGCAAAAAGGATCCTTTGCCCACGAGATGTACATAGACATTATTTTTTGATCGAGACGTAATCTCGTGTTCAATGCAAAGGTTCTGGCTCGCGAAAGCGAACCGAGCTAATGAACAACGTGATCACACTTGTTGAACATTGAGTGCTTGCATGGAAATTTATTTTATTTGTAGCTTTCCTTGACCGGCTTCCCGTATAGGGATGCACGTAGTGGCTCAAGTAGTCGGATTACTACATAACTCTCGAGATACCTCCCGTGTGAAGCTTGCGGTCCCGATCCGCATTCCAAATTCTAGTCTTCTCCGCAAGCCTTCGTCGATCAGTGTTGAGGCTCACCAGCAGTAGTAAGGCACAAAGCACTCTCCCGGTATGCGTCTTGGCCAAGCGCGGCCCAACGCAAACAACGAGAGAGAATACTTACCGAAGGTATGCACCCTAGCTTACTACTGCTACAGTACGCTGGGGGGGGGAGGGTTGTCTATCTGCCTTGCCTTATAGCGTACATGACCAAGTTGTAGCAGCGTGGAGAAAAAAGAGGAGAGTTTTTTTTTCTGCCCCTAAATTCGGAATGTAACGCCGATAGATGGTGAATCTCGTTTTGGGGAGATCTCGTTCCACTCAGAATTCCCCGAACACGTTTTAGCAATTAACGAAAGACCGGCCCTCCTTACCCAGGCAAGTGCTTCCATGCGACATTATAGATGCTATACCTACAGCTAACTTATCTCTCTCTCTCCCTCTCTTTCCACATGCTCATTTTGATTTTTTGATTTTTTTTTGCTACGTAGATCCGGATCCGGGTGGGCGGGTGTTGGTCGTGCAGGCAGAAGACAGAACAGCATGGTTGACCGGGGAGGGGGGTTTCTGGCTTACATGATAGGTAAAGTATTCCGGAAGAAAATAGAAAGAGAAGAGAAAAAAAAAAAATAAGTAGCGGATCCCTTTATCACAGGCCTCTCCTCATCTTGCTTAATACTTACCCTAGAGATAAGACGACAAGAGAAGAGAAAAGGTCTGAAAGCAAGGAGTTATTACATAGGTACATACCTACCTACATGGTAACAAACAAGGACTATCATCAAACCTTTACTAGGGGTCTAACATTATTCATATATAGCTTCTTGAAGATGAGAGGGGAGCTGCGACAAGAAGTTTTCCTGGGATATCCCATCTTTGCGCCGTCTCCAAATGTGTGTATATGTGTGTAGGTAGGAGGTACCTACCTATGCGCACTGCGTTACATGGATGCACCCGGGGTGCTTAAGAAAAAAAACCCTAAAAGCCAATAATGGTTGTGAGAGTCCCAAAGCTGACAACTGCATGATGGGTTGCACAAGACGCAGGCTGTTGCATACGAAAGGGATGGGATTTATGACGGCTGCTGCGTCTGAGTGCGACCCTCCCACCATCTAAACCACAGGAAACTTAACCAAGGTATACCAAGATAGAGAGAGGGCCTATGCAGCAGCAGCAGCAGCAGCAATAGTAGTAGTATAGCAGCAGCAGTAGTAGTAGCAGCAGTAGCAGTGGTAGTATAAATGCTATGCAGGAGGGAGAAGGGAAAAAGCATAGGTACGGCGCAGTGCAGTGATACCCTGTCGGGAGCTGGATCTTAGTTCTGTGGAAGACAGCACAGGGACCCGAAAGCTGTGCCAGATACCACGACATAGCGATTGGTTCAGATCTTCGGGCACGGGAAGAAACTTTGCTGGGACCGGGCCACAGTCTCCCAACCTCGAGGGCGAGGAGGGATATTCCCGTCAGGCAGATCGAAGCAGAGTGTAAGCAAGCAACTACCCTACCAACAATATCAACATCGTATTGTATTACATTGTATACTAACATTGTGTGTTATGCCATGCCAAGCTATACCATACTAGGTAGGCCATGCCATGCCATGCCATGTCATGTCATGGCTGCAGCACCGCAGATGCTTGTCATTGTCGTTGTCGCTCGCCGGCAAAGCTAGCTGGTTGCTGTTCGAAGCTTAGCCTAGGGGGTTAGAGACGAGTCGAGTGTAGGTTACGGTTACCTTAGGTTAGGTTTCCGGCCAAGGATTCCCGGTACGACGACCGTGCCCAAGACAGATAGACAGCTGCGCTGCGACTCTTAAGATCGCTCCGATATTTTTGGCTAGACGGTTACGTTCTCCTTCGGGACCAAGCCCCGGACAGCCCAGCCATCATCGGTAGTTTTGTCCTTGTCCTGGTATTATAAAATGTAGTATAATGAAGCTTCTTTTTGTGCGTCATTCCGCGCTTGGACGATATGTCGCATTGCGGAAGAGGCTTTTTTTTTCAGTCCTTTTTCCTTTTACTATCATTCGTGTTTTAGTTTGCTTATGCCCTTTTTTCCCTTTCATCCCACTGTTCAACCACTCATCGATCGAGAGAGAGGCTAGACCAAGAGTCTTTTCGTCCTCGCGTCCGTTTTGCCTGCTTCATGAATTCAATCCGTCCATTGCCTACGTATCTGTGCAGACGCATACAACATCAGCAGCAACGGCCGAATCTGACTGCGGCTAGATTCAGTCAACGTGTCTCTGCGTCTGAGAGGCTCTCTTAGCACTGTCGTGTTCTTCTGTTATTCTTCCGTTTTGACTTCGCTAGGCTCACGGCTTATACACGCCCCATCATCTTCTACGACATACACCCCCCTCCAATAAAGCCACAGGCGCAAGCAAGCGCGCGCGCTCTGGCGATTGGTTCTGGACGATTTGATCTTGTTCGAACAGGCCCAGCCGGTTACTGCGTTACTGCGTACTTGTCAATCAAGAGGCCGCGGGTCCGACTGAAGCCACAGTTTGGTTCGTGTTATGCACCTGGCCGTGGCAGCCGGAGGCAGGGCTATAAGATGTGCTGCTATGGCCCTCCCCCCACCCGTTCCACTCTTCCTCGAGTCTTGATTTCCCCTATTGAGATGCTGTGATTCCCATTCCCGTCGTAGCCTTACCTTTTTCTGTACAGCTATGTTACTTTAAGTAGGTAGGATAAGGATGTACCAGCGAGGTATATTACTAGATTTGTAAATACGAATAAACAGTACGATGGCACGGACGTAGTTGTACATATCACATGCCTTTTTCTCACAACCACACTTACCACACTTGCCTCCATTGCCTTTCCTGTACGTTCTCGCACGAATGCACGGGTGATAGACGTGCAGAGAGGAAAATCCAGGAACGTGATCATTTTAGTCAGACTCGGTGAGGTTCTAGGCTTGCTTCATCTCACAACGAGTCTCCAATCTGCGAATAGTGATCGCCTATTACGCCGCATGAAATGACTCAGCAGTCCCATACTGACTGGCCTCTCACCTTACTTCTGACTGCATCTCCGGATGGACCCCTAAGTCCTAGAATCTCCTCCCATTCATTAGATCTGCCCCTATTCAAGCTTACATACCTCTTACATACTAGTACAACACGGATAGGAGGGCAAAGGGAAAATGAGACTGCCAAGCATGTGAATAATGATGAAGACTTCAGCCTTGAATAAAAAAAAGCTACGGAGCCTCGCTGGACGGCCCTCTGCGATTTTTGGCTTGCTTGCTAGCCAGGAACCAACTAGGTAGACTCGCTAGGGTGGGAGATCGCCCGCAATTTAGGCAAAAGGTGTGGAATGACAGCATATGGGGTCCTTGGGGCCAGTCAGCCAGAGAGCCGAGACGATAGCTAGGTCTGGCCTCGCTGGACCCGTATCTCTAGCTAACCGGATTGATATTTTCCGGTGAAGCCAGCGGTGGGGTGGGAAGCGAAAAAGAGAGAGAGAGAGAGAGACGTGGGAGAAAGGAGAAAGGTAACCAAAAAAAGGAAAGAAAAAAAAAGAAAACACATGATGGGCGAAAGTTTTTCTGCTGTTCTCGTTCCCGTGGGTGGGCAAGGGTAAGGAACACCGCTTAGGGGGCAGTACGAACCAAAGAAAAATCCCACGATGCCGAACGGTGGGAAATTCCGAAAAGACTCAAGGGTCGACAGAGGAGAGGTCGGGGCCCCGGAACGACGATCTCCAGAAACCGGTTCCTGGAGCCTAGATGCAGTTCGGCACTTTTTCATCAGTGGCTGAGGACAAATCTCTTAGTGAACATCTATCTACCTATCTCTTGAGCATCCCACTGTATGCGTAAGTAGAAAACGGTGTATGCCAAAGCGGTTCACCGGACTGACACGCTCTGCTCTCTCTTCTTTCCCCCGCCCCTGACCATCTACCTTAGATAGGTATCTATTGATGTATTGTACATTACCTACTGTTACTCGATAATGTGACCTGCCTCAAATCTCTACCAACGAATGTTAGGTTCACAGCAATCCGTTAATCGCATTATATCGCTGAAACGAGTGGCGGCGCCAGGGGCTTGATATGCGAGCAGCATTCCGCGCCGAGGGGCTGGTCATCTCGGCCACGAAGCCCGGTCGCGGGTCTGACTTTGACCGACTTAATAAGGGGTCCCGAATTCTTTCCAACGCCCACGAGGCGACCTCCTATTGTCTCTCCTGTGTGTATACGTGTGTGTGTATATATGTATTTGTGTATGTGCGTATTAGGCATCTACGTATATGTATGTCTTTAAAGTATAGCGAACAAGCAACACATCGTATCACGCCACCGATATGTAGAGTCATATTGTAACGGGCTTTGCAGACGGATGACGATAACCGTGCAGCTGCTGGCGCCTGTGGGCTTGGGTTTGTGCGCCCGGTTCTTTCACGTATTTTCCTGGGTACCCGGCTCGGCTGTATTGCATTAGGGTTGGCCTGTCTGTCTTATAGCCACGCCCTGTCCTTGCATCGTTATTACAGTCACTTCTAGCACGCGATGATGCCATGCGACTTATATTTCGCCGACAGCAGACCCCAGTCTTTGCCAACCCGCGCGAGAAAGGAAAAAAAAGAGGCGCCATCGTAGTATAGTGACATGTGTAGACGTATGTAAACATTCTCTCAAGGGTCACCGGAGCGGCCTCTTGGTGGTACCTATCGCATGCGGAGTGGGATATTGACTCGAGGATTTATGCTCCCTATAGTGGGTTCCTGCAAGGGGAAAAATCACCCACGTTTGCACAGCAGGAAGTCTGGAGCCTGCTGGTAAAAGTACATCCAGATCTCTTCGTAGCTACACGCTGCATTCCTACGTACTACTCGAAAAAAGGAATCAGTTCATCCTTGAAGATGCTAAATCCCCAAAGCGGCTCCGAACAGAAAAATGACCCTATGGATCTCCGTTCGTCCAGGACGTAACCCAGCTTACCCTACATATATGTCTTAGAATCCGGGGACGGCTGGAAACCTGCAGCGCGGGGGTAGGCCCATCTATCCTCCCTCCCTATCTATCTAGCAGCACGAGGACCTGGAAAATGGCTGCCATGTTTAAAAGTGCTTTGCAGAATTTCCACAATTCCCACCTAGTTTAGAAAAGTCGTGTAGTATGGGGAGAAGCATGTAGGACGCAGGAGAAGGACTGCCACGCGCAGCACTACTACTTACTTTCCGATGGCTTGTCATCCCCGTTCGTTCGAAAGGGGCAAAGGGGCCAAGATTCACCAGTCACAAGCAAGCGGCCAGAAACTCGGTGCTTCTACGTGAAGGTGAACCAAGGGGGAACAGCGTATTTGCCTGGGAAAATCACACTGGGAAGCCCGACGTTGACGTTTCCTTCTTCCAGCTCCCTCTTGGGTTGCCGCGCTCCTACTCGCAAGCTCCATCCTTACCATCCTTACCATCCCCCTACAGCCTCCGTTAGCCGCCCTAAGTGCATCGGCTCATATCGAGATCGAGGGGAAGCTAGCACGGCAGTCGCCATTCTTTTGTTTGTTTTACGTAGTGCTTAAGTCGTAAGTCGTAGGCGCCACAAAGACGACGGAGTCAAAACGGTAGAATGGGTCTCGCTGGTTTGGCCACCGTTCAAGAAAAGGTCAGGGAGGAGGAATGAATACTTGAAGATATCCTGACGGAAACCGCAGCGTTTACCCGCTGTAGCCACCATACCTACCACTGCCGTCGCCTGATAAGGAGGAGACACCGCGAAGCGTAGTCACCGTTCAGGCTACTTCCAGCAACTTTCCCTTTTACAACAACAGATGCTGGTATGATTTAGTCTCCAGATTGATTATAAGGTATCTATTAATGCACGAAAGAACCAGTGTGCCCAATACCTATCTAAGAGTCTCGGCCCAAGTAAAACAAGTTTAGTAGAAGCATTCATATAAGCCATACGACCAACTCGCATTTACGTCGAGAGTAGGTAGGTACCTGTTATTAAAACCATGTGAACTTGAGTAGATTTGTGCTCGTCTTAATGAAGCCAAATTACGAATTCATATGAGCAGAGGGCCTCGCCCCCTCCCTATAAGCGTGGTCCTAACGACACGGGTAAAGCAGTAAATGGCCCTATCATAGGTGGTTGTAAACCCAGCTGCCACGCGAGAAAACCCAACCGGTGAGGTGCGATCGAATCGTTTAAAAAAACGAGCAATGCATAGAATAGACAATTCAGGATTTTCCAAATGAATGAATGAAAAAGGTGTTTCTTCATTTCCTCGTCATCGTGGAACCTGAACAAAGCTCGATCGCCTGGCAAGACCATGAGATTTAGGTATAATTCGCTTGGCCTGCCCAGCGACGGGCTTTAGGGGATGCTGTAAACCTGGTTCGCGATGAGTCTCTTATTTCAAGGTATCGCATTTCTATATTTCGATACAGTTAAAAAATTGAAGTTTGAATCTTCCATTTCCATATGCCTTCACACGTGCCTCCATCATCGCCTTTCTTTTGCCCCTTTTCAACTCGCCCCTAGGATCGCTCGTTGAAAACAGAGGTTAGAAATGAAGGAACTTCCGCGTCTCGTTCTCTACTATAACGCACGATATTCTGTCCAGGGTCTAAGTAATGTTGACTTTATTTATCAGCTACCTAAGTCAACTTTTGAACCAAGTACTAGACAGATAATTTCCAATTCCGCAATGCTGGAATCGCTCGTCACAGTTACTCAAAAGCTTGAACTGACCTCTTCTATCCTCCTAGACATCCAGACCTCACGTATCAAACTATAAGGTATCACGCATGCTCTGGATGACTTGCTGTATACCTAAACGAAACTACCATCACTGAGGTTTCGAGACGATCGCGCCATAGATGCGACTCGAGACCGTCGGGAATGGGCCTTCGACGATCGAAAGAGCTGTGCCACGCATGCCGGAGTAACTCTAAACAACGATTACCACACGTCGACGCCCTAACTTCCTGCGGAAGGACCCATCTACGATGGGAAACAACCGAAAAATATGTCGAGAACAAGAAGAAGTTGCGAGAAGACATACTACAAACTTGGAAGCGTGTAGTTCGTAGCTGCTTCAAACTAGTTACCTAAGCTATACGAGAGTGGTCCTGGCGTCTTCCTCTGTGGTCGAGATAACATGACCAAGATTCAGTCGTTATGTTTCCAAGGGAGGCTATACTGCACCCCATTTCTCGGCCACAATCATTACCAGCAAAACCGAGAATCCATCTAGCTTCTTGTATTTCGTGAGGGTCTTTGATATCTCACTTCGTGCCACATACGCTACAGTACTTTTAATACATCAGGTATATACGTCTGGTTACTACCCATTAAAAAGTTCTTTATCATAGAGACATCATATCTATCTCGTAACGTCAATCTACCTAGATCCTGAAAGCTCTACCTTAAATCATCGATGACAGGTACCTACCTATATATACTCCCAAGGTCGCCAACCTATCTCAATGCTAACTCTCCTCGTGCCCCGCGCTCCGACTCGCCTGGCCCCTCCTACTCATCCCCAACCGACTCATCTCAATCTCGTCTCGCGTCCCCGTCCCCATCTCCTCGCGCGACGACGCTCCGCGGCCCTCCTCCGCAAGGAGCTCCTCGCTTTTTCTCCTCGGGCCCGTGGCGTCCCCACCAACATCGCCGGCGCTATCATTTCTTGTTCCGCGGACGCCCTCCCGGCTACGCGAAGGAGCACCGTTATCGGCGGCCGCAGAAGCAGCAGCAGCAGCAGCAGCAGCGTACGAGCCGCCGACACTCTCCATGGTAAACGGACTAGCGGTCGGGGCGTCGAGCACGGCGAGCTCGTGGGGCGTGAAGACGCGGGGCAGGACGAGCGCGCGGACGGGGATCAGCGCGAGGATGACGACGGGGAAGCCGACGGCGGCAACGGTCTGGGTGATGGCGAAGGTCGCGCCGAAGGCGGCCAGCTCGACGGCGACGAACGCCCAGACGGCGGCGCGGCGCGGGAGGCCCGCGAGGGGGTGGCCGCCGGGGGTCAGGGCGCGGTCGCGCAGGAGGAACAGGAGCTTGGCGGTGATGCCGTTGCCCTCGAGGGCCTGGAAGCCCATGATGAAAAACAGGCCCGCGAGCACGGCCTGCGGGATCAGGTGCAGGACAACGAGCAGCGGGCCCGTCATGGTGCCGAGGGTCAGGAGGCCCTGGGCCAGGTTCGACACGCGCTGCTCGACGACGTGCGTCCGCTTGAGCACGTAGTGGCCCTTTGCCTCGCCGTTTTCCTCCGTGTCCGCCTCCAGCTTCGTCACGCACAGGGATTCGGTGTGGAACGGAGCTTGCGGGATGAGTCCGTTCGGGAAGGGTAGTCCGAGGATCCCCGCGACGCCCGTCGTGAGGCCGAGTAGGAATAGGTCCCAGTGGAAACCTGCGGGTTTGCGGAGGGGGAACTCGGTCCCTTGCGCGATGAGGGACGATACTGATTGTCACACATGAGTCAGCGTAGCTCCCAAGCAAACACATCTTGTCGACTTATTCCACAGACGAGCGGCAACAGGCTAGCTTACCGTTATGGTCAAAATAGAACAGAATAGTGAGCAGCACAGCAAAGGGAATGGCAATAAACACGTCGCCAACTGAGATATCCCAGAAGTTGACAAGCCAGCCCCTATCCGCAGTAGGGAAGAAAGCCGCGCTGGTAGGCAACCTCTCGAGCTCGACGTTCTTCATGCGGCCGAAGTGGACGAAGCCGGTGAAGAAGATAACGGTAAGCGGGGTGCCGTAGTCCTTGAGAAAGACGCGGACGGGGTGGCGGAATAAGGGGCTGCTACCCAACTCGCCGCACGCGTATGCAACCATGAAGACGAGCAGAGCGACCATGATAGACAGGTAGAAGGGCGAGCCATCGCCGAAACGCTCAAGCACCTGGATACCCTTCTGCAGGTAGATGAAGGCAACGTAGAACCCGAAGATGTCGCAGGGGAACCGCGTCACGTACCGTAACCAGTTGCACGAGTTAGTGATTGCGAGGATCCAGTGGAATACAAGCGACCAGAGCCCAATCCAACACATAAAGGCCAGGTAGTTAGTTCCTGTGGGTGTCATGATATCGTAGACAGTACTAAGTCCTTCTCGTCAGATACATTCAGAGAGCACTAGAATTGGTAAGATAGGATCTGGGAGGAAGGTAAACATACTAGTTAAATACGGTAATAGGACCCGTGACTCCCACGATGACCAACGGCTGGCAAGCCAGTATAGCAAAGACGACGGCGCCGAGGACCGACGCCAGCAGCACCTCGTTTACGCCGTACTGCATATTTGTCTTGGTGAACATATCCAGCGAGAAGGCCAGAGCAGGCAAGATACTAAAAAAAGGACGTAGTTGTATTAGTTTCTCTCTTCCATTTCTTCAATATCGGAAAACCCGAATTTAGGAGTAGAGGTAAGCCCCAAATTAAAACTTTCACAAGGGAAACATTTTCGTACTTGGCAAAATACATATAAATCGTCGACGGCACGACGCGGTAATCCCACGCGTCGCGCCAGTCGCTCCAATAATACGGCGCCCGACGGCGCACGTCGTTGACCATGCCGCGAAAGAGGCGGATCTTCCACCAGCTATCGGGCGAGTAGCCGGAACGCTGTTCCGTAGCGGTGTCGTCGTCGCCGTCGTCATAACCATCACCATCATTGCTCGTGTGGCTACTATTATTATGATGGCCGGAGGCGTTGCGCGAGGATGTCAGCAGGGAGCTTGTCCATTGCCGGATCCTGCCGCTCGGGGACGGGTTGGCGCCAGCTCCGGACTCGGCCGTCCCGCCGTGACCGTTGGAAGAATGCATCGCCGTGGGCAGGGTCAGCGAGTCTGCCGTCCGCGACATTGCGCATGAATCGATGCCCAATTATAGTCTATGTTAAATCCGTGATAGGCAACTTGCAATTCCCAAAACTAATAGGCGCCTTTATAGTCGCATATAAAAAAGGTAGTATAAATACCACCTATAATATATACCCAATATAAGAGGGTACTTAGAGAGAACCAGGTGTATACCACGTTAGGTACCTCTACCTATTTAAAGGTATCTTAGATAATTACCTTAACCCAATAAATTGATGTCTCTGGTCAGTAAGTTTGACGTAAGAGGTAAAGCAGTATAAAAGGTTGTTAAGATAGGTTATTAGCTATGAATCCGAGCTGAAATGGTGACAATAGGTATCCATAATAAGACGTACTAAACGATACTGACCCAGAGACGAATAGAAGAGTACCTAGTACTTATTGATGAAGAGAGGTACGTAACCTAAACCACAGCTGGAAAAAAGAAAGATCAGTTAACTAGCCTGGACCGGCGGTGTACTTCACATAGGAAAAAAAAAAAAAAAAAAAAAAAAAGAGACCTACAATTACTTAATCGAAGATGCCAAGTACATATGCGAAGAACCCTGACATATTCTCTACTTGGTTTAGGTTAGTTCTCTCGTTGCCGAGCCGCTTCCCCACAGAGAGACTGGGGATTCAGCGGCAACAAAGTGTGTGCGTAAGGCCGCTGGTCGCTAGCTGCATCCGGGGCCGGGGGTCATCTGGGTGGGAATCGAACTCTTATTGACAGATGAGGATGCCGTCATCGGTATGGTCTGCCAAACTCTACTTTTGTCTTCTTACATCTGAACCTTGGCCCAGCGTCTTGCGATTGTGAGGCTTCTATCTAATATTGTACAGTATGTGCAAGTGGCGGCAATATAACACATCCCCTTTTTCCCCTTCTTATCGTACTTTAAACATACATTGGATGAGTTGAGAGCTTCGTGTCATCACAGACCATGACGAGAGCCCTCAACAACTCCAGGCTAGAAATAGCCTCAGCCTCCCTAACTGATTAATTCGTATATACACTGTTGCTACCTGTTTTCCTCCTCAATTTCCCTGAACATTGCAGGGCTTGATGGGGGCTCAGGAGCATCGGGAAGGGATGGAGATGATGGCGCTGGCGGCGGTCCTGCCGGTGCATTACGAGCATCGCCACCAAAATACTTGGAAAAGTCGTCCCTATCACTGAATGGCCGGGGTCCCAATATCCGAACCATGTCATCCCGAACAAGGACCTCCTTTTTCAATAATTCCTCTGCGATGAGTCCTACTTCCTTTTTCTTCTCTACCAAAAGATCTTTGCATTTCTTGTATGCCTGCTCTATAATCCGTCTTACTTCTGCGTCGATAACCTGACCCGTTCCCTCAGAGAACGGCTTGTAGATCTTGCTCTCGTCGTTGTGGAAATGTAGCGGCCCAACTTTGTCAGACATGCCCCATTGTGTTACCATAGCTGTGGCCATCCGAGTTACTTTGTCGAAATCATCGCTAGCTCCCGTTGTCACTGTAGGAAAGTGTATCTCCTCTGAGATTCTGCCTCCTAATGTCATAGCCATCCGGTCCATCAATTGCTCGTAGGTCATCAGGTATGCATCTCCCGGCAGGTATTGCGCATATCCGAGGCCTTTACCTCTGGGTATGATCGAAACCTTGAGCAGGGGGTCCGCATATCTGAAAAACCAGCCACAGATAGCATGTCCGGCCTCGTGATAAGCTACTGTTCTCTTTTCTACCGGGTTTAGCACTAGCGACTTGCGCTCAAGACCACCGATAACACGCTCGATAGCTTGCTCAAAGTGCTGTAGCGTAACCGACGTAGCATTATTCCTCGCAGCTACTTCTCGTTAGTAATCCTGCCTACATTTTTCGACGAGATGGGTCATGGAACATACCAATGAGTGCAGCCTCGTTTACGCAGTTTGCGATATCGGCACCAGCGAAGCCCGGTGTCAGAGACGCAAGCCGGCCACTTAGATATTCGATTTCTTCATTCGTGACAATCTTCTTCAAGTAAACCTTAAAAATGTCTTGTCGTCCTGCCATCGTCGGGGCGTCAATGTTGATGTGTCTGTCGAATCGTCCAGGTCGCATCAGCGCCTTATCCAAAATGTCTACTCGATTGGTACCGGCAAGAACAACAATCTGATCAGTGGTGTTGAACCCGTCCATTTCTGTCAGGATCTGGTTGAGCGTAGCTTCTCGTTCGTCATTTCCTCCAAACCGCTGGCCCTCTGATCGAGACCGCCCGATGGCATCGATCTCGTCGATGAAAATGATGCACGGCGTGTGTCTCCGCGCCGTGGCGAAGAGATCTCTGACCCTGGACGCACCCACACCAACAAACATCTCGACAAATTCAGAACCGCTTACGCTGAAGAACGGTACTCCGGATTCGCCCGCAGTGGCTTTTGCAAGCAATGTCTTACCAGTTCCAGGAGGCCCAGCAAGAATTGCGCCGCGCGGGATTTTAGCGCCAAGTCTTTGGAACCGTTCCGGCTTCTTGAGGAAGCTCACAAACTCCATTATCTCCTGCTTGGCTTCGTCCATACCAGCTACATCCGAAAACTTGACTCTAATTGCAGTCTCGTGACTGAAGCGCTTCGCCTTGCTCTTTCCGAATCCGAAGACACCGCCTGACCCACCAACACCGCCGGGACCGCGTCGACTAGCCCAGACGAGAAGACTGACAAGCACTACTGTAGGGCCGAATGCTATCAGGAGGTTGAAGAATGGGCTTTCCGGAGCATAGCTCACAGGAATCCTCTCGCTACTAGGGATACCAAGTTCGTTCTGAGCTTCGTCTAGACGCCTTTCAAAAGCGTCGGCAGAGGCAATAGAGAAGTAGTAGTGGAAACCGGGGCGTGTCGCAACTGAATCAGGATACATCGATTGGGTCGCGTCCCGGTTGAGATCAACACGGACTCGATGGCCCTGAATAACCATTCTTTCAACAAGACCCTTGTCTAGGAAGTTCTTCCTTAGTTCTTGCCATGTGATTTCTCGGCCACTCTCTTCGAATATGGAGTTGTAAAGCCAATACGCAATAGCCGAGCCCACTACCATGGTAAGCCAGTCGTTTCCTTGTGTGGGATTGCCATTCGGGCTGGGGCCGGGGGGGTTTTTATTCGAGTTGAATCCATTAAAACCCTGTTCACTTTCCTTAGACCTCTGCTGGTTACCTCTTTTCTCTTCTTGTTCCTGCGCCTTTCTGGCTTGTTTCCGGTTTTTCTTTGAGGGTATGTTGGTATAGGCGTCAGGTTCACTATCCTTATGGTCCTTATAGTCCTTAGTAAGTTCCCCTAAGTCCATACCTTTTAACCCCTTGTAATACTGGTTTAAACCCTTCAATGCTTTTGCTATGACAGAAGGGCCAGCGTCTCCCGTAATTACACCTCTGATTAAATCCCGAAGGTCAACAGGTAACCCAGTTCTCTTTACTATCTTAAAGATATTATCGTCAACACGTATAGGTACCTTATTGGTTAGTTGTTTGAATGCCTCGAGCTCCTCCTTGGTTAAGTGTACCCAGTCAGGATAAAGAGGGGGATTGGGTGCCTCTGGCAGATCCTCCTCCGTTGGTCCAGGCGATTTAGGACTTTGGACTTCGGGCTTTGAATAGGGAAGTTTGGACTGGGGAACCGCATTCTGGCTAGCTTCTTTCTCCTTATCAGATTCCTCTGGCTTCTTTTCAGAGTAATGGCGCTTTAGCTGGATTGCCCAGGCAGCCTGAGATGTAGGTACCAAACGCGAGGATCGTATCGTCGAGCGGGCAGAGGCGCTAAACGTATTGCTAGCGATCCGCGCAAGGCCGGTCGACCGCCGCAATAAGCTTGACATGCCGGGCTAGTCCAGAACGTGAGGCCAGTGAAGGCGGGGAGGGGGGGGGGGGAGGAGAGATATCAAGGGTCCAGGAAGATTAGGATAATGTTGAAAAACCGAGTTATCTCATGAGGACGTAGGCGTAGGCGTAGGCGTAGGCGTAGGCTGCAGCAGTCGATATTGCGGGCGGATGAAGTATGAATGGAAATGGTGTGTTAGAAATCGAATTCTACTCGTTCTGTCGAAAGATGCGGCGGGTGATGACTCCAAAGCTTCCGTAGCGCGAGATTAACCTCAAGGAGATTAGCGCGCTCATGACCTCAGGTCCTCAGCTAAGTTACTAAGTTACTATGTATCTCAACGACGTAGCACACGTGACTCATTCGGACGTAGCGGGGTTTTATCTAAGGGGGAATACCGAGATGGAAGCTGCTCCTACATTCTTATTCCGATAAGTAAATATGCACCTCCGTTATGTACATTATATCCAATTAGATACAAATATCAAATAATATAATAGATCGCTAAGCATTGAGACATACAACTCCAATTATATTACGATGCCAAACACGCAGCATTGATACAATATAAATTCATTGTACAATACCTACCTAACCTAGAGGTATACATACACATTGGATAAGCTCGTCATAAATTTTAAGCATGGCATCGTGGATAAACGCTTAACAGCCAGAACCATGTCAGACAGCACTTTATCAAATAAGAAATTTCGTTTCGAAATAGTATCGTACATTTCCACCATTATCCATCAGTCACGTTGAGGACAATATGCATTCAATTAAACATTAGGTGGTCCTTGCTATTCCCGCCGCAGATAACGAACCATGTCGTCCATCTTCTCTTGACATAGTACTACTAGTCATCCGCAACTAGATATTGTTCAATATCCTTGTCTTCTTCGTCTTCCTGTAGCTCTTGGAGTCTCTTCTCCTCGGCATCCAGCAACTTCTTGATCATGTTCCTCTGGCGCTTCCGTGCCTTCTTTCCCCAATCCGAAGCCGTGGTTTCCGCTTGCTCCTCGTCGTCGCTATCTTCAGGTATGCCAATCTCGCCGCGTAGTTGATTAGGCGATATTTGCGCTTCCCTGGCTTCTTCTTCCGCGAACTGTTTTTCGAGCTGCTTTTCTTGATGCTTGGCGCCATATTTGATAATGTACGGTCGTAATAACGCGTAGGCGCCGACGATAATAACTAACCGAATCCATTCCTTCGCTGTCATAGACGTAAAGGACTCGGCAACATTGTGGTTAAAACGGTCTTTAACTAGCGTAAAGAGCTTGGATATCGTATCGAATAGATGAGCAACTAGATCCACAAGTTCGGACATGATGATAGTTTCTTTGTCGTATTATGGTAAATAGATTATTCGGTAACGAAGTCCGTAGGAGTTTCGGGCTAGAGAATAGAAGGTGGAAAGGGGGAAAGAAAAAAAGAAACCGAGAGGTAAGGTTATAGTATACTCTGGCCTAGCAAAATAATATCTTATCAAATGCCTCAAAAATTTATTCAATAATGGGACAATCGGACAGGTAGCGTAAATGAATGACATGCAAAATGTATAAAAGCTTGTGAAACTTTTCAACGGTTCAGAATCCCTGCCTGCCGCGTGAAATAAGCATCCAGAAGACCTTGGCGCGCACGGTCCCTTGAATAAGGGTACGTACCTTACCTAACATGAGGTATGCAAATTACACCACTGGCACTCCGAGCACTAACTTACTGCGTAAAACTTTAAACTTTCAGTGCTCTCAACGCGTTCTGACGTAACCAAAACGCGTCCAACTGCCAGCTAGCTGCTCTCCAACTTCCTTCTAAAACAAAGACAAGTCCTAAATTTAGATATATCACCATAAATACAATCATGCCGGATAATTCCGAGGAAGAGGTAAGAGAAGTGAGAGCACATTTTGAACGTTTCTATACCCCCCAAAAAAAAGTTTAAAAAAAAGTTGGCTAACTCCAGTATAACTAACAGCAACTTAAAGCTGCACTATGGTTTGCGGTGGGGAAAATGGTTGATGAAGAGACCCTGAGAAGGAACAGAAATGTCACTCCCCAGTTCATCGGTGCTTTGACAGAGATGGTCTGGGCTCAAATAGGTATCACAATATTCATCGACTCCCAAACTTTATCGTGCGTGGTAGCCAACCTTGAACCTAAGCTAATTTGTTCCAGAGAACGTGGCCCTGGATCTGGAGAACTTTAGTCGCCATGCAGGGCGCACTACTATCAACACAGACGACGTCCTACTGCTGGCCAGACGAAATCAAGACCTACACGCTATCATCAAGGATTTCGTAGACAAGCAAAAAGCATCTAAGGCAAAGGGCAAATCAAAAAGATGAAGCCATCTGCAATTCATATTGTCACATGGTTAAACTCTTTTTCACATAGTGGTTCAAGCTATGAAGAAGTCCGTCTGAACTACGATCCCTTGGTATCAAGAGGACATCGGCAGGCGCTATCTCATAATATACAGTTACCAGAGCCGAGTTACAACATGTAGAGGAAGGACACGACGGAAACACCCACATGGGCAGGAGAAAGAACTTGGTCCTACCATGCAGAAGCAGCATACACTTTCTCATCACAGGGAGATAATGCATAATATGCCTTACCTAAGCACCTCGAGACAGCCTCCCCTCCACCGAAAATGTGTTCACCGTTTATTCATATATCAAGCTTCTAGTTCGTTGCTCGGTAGGAAACAGTATATTTCCCATAATATGGAAGCTCCAGGAACTGGTTAGGGGAAAAGGCAAGGAGTTAAAGGTCGAGAAGAAGAAGCACAGATAGGGGGCTAAAATGAAGAGAAATCGTTAAACCTGGATGGGATTTGAATCCATGATATTTCCAATCTCAACCCCTCATCTGATTTCATTCATCAAAAACGCTTAATGATGGAATGTGCTTTATTTCCATCATCTGGTGATAACAAGGTTAGTTACATTGAAGTATAAACGAATGCAAAGTCTACCAAACCACATGCGGTACCAACCAGTAAATAACAGCTTGGCCAATGCACTCCTTTCGCTATAACCTATGGTCAGTTATCCACATACGCAAGGCTCTCAAGGTAGGTACTTGAGTGACACAATTGTTCGAATTCAGTCTTCTAGTCTCCTTGTAATAAAACCTTACAGCAGGTCCTTTCGCTGAGAAAACCGTACACAACCTATGAGGTAAATTCTGAAAACCAGTCATGCGGCCGGGTGCATTTTAATATCGACGAGCTAACAGTAGTACTTGTTCTAGTTGACCCCTGGTAAAAGAAAAAAAAACTTTCGTACAAATGTCGGTCACGATAGGCGATCGCATGTAGTTAGATCCACTTCCTGCGGGAATATTCATGGAAACGGATGAAAGTAAACAATCGCATTCTAACTTCTAAGATGTCCTCCCAAAGTAACAAAAGGCCGGAAAAAGAACTCAATGATGCTTATTATCGAAGAAGAGGGAGCTTTGGAAGCTCTTTGTACGTATTCTACATAGCTTAGCTTAAGGAATTCACATGCAGATTACATAGGCAGTTATGGTTCCTTGTTGCGACGGCAGCAGCAGCAGGGCGGATGAGACGGGATGACGATCGTCATTAGCTGTTCGAGTGTGGCTAAGAGCTGAGAGGTACTTGGACGTGCCACTGCCGAAGCCACAGGCTATGACGCTATTGTGTGGCTTGGTCAACTGTGCATCCAATCAAGAAGCTTACCTCTCCAATTCCTTGTCTGGTCCCCACGTCACGCCGGCAGATCGGCACTAGTGCAGCAGGCCATCGTCGAATGAGAAGCTCTACTGAGGGACATGTTCACTGAAAGACTGTTGGTATTATGTACCTAACCTTGCTGTAATGGCGCAGATTAGGATAAACTATAAACTCTGACCGCATTCGTCATCGTTAATTTTCATGTACCTACTAGAGCTAGCTATGGTCATTAGGTAGGTGGTACCCATCTTTTTTACGTTTAGTAAGGAACTACGTCTATCACTTACATGTTTGGAGGCCATTGATCTTTAATGAGGTACCTTTTAAGTAACACTGATTCTCTTTCATTGACCGACCGCCTAAAAGAAAGTGATACACACTTGTTCACCCTAACCCACCTATTATTTTGATCTCCAAGCCTTCTGTTCTTCCCCGGTCTATCTATATTATTGCTACTCCTTGCACAATTTTTTTTCTCTTGCCTAGACCTTTTCTAACCTTATCCCCGGAACCTCGGAACCTCTGGATAGGTAGCCAGCTCTCCATCTCAAAAACTCTACTCAACTCACACCACAACACGACACACCATACCTCACACTTCTCACCTTTCCCGGCCCATCATCTCACAACGTACTACTACTACTGCTACTGCTCCGTATAACTGCCATTTGATCGTACAAGTTAAGCAAACACACCGCCATCATGGGCGCCAAAACGGGTCTCGCGCTCAAAGTAGTGCAATGGTTCATCCGCGGCGTACAGTTCTGCTGCAGCGCTCTCATCCTCGCGCTCTTCTCGTACTTCCTCGCGGTGCTTGCTAACCGTAACCTGCCCATACCGACGTGGACGCGCGCCGTTGAGGGTATTTCGGGAATCGGTGTGCTGTATACTATTCTTGGTCTGCTGCTCCTGTGCTGTTTGGCTGGTCACCCTTTCACCTCTTTCATCGCCATCGTCTTGGATATCTGCTTCGTCGGATCTTACATCTACGTTGCTAGCGCCACTCGTGGAGGAGCCAGCAGCTGCACCGGCACCGTCGATACGCCTTTCGGCACCGGTCTCGCTGATGACTTGATCAACAACCAGAACCCTAGCTACAGAGTCGTGTGCAAGATGGAAACAGCTTGCTTCGCTGTCTCAATTGTAGCAATGTAAGCTTTCTTCTCTAGCTTTATTCGTATTACTTACTAATTAATATAATAGTGTCTTCTTCATCTTCTCTGCACTCCTTGAGGTTGTCCTCGTCCGCCACCGACGTAAGGAGCACCGTTTTGGCCCTAGTCCGGCCAACAACTACACGTCAGGCTACGGCAACCGTCGAGGTCTATTCGGACTCTTCCGCAGAAAAAAGACTGTAGAAAGCACAAATCCTAACATCTTGCCTGAGCACACCCACCCGGACCAGATGCGCCCGAGCTACAACACCGAGACTACGGCTATCGGTCATGAAAATGGTGCGCACAATAACAAATACCAGTACGACGGCCAAGTTGCTTACCCCGAGACCGGTACCGCAACAGCACATACTACTCCGGCCGGTTACCGCTACTAGGCGAACGCAGTTCTTCCGAAAAGGGGGAGCTATTGATGAAAATTGAGGGTATGGTACCCTTCTAAGGGGAAATATATTTATGAACTGGGAGTGATACCCTGCACGGGATTGGCATTGGAAATGTTATCGCTCGCTGCTTTATATGAATTCTGATGAAAATTGCTAAGCATGGCTAGGACTTACGGGCTGAGTCGTAATTAACGGTGTCGAGTTCCTTGGTCGTCTACTATAAACGCATGTAACTGTAACGTAAGGACTCTTAAGCTAGCATTAATACTGCTTAACTGGTATGAATATAATAGAACGAAGTCAAATAAGAAATACGCTTTAATGTTGATGATTCGCCGTCTTGATAGAATTTGAATGCGATTGCGATTATAGTTGTCTCAAGTATGCGAATACACGTATCATCAGAAATTTTACCATTTCTCTTAGGTTAGTTTAGTCTGTCTGCTATACGCTCAAAGTTCCCTTGGTGCTCGGCACCTCGCCCTCCTTGCCGGGTATCCTGGCGGTAGCCTGCTTGATGGCGACGGCGAGGGCCTTGAAGGCGCTCTCGGCGCGGTGGTGGTCGTTCTGGCCGCGGAGGCAGTCGACGTGGAGGGTGACGCGGGCGCCCTGGGCGAAGCTCTGCAGGCAGTGCGGTATCATCTCCGTGCTCAGGTCGCCGATCTTCTCGCGCCGGAGCCCGAGCTCGACGACGCTGTACGGCCGGTTCGACAGGTCGACCACCGCGCGCGAGAGCGCCTCGTCCAGCGGCGCGTACGCCGACCCGAACCGTGCTAGCCCCGAGGCGCTGCCCAGCGCGTTCGCGAACGCGTACCCGAGCGCTATGCAGACGTCCTCGGCGGTGTGGTGGTCGTCGACTTTTTCACGGGGATAACTTTTCGTCAGCGGAAGTTTCTCATTTTTTTTTCTTTCTTCTTGGTTCTTCATGTCACATTGCTAGGTGGTGGGAAGGTTGGTTGCTCGTACTGTGGAGGTCGCCCTTGCACGCCAGGGCTAAGCTCCAGCCGGCATGTTTGGCCAGGGCATGGAGCATGTGGTCGAGGAAGCCGATGCCTGTGTTTACGCTGATAATTTGCGATTTGCTCGACTGGGTGGCATGGCCCTCAGTGACGGACGTCAGTAGGCGGGGGTCGGTGTGTTCAGGAAAGTCCCCGCCATCGAGGTTCAGAGCTAGCTGGATTTTTGTCTCGTTGGTGTCGCGAGTGAACGCCGCCCATCGCGGACTAGATTTCTCAGAACCCATCTTCGTTGAAAGAGTAGCTGGTCTACTCTCCCGAGCTGGCTATCAACTTGGAAATTTAGAAGCCAACTAAGGAGAATAAAGTAAAAAAAAAGTATAAAGTAATAAAGTAATAAAGTTAGGTACTACCTAGCCGTCGTGAATTTTTAAGCTAAGCCGAGGATCGGCTTATGTTAAGGCAAAAGCTATAGCGCCAGATAATTGGCCAATCACGACAAAGCTAATTGATCGATTTAGGGTTGTATATAGCGCTACCTCACCTGCAGGACCGCTGTAAGGCTTCTGCCGATCAGTGGGGGGTATAGATAGGTAGGTACCTGTTTTCTTATTTTCTTATCAGTGATAAGAAAAGCTACAATTTTATTTTATTTTACAATCTGCTGGTCGCGCCAAAGTCTTCAAGTCACAACTCGTCGCATCACAACTTCAGCAAAAATGGCGCCTTCGAGAACGAGAACGATTAAAAACAAGCATGCCGCTAATAAATCAGGTATATCTTCCAGCAAGTCTTCGAAAGGAGGTTCATCAGATGGCGTTGTCAAGTCGAAGAAGAAAAGCCCGGTACTCTCGAAGCAGGTGAAAGGGAAAAACATCCCCGACCTGTTGAAGAAGAAAAAGAAGAAGGTCTATACGGAGAAAGAATTGGGTATTCCGGAACTGAATATGATTACTCCTGTTGGTGTTACGAAGCCCAAGGGAAAGAAGAAGGGCAAGGTTTTCGTGGACGATAAGGTACGGCCAGATCGCAAATAGGCGTTTTCATCGTCACTTAAGAAAGATTGCTAACGCGCCAATAGGAAAGCATGAACACAATTTTAGCTATGGTCCAGGCTGGCAAGGAGGGCGAGATCGAGTCCAAGATGATCAAGGCCCGACAGATGGAAGAAATCCGGGAGGCAAGAAGAATCGAGGCCGAGAAGAAAGAAGAGGAGAAGAAAGCGAAGCTCGACGAAACTAAAGAATCGCTGAGAAGGAAGAGGAAGAGGACTAAGCATTCTAATGATAACGACGACGACGGTGATAGAATCAAAGAAGTCGCATCTGCAGGAACCAAGGCCACCAAGGCTAAGAAGAAGAGAGTCTCGTTCGCGTAGGAGAGTTTTGGCCGGGAATATGAGTAACTGGATGGCGTTTTGGCGTTGATTCGGGCTACCCCCCCGAGAAAATACGAGCATTGATCCATAAGATTAGCATTAAAGCATTTTCGCGATACCCCCTCCAAGACGAAATTAATATGGTCATTAACCATGTGCGTGGGTCTAATCAAGCTAGTTACCTCTCAAACTAGTTTGCTCCTCGTACAAGTAGGAAGTGATTCATTCCAATGCCCATCATATAACTCCGTGAGAGGAATGGACAAGAGCGGACTTTCGGAGCTTGGGAGTTTTGCTGTTTCATATAGGAGTCTTACTGCTCTCGAACACCTAGGACTCTTATATGAAAACCTTCTTCACCCAAACTAGGAACAGACCTTGTTGAGTTTGTTGGAGAGACTACTTTGAAGCGTTGAAGCGTAGGTAGATAGGTTTGCGAATAGTTATCCGCCTGCCTATTGCGTGGGTAAAGCATAGTTGATCATAGTTTAGGTCCTGAAGCCAAAATCAATGTCGTAAATTTCGATAATGCGGCATAATGATTTGAGGGTTGGAGGATGGTAATTTCAGGAATCCTATGAAGCCAGATACATCCTTTGCTGTCATAGATTTGATAATGAGAGCAGATTCATTGGATATCAAGTAGGTAGATTTGGTAGAATAAATCAAGTTTCGGCATCCCAACGTTCATTTCTATATTGCTTCGGATTCCTGAACTGATCAGACTTAGATTTGTTATATAGGTAACGTAGGTACCTAATGCATGCAGCTTTGTTGAAAACTTTCCGAGAGTTTCGAGCGATCATGGTAATATGGCAATGTTGTCTAAAGGAACTGAGAGAAGCATTTCTCATTGGTTCACTATCTGTGGCAGTCGCCACGGTATTGGGTAAGCCTGTTTGCAGATCTGTCGTTTTACCTCCTTGCCGGCTGCTCTTTTGGGTTCAAAAGGTGGGTGAGATGCCATCGTCAATATAAACTAACACCTAGGTAGTATCACAACTACTTTATAAGGCAGTATGCCACCGAAGAGTTATTACCTCCCTAATTAGAGAACGGCGAATCTAAGAAAAGTTATAAGCTAATCTGATTCAGCATATAGTTAAGAGTATGTAGGTATGTATCTTATGCTGGGTTAGTTTCTTGTGTAAAGAATAGTAGGTACATAATTACTACATTATAAAACTTCCTGGCAAGCCACAATAAAAATGTATGATGCGATTGTCTTAATTGGGACACATATAATGTATTATTGGTAGCCTCGTTCAGGCTACAATATCACAATATTCTTTTGCTTGCCCTTTCTGGCCAATTCTTGAAGACATGTCTCATGAGCTTGGCGCCTAACGAGATGCTGAAACACAGGCACCATATGCTCGTAAGATGCTAGATATATTCTAGTTAAGCTTGGTGGATTAGTTGACGACTCTCATGCGTTGGTACTACGTACGAGATGGTGCGTGCAAAAATAGGGCGTAGCCCGAAGCTAACAATAAGTTGGCAGCTTGTGCTAAACTAAGACCATCTTAGCTTGAGATTCGTGGTCTCATCACAATACGTGGTTGATGCCTACTTATAAGCATGCATACGTATCCCTTCCTTTACCCAGGAAGCCAGGTAAATAATGGTATATTCAAAATAAACATTCTCTCCCCTTTCTTCTCCCTTTAGACTTCTGATACTAGTCGTCAACGACTCCATCACGGGAGAATCGTATAGAAATCATGACGCAATTCCCCTAAAACATAACAATTCTGGAATAGCCAAGTGCTAAAGCTGCGCGTAAGCACACGCAAGATCAAATAAAGCGGTCCACCTTTTGGCCTGGGGACCCTGCCGCCATCTAATATTAGGCCGTAAGCCCAGACCGATCCAAGCAGACTACGGACTAGGCCGGGTCTTTTCAGCAAGAATGCAACTGTAGATGATTGAAGATAAACCCGACGATGGAGTATGAGGGGAACAAAGATCTAACTAGGAGTTCTGTCGAAGTGGGAAAAGTGAGCAAGTGAAAAAGACCTCCGTTCAAGTTGGTGACACGAGCCTGGTTATGAATCATTTTATACGTCAGGAATCAATCAATCCGAATCGCGTGGCTTTCCAGCAGGATGGATCTGCACTCAAGGAATACGAGCTGTTCTACCACACGCCAGCCAGTCCAATTTACGACGAACTAAGTACATGTGGTTTGCATATGGAGGCTACACGGGAATGGATCGAATTATGGGCATTCTATCCATCTTACCTACTACTATGTACCCGGTAACTATGGCTAACCTTGTGCGGGTTCAGGTTGCTAACCTGCTGCAGTCAAAACTTCGTGTTCCTGCATTGGTTACAGGCTTGGCACAGTGGTTTGGGTTTGTCGAGAAGTACTACGAAGTATGTACTTGTACAATGATATTCACTGTGATATTCATATTCGTCCGCCCGTGCACCAATGTTTTGATATCTCACAGCTTATATAGACCTATACGTCACCTTCTTATTGAATCTCGAGTTGATATACAGATCCACCACAATAATTTGCACATAGTTAGTAGAAGAGTCTTAAAAGGGGCTTCGTGAGAAACGAAACGTTATGAATGGTGCAACAGCCTGGAGATCAGTCCTAAAGATTATGAGGATGCAAGAAGATGCCCGTACATAGTATGTTTGTAAAGAAATCCCCGTCTCACTAGCCAATCGCAGACGGACTTGCCCATGTCCCTGTTCGTAGATGTTATTATGTATGATTGGCCCGCATGTCTATGACCCCCCTGGTCAGAGGGACAGCGTTCAGCCCAAGCGAAATGAGCAGCATCACCCTTCCAGCACTGTCGTCCATTTACAGCGAGACAAGCCCTCAAATTCAGTGCCTTGTTGAGCGTCCGACGAAGCTAACGATGCTCGGGGGTTGTGTCCACTGCTAGGAGGTATCTCATTTTAATTTTTTTTACTGGCAAACATATTATCAAAACACATCCGCCTCCGGGTTGCATTAATTTCTTTTCTCTCTTTTCACTTCTCTTTATCCTCACCATAACGTCCGGCCGACCGTTCGTCGCTTGTGGGTGTCGATGTTTCGGTTCCAGCCTCTTGAGCCAACAATGAGGATCCGGCAACGATAGAAGGACCATAAAGCCAGATGAAGCAGGAATCGGGGACGAAAATAATACGATAATGATGGGATGCTATTCTGGATGATCAGCAAACCTAACTAACGCATTCATTCTCTTTCACTCATTATTTTTCTTTTCTAGTTAGGCTAAACGAGTTCCAAGCAGCGAACCGCAAAGCAACCCGCGCCCCCAAATCCCAAACCAGCGAATCCGAACTCTGCCTCTCAAAAAAAAACTAGTATTTTTCTAGTACGCACGCTTATACGCACGCACGCACGCACTTTCGAGAAAAAAAAGCTCGTATTTGTCCATTTCACCGCCACGCGCGATGACAACCCCAGTCTCGGGGTCTTCACTCCCTCAGACCCGAGACGTACATCAACACAATCATTTTCACCACTCTAGAGAAAGCCACCACCATCATTACCACCACCATACCCACCACGCTCGTTCTCAAAATAGTAACAAAAGGGGCCATAAGCGCACCGATTCGGAACCCACCACAATTATAGAAACCGTTTCCGTTCTCGAGCTTATCGATTCCTCCGGTGCCCCCGTTACTTTTCAGACCCTCACGCCATCCGCATCAACATCGATACCGATATCGATATCGGCATCAACATCAACGTCGACATCTTCAACGTCATCGACGTCTTCTTCGTCCAGCTATATATCTAGCTCCGAACCGGACGTCACTGTCGACCCGAGCACAACAACTACTTCGACAACAAGTTCTGTATCTGCATCCGTACCTGCATCCGTACCTGTATCCGTACCTGTATCCGTATCCGCTCCAGCCTTACCTACTACCACTTCTACCCCGGAAGCTAGCGACGATGAAGGCGACAGCCTCTCCTCTTCGACTTCCGTCCCTACGATAGACCCGACCGTAGCACCGTCGGAGTCCTCGATGCCTACTACCTTTCCCACTTTATCTTATTCGCCTTTGACGTCCACTCCTTTATCAGGCTCTCCCGTTTTTCCATCTTTTGCTGGCGTGACTAACACAACCCAATGTAAGTCTAGAATTCTTTTTTAGGTTTATATAATTTTTATTTTTACCTAATTAATTAATCAATTAATTAATGAATTACTCCGTCGCTGCTATTCGTCTTGCTGTTGCATTCTAACTTTATACAACGTTATAGCTTCTTCGTCCACCTTTTCTTCCAACAATACCAGTTCTACTTCGCAACTTCCGTTTTCGGCAGAGGGTTTCAATACCTCTGTTTCCGGGTCATCTAGTACTATACTTCCGTCTGATTCTTCTTTCACTTCATCTACGCCGACCAGTACCACTCGCTCTAGCCCCTCATCAACTACATTCAGTTCTTGGGGAGTACCTAGTCAGACGGACGGTGGTAATGACGGCGCCGGCAATGCACAGCCATCATCCTCGAGCGCCGTAGCGACCGATGGCGACTCTAGTTCGAGCGGACCCGATTCGGCCACGGTCGCGGGAAGCGTTCTGGGAGGTGTGGCTGCACTTGCAGGTATTTTGATTCTTGCTCTCTTCCTCCTGAAATGGAAGAAGCGCCAGAACACCCGTAAGCTTATGCGGGGCTCCATGAGCGAACGAGGCCCTGGTGGCGGCTTGGTTGGAAATTCCGGTCCCGGCGGAGGCGACGGCGTTATGTCTGAAAGACGGCGTTCGATTCCCTTTGCGATCCCCGCTGCTCTCGCCAACTTGACCGGACACAAACGATTCTCCGGACGCAGCGCCGCCTCGGCAGATGGAGGCGAACGAGGGTTTTCAAAGGTTTCGGGTAGGAAGTTACCACCGGTCATCCAGTTCGGCGGAGACGGCTACTCGGATCCCCGCGACACTATATTAAGCGACCAGTCCGTCGAATATCGAGACTCGACCTTCCCTGGATTAGGTGGCGGGCTCGCGCCGACTAGGCTAGCCGTGGGTGCTCCGATGCGGCCGGAAAGCGGAATCCCCGTCTTTAACCCGGGACCGGCTCGGACCCCGAAGACGGAGCAGGCACCGTTCAGTCCCGTTTCAGACAACAACTCACCCCTTGCGCCTCCCTCCCTAGATCCACTGGGAAGATCCCACCCTTCTCACGATGGGTCGAGTCGTTCCCACGGATCAACCTCCCGGTTTACCGAGGAGTTATGACCTGGATAGATACCCTGCTACCTTTTTTTTTTATCTTAACATCCTTACTCGTGTATATTTCGCTTTTTTTTTCTTCTCTTTTTTGATGATACCTGTTTGTTATTTCGTGTCGATATATTATCATTCGTCACGGCATCGGGTTGGCGTTGACATTTGAAGTAAAATCTCAAAAGGGTTATTCGGGGGGGATGAGAGGCGGAAAAGGAGATAAAGAAAGCTAACCAACCCTTTTTGCTTTCAACTTTCTTCCTTGCGTCCGATGTGTAAACCATTTCTTGTAAATAGTCAAAAACGTCGTTTCGAGCCCCTTTTGGAGGCTGGATATCGACAATGAGAGTACGATATTTGGGAGTCGAGATTAGATCGCGGCAGCTGTCTTGTCTCGTCTGCTCCCCAGGTAATCAAAGCATAATTGTCATCAGACGTATTGTCCTGTGTCATTTCGGATCTTGTGTGACAACTGTTTTCAGGACCCAAATGCAAAGACATGCCTTATTATGCCGGCTAATAAGCCTATCAAAACGTATGGATCTTGAAGGTGCCAGTTTATTCCCATTAGGGATGGTTTAAGAGGCAATCCTCCATCACTATGTATGAATTTTAAGCTACTACTGAAGCGTTTTATCCCCTAGCACAAGTATGCATTACATCTACCTAAACTATCCAACCGTGATCGACGTAGGGGCTCATTGGGATAAGTAGTTGAGACGGATATGAAACACGACTAGAGCTTGTTTTTCACGATCCTATTGACGCTCAGACCTGTTATTACAAATTGGTCGGTCAATACCCGCCATGCCGGCACGTTTCGCTGCGACAAACGGACGACTTAGAAAAGTGACAGTCGAGTTGAGTCTAAATTGTTGCTGTTTAGGCTGAGCGTCTTTTACCCCGGATGACGCTAACGCCAACGCTTGTTGATAGATCTCGTCACCGGCTTGGGTGTTGTGGGTGTTGAGTCTAGATTAGATTCTTCGTCCCACCATAGACGGATGAAACGGGGGCTACCTCTGCAAGGCAACCCAAGCCTCGGGGAGGGGATGCACGTAACCCAGCGCCGGGGAACGATTGAAGATTATCAGCCATGTGCGTGTGGTGGGCGGCCTCCAATATCAAACGTCTTGGTGGCTATCGTATGATATTTCCTACCTAATCCTATGTCGTCACAATCATGAGGGAATACGTAAGTGTAAGGGTTTGACTTGAAAATAACAGGTACCTATGTTCCTCCGGACTTAAGGGTTAGTTATGTTATAAAAGAATGCTTCGAAAATACGCTTTGATTTTTTGTCGCTGAAAATGGCAAGAGGGGCTGAACTAGGACTCGGAAACTTTTCTTCAATATTCAGGGTTCCAAGGGTGAAGGGTCTAGTACATGGTTTTGTCCGATCGAGTCGATTCTCGACTACCTTGACAATCTGTTGTCTTAAACTTCAGGGGCAACTAAGCAACTTAGGACGACTCTTGATCTCAAATCTTGCTAACTGGATTGTAAATCATGGAACACGGCATTATCAGAGGCGTTGTAGGTACATGAGCACCGAGGATATCTACTATGTATCATACTGGATCCCCTACAATACCACCCCAGACTCTTTGGTGCTGTCAAGGTGAATTCTGATTCACGGGGACATCAATCCCACTGAATCGTTGTCTGGACGTCTGGACAAGGAGGGCGGTCTTCGCAAGTCCCTGAATTGTTATTACCCTGGTCCCTACCTAACCTAAGGTTAGGTTAGGTTAGGAGGTAGTCAGTAGCCCAGCTAGCCTGGTACCAGGCAGATGGGCATCTTGAAGCCTCGAGGTCTTAGACAACAGAATTTCCATCTAACTTTTTAAGTACGAATTCTTTGCCCCTCCTCTTGATACGGAAGAAGACAAGAATGGCTCGATAATTAATTCGACCACATTTTCTAATAAACTATTGGTCTTTACATCTAAGCCACGCGACTTGATAGCTCAGCCATACAAATTCTTGTACCTAAAATATCTACAATACATACCCGTATCTTCGTGTTCAATCGAAATCGGTCCCTGGCGTCTAAATCCTCTAGTTCTGCAGTACCTCGAGTACATCGAGTATCAGGTAGCATTAAGTTTATAAAGAAGCGAGTACGAATCCGCGAATGTACATCGTACAGTGAGCCCTTGCACACACATTGGCGTTTAAACCCGCTCCAAGCCCCCTTGAATAATTCACCGAGCGAATAGCGCATCTGGTAAGCGTCTGGACTGGAGCCAGACCCGTCTGGCAATTTCGATAAAAGACAGGCAAGGAGATCGATCGCTGTCCATGCTCCTCCCACGGTCCATGGGGAACACTTTAAGTCCGCAAAAACCCCAGTAGCACGTAAAGTACCTACCTAAAAGTTGCCTAGGCCGAACTATTATTTTTCCAAAACGTCAATTTACATTGACCTTTTGAATCGTCCGAATTCCCACCCCACGGTAACGTCGTGTACCTCGATAACCACCGCGTCGATTTTCTTATCACTCGGAGCAACGATTTCCAACCAAAATAATAATAACTAGGTCCACTGGAGAGAGAGAGGTGATGGAACACATGAGAGTTGATCCCGGGGGCTTCCAAATACCAGGAATGCCCCGTCCGCAACTGATGAACCAACCACCGCAGATATTCGGGGCTTATAGTCACGATGGCTTACCTGTATTGCATCCGGACCTCGCGGCGCAAATGGCGTTCGATCCTTCGGCGTTGTTAGACGATCCGAACGATGCGAAGAGAAGAAGAATCGCACGGGTGAGTTGTCACCAGTTTCAGTTGTGCGGCTGTACACAGGTTGACCCCGTATAAATGAAGGCTTGCGATATGTGTCGAAAGAAAAAAATAAAGTGCGATGGGAAGCTCCCTGCGTGCACTCATTGTATCAATTATAAGACGGACTGCGTCTTCACGCAAGTCGAGAAGAAGAGAAGTCCGCCGAAAGGGTATGAGAGGATTAGGTTCTTCGACGAAACTGTAGTCTGAGACTGACCTATTTAACTAGTGCCAAGTACATCGAGGGCCTCGAAAACCGTTTAGGGCGTATGGAAAGTTTGCTAAGGTTGTCTGGTACGTCCTAAGTCCCCTCAGCTATACATCTTGCATTGACTCACAAGATAAGAAAGGCCTACTCGGTGAAGATGATGAGTCGACTGACTTGGCTACGCTGGAAAAACGCCTTGCCGAGAAGCACCAGCAATCGAGACAAGCTTCACAGGCAGCTACGTCTAATCCCACATCACCGTCGCAAGCCACATCCGGTCACGATGGCGCGTCATCAACTCCTCGAAGTTCTCTAGCATCTCCAGAGCCGAGTAGAGATCGCGATAGAAAGGATAGCTCACCACAGCCTGATCGGCCCAAAGATGAAGAGGTTGAATCCTTATCTGAGATGATGTGTTCATTAGTAACGAATCAGTCTGGGGAGACGAGATATATAGGTACTATTCATAGATTAACCATAGATTATTATGCGTGTAGGGATTTCGCTAACTCGCATTAGGCTCATCGTCGGGCTTCTCAATATTCTCACCGAAGGGTATCCAGTGGGTGAATGAAAAAACCGGAGACAGATCGTTTCAACAAATGATATCTTCAGTATCTATCGATGATCACAAATGGAATCACTGGAAACCCGAGATTTTCAGCGACCTTTTCCATCGCCCGATTTATCGGCAATTACCGCCCAAGCCAGAAGCGCTATCCCTGCTCAAAGACTATTTTGACAACTTCAACTGCATGTTCCCGCTGTTCCACCAACCAACATTTATGCATCTTGTTGAGAGGCAATATTCCAATGACCCCTACCAGGGGTCGGGATGGTGGGCCAGCTTGAATGTTGCATTAGCCATCGCCCATCGCCTCAGAGTCATGAGCAATTTAGTACCGCAGGAAGAGGATGACAAGTCATGGGGATATATGAAGAACGCTATGGGGGTTTTCTCCGAATTAACGATGCGCAATACCGACTTGTTGAGCGTGCAGGCTTTGCTCGGAATGGCTTCCTTCATGCAGGGTACTCCCAACCCCCAACCCTCGTTTCTGCTAGTTGCCGCAGCTATCAGACTGTCCCACAGCATCGGGTTGCATAAGCGCGGAAGTGGTTTTAATCTTAACCCGGTCGAGATTGAGCAGAGAAAGCGAGTGTTCTGGATAGCATATATGCTGGATAAGGATTTGTGTCTCCGGTCCGGACGACCTCCGGCGCAGGATGACGATGACATGAATGTAGAGCTCCCAGATGCCGACCCAGTAGACAATATTGGAAACATCCCCCTTGCCGACGGAAAGGGAAAGATGAATCTATTCCGAGCGATGTGCGAATTGACAGTTATTGAAAGCCAGGTCTATAAGAAGCTCTACTCTACCAAGGCCACCAAGCTGTCGGACGGCGAGCTGCTGCAGACCATCGGCGAGCTTGATAAGAAATTAGAAGAGTGGAAGGACAACATCCCGATTGACTTCCGCCCAGAACACGAAATAAAAGCGTCTCACACTCCTTTGATAGTCCATGTGGTCATGTTACATTTCTCCTACTACAACGCCCTCACTACAATCCACCGCATGTCTGTACATCATGGCTACTGGACAAGTCGACTATCCAATTACGCGATCCAGGGCCTGAACGCCAGGCCTTTAAATCCGCGGGTATTTGCATCTGCAGCTCTATGCGCGTCCGCCGCCAGAGCAAGTATTCAACTGCTCAAATATATCCCGCAAGGCGATTTCTCCTGCGTCTGGTGAGATTCCCCAACATTTCTGCCCGCAACCCCCCCTTTCTTTTGGTTTTCTCGTACTAACACACCGGTAGGCTTATCCTCTACTTCCCTGTCTCAGCGCTCGTCACACTCTTCGGGAACATCCTGCAAAACCCACTAGACCCGCGAGCGAAGTCGGACACGAAATTAATGAACGTGGTGGTGACGTTCCTCTCCACCCTGGGCCAAGAGGCGGAGACCGGTGGCGTGCACCGTATGCTCGGCGTGTGCTCTGAGTTCGAGCGCATCGCCAAGATCGTCATCGAGAAGGCCGAACGCGAGACGAACCGGCGGAAGCGCAAGAGCCACGAGCCTCAGAAATCTTCCATCAACCACTCCTCTCCGCCGCAAATGAGTAGCAGCAACACGCCGCGAGCCTCGTCGGCAAGCACGCCGACCGGAAACTACTCGGCAACGTCGCAGCTGTCGCCCAAGTTCAACGGGGAGCAGAACCGCGCCAATAACGCCGCAAACGGGGGCTTCAGCCCGATGAACACGGCTAGCTCGAATAATGGCTCCGCGCCGCGCGACGGCCCAGGGGCCTGGCCGCCATCTTCTTCATCACCACAGACACAGCAACAACACCCATCACAAGCGCAACAGTCGGAATGGAACCCCGATGCTATGGATTTCGGCAACTTCTCGGAGATGACGGGCTTCGGACAACCGATCTCGTTGCCGTCTATTCCAGGGGTTACCGGAGCCGGAGCCGGAGTCGCGGGCGGAGGTGGGTACCAGCCGCTACTGCCGCAGGAGCTGTGGCAGATGTCCGGGCTTGACTGGGACTGGGCCGAGTTCGCGGGGACTGCGTATGCTAGCTTCGAGAACGGGTCCGCGGCACAGAACGGTGCATGAGTACGTTATTTATGGGGAGGAGGAGTAATTAATATCACGCCGACGGTCCATTACCTGCCTAGGTACTACCTAAGGTAGCCAGTTAAAGGCCGGTCGTACTGTTTAATTTCGAAATTTGTGCGAAAACAAGAATACACAGGCCCAGCCAACCTAGGCGTTACAGTCGATTAGAGAGCGGGGCATAAGCATAGGCATGACGAGCGTGTGAGAGAAAAAAAAAACACATCCGGGACATCGGGGTCATTGAGAGCGCGAAGAACCGAGCACGGGTGTTCAGGTTGTGGTTCTTGTTGTTTTTCTTCTAAAAGCAGGGGTTGGAAAGATTGTACCATACAGATTAACGTTACCGCGACGGCCGACAACATCTAGCAAGTAAATCTACTACAGGTAGGCGGGTATCCCATGAGGAGTTTGAGATTGTTTATCTAGTTACTCTTTATTTACTTATCTTACTTACGTGTAGGAGGGTTATGGGCGTGGCGTTTATACCGGGGCATTTCTGCCTGTTCAACGGCCTGAGAAGAGAAGCCGAGACGAGATGCGAGACACAGCTTATATATTCGAGTTGGTAGCATATATCCCTACTCTTTAGTATTGTGTTTATTTAATTCTACCTTGAATTTGTATAAATGCCTGTTTATTTATTATCGTGAGAGAGCTGTGATTCTGTGTACCTCCTATTATTGTTAGGCCACGAGTATATGTGTGCATAGGTATATTATGTATATGTAAATGCACAAATTCAACCTTAGTTCAATTGAATTCCCACCGCAACTCTTTCGTAGGTTTCACCATGACGTCGACGATTCAGGTTCGTCACAAGTGTTCAACAATATGCAGGTAACATGCGGCCGTACATTAGAACCCCTGCTTTGCTTGCTTTAGCGCTGTTCCGGCCCGTCATCTATTGAGGAGAACTTTACCTCACTACATTTACAACAGCTTCTTCTAACGTTTACAGTAAATGGTGGGTGTGCTGGTGGTTATCGCGTGAAACATTCTCTACCTTATTTCTCAATAAAATAAGACTATATATATTATACTCATCTACATCTTGATTATTAGACATGGCTCAACAACAAGTTTTGGATCATCCTGGAGATCAGCATGAGATCCCCAACGTTGAGGCCCACGGGTCCTTCGAGTCGCTGAAGGACAGGATCAAGACGCATTACGAGATCGCTTCGGATTACTACTACTCGCTATGGTATTTCTCGTCTCTCATCTCTTCTCTCTTATTTCACAGTTCTGCTAGGTAACGACCGAGCCTGACCAGTTCACAGGGGTCAACATATTCATCATGGCCTCTTCAAGTCCCCTAGTGAGACTAAAGAGCAAGCCCAGGTCAACCTGATTAACTTCCTGTTGGAGATATCTGCTCTACCCGCAGGTACTAAAGTCCTAGATGTCGGGTGCGGCATCGGTGGCACAAGCCGGTTTCTCGCGCGTGAGCACGGCTGTCAAGTCACGGGGATCACGATCAGCGGGCGTCAGGTCGAGATCGCGCGTCAATTGACATCCACTGAGATCGGTGATTCGACCTCTTCTTCACTGGGAGATTTCGCGAAGTATCCCGAGGAGACGGGGAAGACAGGAGGGCAAGTTCGCTTCCTTGAGCTCGATGCCGAGAAGATGTTAAATCACTTCCGACCTGCCACCGGCGAGGCGGAGACGTTTGATTGTGTCTGGATATCGGAGGCCCTCTCGCATCTGCCGAACAAAGAGCTGTTTTTCTCTTCATCATTTGCGCTGGTGAAGAGCGGGGGGCTGCTGGTTATTGCCGATTGGTTCAAGGCGCCGGATCTATCGCCCGAGCAGGAGACTGCTGATATCAAGCCCATCGAGGATGGTATGCTGCTCCCTCGGCTCTACACTGCGGATGAGTATGTCGCGTTGGCGACGCAGGCGGGATTCAAGACCCGTAAGGAGCCCGTTGATATAAGTCAGGATGTGGCCAAGACGTGGTAAGTTGCCTTAAATTGTGTTACTCGGGGATCTCGGGCCTAATATTCGCGCTTAGGGACATATCATGGTCTCTGGTGTCCTCGCCTTCGCTATGGGCTTTTGCCATATCTCAAGGCAGGGATGGCCTTGCCTTCTTACAGGCGTTTAGGGCGATGAGGAGAGGCTACGCAAACGGGACGTTTAGATACGCGGTCATGTGTTTTGAGAAGCCATAAATGTGAATTGTGATGCTATAGGAAGCAAAAAAGCTGGCTACATCAAGTATATTGACTATAGGGTCACCAGGGCGAACATACGTAGGTACCTACCTAAGGTACTATATCCCCTAATTGACATATGATATAAGCTCTGAAAATATACGTAGTATAGCAAAATAATATTACACATACTTACTACTTAGAATACTTGTTTGATCCCATGTCTCATCGAGTGACTGTTATCTATTACGGAACCTTGTTTCATAGGTAGATTGAATCAAGTCGGAGGGTTGAACGAGCAGAGCTGAGGCTTTGTAGTAATGATCTCACGTTAGTTACCTTGGGTTAGGTACGCACAGATATTCTGTTTGACTCATAATAGAGCATAGTGCGGCACTTCGAAATAAATCTTAGAAGCTGAAAAGGCTTTCGGTTGCCATTTTAATCGAGGTAGGCTTATAAATATCCTTGGTGCCAACATTACTTGATTTTATATGAGAGGGACGTCGCTATTGGGAATATCATCAGCCAAAGGAGTTTTACATAGAGCTTCGTGCAGGGTTCATGTCAAAATCCAACACAATGTTGGGCACCAAATGTACTTTCGACAATCAGCCGAATCTCACAAGTTATTATTACTGAGATAGACGTCTATCTAAAATAAGGAACACTATTGAGGAGCAGTTTTTTTTTTTTTTTTTTTTTTTTCTCCTTGCTTCGACCGTGAGTTTCCGATGGCGATCCGTTTTTGCGGGGCGTGAATTTGGCGCTATGTCTGCATAATCGGCAATACCAGTACGACGGGATGATAAATGGTATGATTATATACTCATTTCGTCATGACGATAGTTACACTTCAAGCGAAATTTGCATCTAATTTTTTTAGGCTATCTTAACGTAATACGATGGTACATGAGTGCTTCGAGCTCCGCGAAATATTTAGCCACATCGTGACCATTCTGCCTAACACCGAGACAGTAATAATGGGCAATCAATAGCTGCTGATCTCTGTATTCGGCAGCAATCATAGCGGCATGGCTGATATGATCTCGGCACATCAATGCAACAATTGTGACAATGTGTCTTTGCATCAATAACATGTACCTAGCATGCCTCCTCTAATAAGACTGAAAAGGCTCTGAAACCCCGAGAGACACGCTCCTAGTCGCCTAGGCCACTGGCACGTTCCGAGACCATGAAGTTTGCTCAATCACCTATTAAATAAGGATAATGCATGAGGGTCAGAGTCAAGACAAGCTCAAAAGCCAAGGAAGCAGGGTGCACCCTGAGACAAGCACGCAGCGGTAAACGAGCTGCAGTGCGGTAAGTCCCAGACCGAATATATATTCGAACGACGTTCTAGAAACGGGCCGCGCCGGTCGCGGCCATGGGCAAAGACAGTTTCGTTAGTCACGATATTGAAAAAATGCTCACCGTTGCTAGTAATAGAAGACTGGGCCTCAAGCTTTGCGGGTACCGTGGATTTTTTTCTTTCTCTTCTCATTAGGCTCGAGAGCGGTCATGCGCAATATCGAAATGGGGCTTTTACAACTTGCTGATCATTAGCCCAGATGCCTCCTTGTATATTGCATACGATAGGTATACATTAGGTAGCAGTCATGGCGTATCTCCGAAGTCTGGAGTGATGATCAAGTGGGGACAATGGAGCTGCATGAAAGATGAATAACCGTTAGGGCTCCCGGTGAAAGTGAATCTGTGTTTGAGCTCGGTGGAGTCTCTTCCATGCTTGGCTGGCTAGCAGGCCGAGCACTAATAGGCTGGGCGGTTCATCAGACGAACGGGAAGAAGCGATGGTCGTAAAGTACGACTATTTCCCTATTTTTTCCGATGGATTTCAAATGATGTGGTGAACATACGTGCTACAGATATGTATGCTTCGGCCATCTTGAAATTCTTGTTGAATCTCGCCAGAATTCGGTGAATATATCATAGACTTATAGCACCGGCCCTCTCTGTAGGTGGGTGCAAATTAGCCACGATGCTACGCACCTAGCTGGCAAACCCACGATTACCAAGCCTCGTGGCATTGTTTTTCTTATTCCAGATCGGAAGAATCCGGGTTTCTTGCAAGGGTTACTTACAAAGATTCGTCAGCCCTGTCAGCCCCATCCTTCGGCGCAGTCATGCCTTGCAAATATCATGAACAATTTCGGCCTGGTGCTGGATTGGGCTTCCAGAAGCTAGTTTTAAAAAAATTGAACGGGGGGCCATAGTAAAGTAAAGGAGTTTACTTAAGCCCCCTTACCGCATGATTTGGTTAGTCAAGCACACGACACCTCGAGTCATGGTCTCCATTCGGTAATCTGATATACCCTCTTATCCCCGGGATGGTTCGTCCTAGGACCTCCAACCGTTGACGAATGACAAGCATCTCGTGAAGAGGCGCCCTCGATCTGATCCCCAACTTTTGAGATAGACAAGAAAAAAGGAAAAAAAGAACAGCGGGCGCCATCTAGAAACTAGGACTATTGGAGATAACTAGATTGCATGTACGTTATCGAAATCAAATCAGAAACATTGGACGGTCCCAAGTCGCGAATCCGACTTATGCAGGGACGGGGAGACAGAGTTCAATTGGTTGTATCCTCGGTCCAGTCACAAGAGTCGGCACTGCGGGATCGACGGACATGCAACGTCAAGGATCAGGCAGAATCCGATGCACCCCAAACTTTTTCGGAGTCCGTGTTGTGATATGTCATTAGAGTAATACAATAGAAATTTCGTGAATGTCGTTGTCGCTGTTGCTGACGAGAAAAGACGTTGAGAGTCTGCAGAGTGATCGTATCATGATCAGCCACAGCCCCGTATTGAAGCAATAAGCGTTCTTCATGCTCAATATCAAACAATCGTAATCAATCTCCTCTCGAGTCTTGAGGGTCCAAACAGGGTTCAGTAACTAGCGCTTCACAGACCAACTACTAGGACAATATCCGACGTATCAAAAGGCAGCGTTGGAAAGCTTTCTCCGTTACATAGCTGCATAGTAAATATGCCACTTCCCGAATAGATCTGAGCAAAACTGGCTGGTAGCGAGATTCTGCTCTTATGGTTCAGTTTACTGATCCCTGTTTCGGCCCTCGAGAGATACGTGGCGCTTACCAACATAAGACTATATTAGATCTCTCTCAACGTCGTTACTTGGCGACTTATTGCTAGACATGTGAAGGAAGCTGATGATAACCTTTACACCGTCATCTTAGCTGCCCTAAGTTAGGTACGAATAGGTTCCACTTACACTACGAAGGAGTCAGTTAGTTCGTAAGGCTAGGTAGTCCTAAGGATCGTTCCCCGGGTCCAATGACAAACTTTAAAGCTTTCCCTATTTGGTATATCCTTATTTTCTAGTACGGACGATATGTAGTTATGTGTAGGTAGCTATTTTGAGGATGGAGGTCTCCTCATAACCTTTTGGGATAACCCTACGGGTGTGCAGATTCCTTGCCTGTACTACTCTCCATCTTCTTACACACACCACAACATGGGACGTATGTATAGGACTTATGGGAGGTATATATGTAAAAGCGTGTAATGTGTAATGCCATGTAATATATGTACCAGCGTACATTCGTGCGTGCATTCGTACGGTAATCTCTTGATTTCCCGTTGATCGGGTCCCAACAAAAATTTTCCGTCTATATTTCTTGAGAGAGAGAGAAGAAAAACCGGAAATTTGGTGAGTTTTCCATCTTGACTTAGAAATCCTCTTTTTCTATTTTCTACCATTAGTTCTATTAGGTTGTTTCTGTTGTCTCTGTTGCTCTTTTCGACTCCTACAGACTTCTCTAGAACATTGCCAGTTGCCCTTTTCGGACGTTACTTTAATTGATTTACGCGCATTTTAACGTGCTTCCCACTCAAAATAAAGTATTTTTTCGACCCAATTGCAAAAGAATATCGGCACGCCCGTACTTCGTTGGTTTAGAGTACTCAGTAAGGTACCCTACACTTACCCTTTTTCGCCTTTCCCTCTCTTCTCATTCGTTCCGTATCTTGCCGATCAGCCGCCCCTTTGGCTCCCCTTTGGCTCCCACCCCCTGGGCTTCCTGGGTTCCCTGGGCTAATAACAAAAGGGAAAAATAAGAGAGCACTACGGAATACAGCGATTGAACCTAGCGTTTGATCCCCTATGAAACCCCAACGAAACCCTGGTTCGCCCTTGTCACAGCTTACACGGCTCCGTGTTAGCAGTCGTCTAGCGGCAGCGAATAGAGGATCGAGAACGAAGACATACGGATTTAGAACCCTTGGGATTTCATATGCTCTTCCTAATGCTACAAGAGGTAATACGACTAATACTAGCAGCACTGATGCTTGTGCCGCCTTGCCGTTATTGTTATTAAGAAGCCCGGTCCCGCCTGTGCATGGCCTCATTGCAATTGACGACCTCGTAGTTGGGCGGACTTTGATTAAACATCACGGCAATAGCACAAGAAATTACACGAATACTCTTCGGGACAGTAATCAGCAGACACATCACGTTCACCCACACGTTCACCCACCTGAACCTAGTTCCTTGCATTCCGGACTTTTCTCTTGCATCACTACTGGTAGTGAAATCCGAAAAGGGGAACCATCGTCTTCGCCTGCTGCTCCGTCCTTGTCTTCAGCCAGTTCTAGCTCAGGTAGCGTCAGCTTGATCGGACAGTCCCCTATTAGTCCTGCCCTTCCGTCTCACCCCATCAGCTCAACATCCAACCGTTGTCTTTTAATACTTGCACACCACCCGTCACCGCGACGTCCAATGGCGTTTAGCACTTTCAGCGTCGCCGGTTCAGATATATCAACGCCTCGTTCCTCTTCTCCTTCTTCCTTCTCTATCGCCTCTGCGCGTTCCTCTCATACTTCCGTCTCAAGCAAACGTCTGTCCTTGTCCCTGCAACGGCGGCAGTCTGCGCTGAACCCAATGTCCTCGGTCGACATCGCCGCAATTGAAGAACAGATGAAAATGGCCGCCCTAGACGGTCTTCGAGGTTACGCACAGAACCACTACGGCGAGGTTCAACAATACCGAAGCACAGACTACATCCCGCAGTCCGCCGCTGGCGGCTACCAAGTACTACGGGAACCTCTGTGGAACAAAGGTAATTGATTTTTTCCAACCAGAGCTTTCTCAGCATAACCCCCCCGCCCCTTGCGTTTGCTTTCCTACTAATACCCTATGTTTTCTCAGGACTGTCTTTTACTCCAGATGAGCGTGTCTCTAAGAACCTCACAGGTCTATTACCGCATGCAATGGAGAACGTTGAGACCCAGGTCGCCCGCTGCATGAAGGTGATCAACTCCAGGCAGACCAATGTCGACAAGTACCTGTACCTGTCGCATCTCAAGACTCAAAACTTGGATCTGTTCTACAGGGTGCTTATCGACAATGTTCGGGAGTTAATGCCGTTGGTCTACACCCCTACTATCGGCGATGTGTGCCTGCAGTACTCCACGCTCTACACTCACCCGGAGGCGTTGTACATCTCCATCAAGCAGCGCCGGTCAATCAGGACAATCCTGCGCAACTGGCCTTATCCGGATCCCGAAATCTGCGTGGTAACGGACGGATCCCGCATTTTGGGGTTGGGGGATCTCGGTATGAATGGTGTGGGGATCTCTGTAAGTTAACCGCCATCTCGCCATCTCGGCTTACATTCGTGGCCGTTGAATCATGCGGCTGACTCTCTCCTTTAGATCGGCAAGCTGGCCCTGTATACCGGTGCCGCCGGTATCCACCCCGGAAAGACTCTGCCCATTGTTCTGGACTCCGGTACCAACAATGAGTCCAACCTGAAGGACCCCCTGTATCTGGGTCTCCGGGCTAGACGTCCTTCGCCTGCCGTCGCCCAGGAGTTCATGGATGAGTTTATGGAGGCTGCCGCTGAGGTTTTCCCTAACATGCTTGTCCAGTTCGAAGACTTCGAGACTGAGAAGGCTTTCAACTACTTGGCCCGCTACCGCAACAAGTACAAGTGCTTCAACGATGACATCCAGGGAACTGGTGCCGTCGTGTTGGCTGGGTAAGCAGTCTACACATCACGGTTTTATGCCAATAATTGCTTACATATTATCTAGATACATCGGTGCTGTTAACCTGTCCGGTGTTCCCATTGAGGAGCAGCGTCTAGTGTTTATGGGTGCTGGTTCGGCCGGTGTCGGTGTCGCGAAGCAGTTGGTTGAGTACTATACGCGTCGCGGTCTCTCAGAACAAGCTGCGAAAGAAAAGTTCTGGCTTGTCGACACCAAGGGCTTGGTTACCGTGGACCGAGGCGACAAGCTAGCGGAGCACAAGAAGTACTTCGCCCGCTCCGATAACAACGGCCACCAATTCCGCACCCTCGAGGAAGTCATCGAGTATGTAAGGCCGTCCGCCCTCGTGGGTCTTACTGCGACTTTCGGCGTCTTCACCGAGTCTGTCGTCCGTGCTCTCAAGGCCTCTGTCGACTCTGCCGGCTCCGGAAGGCGACCCATCCTCTTCCCTCTCAGCAACCCTCTCACGAAGGCTGAATGCACATTCGAGCAAGCCGTCCAGTGGACGGACGGTACTGTCATCTTCGCATCCGGTTCTCCGTTTGCGCCGTTCGCCGTAAAGGCCGGTGAGCACGCGGTGACCTACTGGCCGAACCAAGGCAACAACGTCTACGTCTTCCCCGGTCTAGGTCTCGGTGCTATCCTCGCCAAGGCATCCAAGATCACCGACGAGATGGTCTACACCTCGGCCTCCTCGTTGGCCGAGTCTCTAAACGCCGAAGAGGTTCACAAGGGCCTGATTTACCCGAATATCGAGCGCGTCCGGGATGCCAGCGTCATCGTCGCCCGGGAAGTTATGAAGGCCGCCCGCAGGGAAGGCGTCAGCGATCTCCCGGAAGAGCAATGGGTCGAATGGGAAGAATGGGGCGACGTAGCCCTGACGAAGTACATCAAGGAGAGGATATACGACCCTCTCAAGTAAAAAGAAAAAAAAGTTACGCTACTTACATGACGTGATACGTATAACCTACAGTACCTACTTAAAAAATTCATGGTCGGCGTTACTGGCATTCTTTTTCTCCTTTGCCCGGGTCTGGCATAATGATTATTACGCTTTGCTTCTTCCTACCGCAAGCCTTTTTTATTTTTCTTGAAGATATCCTTTGGGTCTCAGCTACTTACTCAGCTACTTACATGTGGGCATCACATCGGAGGATTTCCCAGTCCGTGGATAGAACATGGCACTTTATGTGTGTGGGTGTGAAAAGAAAGGGAACAAATAGGCAAGACCGCGATCTAGACTTATGAATATAAGGATCGGATAGACGGATTATATAGATCAAACAAAATAACACTTTCATTCACATATACATTGTATTGCAATGCCCTTACAGTGCCTCATAGTCGCCTTACCAAGCTAGTTCCTACATGTAGGTATGAAGTCATTTAGCAAGTCCAAGTTAGGTTATGACATAGCAGCGTAGAAGAGATATAATCATCACCATATGAACTTTGGTATATTACTTTATAAATCAGCAGGGCTGAGCGACAGGGTGTCACGAAATGGAGCAAGAGGTAAGGAAATGAGATATACCGCTGAGCCAAAAGTGTATTTCTTAATAGCACAATTGCTATTACAGTCTATCTGACCATGAGTGGTATCACCACTCATAGGAAATAACTTCGTTGTTCCTCGAGAAACTCTAGCATATATACATGTCCTTTGCTCTCTATGTTTCACGCCTAACAACCCCCATATCCCCATAGGCTGTGGCTCTGGTGTCAGCGTCCAGTCTCAGGAGTATCGGGAACATCGGGACCGCCAAAAGTCGTTGCAGATTCCAAAGTCAATCTCCGACGATAGGGGAAGTCTTCTGGAGACACGTTATCCTGGATAACAGAGACATCGTTATCGTTTACGCCAAGTTGAGTAATTGGCGAGCGACTTGAATGCGAACGAATGTCCGTTTCGAGCCTCCGGAGGTTCTTGTTTGGGCTTTGGTAACAGTAACTGGATCTCTGACGACGTAGATTGGGACATTTTCCAGACAGTCTTGCTTTGTGTACTAGGACGAATGAAGCTTGTGCCATGCCTCATTTGGCTTCATTCTGATTTCAAGAAACAACTTCTCAAGGTGAAATTCATTGTCCTGTTAGGCAGGCTAGTAGGACGACCAGACCGAAGATTCTAAGCATGAAATTTTCTGACCGTGCTTGGCCGACACGAAAGAACCTTGGTTTATGTCGTTTGTCGTAATAGAACTTGGCCGTCAAGGCTGCAGACGCGCTGTTCAACCAAAACAATTGTTTGAAGCTCCCTCTTCATCGACAAAGACACAGACCCCGATTGTCGACTCTTCTGTTGATTCCCTTCCCGACATAGGTACCGGTTTTACCTCCTGCGTTGAGAACAATCTGTATGGTTATGCTTAGGTACTGTCGGGTGGTGTCTACTGCCTAAGAAGCTTGCGTCCCTTGAGGTAATTATAGCTACGATTTTTGACAAATAAGGTCGTCAACCATCTGTTATACTTTTTCGGACTAATTGTCATTGATCAAGTACAGGTGTGTGCTATATTCTTTGTTTACTCTTCGTAGAGCCACATGCTTATACAGGAAGGTTTGGTACTCAAAAAGAACTTACCAGTCACTTGCCACTGAAGCAATCTATGACAACTCGATGAGGTCGAGGGAGTAGGGTGATGTAATGAGTTAAATTTATACTTGAACTATTGATACCGAGCTATACCCATAGAGCAAAGGTTGTCATTCACCTCAAGGTCCTTCTGACTATTCTAAATATTAACAGGTAAGATTTCCTATATCAAACCAAAACCTATTCCAGCTACTTGCGGATGACTTGGCACAAATAGACAGGCTATCGTAAAATATACACTGGTGGTAGATGAACTGTCAAGCTCCTGGTCTCATCAAATTTCTCCACCAATCACATCTACATCCTAACGAAGCTTTCCCTCGTGTCTGCGGCTAGGTTGTAGAGGTAGTCCAGACCCCAGATTTTTAATGTCCACTTAATCAACTTCACCCCTTTCTTCCACGCTCAATCTACATTAGCCGAGTTCGCCAATATTCATGTCTACGTCTCCTCGCCTGTATGCCCTGATTTAGGCGCGTTCCTTTTCAGGGCTGCGCGATGCACGTTTTCCCTTAATATAGCATCAAGATAAATATGTAGCTGCTCGTTTGTGTTGCAACAACCTTTCCCCCCTCCCCATTTCACCGCTGGCCAAAACTTGACGGAGATAGCCTGGACTCCGCGGGAGCCAAGACTGTAATATGGATTACTTTGTTCTATGGCTTTGGAAGAACCTGATGCTGAGGGGAACCGTGCATTGAAATACCTCCGCTCCGGCGAGACTTTTGCTGGAATGGGACGCTCCACTCTCCTACGGAAATGCAATCGCTTATATTTCGTTCACCTGCTTTCACGTCTTTCAGAACTCGAATAGCCAAAGTAAGAAAAGAGCAGCGACTGTGCAATTCATTCCTAAGTTCGGGAATGGTAGCTGTCCCGCGACTAAGCTAGAATCCGAAGTTCACATAGTCAAGGAATAAAAGAATAATGATGCTCACATCGCTTATATCTGCTCTGTTGGTACTCGTCAGCGGAGCCTCCGCGGCTCTCAACGTTACAGGTTCGACATGCACGGTAACACCTCTACCGGCCAGTGGCGGTAGGGAACCGGACGACTCGCAGCAGATCCTCGACGCTTTTAAGCAATGCGGGAAGAACGGTAAGGTAATTTTGACGGAGGGGTTATTCCACATCGGCAAAGTGATGGATCTTAAAGATCTAAGCAACGTGGATGTTGAGATTCACGGCACGCTGCGATGGTCCTCGGATATCCAATACTGGCTGCGAAATAGTATTGGTGTCGAATATGCCCAGCGATCCACAGCCTGGCGTATTGGTGGCCAAGATATCAGCATCCGTGGCTTCGGCAAGGCGCTGTTTGACGGCCAGGGTCAGCTCTGGTACGATGAGAACCGCGGCGGAAGTAACCAAGCCGGGCGACCGATCAGTTTCACGCTTTGGCATGCTAAGAACGTCTTCATTGATGGAATCACCTGGAGACAAAGCCAGTTCTGGCGTAAACTTCCCCCCACCGCCCATGATACCCGAGGGATAGATGGCTAACAGGAACATTGAAATCAGATACTTTCGTCGCATATAGCGAGAACATCACTATGACGAATCTGGATATGAACTCGACTAGTAACAGCCAATGGAGCACCGTGAATACTGACGGCACTGATACCTGGAACTCGAAGGATGTCTTCATTAAGAATTGGACTGTGACCTGCGGTGATGTGAGTGCTCTCCCCTTCCCCTATTTCCCCCAATTCCTATCCCTTTCTTTACCTTTCCATACCACCGCCACCTTCGAGATTACCCGCCCGTTTAACTGTCCCCGACAGGACTGCATAGCCATCAAAGGCAACAGCACCAACATCCAAGTCTCTGACGTGCACTGCTACGAGTCCGGGTGCGCGACGATCGGCTCGCTGGGCAACAACCCGGGGAACGCGCCGGACTTCGTGCAGGACGTGACTTTCGACAACATTACGTGCACGCACAGCTCGAACGCGGCCTGGGTCAAGACGTACAGCGGCAACGGGCGCGTGCGCAACGTCACCTTCTCCAACATCCGCGCCGAGAACGTCAACCAGCCCATCTACGTCACCTCCTGCATCTACACCGCCCGCGGCTGCGACCAGAGCCGCCTGCCCATCCAGGACGTCCGCTGGATCAACGTCACGGGCACTAGTCGGTATAACATTGCGGCGGCCATCCACTGCTCCGCGAGCAGCCCCTGCTCGGGATTCAGCTTCGAGAACGTGGATATTCAGCCGCTAGATGGGAGGAGCACGCCTAAGTACTTGTGCAGTAATATCCAGGGCCAGGCTGGCAGCGGCATCCCCTGCACGGGAACGTGCCCTGCCGACTGGCCGCAGCAGTTGAACGGAAACCGTTAGGATGGAAGAACACCTTATATTAAGAGATTGACGGAATTTCCTGTCCGAGTGATGAATGCCATTATGGCAAGCTCGAAGTTAACCTTGTACGTAGCAAATTAGAAGTCGTACCCAACAACCTGCCATAACCATATCTCATTACTCGTTCACTACGAATTCTAATTTCATTCATCTTCGTCACACATTATCAGCGTGGTCTCATACCCTTGCCTTGCCATACCATACCGTACCATACCCTCCTGACATGACATAACCGCAACCGCCCCCCTTTCTATCTATATGACCGCGCCTTATCTACCTACCTAGGTCTAGGTAGGTATCCATTAAAAATGATCTTACTCCCACCTCTGCCACTCTCTCGTTGCCTGCTCGAGCTCGGCGTCAACCCACTCCTTGCCGAAGCGGCGCGGGTCAAGCCCTACTATAGTAGCGTGGTATTCCTGCTCCTTGGTCAACCGCTCCCTGACCTTGGCTTCCAGATACCGCAAGTCGTTATGCCGCACGGCCCACTGGAATATGTTGCGCATGCGGTCGGAATACAGCTGGCAGGCCGCGAGCGGGAGCAGCTGCGGGTTCTTGTGGAAGTTAGCCGCGATGGAGCTGCTGTCGCGCTGGATCATCGGCCACACCACCTCCCCGAAGCACTCCTCGCAGACCGTGAGGTCGGGGATCGACCGCATCGTGTACCACTTGCCGTTCTGGATCGGGGTGCTGCGCGCGCACTCGGGCACGGCCGTCAGGTCGCGCAGCCGGTCGGCCAGCGCCTGGACGTCCGGCGTGCTCTTCGTGATCAGGGCCTTGTCGGCCGCGGCCTCCAGTAGGTCGAAATAGAACAGAAACCTGCGCTCGTTGTCCTGGTGCATCGCGCACACGCCCCGCGTCGCCTCGGCCGGCGAGTCCATGGGCACGAAGAGCCCCGTCAGGTTCGGGAGCAGGACCTCGATCGTCTTGGCGCACGTGAAGCACGCGGTGAAGCTCTCGACGGGGCGGCCCAAGCGCGGGTCCTTGACCGAGTACCATATGCGCGAGACCTCCTTGGCGCCCGCGCAGGGCTGGCTCTTGGCGGTGACGTTGGCGATGTTTCGGAACATGGCTAGGTCCGCCATGCCATATTTCCTGGTCAGGAAGTACGCGATGTGGTAGTATCGCGAGGTGCCGAAGTCGCAGACGATGTGGCGATCTGTCGAGCGGAACGGCACCGGGACAAACTGGTGCGCAAATTCGGTGCGGGAAAACGTGGCTTCGTAGCACGACGGACAGATATCGAAATTGTCGCAGCGGGGAAGTGTTAGCCAATCCATGTGCCCGGCAGTTGGTTGCCTGCGAGGACAGTCGCGCATATCAGGAAGTTCGCCAGCTTGGACTTCGTCCATATATCGTTTATACGGGGGCATAGAGTGTTTTGTGCTGACAATACTTCTCGGCGAACCTGATTCTACCGGGTGGCGAGCGTGTCTCTGAGGACTCGTCGATAATGCCGACGTGGACGAGCGAGGATCTTGCTGGATAGATCCTACTCTAGGTGGTGGGAGTATACCCGACCTACGCGGGTCAGTTGGAGAGCCAGAATATGCAAACGCTGCAGTTGTGGCGGCAGCAGCAGCGGCGGCGGCGGCAGCAGGAATTACGATTGGAGCAGAAGATTTAAGCTCAGATCTTCCCGTAGAAGAGCGAGATAATGAATTCTGAGAACGATGCTCGCTCCGTGAAAATTTAATATCTTTGGGAAATGTAGAGCTACGCGAACTCGATGATGGCGAATCCCTTTCGTAGATCTGAGAAGTTCTCGAAGACGGGTACGGTGAGGTGCCGCGAGGTCTTCGGTCGCTACTGGGTCTGATTTCTGCCGGACTTTGGAGGCAAAATTTGCCATCGCTGGATACGAATGAATCCCGATGACGGCGGGGAAGGGCTCGGTATGATGCGTCTTCATCACTTGAATAGATACGTTCGCCATGAGGTGGGACTTCTGGCCTCTCATCGGAATCAGATGATGCTTGAGATACTGTATCCCGCTCGTATGGCTTACGAACAGAATCGTCAGCTCTTGGCGACCGACGCTCGGTATACGGCGGCGGCTTCCCATAATCTACCTTTGAGGATGATCTCGTGTGGTGGGGGATATCCGCGGTCGAGCGTCGTTTGTGATGAGTAGGACTTATCGACTTTGTGGATTTAATGGGCTTATCTCTATATTTCCTATCGTCCCGAGGAACCTTCTCATACTCGACATGAGGATGAGCTGAGCGATTACGACTTTGAGTATAAGAATCTGAACCCCCTTTATAGTATGCTCGGTCCCTCCCTCTGCTAGCATGTTCTATGACATCCGGGGACAACATACTCCCAGACTGAAGTCGAGAATGATGACGAGGAGAGTAGTAACTCTCATCACCTTTATCAGATCTTGTCGTAGATTTCGGTCTCCTTGTATCGGATCTCCGAGAATCAGGCTCAATGTCCGTAGTTATAGTAGGCAACTGTTCGAGTTTGCTCCGGCGTCGCTCACGTTTTGGTTCAGGGTCCGATTTAGCTTCAGGTGATTCTTCACGGCGCGAACGCGACTCATACTTGCGGCCGGTGTTAGCTTCATAAGAGGTAGGATCGGATTCGGGATCGGGATCGGGCTTAGGATTTATATCCCTTGATTTGGGTCGCCTCGGCAGCTTCTTAACATTTTCGGAGGAATCATCACTAATAGAATCGGATGGTGTGGGAACTAGAACGAAGCGCCTCTCGGGATTGAATTCATGCACGGGAAGGAGGATAGGTTGCTGGTCAATGTCCCCTCGGTGAATCGGCCCCTCACCCGGAACCGGGACCGTAGCTTTATATTCCTTTGCGAGCGATGCCGTCTCATCCTCAACACTCGGAGGTGGGGGATAATCGCGCTGGCGACGGGTGTTATATGGTAATTGACTCGAATCCGTCACATTGACATAAGAGGATTGACTTGATGGCGTATTCGAAGTAGCACTGCGTTACATATGACGTATCAGTAATTCACCCAAGACTGATTTATCAAAGCTTAAAGCTCAAAGCTCATCCCACGAGAATTCGAGCGAACCTTAGGTGTATATGAAGACTTACAATCGTGAATCTGGGCTTTTAGCTCTAGAACTGGGCCAATAGCCTTGTCGTAAGAACGCGTCGATGTCGACATCAACCATATTGGAGATGAGATATTCGACCAGCTTTATTGGAAGATCACTGCAAAAACATGGCAACCGGGAGTGTTGACTAGAGAAGAATGCAGTTGATATGTACCGAAGTTCGAGATCCCTGCTCCTCAGCCTTGATGACCGGCTCCGAATAGATTTCGCCAACTGTAGTTTAGCTTCTTAAGATGTTTGGAACTGCGGAACTGTAGACGGATAAGCGGCAGGGTACGAGAAGTTGTGATTCGCTGGGATCTGGGAATTGAGTAATTCCAAGCGCAAAGGTCCAACAGCAAACCCAAACTCGTCAGTGAGTGGGTTGGCAAGAGAAGAGTTCGGAGACAAGGGTAGGCCTTAGCTCTTCCAAGGCAGGGCTTAGGAAGATTTAAAGACGTCAAATGACAAGCAGCGAGGCAGCGAGGCAGCGAGGCAGTGCGTTTTAAAAGGATGGACCTCAAGAACGCCTCAAAAAATCAGTGGCTTCGGACATTGCCGTCCCCACGTTTGTCACGTTTTTGACTTCGCCAACCGTCTAGGATTCGAGCTACCGTGAGCTGTTGTGAACTGCTGCGAGCTGCTGCAGGCTTACTGTAGTACTTGGTCACTCAGCTACCTTGGCTAATGACGAAAATGATATAAAGGCGTATTTCAAGTGCCGTGGATTTATATTATAGGTAAGGTACCTAGGTATGTAGTAGAGGTGGTGTATTGTTCGCCGCGGTACCTAATGGTTTCAATGGTTTCAATGGTTCTAATGGTTCTAATGGTTCTGCTACTGCAGCTCATATGCAAATGATGGAAATGGAAGCGGGGTGGAAAAAAGCAGGGGTCTTTCTACGGGTTCTTATTCGACCTGCTCGACCTTGCTCGACCTTGTCGTCTCGAGAGTTGCATCCATAAAACATCCGTATCTAGGCTAGTCACGATGAACCGGCAATCCCTTTGCCCCTCACTAATCCTAACCAGGCAACTCGAATTGGTTGAAACTGAACAACAACTTGCTCCGCAGGTTTTATCGAGTTATCGAATTATCGAGTGAGATCTATGACCCATTCTTATGGGCTTTGTGGCCTTGGAGCAACTTCGTTTCCTATGTGTGTGTCGCACTGCATATTCTGCATAACATTGGAATAGATACCTGTACCCTTAATACATAAGACCCTTCTCGCCCGAGTACACGCCGTACGCATATTCGCTGACTATTAGTTCGGGCGTTGAAATATCTATCTAACTGTCTACACAACGAAATTCGTTGAACCAACGGTGAGGCGACTTCACGGAACGCGCTTTTACCCAAGGGAAACTTGTCCGCCTGCCAACGTGTCGCCTCGCCTCACCGACATCTAAACAAGGTGTAGGTTGAGCAGCATTGACAGTTTCAGCCATAATTTGCGCCATCAAATCATCAGGTTATATTGACGTCTTGATCTGCGATGCTGTGCTGCGCGCCTTCGGCAAGGGGGTATCACAACTTTGCTGAGAAGAAGGGTGGTCAGCAAAAGCTGAAGAAATAAAGTGGCTTGCGAGGTTGGATTACAACTTTTTTTTTTATCGAATTCGCAACAACTTACCTACCTCCTCCATACATTAGTTGATAGGTAGAGCGTAGAGGTCGTGCAAGGCAGAAAAAGAAAATTGATAACCTCCATGTTCGTAGTATGACACAATACGCCCCCTTTGTACGTAGGGAGTAAGATTAGCAAGTTAAGAAGTGTTAAAATGAATGGTTCTTATTACTGAGTAAAGCGACTTGCAGCTAGGCTATGCAATCTATTAAGTCAGAATGCATATAGTACGGGATATGAACACGCTTTAGGTAGACAATTATCCCCAACAGTTGTCTCGCATGCTGTAAGTAAAGGGGTTCGTTGGCTTGCAAGTTATCAACGTGTTGGTGACTTCGTCTCAAGCATAGCTCCTAAAAGAAGCTATCTGGTAGCAACATGACCCTGTAAGCTAACATGCAGATCAAAACTCCGACGTCTCACCTGTGCGACCGTTTTTCTTTTTTCTTTTTTTTCTTCTTTTTTTTCCTTGTAGAAGGTTTAAGTAGAATCTTCTTGCTCTGTGCCTCTACCCAAAGTCTCACCGCATTCCTGTGTTCGCAAGTACGTATGAACTATGATGCCTCGGATACAGTTCTCATGATCGTCAAGGTAGCATTAAATTATCACGAAAACACGCTATTCGCCGAGATGCACACCCGATGCCATGCATCTTAATATCGACAATATCGAGATTCCGTTGTGCTGGGACCCCTTAGAGCCACCATAGGGCCACGGCGGCCACAAAATAAAATAGTGGTTCGCGTAATGAAGATCATGGTTGTCACACCTTTTTCTTTTATCTCCCATCTATTATGTATTTCCCCAGCCTTTTGGGGGGGGGGGGGGAACATTGATAAAAAGTCTCGGCGGCGGGCTACGCTACTTCTGCAGAATGGCGCCACCCTCTTAAATCGTACGTGAGGCTGTAGATCTCGTCATACGGTCCCGATTAACTTTAACAACCACATCAACTAGGCCCGTCATAAAAAGGCGACCAATCTCTGACGAACAGCGAAGAGGACTGCTGGACCTTGAAATCGATCTATCATGGTTCCTTTGACCCTTTGGCAATAAATACGAAAATCCGACGGTACAGTTGGTTGAAATAGGCACCATCGCACTTAACCCACGTCTTGTGTTCAGAGAACATCCGATCCAGGGTCGTCTTGTCACCCGAATAAAGGCTTGACTTGAGATGACTCGCACGGATATCATAGGAGAAACCATCGGGCGAGGCTTTGTTTGCTGTTAGTCCCACTCGAGGACGCAGCTCGAACGTATTAACACATAAGGTATATTTTGCCGATACGTGTTGCGTACCTATGGGTAATTCCCAATCAGCGATGCAGAATGATGTGAGGAAGCCTCACTTATCAAAATTAAGACCCTAATTCTTGTTTGAACGGGAAAAAAGAAAAGAAAAAAAAGCACATAACAGTAAAGTTTGTCGAAAAAAAGAAGAGCGTACCTAAGATAATACAAGGAACTGATAGGATATTGCCCAAAAAGCATGGCAGTTACGTAAATATGAAGAAATCAATATCAAAAGGATCGTATAAGAACCGTTACACTCTAACATCGTACTACACTTAGCGAAGTTGTTGATATTGCTAAGAAAAAGACATAATGGATACCTATGCTTAGTACACGAAGTCTCGCAGTAGCAGCAAACACCTTCACACTCGTAGTCAGGCTCGTAGTCGACGTAAGCACAACGGCTGAGAATAGTCCCAACCTGCCAATAATATCGGGAGATATAGCTATTGGATACGGGTATAATTCCGTAGTGCCCCTTGGCACAGCTAGGACAGCTCAGTACCGATACTGTTGTGTTCTCCGCTATGATTACAATACGAAGGAGAGAAAGTTATAGTCTGGATTTGGAAAAAGAACCCGACCGTTACCATAATTACCCCCAGTATAACAAGGTAGTATCAATCCGTAATAAAGATGGAGCATTTAGAGCTTCTAGAACTCTGTAGGGCTAGAGTATACTTCCACGGGGTTGTCAATATAGGAGCAGATTTGGCCCTTGCATCTAGCATCTTCCTACCTAACGTACCGAGCCTAATAAGAGGTTTAAATGCCGCGTAAATTGCCGTTTCCTATAATAGGAACCACGTCACGACAGCTCATAAAATTGTTATCAGGGAGCATCATGATGGTGCCTCCTTATGAGAATAGATAACGTTGCCAGAGGAGGCAAGCTAGCCACTCCTACATATCTACGTGTAGATAGTAGCACGAACATAGTTGATTAATATGAACAAGTAGATATTGTGAGGAATACGACGTCTCCCGTGATCATAATAACGACAAGCTCTTGGTTATCGAAATAATAAACTTCTTCAACAGGTCGTTATGTCTAGACGTATAAACCCCATATCTCACTTCACTTATCCAGCCAAAGACATCGAAATGCGCAAAGCCCGACCCGATAACGGAATCTGCAACCGGCCGCCCCCTGGGTAGGTAGCAACGTCGATCCACACGGGGCAGCCTATCCCCTACGGGCCGAGGCAAGCGAAATCGACGTGGAGGCGAGAGATCGTTATCAAACCCGGAGCTGAACACATACCCAGGTAAGTAGGCAGGTATGAGCGGTAGGCTGTCAAAAGAAAAGAAGAAAAACAAAAACAAAAAAAGCACTTCTCCACACCCCCATCAAGATAAAAATCGTGTCGACCGAAAGCCGAACGCGTGGCAGCTTTCCGTAGGACGACAGAGCCCAGTATCGCCCCCATCCAACACGGGGGGGAAGGTTTAGTTTAGGCTTTGCCGTTTGCCACGGCACGGTCCGCTACAGGACGAGTCTCGATGCACGGCGCATGGGTATGGGGACATGGCATATGCGGAAAAAATATAGCCTACATGTATACTACCGTTTCGCGCGATACAAGATATAGGGCGCTGTTGCACTCGACGTTCGGGATTGTCATACGGAAGCGAACAAGTCGAGCTTGGTCGGGGGAAACAGGGGCGAGATATAGAGAGAGAGGTGCAACTTGGGCACAAGGCAAAAAGTCACCATCACCATCACAACCGCAATCGCATTGCACTAGATTAACGTATGTTGGTTGCCCGATCAAGGGGTTTATACTACCCCAGATAGAAAAAAAAAAAAGAAAAAAAAAAGAAAAAAGTAACCGTCCAAAATCTCGTAGTCATATGGTGTGCCCTTCGCTTTGACAGACTCCCCTATACTAAATCCAAGTACCGTATCTACACGTCCACGTACACCCCTCAGATGTCCAGTAGTAACCGGAGCCCGGACTCCATCATCAAGCTCCACGAGGATTCCCTCACAGCCCCATTCATCCATCTTCCCCGTCCCGGGGGTGGCTCTGCGCCAAAGTCCGAGCCGGTCTAGCCTTCCCCCAACCGTACGGACGCTGCCTACCTTAGGTACCTAAGGTTAGGTACATACCTACATACATACTTCTTGAGAAGGAGAAACGGCCCAGCCAGATCCCCCTCGTGCGAGCGCGACCCGAGAAGCAACATGCAAGTAGCCACGAAAGCCGTAGGGCAGCCGCCGCAACGTGTTACGGGGCGAGTTAACTCGCAAAGTATTTCCTTCAGCTCCCCCCCACATTACCACTTCCCCGGTCCAAAGACAACCGCTGATTTCAGGCTTCGAGATATTTCGACGTGGATGCAGTAGGTTGGGCCTATGTATCTCCGTTTGTCTAAGTTACGTAGAATCAAAATAAGTGAAGAAGCTTGTGCACGTTGAAGTTTAAAGCCTCGCTAGGTCTTCTTGATCAAGGCCTTTTGGCATACCAGCTTATTAGATTCATTGCCTCAAATAGTTCTATAGAAAGTAACATAATGACCATATTCACATAGTTATATATAAAATCACATAGATAACCAAAATGTTTAATATCAATGTAGTTTGTATTTACTTGCGTTTCCGCATTCCAAGTGCTTGTCTGTAAACGGACGAATGTCCTAACACTTTTTGTAAGTGCCAAATGATTGTCAAGAAAATAGGGGGTATTGGGCTCGGTAGCAGTATATGCTTGATGACAAAAAAGAAACTTATGAGGTATGTATGTGTTTGTGTGTGAATGTGCACAGTAGACACTCGAACCGTAGAGCCGCCCGTTTATGATAAAAGAACCGTTGAACACCGGCCTGGAATGCTAACCGAACCGTATCCTCATTCCCGGGTTTATTCTCACGGAATATTCCTCTCCATTGTCCCCTTCCCCAGAGCAATCCCAACTCCCTGTTTACTCCCCTGACGTGACTCCTTTTTTAGTTAAAGTACGTTACGGGTCGTAGAGATATCCCTAGTGCTTCCTGAACAACCGTTTAGTACCGCCGACTCTACCCATCTCGCCAAACTTCGTGTCTACTCGTTGCTCCGGAGGTGGTACCCGATCGTTGCTAGCAATTCGGACCTTCTCCTTCACACTCTCGACCCAAGCCCGGCTTTCATCACTCATGTCTACGCGTCTCCCTTTCGGACCCGCCAGACCTAGGGCGCTATCCTCCCCATCCCAATCCATATGCGACGAGGAGCGTGACCTAGTCGCTATTTCTGGAGGTGATGTCTCCTCCACATCTTCTGGAAGACTAGCAAATGGTATATTTGGAAACTTCACTGGTGCTCCATCGGAACCCACACTCCTTCTAGTCTTGCGAATTGCCAAAGGCGAAACTGGAGAACCATCCATGGCAGAGCTGGGTCGGCTTGTCGGACTTGACCCTGCAGCAGGCGGTGCGGTAGGTACATCTTTGATATCCACCTTTCCTTCACCCCTAGACCGTGAGCCGTGATGTATCGCATATTCTCGAAGATATTCGCCCAAATCAGCCCACCCGCCACCAATTCGTACCATAACTCTCTCGCCATTCTCTCCCACACTACGAATCAATAGTTTGAGAGGAGGCTCGCCGGTGGATCGCGACAAATGGTAAACTCTAATTCCTTGGCTGCTTTTTGACCTGGGCCGAGGCTCTCTCGCTGGGGTTAACATAAACGAAGGAGTTACGCTGCGAGAGAAGGACGGTGTTCCTCCACGCGAGGATAAAGCAGAGTTGCTCCGGCGTGTGCCATTTGAGGATTTAGGCTTAGGTTGCGAGGGGTACTGAAAGTCAGGTGGGTTCAAATTGACGCCAGGGGTCCTCTTAAGACGGATCCTAGCCGGGATAGACTCAAGAAGATTGCTAATCTGTTGTTGAAGATGTTCATCTTCGTTAAGAGAGCTCATACGGCCTGGACTGCCGGACTGGCTATCGTATTCGAAAGAGCCATCACCGTCTATGGTCTCTGGTGACTCGATAGGGCTCTGGGGTGGAGTGCTACTGGCATGTGGCAAGTGCGCAACCTCAGGAACATCCTTAAAAGTAACCGAGGTAGACCGATTCTTGTATCGCATGGGTGGAGAGCTAGGTGGACTCATACCATCACTCGAGAATGGCTCATCGGGGTCCGCTAAACGTGGTAGATCTGGTTCCATAGACCCCTCTCTGAAGGACCCATTATCAGAGTGACCTAGAAAGACTCCACCGTCAAGGGGGTCATGAATGACCGTGGAAGCGACAGATCCCGTGCTGCTCTTTCGTTCTTCGAACCGGGCTGGGGGCAACTCAGGTTCTTCACGTTCCTCATCCACTGCTTCCAGAACCGAAGGTTCCAACAAGTCAATATCATCCTCGAGTAAAGCCGCCCCGCCCCCAACTGCTGTATCGGATTTGTTGGATTCTTGGGAATGGCTGCGGACCATGTTGCGATTAACTTCACCTAGGACTGGACCATTTCGGCTATTTCTATATTTGTCTTGTACCTGACCTCGAGGTTGTTTAACATGGGGAAGACGTGCAGAATTGGGTAGCACGCCCGTCGACTTGGCTGTTGGGATCTTTGCGGGTCTCCCTTCATGAGCACCGTCGTAACTGAAGCTTGCTCCTCTGGCCGTACTTCCTGGGCCCATAGCACGTCGAGACGCTACGTGTCTTGCTGGTTCGAAGGTTTGCGAAGCTGACCTCCGAATGATCTTACTTCGTTCCTCGGTCAAGAGTCTCACCCCGCCCTCCTTCCGGGAAGAAACCGTAGATCTTCTCCGCGACGGCCCGGGGTTGGGTAAGCTTGGCCTTCGTCCTGGTCTAATTGCCGAGGATTGTTCGAATGGCATCGGAGGTGAGGCAAACTGACTAACATCAGGTAGATCTCTAGTTGGGCTTGGACCATGGACCTTTATTTTTGGTCGGGGGGTTTCTGGTCCGGTATGAGACCCGTGCGCGGGATATCCCTTAAATGGAGCAGACCCCTCGTTCTCTCGGACTTTCTGCTCAGCGGTCGTCTCCCACGAAGTATAATCTTTTTCAATCGCCTCCATGCGGTCCAACCACTCATCCGGTAAAGTATCTGTTGATCCCTCTAGAGAGTCAAGCATAGAGTCTAGGACTTGGCCTGGTTTCATTATCTTCTTTTGTATGACGCCCTTTATGATCTCAAATTCATTCCTGGAAAGTCGGCGAGGCTTCTTTTTCATGTTATCGTGTCCGGCCGAGCTTGGAGGGCGTGACTCGGCCGAGTCGATGGCGTTCCAGCCGGAACGCAATGCCATCTTGGCATCTGCCATCATAAAATGTAATGACGGTACTTTTCGCAGGACCACAAAACGCGCGCTCCACATACTCAGCAGTCTGGACAGTCTGGACAGGCAAGGAAGGGCCTGTACGATTATCGCAGTAACGACCGCAGTCAGATCTTCCATCTTCGAGAACATAAGAGTGGACGTAAGCGAGCGGTCACCTTCGAATAGTGGAGTGCCAGGTCGGGAAAGTGGCATAATATGATTGTGTAGAACTTGTTTTTTAATCTCCTCGAGGTCTAGGTCGTCCAACTCTCGTTGTATTTTTTCGACCCGTTTCTCGTATCGATCCACATCGGCGGCAGGAAGACTACCAAGATAACCTCCATCGAAAAGCAGACCAGTTTCCGCCAACTCGTCGTTAGAATCATCTCCTGGTGTCTTCGGGTCGGATGGGCTGCTGCCCTTGTTAGAAGGCATCTTGAACCCGGCGGAAGAGTTGTCCTTGGGCCAAGGCCAGCTGGAGAGCTCATCGAACCACTCATGTATCTTCTGGGAGGCGGTCGCCGTTTTCATCGCAAAGGCCTGCTCGGAGGCCGAGGCTCTGTCCATACATGTTTTTAAGGCTCCCGTAGGGAATCGGAGAGCATCTACTGCCGAAAGAGGTGTAAGCTGAGAAAGCAAGTCGTCGATAGGACGATGGGAATTGTGAGCAGGAGACTGCGACTGAGACTGGGAGCTCGAACGAAAGTGTCGTCGAACAGCGCCCCGTGAGCCGGAAGGCGTGAAAACTCGCTGTTCGGCCATGTCTTCTAATTGCTATAGGTTAGTATCCGGGTTTCTTTGCGCGGTATAGCTTTCCGAACCGGCATTTCCAGCTCGAATATGACTTGTCGACACGGAAAGGTGTAAGTGCGGGAAATTATTAAATTCGATCCTCCATGACGGGAAGCGTTGGTAGTTGAGCTTGTCGTTTGTAAACTTTCATTTCCTTCGCCTCGAACTTTACTACATCCAAGGACCCTGTTCGCCTTTCCGCCTTCCCGTAAATTCCTCTCTTCGTAATACAAAGAAGGGGGGAACAGCTGGGGGGACCGCTCACTGCGATTCCAGAAAGCCGGCGGGTTTTCGAAAAGAGAGGTTTCAAGTCGTCCGGATACCCGCAGATAAATATTCAGTAACCTGGCAACGTAGCTAAGGTGGATTGGTCTCGGATAGACTTAGGTTTAGAGGCTGCTCGTCATTGGCGATATGCGCGACAGGTGGGTATGCGACGTGTTCAAAGGAGCGGCGGGATTACGAAGTGATGCAGTTGATGCAGTAATTGTAATGCGCATTTACTTTAAATAACAAAAAAACAACAAGGAAGTGAAAACACAATAAACCTAATGGATAACTTAGGCGAAAGGGAAAAAAAGCATAAAAGAGAAGAGAGAAGCGAATGAAAGGAACCGGGACTGTATGTAGGGCCAAAAAAGTAGGAGATACAAGAAGCTGGGGAGAGGTTCGAATGCGAAAAAGAACTACGAAGTACCTTAGAGAGAGCTTCGCGCGGAAGCTAGGTAGGTACAAGCCGGGAAGTACAGCGCGTATCCAATTGGACGGGTTTCATGTGAGCTACCAGATCCAGGTACTTCGTGGCTTTCAATACAAATTGTGGAAACGGCGAACCGCCCGGACAACCATTATTAGCTCTAGAGCGCTAAAAGCTCATTAAACTATTATGAAAGTATGCTGGAACCAAGTATGAATAAGTATCACTAGCCTAACCTAACCTTACCTAGCTGGCCCAGGTCCCCTTGTTTTAGGCCCCACCCTTGTCTATTCATTAAAATATCCTACCCGAAAATGAGGTACGCCGAGACATCTACCAGATAATTTCCCATGGAATAAAAGATTATACAGTACTATGTACCTACCTAACCTTCGTATTTTCTGACTTGTGCTGATACCTGATTCTTCTTTTTTCTAGGCCATTACGCTATATTGAGGCCTCTCTCATAGCCTATTAGAAGAGACTTATGATTAATTGCGTACCTTAGGTAACCTTTGTCCAAGTCATAGAAACACGTGTAACTGCCTACTTGGTATGTTAGGTACGTAAAACAGGTAGTGTACACGATGCTATCTTATTCATCTTTTTTAGATACTAGATATCACATTCAGATCTCGTAGCTTTTCGCTGCAGGGAAAAGATGATGTGCAGCAAGCTACCTTGTCCATCTCAAGAACCACAGAGCCACACCGCCAGCCAAACCAATTTATCTATTACACCAGAGCCTCTTTTTAAGCCTCTTTTCAGCCAAGGTACTATTAGGTATAAGCTCTGGTTGCACTACACTGTAGATCATCTATTTATATATATATATATATCTTGTCATTAGGTACTCAGCGCATAGTTATAGATAGGTAAGAAGACGTGTCAATATATTCATTTCAACTACCTGTCATTATACCAAATCCGCCCCAAGTCTATAAAGCACGAGTGAGATCACTCCTTTCCCTCCTTCTCCTTCCCCCTTGTAATTCTATACTCGTCAAGGGTATAGAAAAAAGAATGAATGAAAAAGAAGAAAAAAGAAGAAAAGAAAAGCCCCGCACCGACTATATACAGCCCCCTCTAAAACCAGACAGAACTTTTCGAGAACCCCCTTTCCACGTTAACCTACCCCAACGCCTTTGACCCGTGAAAATAAAAATTACCTATACATGTCCACATCTATATAGCAAAGACGGTATTGTAAGAAAAAAAATGGCCGCAACGCCATTAGTAGTGTCCCCAAATAAGCAAAGTCAAGCCTTGTCTTTTTGCGTCGCCAACAAGTCTCAACACCCCACAATGTTCCAATATAATTAATCAGTCATAGCGTTCATTAGCTGGCGTCCCCCGTCCCCCCCCTTACGAAACGACGCCCCCCTGTCCGGTGCCCTCAAAACCTAAGTTAAAGTTCGCCGAGCCGTCGATATCGCTCATCGTGACCAGGCCCCCCACCCCGGCGCCACCAGTACCACCACCAGTTATTGTTGTCCTTGCGGCAGTGTTCCCCATGCCTTCGTTGGGGAACTGCAGCCACTGGTCGAAGTCGATATTCGTGCCCGTGAGCGCGTTCCAGTCGAACTCGTCGTGGTGGTCTAGGCTGTCGAAGTCCATCTCGATGTCCAGGGGCGCGGCGTGGCCATCCGAGGACCCGCTCGCGCTGGGCGTCAGCACGTCCTTCTCCGTGTGGGGGGGCGAGTGGGCCGCTGTCGCGATCAGATCCGCCGGTGGCACGAACGGCTGAGGCGCAGGTTTCGTGAACAGGCTAGCCTCCTGCGTCGTCGCGTACGGTGCGTTCTCTGGCGGGGGCGTCGTCATGTTTTCGATTACGGACGCAGTGGCAGGCGTCGTAAATTGAGCCAGGGGCTTCTTGACTGTGGTAGTAGTAGCAGTGGTCCCGGTCCCCATCGCGTACGCTTGGTTCTGCGCTACCTGCAAGTCGATAGCCGCCTTTCGCAGCGCCGCGTCCAGGAACGCGACCGCGTAGTCCGCCGCCGAGTAGATGTCGCGCAGCTTCTCCATCACCTTCATGCACTGCTTGAAGCCTCGCATGGCGATATCGCGGGGCTGCGGCAGCGGGTTTTTCATCTCTAACAAGTGGATAATCATAGCAGGGAGGATCACGGTCACACCCGTTGTCGGAAGATATTTCTCCAGCCGCAGGGTATGCAAGTCGGTAACCATGCGCGTAATCTGAGCTGCAGCGTCACGGACCCGCGTCCGTGATATCTCCTGGACTTGAGCTGACGTCTGGGGTGCATGCGTCGGAGACGAGGGAAGGAATTGTGGTCGGTGAAGAGCCGATATTGTCGTGTAATACACCATATGTAACAGATTACGGTGTACGGCGATAGTTGCGCGACCGTTTTTCAGATCCAGGGCTGACAAGGGTCTGTACTGGCAGCAGGGTGGAAGTGATTGTACCCACGCGAGCAGCTCCAAGTCGCATGAGTTAACACTTTCTACGTTGTCGAGCTGTTTGTTAGGGAATAACATCATGGTGCTATTCGTGGTGTTTTCCGCCCTCGACTTATCCCTGATGAGAACAGAGTACTGCGCCTTCAGCATGTGGCTAATGCAAAGACAGAGCTTTGCCTTTGCAACGCACATCAATGCAAGTTCCTGCTGCATCACAACATCGCGCACTAACGTGCACTCGGGGCCGATGATCTGAACTTCGTCTGCCAGCGGCTCAATCTCGAAATCCTGCTCGTCCAACATCGGAACATCGAAGTCTTCATCCTTTATCCGTGTCGGTCGTCGCATACCCAATGCGATCAGCCTATCCCGCATGAAGCACGACCACCAGATTCTTTTCCACAGCTTCTGTTTCCTCGGCGTCATGTTGGTATTGGCCGGATTTCGGTGCAGACCGATGGTGTGTGCTAACGAGATCGCGACTCCCATCCAATGCCATGTGTCCTTTTGGTCGTCCGGCGTCTCGTACCAATATGTCATCAACAAAAGTCCTTGTACGAGAATGAGGCGGTCGCTCTCGTAATCGAAGTCGTATAAAAGCTAAATACCTAGGTTAACAACTGCGCAAGGGGGTCTTGAATGGTACCTGTCTTACCCTAGCCTTGTAGAAGAACTCCCTCCGGGCAGCTTTCCTGCTAGCATAGCCCGCATCTTTCAGGTACTTCGCATCAACGAAAGCGGTTGCTGCGAACATAACAGAGTGGTATAGGAACAAGCTAGTTTGACCGTACAAGCCATCTCGGGCATTGACCATACTTAGGAAATCATGCAGCTCAATGAGAGGCATGTAAGGATGGACATACTCGACGTAAGCGGTAAGCAGAGCATTCTGAAGGCTAAGGCTTGGGAGCGTGAGGGCTCCCTTGGTGTGGAGATAGGACACATCTTCAGGAGCGATCTTTGCCGGTAGAGGCCGGATGAAGGCAGGCAATTGCGATGAAGCATCGGGCTCCTCAAGAGAACTGAGGAATTGCGCGGTCCTCAAGGCCCCCGTACCGGCAGCCGAGCTTGAATTCTGACACGTGTTTGGATTCGGCCAGATGCTGGGGTATCTCGATCCATTATTGCTAGCCTGGAGGGTAGACAATAATACGAGGTCAGGTCGTAGTCCTGATCGTTGGTCTGAAGCACATGTCAGTCCTCGTAATCAACAAGGTAATGCTTACGGGTGTTGCACGGGGCTTGACGCCTTGCTGATAGGTTGGTGCATATTTGCATGTGAAAGTCTGGAGGTCCACAGTCTCGACTTACATAGCAAATGAGGAACGTGACTCTCCAAGCCGCTATCCAAAACTCCCCCTGAAGAAGTTACATCATTACCAGACGCGGGAGATTGAGTTGCATCCTTAGAGTGATGCAACGGAGCGGCAGCCGAAGCGATAGCGACTGGGTTTGCGGGCTTCGCTCTTAGCTGGGCCTCGGCAGCCTGCGGGGCATTGCTGCTATGAGAGGCGGTTGATGAAGTCGAATGAAAAAGATTCTTTCTGTAGTACGCAAAAACGACAGGGATTGTAAGCTTCGCCGCACCAAAAAGTAGAAACGTGGTTTTGGAGTTAAGTATTTTTTTTTTTTTTTGGAGCTGAAAAAATGAGACAGAATTTGGAGAATGACGCAACTTAGGCCGAATAATGAGAGAGTAATAATAACAAGAAAATTCAAGAGCATTAGGACGAGAGAATAGGGGAAAGATGATAACTCACCTCCTACGACGACTCTCCTGTACGATGCATTCGACGTTGTCCCATCTGCAATTACCGCATGGAGCACCTTCAACCACATCACACCTAACTTTTCGGCTTCTGCAACTAATACAGGCCCTCGCCGCTCTCCGCTTGGTAATCTTTGCCGAGCCATTGGGTTCTGAAGTTGACGCTGATCGCTTCTTTGACTGAGCATTCGAATCTGGTGAAGTTTCTTTGTCCTCCGGTACTGGTGATGGGCGGTCGGCCATGGTGATGTTTGCCGATTCGTCGGTTTGTTGTTCGGGTGAACGGACCGGGACTGTGTCTCCTATTGCCATCTTGTAGACCTTCTCCCCAACGAGACGAGAACTTGCAGTTGCTACTGGTAGCTTAAATTTGTAAGAAAAACTGCACTCTAAAAGGCCCGAGCTATCCTATATGTCTTAGACAGATTCCGGTGTAAAGTAAAAGTTATGAAGACGTATTGGAATGTAATAATGTAAGGTCACGAGGTGGACGATTGCTTTGTAAGTGTAAGCTGTATCAGATAGTTGATATTTGCGACGACGAAACTATGGAGGAGAGACTCTCTCTCCCGCCTCAGACTTCCACACCGAACGACAACTAGTAAACGGGACCCCAGGATTCTCGACAGCATGAGAAGGTTTAGGAATTAAGAATTTTAGAATTACAAGAAGAAAGGACGGGTGGATAGGACGGGATTGTGTGGAGGTGGATATTTGGTGGTGGGGGGGATTCATGGTATTATGTATGTATATTCCATTGTTACAATAACACTAATATCAGAGATACCAGAGTACTAAAGGTTACTACCACAATACCACCGTCCATAAATGAATGCCTCTCTGGGAAAAGTCGCCGCTCCACCAGATTCCCGATGGGGGCTCACAATGGGTCTAATATCCTGCATGCAATCCTAGTTGAAAAACCTAGCTTTTGCTGTCCCCATAATAAGTGTTCGCGTGCGTCTCCTATCATTGGCTTCGGCAAGGAACGCTTTCGTGAGACTAACGTTAGAACGATAAAACGGGCTTCTCACATGCCCAACTTTGAAGCAACTGGTAAGGCGTAGCCTCGCCATCCTTGTGACCTCGACAGATCCTCTAAACAGCAATAGCCTGGCTTGACAGGAGAGATATGATTTGTCGACTCCAGTACCAAACCAAGCAATATCTACATCATACGCAGCACATTGCAGTTACGGTACCTAACGACCAGCCAGCTGGCTATGGCAATCTTACCGTATGGAGTCCAGGGAGTTGGGTGTTATTCCGATTCCTATTCCGATTCTTTTCCGTATAACCCCAGCCTTGGCCTTCAGGATCACGATCGTGAAAAAGAGCTCGACGCCCAGGTCTGATTGGTCCGTGAAGCTACTCAGCTCTTGGGACCTGCGGAGCGTCCAATCATCAATACCTATACACTCACTACATTAATACCAAGTCGCTGGTTCTCTGCATATTTATTGATTGCATCACGTTGCTTAGTGTCCTAGTCTCGAGGAGGCTTAGTTGGCCACGACCTTGAGTCAGCTTAGCGGGGAAGAGAGGAATGCAATTCTATGGAATTGATGTCCATCAAGGTTAGAAGGAACTGGTAGGTAACCTAGCTTCTTGCCTCTTGGGTAACAACTAACACGACAAGCAGGGCCCGTCTATGCAAACGACTTAATAACAAAGTCTCAATCTCAATATGTTGCCAGAAAGACTGCCCGAACGTCGGTGAGGGTGTATGAGAGCCGGATCCATAACAACAACGGGTATCATAATCTCAGTCGAATTCGATGGGAAGGGATAATTTGATCCCAATTGGCATCTAGACTCCGGACCCCTGTCACCATTGAAGACCTTGACATGTACGACATCAAAGACAAACAACGATAGAGGGCCGTTCGCCCGACCTACAAAAGATCCGTGTGGTTCAAGGGTTGTCCGATATAAAACCGGCTGTACATAAAAGACGGTTGCACACAAGCATTCCGTACCTAAGTTTGGGAGTATGAGATATGCAAAATACAAGCTGCAAGCGCAATGGAAATAAATGCCATTCAAATTGTAACGATAGTTACGCAGAAACTTGGGCGGTAAATATCGGGATGGGTAGAAGAAAGACATTAAAGAGGTAACAGGTAATTAACAATTGAAAGGTACCTAAACTTAGGAATTTTCAGGGGTATCGGTGTCAAACCTGTCACCGTCATCGCGGTGTATTGTACAATACAATACATTAGGTTAGTTAGGTTAGGTACTTGCTCTATACCTTCAATACGTTAGACCTTAGCGTAGCGTATTAGTACTAAACTCTTTTATTCTGTCATCATCAACGCCGCATGCGGCCAACCCTAAACCAAGTGGGCCTCGTGTCCTATGAGATTGTCTTCATTAGAAAAAGGTTTTAGCATCATAATCATTTGCCATAGGTTAGGTACGTATTGGTGTATTGACGGGTTGGCGTGTTGGGAGTTGTCATTGACAACTAGTTTCGGCTTCAGCTTAACTAGCGGAAGAAATCGGTCGAAGTTCTAGAATTTAAAATACGAATCATTAACTTGATAGTTTTTCTGTTATGATAATTATGCAAATCCCCCCTTTTTTTACTATGCTGCTATGTATTTGATTGACATAACGTATCACAAATCATGAGCTTGTCTGGCTTATCTGGCTTGTACATATATGGGTAGGAACGTGACGTATCAACGATGAAATTTCTTTAGGGTCACGATCTGTCTTTGGATTCGTTATGACAGGGTGACACAACCCAAAAAAAGACAAACTTTGAACCTAAAAAATGCAACTTTGAAGACGTAAAAGTCGGCGTAAAATGTAACTGCGAAAGCGGGTCAAATATCTCCCCCAATGAATTTAGCACCTGCAGCTTAGAAAAAGGCGGGCTTAAGGACCACATGCAATGTGACGATACATTGATTAGATAGGTACCTAAGTACCTTTGTACTCCCTCAGTCTTATGTATCTAGGTACCTAACGTACCTCCGATCATTTACTCACTATTAGCCTCACATTACGTAACCCTGTAGAAGTCTCCACTTGGGTACGTGCTATTATCAGGACTGGACTAGGTCAGGACTAGGTCTTCCGGAAGGACTTCCATCACTTCTTACTCAGCCCCAACGCCGTTCCGCTTCACCAGTCGGACTAATGGCGCCTTTTCTCTAACAATCCAACTGCTACAGAGTATAACATTGACGGTATAATCTCCTTTTATTTGAAGGAGACACTAACAAGTCTTCATTATATTATTAGATATACACTCACTTGCTCCAACAAAGAATATCAGTTATCTATATAGATAAAACCTGAGTGACAGATCGAGATCTTGTCTTTCTTCCAGCCATCCGATGCCAAGCTTAAGGCCTCCGGGTCTGGATTGTGGACGTGAGTAATGTGACTTGGCCACTACGTTGACACGCCGATAGACCGGACGGTATCCGACAAGGCCATGTGTATAGTGATCCGGGCAATAGTAACCTAGCCCCTTCTCGTGACTAGTTATTACGGCTCCAGAGTATTTTTCAAGTTTCAACAAATAGTACACGTAGTCTTGTTCACTAGCAGCTTTGGAATCCCTGCTTTCAGGTGTCTTATTCAACAATACTAACGACATGATTTTCAAATGCGGAGAAAAGGCCGTGGGTCGCGGGCCGTAAGCGATAGGAGCATTTCCAACTTCATGTGATATGTGGCCGGAAGAGGTTGAGTTAGGTAGGATTTTGTTGCTCCTAAGTTAGCATTCATATCGCATCGTAACTATCATGTTTTCACCTCTATACCTACCTGGTGCTCTCATAATGATCTCCCCCACGCGGATAAAATATAATTGGAAGAACCATGGATCAGAGCAAATTGCCATTCTCTCTTTCAAAAATATCAAAATCATGGGGTGATCTACAGTAGCCGCCTAAGGTTAGATTACTCCGCATCGCATAGCGATGGGGTTTGAAGCTAATCCCAAGAACGCTCTAGTCGAGCTCACGTCTTTCATTTGCCAACTCCAAGGGTCCAGGATCGTTGGCTTGGATTTCTGGGGCCCCGCAAGATTCATGTGAAAAGGCTACCCTCTCGCCCGATCCAAGAACCAAGTTACGTAGGGCCAAGTGCATTTCGCGAGAGAGTAATCCGTACACACCTACCTTAGGTAGGTAGGTAGGAGGTAGGTATGTATGTGTTGCCGCTCATCCAAGGAATTGGTAGATTGTTATGCCTGCAATTGAACAACTCCTCCTTCCTAGTATTATCATAGTCAAAACGGATGCCTTAAACCGGCATCCCGCATAGAATCCTTCTTAATTCGATGCAAACAACATGGGGAATCACGCCACCTCCTGTTGGATTGCAATTAGCCCCCGGAGCATCTAGACCAGGAAAACTTTTCTCTGCTGTCTCAGATGCAGCTCATCTTTCGCTGTGTCCTATCGAATCTGCATTGTTCACTTAGTTACTACTAGTCGCTGACGTCAATTACTCAAATGAATGTAAATCTGAGATTGTAATTGATAAGTGTTAGAATATGGGCACTGCCATGGTTAGAACCGCAGTTAGACACTTTGACATGTCAAAAATAGGCTTCTTGTAATTGGTCTTCGAACCGATATGCCGTCACCACAAAAGGCAAAAGTCTGGGGGAGCACAAGTTGTCATTTTTGTATTATATTACCTTAGGTAGGTATAATTCTTTAAAAAACGAAAAGAGATCATCAAGGCGACGGTGGGGTGAGTTATAGCGGGGTCATTACAAGGCCCATAGACATGGCATATAAGTAGACTTAAGTAGACTTCATACCACTACTGCTGAAAAGACTTGATGTTCTCAACAACTACCGCTTGTGCAATGCCAATGACTTACGGTAGATAAGGCATATAAACAACGAAAAGGCTCTCATCAGACTCCGCTACTGCCCGACGGGGCTCCGCCGGCGTTGTTGTCTGCGGGTCCTCGCAGGCCGAGACTCGGCGTCTCGCGGAAAAGCGGAATACCGAGCCAATGCCGGGGGTGTGGGCTGCAGATCTTGTAGACGGGAATAAGCAGGGAGGTAGTTTAATGACTCAGGCCCCTTTAGCTTCAATTTGATCTTTCGTCCGGCCATGCATCATTTTAAGCCGAGAAAAAAAAGAAAAGGGGGGGGATAGATGCGGCAGTTCGAGATGCCGGAATCGTCGGAGCTCAGTCATCGCCGTTCCATCACATCGTCAGGATCGATGTCGCTTGTGCGAACCATATACATAGAGGAGACCTTTTTTGCGATCACGAATAGAACTGGGCACGCATGGGATAGGGAGTAACGATGACTTCAGACGCGCCGATATTGGACTTGGGCCTCCTGCGGAAACGGTCCAGATGCTCCTGAGAACCCCTTGGAACATACAATTATGGGGCAACATCCACTCACCCTTTGCACCAGGGTGGCATACTGGAAAGAAAGGGGCGGAAAGTTGTCGTTGCTGCGTGAGTTAAGGGGAAGGTGTCTGAGTTGTTGCCTCCCCCTAGAAGCTTGAAGTTGTAATAGTTTTTTTGTCTGGGGCTCACTTTTTTGCAGATTCTTATCTGTGCATAGGTGGGTACAGCATTGGAGCCTACATAGTCTTGATGTCAATTTTACTTGAGGCTTTTTTTTTCTTTGCACAAAGCTGTGGATGGATAAAGAGCTTCACGATACGTTCCGTTATTATTATTTTTTGCGGTGGATTATCGTGGTTATATGACATACAGTATCGTGTAATCCCGGCACTCTACAAAGTGCTACCGTAGTAGTCCGCTTGGATAAACATCATGTATATTTATGTGCGGATTGCTGATAGTCCGACCTGTTCCCGCTTTACCCCTTATAATACTGGTACCATTAAATCGCTTAATCGCCATAGTGCGTATTATTATTTCGCCGCCCATATAGTACAGACACCACGACATGATCTTAGCCGAGGCAAGCACGTCAATAAACCTTCAGTTCATTGCCGAATTCGTTTCTGGTTTTGTACCAGCAGTAGGTGTAACGGACGAGGAACATCAAGTTCTTTGAGCAAACCCTCCAGGGGTATTCGCTCATTCTTGGTCTTCCTCCTTGCGTATTTCCTTCCACTCTTCCTCCGTAACATGTAACCATTGGGAAATTACAGTAGTAAAAACCCAGACTTCGCCAGAGATGAGCAACTTGACTATGTCAAGCTGGAGAATATTAAGAACACCACGCCATGTCAGGCCTCCTAGGAAGCCTCGAACATACATATCTTCATAGGGGAGGCCACTCCTGCGTGCAAGCGCCCGTGCTACCATCGGGAATGCATGAGAATCAATGGGTAGGAAAAGGATGTTTGTAACAAAGTTGGCTAGTATGTCTGCTGCGAATGAGCAAGGCAGATTGGTAAGTGGGTTGACGATATAACAAGGTGCTTCTTTGGGTTGTTGACGAGAGTCCCCTGGAACACTTGGTCGCAGCTCAGCTGACCAAACACCAGTAGGTGGTTCCGTAGATTCACTTGTATCCACGTCAAAGCTAATAAGTGTAGGATTGACCATCTCAGAGTCCTCGTCGTCCGTCCCATAGTCTTCTCCGCCTCGGCTCGAAAACGTGCTCTGTCTTCTGATCGAGCCAACTGGAACTGCTTCACTATTGGATTGGACATCTAGAACTAACGAAGTTGCAACATCGACTTCCGGATTCTGATGTCTGATATCTCTATCAGCTGCTCCTAGAGTTGGCGATTCCGGGACAGCTGGTCTGTGAGTTGTGCTAATGGACCCCGAAATTCGACTGTTGGTCGGGAAATTTAGAAGAGGCCGCGGCAGATGCTTTCGTATAGAGATCCTCATTGCAGCGCACGTTGACTGCCATATGAACCCACAAACATAAAATGCCGCGTAAGGTGCTAATCCGATAATCAATTGACCGGTCCAACTGGAGATGGTCGAGATACTGATTGATTTGATTGGAGGTGGCGCAACGAATGGAGATGAACTGGAGAAAGGTATAAAGAACTTTGGGCCTGGAAGCAGTTGAGACGCGGGTACCAAATCTAAACGCTGCATTGTCAGAAATAGGTGTAAATGAAATCGAATGTATTCGATGGCGGCATGGAACCTAGAAATTCATCAGCTTTGATTGTAGATATACAAACTAGGATGTTAGACTTACCAAGGATTTTTTCCTCTGCTTGTAAATATCCTCATGTACCTAGAGGTCAACCGCAATGCGTGCATGACTAGGTGGCACGGATAGCCCGCAGAGCATAATTGTAAGACGGAATGATTTCTACGCTCCGCCTGTATCATGCGAAAGAATGAGACATCTGCGTGCCTTTTGTATACCTATTAGAAGTTGGTAAGCCTAGAGTGAACTCGTATTACAATGAAGATTAACTACCATGGAGGTAGTTACCTAGGTTAGGTTGGTAGTAGGTAGCTATTATAGATCTTACCAGAATGCGTCGTCGGATATTGAGAACACCCCAGGTACATATAATACCGAGAGTAGATCCCGCTTGATACAAAGTCTTTCCCGTATCGCTTTCATACTCATGGTACTGCCTCGTTATTTCCTGTTCGGCTAGACTGATACCACCATTCTCAGGTTCGGCGACACCAATTACTAGCATCACCTCATTATGGGCACGGATAATGTCCTTGATGATCCTCTTTGTTCGAGGGTTCACAATACGCCCTGTTGAGTCGTACTGCTTTTCAGGCTCATGAGGGTCTGCCTCTCCTTCCCCCGGGACGACATCATCGTATGGCGATCTACCCTATTTATTTATAAGCTTCTCATTACGAGGTTATAAAAGTACTAAATCTGTATACATACTAGAGCTAGGGAAGTTAAGGGTTCAAGTCGCCCCATTATAGAATTAAGTTTTTTCAGTTCATAGAGATTTTTATTTATTCCAGATGAACCTATGATTCAGCAGGTATGATTATTTCTCAAAGGCCGAGAAAACCTTGAACGACATGAGACTGGTACATATTGATGAAGTTGTAGAAGGCGAAGATGGATGGGGATGAGATTTGGGAACACCAAAGCATTGGCCACCCACCACCCATTTTTGGGGGGTCGTACCTTGTATCTACGGGTACATAGGTACCTAAGGTATTGTACCTAAGTACACAGCTACTGCTAGGTACAGAGCTAACAGGGATTACTTGCAGCAAGAAATTCTTATCGATATCCGTCGCCGTCATAAAAATTTCCAAAACATCCCACCAGCAAAGAGAGAAAGAGAGAGAGAGCAGGTTCTTGCAACTTACTTATATCTTTGCGCAGTTTCGAAATGGCGAATAAAGCCCCGTTTAAGACAACTTTCGAAGCCACCGAAGTAATTCGTCCCATTTTTACAGGTGGCGCTGTCGCATTGGAGAATGGCGCACGAATTCTCGCGACGACTCTTGGTGAGGATGCGATCTTGACCGACATAAAAACAGGGAAACACATCACGACAGTGGAAGGAGTTAGTGCTTTGCAACCTATTCAAATAATATTATTAAGGTATTTCTTACTGACTTTCGTTATATAGGATGGGGAATCAATATCTACACTAACTTGTAAGTTCGATATCCGAATAACTTGCCAAAATCAAACGCGCCGTGGCTCATTAGAAGACAGTAACTCCTTCGGGATCCCACCTCATTATATGTTCTCGCTCGTTATCTATGCGGATATATGCCCTTAAGGCTTCCACCGATTCGATAGAACCTCAATTGGTACGAACAGTGAAACCTCACACGACTCCCGTCGTTGTGCTCGCCGTCGATAAAACTAGCACCCTCTTAGCGACTGGAGGAACCGATGGTTCGATCAAAGTTTGGGATATAAATGGCGGTTATGTTACACATACTTTTCGAGGACCGAGTGTGCTTGTGTCTGCTTTACACTTTTTCGAACTCGCCGCGGGTTCGACAAGCGCTGTAGAAAACGACTCGAAGGACAAGGGTAAAAGAAGAAAATCAAAGGGCGCAATTGAAGACGATCGAAATGACGCGAGCTCCACGGCAAAATTCCGGCTTGCCTCGGGAAGCCAAGATGGAAAAGTCCGTATATGGGACTTACACAAGAGGAGCGTCGTTGCAAACCTCGACTCGCACGTTTCAGATGTTCAAGGCCTGGACTACTCTCCCTCACAAAATGTGCTGGTAACTGCTGGCAGGGACAAAACGGTCAGATGGTGGGATGCAAAGTCTTGGAAGATACGGAAGGTTGTTCCGTGCTTTGAGCTTGTCGAGGCAGCTGGTTTTATTGGGGATGGCCAACTCACCTATACTGCCGGATCGAACGGGTGCTTACGGTTCTGGGATACAGAAACTGGACGGGAACTCACAAAAGAGCAAGCGCCCAAGTCTGAGGTTGAAGCTTTTGTAGGAGCTATCTACAGGCCAGAATTCCCATTCGTGATCTGTGTTCAAGTCGACCACACGCTTTCTCTATTTGACGTTCCTTCCGATGTCCACAAGCAATCCCAGCTACCGCCTCCTGAACCGTTCCGACGAATTTCGGGTACCCACGACGATATCATAGATTTACGATATCTACTTCCAGACCATTCTGCAATGGCTTTAGCGACGAACTCCGAAGACATCCGAATAGTGTCCGTAACTGAGCCAAAGTCCGGGACGAAAGCTATAGTATCTTCCGAGTATTTTGGACAAGATATTGCCCTCCTCAAGGGTCATGAAGACATCATAATATCACTCGATGTTGACTGGTCTGGACACTGGGTCGCTACGGGCGCTAAAGATAACACTGCGAAGTTGTGGCGAGTAGACCCGGCTAATAATTCTTACATTTGCTGGGCAACGTTTCCGGGACATGCCGAATCTGTCGGAGCTGTGGCATTGCCTCGAAGTCGACCAGTGGAAGGTTCAAAGGCATTTGCTGACCCACTAGGCCATCCACCTTCATTCTTAATTACAGGGTCGTCAGACCAGACTATAAAACGATGGGAGGTCCCTAAAGAGCCCCAGCACGGTGCAAAGACGTCTATCAGGGCTGCTTATACCCGGAAAGCTCACGACAAGGACATCAATGCTATCGATATTAATCACGCATCGCGCTTATTTGCCTCGGCTTCCCAGGATAAAACAGTGAAAATATGGTCGGTAGAAGAGGGAGAAGTGCAGGGTATTCTCCGAGGTCACCGGCGAGGTGTTTGGTCAGTCAGCTTCGCCCCGCCTAGCACACCCGTGCTTCAGGGCGAGCAAGGGTCAGTTGCTGGGAAGGGTGTTATACTTACTGGAAGTGGCGACAAGACACTCAAGCTCTGGAATCTTACGGATTATACATGCTTGAGGACATTCGAGGGCCATTCGGATACGGTCCTCAAGGTAGTATGGCTTAATATCCCGCCAAACGAAGAGCGTGGTAAAAAGCCTATACTATGCGCTAGCGCTGGAGGAGATGGTCTAGTGAAAGTATGGGACGTCAATAACGGCGAGAACGAATGCACATTGGATAACCATGAGGACCGAGTCTGGGCACTTGCGGTACATCCCGAGACCAATATGATCGTATCTGGTAGCGGCGACTCAACCGTCACATTCTGGAAGGATACTTCGAGCGAAACGCAGATTGCTTCTAACGAGGCAGCACTAAAACGTATTGAGCAGGAACAGGAGCTTGAAAATTACGAATACGTGGGAGCCTATCGGGAAGCCATAACAATGGCGCTTCAGCTGAACCATCCTCGCAAGCTTCAGAGTCTCTTCGAACGGGTAGTCCATTCGAAGACAGCAGACCCGGAAAGCCTTTCCGGCTTAAAGGCGGTTGACGAGGTATTAGCGTCCCTTTCGGACGATCAATTATTCTTGCTTCTCCTGAGGCTGAGGGACTGGAATACCAACGCCCGGACTGCACCTATGGCTCAGCGCATCCTCTGGGCTCTCGTAAAGAGTTACCCAGCATCACGTTTCTCTAATCTATCTGTTAAGGGAGCCCAAGGCCAGAAGAGTGTAAAGGAGGTCTTAAACGCGCTTAAGGTCTATACTGAACGGCACTATAAGCGCATGGAAGAGCTCGTCGAGGAGAGCTATCTGGTGGAATATACCCTGCAGGAAATGGATAGTCTCGCGCCCAGTTTAAGTAGCATGAAGTTGGTGGAGAATGGTGATATGGATGTGGTGATGGCATCTTAATTATATATAGCTTAGGTACCTACCTAGTTGTTTGAATATATTGTACCCGGTTGGCATTTCAAAAGTTACCTAACTTAGAGTCTATTCTTAGGGAGTTCACAATTTCAATTGACAACGAATTTTGACTTTAATATCTGGCAATATTAGCTTAACAGGTCGCTAAGCACGCGACAGGAAGATCGATTCCCGGCTTCACCAAAATAATCTTGCAAGTTTCGTAACATATACGACGTAGCCTTATTATACCAGACACACAAGGAGATTTACTTCAGATGGATTTTATTTTCGGCGTGACCACTCGCTAAAGTTATATGGGGTTTTAACTGATTTAACTCGAGGCTACGACAAGTTTTTATTTTTTATTAGTTAATTTATTTATCTTTCCGCTTAACTTTCTGCGCCGTCATCTTATCATCCCATTTCTCCCAGCCAGCCTGGCATAGATCTTCCTCTACGACAAGGTCCCTCACGCGAAAGAACTTGGCTATAGGAGTGTCCAACGCCCACGCTAACCAGCCCGACCGCCGTACGATGGTCGTGATGATAAACCAACCCACAGCGCTCACCACTCCGGCGGCCGCGCCCACGAACACTTGTTTCTCGGTGTGGTAGTTCAGATATACCCTGCTCCACGCGACCGCAGCGGCCATGCCTAACCCCAGCGCGCTCCACGCGGTCCGCTCGAGCAAGCTCATGGGCGTGTGGTTGCGCTTCCGGACCCTCGGGCTCGGGGGCTGGTGTCTGAGGAGCAGGAACAGGGCTATCGAGACGGCGAAGTAGGCGACGAACTGGGCGTGGCTGCTGGGCATGCCGTAGCCCTTGCCGTTCATGCGGCGCGGGCGCTCCTCCTTGATCAGCCGCTTGAGCGCGAAGTTGAGGGCCTCGCAGGCCAGCTGCCCGGCGAACAGGAGCGCGATCTCGATCTCGCGCGTCGACCAGATCAGCGTCGCGTACACGACGCAGAGCCCCTGCGGGATCAGGGCCAGCCACGCGCACAGGTACGATATGGGGTCGGACGGGTCCTGTCAGGTTAAAAGGAAGGAGGAGGTGGACTGGTAAGCTTGGGAATAATTGGGTGTCGTGTAGATGGATGGATAGGTCGGGACTGGACTCACATAGTGGACGTGGGTGAGCGACAGAGATGCCAAGGGTACCGGATCGTCAGACATGCCGGAAAGGAAAGAAAAGAAAGAGGAGACCGTATGGTACGAGGCGGCTGCAGGTGGTGGCGAAATGGGCGGAGGATCAAAGGACTGAGGCGATTGTTCGGGAGTCCTTAGCAAATCATCACTCTCGTCGGCGCAAACAGGATTGAGAATGAGTGTGTATAAAATATTGGAATGGGGATAGCTTTGTATCTAATTTAGGTACCTGTAGATAGTGCAAGTAACTCATGTATAACAGGTAGTAAATAGACTAGCCTGTCCGAGGTTTAAAGCTAACTACCACTAAATAACGTAGACAAAACAAGCATATACAATTTATCGCGATGTTAGGATGTATAAAAAGTTGCGACTTGTCAAACTTACTATGTACCTCGGGTCTAGCAAGGAAAAAGGGTCTTAAAAGACTGGGCAGTTTCGTCATCAGCAAAAGACGAAAGGTGACCAGGTCAGCTGTCAGCCACGTGGCAGTTGGCCTATCTCACGGAGCTAACATTATGCGCTAAGAGATAGGTACAGCCCGTTGGTTGCTCTGCTGCTGTAGGTATTACTTAGGCGTCATAATAAAGTTGCGCCTTCTAGGTATTGTACTACATTACCTGTAGTTCTGCCCCTCATCTTTTCAGTGCCTCATCTTTCAGTACCTCATATTTCAGCACCTCATATTTCAGTACCTCATATTCAGTACCTAAAGTACCTCTATCGATAACATAACTGTAAGCATTTCTTCGAACAACTTTTGCCCCACTGCCTCTTTTTCGCCGTCCGAGTCATACCCGTGGACCGTTTTCTCATATCGACGCCACGTTCTGAATCCTAATCCTGTTCTAGGTTATGTATAGAGGATAAACTAGATCCAAGTGTTATTTTATCTTCTATCGTTCCCTTGGTGTCTCTAAATTTAAACTTTCTACTGTGCTTATAAGTTTATTGTCGACGCGACACCTAAGCGAAGCCTCACTCTTTTTTCCTTCTTAGTTTTCGCGTAAGATTGCAGTCTCGAATTCAGATTTTAGGTCCAGTAGTCGGGGAAGAGCATGCGGTGACAGTGAAAGCTCAGATTACCCGGCCGACGAGAAATTTATATCTTAGGTATAAAATCACAAACACATGGAGATGCCCATAAACAACCACATCCACATACGCCTTTATGCGAACCGGTGACGTGACTCCATAAGTCAAGATGGCGGAGGACGACGTTCGTGAAGTCGAACTATCTACGATAGCAGCCATATATCCCGAGCTGCAAATCGACGAAAATGACCCTTATAAGGTCTCGATAGAACTGCCTGTGAGCTTGGCAAGTCCTGTAACCGTACTCTTCCCAGCTGCGACCGAAGGCGCACCTCCAGTCGAGCCGGTACAGGAACAACTTCCAGTAGTAGCAGCCGTAGATTCACATGCCTTGTCAAATCTACCATCACTGCAGGTCCACATAGAGCTTCCAGAAGGATATCCCCTGGAGAAGCCCCCCAGAGTCGATATTTCGACTTCCCCTCCTTGGCTGTCAGGGGACATCTTGCGCAAACTTGAAACCGACGTGGTAGATCTGTGGAAAGATATCGGACGCGATCAAGTTATATTTACGTACATCGACAATCTACAACAAGCTTCCGAAAACATATTCGGGTTAGTCGACAATAAAGGACGTTTAGAAGTTGGACCGGAACACAAGATAGCGATTCTTGACTACGATATCAAGGCGAAGCAGAGGGCTTTCGACAAGGAGACATTTGAGTGTGGTATCTGTCTAGGTAAGCTTAAGAAAAGGATGCTATTCGTTACGGATACACATAACTAATATTTGATATCAGATCCCAAAAAGGGGAGTGTTTGCCACAAAATGCTCGACTGCGGACATGTATTCTGCGTACAGTGCTTACAAGACTTTTATAACAATGCTATTAAGGAGGGCGATATAGCTTCTATACAATGTCTCGAACCAAACTGTGCCAAGGAACGGGAGGATGCTGTTAAAGGCTCTGCTAAAAAGAAGAAAGCTAAGACCTCCATCAATCCCAGCGAGCTCTTACAAATTTCACTAGAGCGTGAAATGGTCATGCGCTATGCCATGCTCAAACACAAAAACGAACTCGAGTCGGATAAGAACACCGTATATTGTCCTCGTTCGTGGTGTCAAGGTGCGGCCCGATCAAAGAAGCATAAGAAGCCCGAAGGGCTTGAATTTGTCGAAGCATCTGACGAGGAGTCCGATGCAGAGAGTGACGCAAAGGATGATGCGAAGACGAAGGATTCGGATCAAGATGTACTTGCTATCTGCGAGGACTGTGGGTTCGCTTTCTGTGCTCGTTGTGGGCAGTCATGGCATGGCCCATTCAAGTATTGTGTACCGAAAGAAAGGAAGGACGAGATCACGGAGGAGGAACAGGCGTCCCTAGAGTATCTGAAGATGCACACAACTCCGTGTCCTACCTGCGCCGCTCCGTGTCAGAAGACACACGGCTGCAACCATATGCGTTGCTTCAGGTGCCAGACACACTTCTGCTACCTTTGCTCTGCTTGGCTCGACCCTTCTAATCCGGTAAGTAAAAGCCAATATGCTTTCCACCTAATGTTGGACATATTTTGGGAAATTGGAGTCGGTCTGCGACTTGGGATCGTACTTGGTACTTCAAATGGCAGTAGCTAACCCTGAATAACACAGTATCGACACTTCAACGTTCAACCTTCAGGTAAGGTAAACGGTTGTTACATGAGGCTATGGGAGTTGGAGGGGGGAGATGGCGGCGATGTTGGAATTGCATTCGAGGGAAACGCGGTTAGGAACAGGGCCGTTGCTCCTGGCCAATATGGTCAACACTTAGAAATTGTCCAACAGCGCATTGATAACGATGCGGATGACGAGCCTGACGAGGCTGATGAAGCGCCAGTAGCGATAGAACGCCAACAACCGCCAAGGGATCAGCCTAATGGAAGAGTCGCCGTGGCCCGTGAAGGACCGCTTGTACTCCGAATCGAGGGCGACGCACCGCCGGCTCAGGACGTAGTGCGACGTCGTCAGCCCGGCATTCCAAACCCCCATAACGAAGCCCACGCCTTTAACGTGGGTCAACGAGGGGGCCGAGGAAATAGGAGAGGTAGAGGCCCCGGGGTAAATCGGCAAAACAACCGAAATCGAGTTCAGGGGCAGAACCAACAAATGAATAACAACGGTCGCAACGGCCAGAATGGGATGAGGGAGGGCGATGTGCTCCGCGGAGACGGCCAACTGGATGCGAGAGAGGCGGCATGGATTCGCCAATTCGTGCAGCTGGCACTTAACGACCAGGAAGATCTGGTCGAGGACAGTGATGACGACTAGACCGGGGAGCTTTGATAGGCTCAAATCGGCTCTAGGCATCAAGCATGCGAGGCACGATATTCCTAAGATGGTAATAGCACAGGCGCAGCGGTCATTTCTCTTCGCGAATTTGGCCACACAATAGCTCGAGTGTATCGAACTCCCGAAGGGAGGTTGACCAGAACCGGACGTTAGCTGGTAACGAATGGGGCGCTATGTTGCATCTCTAGCGGCTTCCGGCAGCTGTCACGGGGGCGGGTTCTGCCTGGCACGTCTAACGAATCGCTTCGTTCGTGCTAAAGTTACAGCGGGCATGCTGAGATAGGCAGATCTCGCCGGCTCGCAATGTTACGCCGAAGTAACATTCTAGTAATCTTTAAAACGACACCCTTGAATTTATCGGTTTTTTTTTAAAAAAAAAAATGAAAATAGCGTTTCGACGAACAACACTCCCCCCCCTCCCCTTCCCCTCCCTTAGCCCCTAGCGAGCTGAGCAACGGCTTGGATAGATATATCGACCAGGCAGAACTAACGCATCAAACAGGGGCAAAGGGGGGTCAGATAGCTAATAATAAATATGTCTAATATAGTATATATTATCGAAATACCGTAAGCACTCAAAATAACGTACGTGTGCGTAGGAGCCATGTATATGTCACGGCAACATCGCGCAGGAATAACGCTACATCCGCACTCGCAACGCTGATATTTCTGCGACGAGAATTTTTCTTTTCTTCGATACGATCGCTGGATGTGGTGTCGATGTGACGACCCATACCACACGCACGCTTGTTCCCCGTTACTACCGCGAGCGAAGCGTCTTAGAGGAGGAGGGAGGATTCGTTATGCCGTGTCGTGCTATGCTATGCTGTGCTGTGCTGTGCTTTACTGGTCTACCGTAATTTCGAGTTCGGACAATACACTGCCTCAGGTTGCTTTGTTATCTACCTATCTGCTTACCTCATGCCATGGTATACTCTACCTCGCTGACAAGTCCTGCCAAAGTCGTACGGCTGGCTGGATGGCTGGCTGGATGGCTAGGTACGGAGCTCTACCTGATACACTTGGCATCACATCGCTTTTCCAAAGCGAACGGTCTCCGTAATACTTTATGTAATCTGACATGTGGAAGAGGCACGCATGTATGAGGTATGTATGTATGTATGTATATTGTCTGTGTGTCAGGTAGTCGAGTCATCAAATCCTTAGCATCCCCTGTCTGGAGACCTGTCTCTTTCTCTCTCTCTTGTATTTCTCTTCTCCGTCTTCGTGCCCCCTTCTGTCACAACTCGTGTTATGTAGGTTGGTAGGGTATGTATGTAGGTATGTATGTGAGTGAGTATGGGTACGCGCGTTTATTGCACCCGCCGACGATCTGTATGTTTCTCCGTCTGCAGCTTATCATACCATTACACCATCTACCCTTACATACATGCATACCTGCCTGCCTATCTACCTGCCTACCTGCCTACCTGCCTACATACGCATTATACAGGTGAGACTTTTTGTAGTAGTAGTGAGACCCCCAGACGAGGGACCTGAAGTTTGTGGGGGGGTGTTCTTGCGAAGGGGCAAGGCAAGGCAAGGCAAGGGGAAGGGGGGGGAGAAGACGAAAAGAATGGTACCTACACAGGTAGCCAGTTTAGATTGGAACGAACCTGGTCCCGTATTTCTCATAACTGATTATTAGTCGATTATTGCAGCAAGCGGGCGAATTCTGATTCGCCTCCCCTCCTTGATATTTTTTTTTCTTTCTTTCTTTCGTTCGTTCTTTCTGTTTAGAGAATATCGAAAACAAGTAAGATCGGCTTCCATTTTGATATATAGCTTACCTACCAGGTAGGTGTGTATATACTGCGTGTTACCTCAAGTGACCGGGGTCTTGATTACTTATTGCTATGTAAACCGAGCAAGGCTGATTTTGGTTGTGGTTGATACTATTACTATCTGCCTCCCTATGTAGTGTAGTGTAGTGTATTGTACATAAGGGATCAACTCATGTGTAGCAACGCCAACATAGGGGTAATCCGCGGGTTACTTTTTGCGAGGAAAATGAGACTGGCAACCACTGCTACTATTGTGTCCGTACCTAGGTAAGTTATAATAGCGATATGAGGTTAAGTTTTTTGTATTGAGCGTGTAGTTAGATTAATATCACAGTTTAGGTAGTGAAGACATTTCTAAATATCCTTCCTATGCGGCCCACATGTAAATTGCACTTTTGATGAATAATGGGCAACAATCCTGGAATGCCACATGCTTCGCCTGCATGAGCGTAAGCTTCGACTTCTCGGCTATGTTGCGAGCACATCGAGTTTAATCAAAGTTCCCTTCTCTCGTTCAAGTCGAATGGTGGAAGGGGTAGTAGGGAGGAGACAGAATTGCAATGAGCAACTCTATTAGGACTTGGTAGTGTAGCTTAATTACTATATTTGGATGAGGCCAAGACAAGATTACACCAAAGGCAAACGGACAAGGGGGGGAGAGGGTCTGCCGTGCTCATGACTGGCATTAGCAGTAGTGGGAATATATGATTAGTTGGCGTCCGCGCGCCCGCGCGATGGAAATCGTCGATAGCGTCTAGCTCTGCACGTGGGAGGATATACAACGTAGTATAGATGAATTGAAAACGGACTCGTCGACGCCAGCAGATTACCTAGAAGAGGGATCGGTTGGGGGCGGTTTTGACTGTTTTCTGTAGGACGGTTGACTTGGGTTGGTTGCATCGATGCCCACAAGGGAAAGAGATTCGAGCTAGGACATGGTCTGGCATGGGGGGTTGTTAATTTTTTTTTTTTTTCATGGGCCTCGTCGATGAGCTTTGGCCTATGATTATGCGTGAAAGCGTTAGAAAAGAGAAAAAAAGGGCTGGCGGCAATAAAATTGGAGCTGGAACCAGATAACATCCATAGCATTCACAACCCATGCCAGCCCATGGCCAGCCGCAATATGGAACATCTTGGACATCTCTTTGGGGGGGAAGCACCGCCGCTGAGCATGGATTGGCCGGGTTAAACTCGGGGGACCTCTCTAGGCTAAAGTAAGATGATGCATAACGGGCATCCGTATAGCCTCGCTAAATCTCAACAGCCTGGCCTAGCGTCGGTTTACTAGGTAGCGTTAGGTATGTTGTTATTATTAAACCAGGAAAGTGGCCAAGTGGGCGAGACGAAACGAACGACTTTGTTTGCTGACGATTATAGAAAATTGTAATTTCGAGTTTCATGGATCCTATTCAACCTAGACAGTTCGAGACACGTCTCGATACAGAACCTGTCCCTCCGTCTTCTTTTTTTCTTATACGCACATGTGTGTATTAGGTACGTGTATATTGTATTCCTAATAATTGCTCCTGAATATAGGATTGTATTTACATACAGGATCGTATCAGATATGTACGATACGCTTAAGACACTTATCACGTATTAGAAGCTCGGATCCCACGGCGACCAGGTGTTTTTTTGCGGGGTAAAAATACGATTTAAGTCGGGAGTTGTTAAAAAATTTAAAACTCCTAACGGGGTGCCGGACTGCAGTCGTCTTTCTTCATATATTGTATTTCCCCTTTTGGCAACTGTTAGAGTGGAGACTGGTACTGGAGCAGACGTATGTAGTACATAGAGTAGGTGGATGTAAGTGGGAATATCTAAGCAATAAGTACCTTGACCTAACCTAATGTAATATGAGGTACCTTGGGTATGTATTAATTACCTTGTACTATGTACGTGAAGTTATTTGTGTTATCTTGTACTGTGTTTCCGTATAAGAAGATTTAGCCTGGTAACAAGGTATATATAACAAGGTTTTATGTTTGTGATATGTTAGAGGAGTTGGACAAACTCCAAATCCGCTGTCCGAACGGGTTTCAGTTGGAGGCTCTCGAAATAGTATATTGCACATACACTATAGCACGTTTAAATCAAACCGCGCTGAATAGATTTCTAATAACCTCTGGCAGGCTGGCTGTAAGCTTATTTACTTTACCTAAGACAAAGTACCAAAGCAATGGGAAAGGCTGCGGGCCAAGGGAGGAATTACAACCAAACAAGACTAATGGCTTATCTGTAGGGCTGCGTCAGCTATACGACGACGGGAAGATCCAGGTTGACAATCCAACCCAACTGCTTCCTTCTTCGGGACCAGCTTTTGTCAAGTTCAGGTAATTAATTCTGCGAGAGGGAAGCTCATGTCTGCCAGGTCTTAGAAGTAGATTGGCAGCCTTTGTCAAGACTGGGAAGTTGATTGGTCAAGACCTGCTGAAGAAGTCTCGAATATAGTACGCGGCAAGGCGGCATAGGATTGAAGAACTAGAGTGATTTTTTTTCTTGGTGATGGAGTGTAGATTTTTAGTTAGCAGTTAGGTTAGCTGATATCATGTGTACTATGTAGATGGTTGGTAGCAACATAGTGGCCTTTTAGAGTTGGGGTTCGTGTTCGGGATGTGAGTGCGGGAGCAACCTTCATTTGGGTTGCCTTCTCTATTAGAGGTGATGGAGGGCGAGATGATCCAATCAGAGGCGAGGTGCGCGTCGATGCCTTCTTAACTAGGAGCTCGCGCCGAGATATTCGACAAGGCTGTCTGGGCGGTACAAAAAGATACGAGATGTACAAAAGTCCTCCTAGCTTCTACCGTAGTACATCCACTAGCAGTAGTCGGTTAGTACAGACTATTCTATTTTTCTTTGAGTAGCGGAAATAACTCCGTGTCCGTGTCTCAATTATCGTAAGTTCTATCTATTAGTGGCATACACATGTATCAGAGATGTTGCCATGCTTGGTAAAGGTTGTATGAAATAACAATAATAACCACTTATCTAATCGCTGTGTGTGAATTAATAATGTATTAAGGCGGTCCATACGACATACGAAAGCTTCATAAGATCCCTCAAGGTATCGAAACCGTTGTTTAATGTACATGTGACTAACTAACAGGTGCCTTTGAAGATATGTACCTAGGTAGGTCAGCATGTGTTCTATGGATTCTATTCTATGTATGGAGGCCAACCATTCATTACTACTTAATGTATAATGCTGCATGTACAGCCTGCGCATACACATACATACATACATACCTGGGTACATATTATATATCCAGCTCTCATCCTGTGCCTCCTCTCCATACTCCTGTTGACTGACGGACATGCATGTCTGCATCAGTGCATACAGCCCCGCATCAAGACCGTCTCTCATGGGCTATCACAATGGTATATGGCCTGATCCCAAGCGCGCTAAGCTTTTCCCCTTTTTTATTTATCGACATCCAACTCTTCTCATTGATTACTCCGTAATCCGCACTTCTTGTTCGTCACGTACATGTCCTTCGCGCAAGGCGGACTGAGACTTTCATTCTTCTGTCCGTAAAGCTGTGTGTCAAGATATATCATCTCCAACCAGTCATAGCCGTAGAATGCGAATCTCGCACTCATATACATTGGTTACTTACCTTACCCCCTTGTAGCCAGCCTTTTCCCGGGGATATCACCGGTTTTTCTAATGGTACTGATGTACTCTCTATCTCTCTTAATACCATGTATGGAGTAACCCCCCTGCAAGCCGCGGTTGGGGGAGGAGTGACGAAATTTCAAGCCGTCGACGGGCGGCGGCTTACTGGACTGTTCCGCAAGATCAGAGATCAACTCCTTCGCGGGTACCTGCTTACACGTGTGAATCCCATGAGCCTGATATGGTATAGAATACAAGTTTAAATAACGCCTTGAGACTTTCGAAGTTACACATGCTCTCTGACGTTACCTTAAGGTGCCTCATATGAAGGTCGAGAGGCTGATCGCATATAATTTACACCAACTACATACTATCTACCCGTATTGCCAGTCAAAATCTTGCAAGATCTGCTTGCTGATGCTTCCCTTCTCTTATTGGGCTGTTAGGCGTTGGCCTGCGTTGGTCGAAAGAAAAGTCTTGGTATTTAATAATACTGCACCCCAACTTTGGAACGGCGCGGCGAAAACGAAAATAAGAAAAGGAATGGAAAATGATCATAATTATAATAATACTATGTAATAATAGCGATAATAAGTTGCATAAGAACCCCTCCAGAAGTCCCATCCTATCATACATATGCGTACCTGAAATTCATCTGTTGCGTCATGCTAACAAGATGTGGCATAGTTAACCTTTTTTAGGAAAATGGATCGTCAACGGCGCTGAGGCGGCACAGACGGTGTCGTACAGAAAATGGCGCGTCGGCTTTGTCTGGTGATTTGACCAGTCTACTTTCACATCGAGACCCCCCTCCCCCTCAGCGAAGCTCTTTTGGCCAAGGCCAAGGCCATGGGGGATGGGGATGGGGATGGGGGACCTAGGCTCCACTCGTGAAAGCGTATCGCATCCTTCGTCGTAAGGATCAAAAACGTCGTAACGGCTGGGCAGCTAACTAAACGGTAACTTAACAAGGCTGGATGTGGTATGTGCGCGTCTATGTAATACGCATGTAATGTAGGTAGGTTAGGTAGGTATGCCAGGATATATGTATGTACAAGCAAGTTGCTGAGATCGTGTTGCAACCGACTAGGTCAGCGGTAAGTCGATGATCTTCGTTCAAGGCGGAGTCTACTGGCCGGGCCTACTGCCTTGAAGAATCCTAGCTTGTCAACTTGACAGCGGCCAGACGCGCACACCAGTCTCTGTGCCTTACTATGGCTACTAGTTATGTCCAACTTTTGACTTGCCCTATCTGCTACCTCACTGGGTTAGTTAGTTGATCTATGACTATCGGGAGATTTGCCAACATATTATACTATTACATTACTACTTCTTCAAGCAGGGAATCTTCAAGTACCTAGGCCTAAAACTAAACCACCTACCTAATATTAGATGAATCTAGGTCCAACGCGAGTTGGTCCCTTTTACATAACGAATACGTATCTCGAACCATATCACCGACCGATAGAGCATATACTCGCTCAAGTTCTGGATCTGCTTGTTTCATAGATACATAGCCCCCGTCTAAGTATAGGCATCGGCATGCCATGTCCTACTGCGACCACGGGAAGCTCTAAAACCTAGCATTTCGTTTTGTCCTTCTCATCTGCCGCGATCTGGTCCGCTGTACGTACATATCTATATCTACACATACTATCCCCACCTCTCGTCATCACTAGACCCTTGCTTTGCCGCTCGAACCTGGAAGCTGTTGACGCTCGCATGAGATGTTCCTTGTTTTTTTTTTTTTTTTTTTTTTTTTTTTTTTTTTTTTTTTTTTTTTGGTTAGGGGTAATATTGGTGGGTGTGTGGGAATAAAAGAGAAAGGAGGATGTTTTTTTTTTTTTTATTTTTTTTTTGGGGTGCTAAACAAATGTGGTGTTTTTGTTGTGTTTGTGGCCGGGGTGGGGCTTTCCCCGTTTTTTTTTTTTTTTTGTTTTTTTTTTTTTTTATTTTTTCTTTTTTTTTTTTTTTTTTTTTTTTTTTTTTTTTTTTTTTTCTTTTTTCTTCGAAGGTCGATTCCATCTGTACGTAGTAATATAATATACAGGTACATAACCTATCTATTACAATATATATACCATGACGGGCGATTATTTCTGTTTGGGACATAGGTTACATGCTCCGCACTCATGGACTGTTGAAACGCGGGTGCAGCAAGCAAGCATATGTATGTGATATCTATCTGTATGGTGAGCCCCCACCGAATACTCTTTTTTAATCTTGGTTATGAGGTTACCATCCCGTAGAGCGACGGCAATCTTGGGGAATAAGCAGCAAGAGGCACAGGTTACTAGTGCGTATGTACCTAACCTAAGAAGAAAAAAAAACCACGATAGATAGAATGTGTACATACATTAGTAGAGGTAGGTAAAAGTAGTCTATAGCTTTTGCTATCGCGCCAACGCGCGCAACACACCGAGTGCCACCGAGCTAGTTGGAGCTCAACGGTTGTTACCAGTCAATGAGCTCTCTTCCTTTACACGCGATTGTGGTTCGCACAATATTAGCTGCATCTCGGATAGTGAGTTCCTCCCACTGGCAAGGGTTCCTGAGTTCGGCTCAACGCATATTGACTACCACATATTACCATTATAACCCGGCCCCTTTTAACAGATCATGGTTTTGAAATGTGTGGTAATCTCGGGTCGAAGCAACCCTCGACCCTCAACCCTTCAACCCTCGTGAAAAAAGGGCCCCCAACCAATATCACCTATCATAATACCCATATAATTTATACTAGTTAGGTACCTCATAGTAGCTACCTAAACTAAAGGTAATTAACAGAGACGCCCGCCCTAAGCTATCAGTTACATACATTAGGTTACCTGTACTAGAGGTAGTTAAACAACCGTTAGAACGTCGGTGTCGCAGCTACATATACATACACTTACCTTGCTGACGCACTGCACTAGTAGAGACCCTGCTCAAGATCACGGAGATGCGCTACGGGAGAAGCCTACAAAACTAATAAGCTTAACGAAATCTTAATTTTTAATTTTTAATTTATTTTTATTTTTATGTTTATTTTTGCCACAAAGATACTTCCAACAAGGCGCTGACCGCTTTATTACCCGAAAAAGAATTCAACAAGAACCAGGGTTTTATATCACTACCAATCCAGAAGCAGGCAAGGCTTCGTCCCTTCTTACCTGTTATTGCTACTGACACACGCGCCTTCAACGGTTGTGGAGTCAAATTAGTGTTCCGTGATGCCGCCTATCTAGCAGCAGTAGTAGCTTGAAAATGCCTTGAAACTAAAAAAGACCTTAAGAGCTTTAACTAGTTATTCCTAGAGTTGGTGTACCTAGTATTTTATTAGGAGTGACGAAGCCCTTGAAACTTTTTGCGGCCATGGTGCGGGATCAGGGGAGAATCTCACTGCCGTAACCGTACGTAGCAGAAATGTACCCAGCAGTTAGAGACTCGAAGCAACCAAACCATGTGGTTTGGTAGTTGCTGTATGTACGTTAGAGGTATGTAGGTAAGTATTGGACATAACGCACATACGGTAACTTGAGGTAACATGCCCCCCAGAACCCCCTTACGCTGCGGCGAAATGCTACTCTACCTACCATCTAACATAGGTACCTAGGTAGTTTGTAGCGTATGCTTTGTATGGCCGCTGGTAGAAAAAAAAAAGAGACGAAGGGGGAAAAATATCTGGTAACATTTCCCCTGACTGATTGTTACCAACCTGGTCCCTGTCGAAGTTCTGCTAGGCCAAGACCTAACCCCTAGTCCGTTCGTGGAGGGACGACCAGGTTGGCTTAGCTTCTCAACCTTAGGTTAGGTATTGTACCTCCCTCATAGTATTTTACCTAGGGCCGCCAGGGCCAACGTAAATACAAATCTACGCAGTATCTGGCGCGATCTGCCGGCTTCATTTTGGCTAACACGACCCCTTCAGGCCATGTGTTAAAGTCTCCCATGTTGATACGTAAATGATACATATCATTATTGTTAGATTAGGAAAATGAACCTACAAGGGTGACGACAGGAACCTGGTCTTTGTGGAGGCGAACATTTGATAAATGGCTTATTTGACATGCCCAAAGCTCCATCGCTCATTGCATCCGCGCACTCTTATTCCTGCTTCTCTCCTAATATCGATGACATCGATGACAATAACCAAATAAAATCGCTTTTCACTTTGTGCGCCGTCATCGCAGCGTGGTAGGTAATAAGAAGCTTAAACGAAGAGGGCGCGGCTGCTTAACTCGTCACATTGGAGCTCGATATCACCTGCATCGCTTCGCGTGAAATAGCAGAAGCGGCCGTTTCTATTTTGGAACATACCTATATGTACCTAATGTACAAACCACCACACCCGCTCTGCGCTCTGTACTATGTTAATATGAAAAAAAAAAGACGAGCTGTCAAATGATATGTGATCGCGAAAGCGCGGCCGCAAGCGAGGAAAGCCATTCGACAAGGGCGCAGACCATTGCACAATATCTACGTACATGGCTTGAGTAAAGTAAGCCGACAAGACGGGGCACTACTTTGGCTCATGACTTCTCTGCATGTATTTATTCTTTAGTACCGGCACAAATAACGGTTTCTTCGGATAACTATCGCATCCTCTGATCAGCTAGTGTTTTTTTTTTTCTTATGTTACCTTGTTTACGCCAATCAGGGATTCGGCTCGTTACTCGAGAGGATTCCCGTAGAGAGTGGTAGTGTACTTTGTATAATTTTGTATAATAAGGAATGCGGCTGTTACGCCGATTCCCGTCGTGGGATGCTTCAGCGAAAGCCGTGTCGTTGCTTGGGGGCGTCTCTTGTCAAAATGTACTCCAGTCCTATCGAATGCTGTGATACCCTCCAAGAGCTCCAAAAACTTACATGGTCTCCGAAGTGGCGTGCCGAGTCTGTCCCAGCTGTGGATCGCTTTTCTAGGCATGCTGATCCAAATCGGGAATGTGCTGGATGCTACGTATGTAGTGTATGGGCGTGATCTGTGCTATGGCTCTCTATGGCATTGTTATCCTCCGCATTTCTTAGGCTACCTACCTAGTCAAGGCCTGCCAGGCTTGTCAGGGACCTGCTCAACTCGTCCTCGTCCTGCCAATTATTGATCGTAGACTGATTACATGTGTCAAGGGCTGATCGTAGATTCTGGGCAGGTATTCACTCGCCTTGCAGCCACTCATCGTCCTCGTGGATGGCTAGTCTTTATCCAGTTGACTTATAAGAGAGTTAACGGCCATACTAATGCATTCTGTTATCTGCACTCGGCCCACACACCTCACCCTTCTTCCCATGACAATTCGACAATTCGACAATTCGACCGCGCTTCATCTCGGGTCTTTCTCGCTGTAAAGCCGTCGAGATAATTAAATATGCAAGCGAACTGCCTCGATATTGGTATCGTCTCTTTGTCTATTGCCTCTCCATCGCCAGTTGCGGTTCGTGGGCCGAGACCTATCCGCATCATTCCCTATATCAGTCCGTCTACTATTAACAAGGCGGCGAGCTCGTTAGTAGCAGCAGCCTCCTCCTGGGGCATTGGCAAGGCAAGGTAATCTCGACATAGGTAACGAATACATGACATACAAGGGTCCAATAAACTTATGTGCGCTTTTTGCGAAGCGAGCTTACTGGATCCCCGCTATACCCACCCTTGTCGCCAGGCAAGAGAGCAATCTCGTGAACCGATATTTTTTTTACTGTACCGTAATGTCTGCGCACCCACCACACCCCCCCATGCTCTCGCGCTTTTCCCTTCTGGCTCTTCATCGGCGGATATGTCCAACGGTCTTTCTAGAAATTAGCGGGCCCTCCTCTACGTACCCAGCTAAAGCCGTCGGAGGATTTCCTAACTGATCAGTACCTCCCCTGTTGGGGGCCAGGGCAAGCATTGGGCAGACGGGGCTGCGTGGAGGGGCTTTATTTTACAAGGAGCATCTTGAATGGCTCTTGCTAGCCTCTTGTCGATAGGCCCCCGTGCCTCCATATGATCCATGCTCTTTCTACATCTTTACCTGCCTACTCCGTACCCCCTCCATCTGCATTCACGTAACGGACATCCTCTACAGAGGACCTTGCCATCATCTACTTCCGCGAAGGCTAGGCCCGTTTGCCGGTGGATTTAGTTAGAGGACGGTAGAGGATCAAGGAACTCTTAGCCCCTGCCAAAGTCGGCAGACAATTGAAAGTAATTATGGGGCAGACCGTCGTTGAAAGTCTTGACCACCACTGTACAATCTAGCCTGCCTGCCTGCGCTTACATTTATTACATGTCTTCAGCTCTGTACTAAAGTTCTGACTGTGTCTCTGCAGCCGCGAGGTTAAGGAGGCTTTCCTAGGTTGTTAGTTCCACCAAGTCCTGTCAAGTAAAGGCGAGGACCACTGTAACAGGTACCTGTTTTCTCTGTTCCTTGATAGCTTCCAACCGTTGGGTCGTTCCAAGGCCCTGAAGGAACAAGCTCTCGTAGATATTGTCCAGGGCCTATCAATCAAGTACCGGCTAGAACTGAGAGAGCCCTGTACCTTCCCCCAGCCAGATCGCCATTAGCTCCGTTCTCCTTCCCAGTCGGGCTGCATGCACTGTACTCTAAACCCATGTAAGTCGTAGGTACTAAAGGTTTCTGTACCAGACCCCAAGTCGCTTCTTGCTCTCTCATTGACTGGGTTGGACCACCTCCGCTTGGCTAAGGACCCGTAAACCGTTAAGCATGCCCCCCAGGGTAATGAACAATACCGTCCTCTGTACAAAACAGTTCCCTCAGAGGCAACATCTATTCTACTGTATCTTGTTCCATCCCATACAAGTACACTTCGGCCTGCAACCTTACCTTCTTTCAACGTTCACTTTATTCTGACTTCACTTATCTGTGCAAGGAAAGTCAGCCACTTCCCATCAAGGTGTTGTCTTTCAACAAGAACTTGGACTTGGCAAGATAACTAGTTCGAACTTCAGTGAGCCATTATTGCTGCGAGGCTGATGTTCTGAATAAAACGCCTGCTTGTCTAGAGGAGGAATAAAATTTAAAAGAAAGAACAAGTATAAATTTGTTAGCCGGTGGCGCAAGACGATAGGCCTTGGAAGCGCGACTGGGACACAGGCTCCCATGTCAGCCACAACGACTTTGACGGCGACCATGGCAGAGTTGAAGCCGGAGCCAGCGCATAGTAGTCTTTGGTCGAACTATGGCGGTCCGGTGTCTCTATCAGCTCGATTCCCTAATACCATGGAGTCGAACCTTGCGCACCCATCGACGACATCTTCGCAGCATCCGGGTCGGCCACGAAGCAGCCACCCAACTATCGACCACCCATACCCGTACCCAAGATACTCGCAGGAGGAGTCAGACGCATTTGACAGATACCCACAGCCGTCTCTAACGCAGCATCACAGCTTCCCTAACCTGAAGCGACCTCACCAGCCTGGTGAGCACCCGCCATACCAAGAGATTGTGCAGGACCTCAGAGACGACGGGTCCAAGCTCACAGTAAATCACGATCATAAACTGCTTTCTTTCCGGAGAGTCCAGGATAAACACACCATTGTCGACCAACATGGAAGAATGCAGCAGCTAGAGCTTACCGCGCAGCTCCACGGCATGTTCTTTCTCTCGGAAATGCCTTCAAGTACGAGCGACGGCGGGATTTTGCAACCCGAGCTGACGTGCTACCGGAGGAACTTGTTTCAGATCAGCGGTTCACTTATTACTCCGCGAGGCCAGCTCTCCGTAATTCTTCCCGAGACGGGCGAAACCGTCCCCGTGAACAGCACCGAAGTGACTATCTCTGCCATCGAGTCCGTCGATGGTCACCCTGTGAGGCTTATTGTCATTCCCTGGAAAACGCCACCACCAAATTCTCCGTAACTCCCCCAGACTCCAGACCAGGAACCACCATCATTACCACTGATCCCGTTCCCGGATGATGGACAGGAAGCAGAGGGGGAATATGCTGTATACCCTATCGGGTGGCGGCGATTACAATTTAGAATGTAGGTTATTTAACTTAGGGATCTTGGGCATCCCGCTTCAAGGCTGGCCCTTGGTATAAGAAGCTGACACGGATTCCATAGAGCGACGGCGAACAACGGAAGGCGAAAAGAACTTCAGCAGCATTTTGTGCTCCACCTGAAGGTGGTGGGAACTTTAGCAAACGGGTCCAAGGTAGTCCTAACAGAGTCTACAACGGCACCGATCGTAGTCCGAGGAAGAAGTCCGCGTAATTTTCAGGCTCGGAAGGAGATACCTCTCCTAGGATCCAGTGCCGGATCGCGTGGGCAAGCATTGGTTGAGACGGGACTGGGTATCGTTGCAGGCCCCCTAACTGTGAAGCCCCAAGACCCGAAACTGCGTGGCTTAAATTTGGAATTGCCGCGAACGGCGTTTACTTTCAACGCATCAAAACTCCCTGGGAGCCCGATGACAATGAGATCCAAGTAAGCCTTTCCCCCCTCATTCCAGAAGATTCATGCCCTACTTTGGAAGTTGGAAGTTATGATAGACCAAGCGTAAATAGGAACGAGCCAATGGGGCCCTTTTCGTTAGTTTTCCCTTGAGAGATTAGAGCTGACGAGAAATTCTAGTTCATACCCCAGTTGGAATCCTCCTAGTCAGTTGCCCATGTCCGGAATGCCGGCTTCAGCTACTGCCAGCTACCCGCCAGCGAGTATACCTGCCGATTCGTATCAGAAAATACCGCTCTCAGGGACGTCGAACTTCACACAGGAGCCACAAGAGATTCCCATGCAGACATCCATGCCATCGATGCAACTTTCGTTGGCCGCAACGGAGCAGCAACCTCCTTCAATTCGAACACAGTACGCATACGTACAGGGGACCTCGGCTCCACCTCAACTCTCAGTAACAACGACGTCAATGGGAAGCAGCTCAGATCACGGCAATCTTAGCGTACCACGATACGTCGACTCGAATCCGAGGCCAACTAAGAGCCCGCGCCATGCCAGCCACCAGTCCGTACCTAGCAGCAGCTCCATAAGCAATAGCAATGATACGTCTGAGTACCGGTACGGGCCTTCAGGGTACGTACCCGTGAACAGCAGCTCTAGCGAGCTGAACTCGGCGTCCACATACAACGCTGACAGCGTGAGCAGTGCTGGACCGACTGGGCCTGCCTCCAGTGCCCCTTCGTCGGCTGGCGGTCACTCTCACCATCAACAAAGTCAATCGCAACAGCCGCCCCCTCGCGATTATTATCCACCCACCACGTCGTGGACGACAACTGCAGGCGAGCCTAGCAGTACCACCATCCACTCATACCACAATAGTACCGCGACGGGTAACGAGAGCAGTAGACCATACGCGTTTCCGAGCAAAAGCGACCACCCACCGGCGCCTGGGAGCTATGCCTCAACTTTAAACCATTACTCGTGGAGCCCAACATGAGGTTGGTGCTCATATAATAAAATGAAGAAAACGATCAGTGTTTACTGAGCGTAATTTTCATTTCTCAATTGCGAGTCGGTGTTTCGATCGCACTTGTGCGCACAATAAGAGAATGTGCGTGTGCGAATAAGAGGAGAAGGAGTCGGCTGCTCTCATCGCCATAAAAAATGCGGCTTGTATTGCATGTCGCCTGTATAGTATTTTAATCAAAGCTTGATTTTGTTTCTTACTCGAAACCTGTGGTGGAAGAAAAAAAAAAGGCCAAAAGCTATTTTCGAAATTCCGCAACCCTCACGGAGGACTTGTATAGGGCTATTGGGAAGGTACCTAGTTTTCGGGGGGACGGAGTAAAGAGGGGAAGGTGGAATTCAGGATTCCCGTATATTTATGCTGGGAAGGGGAACCGTTATTGCGGTGGTCGTGTATCTGGTGGTTTCCTCTCATATCGATGCTCATTCGTGTCTTTCGCTAATAGCGAGCGCGACCCTCTCGGCCATCTTCTTTGGATGCATAAGCATATACGGAAATGCTTACAGAGATGGGTCGGCATTGAAATATCCGGAGTTGGTTTCCTGTTTCTCGTATTGCTGTTCTTGAGTTGGAAGTCGTCCTTTGTTATTCGATATCCCCCCCTCGTTCGTATCATACGTACCATACCATACAGTATCATCAGCAATACGTTTTATACAATCTGGAACAACCGATCAAGGCGGCCACAATATTAACTCTCCAACAACCAGGATCCATGTGATATGATGATAGGCGGGATTGGTAAAGTGGTGATTCGTTGTCATTTCCGTCTGCGATGCTGTTCTCAGATTTACGTGGGTTGGCTAAGAAGAGTGCCCCAAGCAGCAGAGGCGAGGGTTCTCTCGACGTGGTGGTGATGGTAGCCCAAGCTCCAAAAGTGCCTGAGAAATGTATGGATTTCACTACGTCAAAGAATTGTTTTTTGAAAGGCGTCCAAGATGAACTCTGGGATGACCAACAACTGTACTTTAGTAAAAGTGCGAAACTCACAATCTATATAGCGTTGGCTGGTTTGTGGGACCTGGTTTTCAGCTTTCAGCCGCTAGATCTTGTATTGTATCATACTAACGCGCGCGGCGTTTGTCCGTCTAAGCCAATCCTTTTCATTTGCTCCTCGTGTTTAAGCCCTGTTGCCTCGATTTTAGTGCGAACTATTTCTTCATTTTCATTTTAGGTGGTGACCAATTTTTCATGGATACCTATACGGTGTAAGTGTGGAAGAAGTAAGCTGAGGTGGGACTCTATAGAGTAGAGTAGCTAACCTTGGAGGCTTCCAGTGCCAAATCATTATCAAGACTGTGTTGGCGGCTTATAAGTGAAGTTATGATTTGTTGGTCTACTGCAGGAGTAAATGATGTGATAGGAGGGAGTTATGTAGATGTAAAAGAAAGAATGAAACAGACCAGCAGCCTAGAAGGTTAATAAGTTATTGCCTTTTAGATAATGTAGAGGTAGCTAGCTACCTAGACCTGTAGCTCATTCCTGCCCGTTTGTGTCACGCTTGTACCATGTACGAATGTTTTACCTTTCTTTTTATTTCAACTGGAAATTACCCCGTCTTGTGTACTTTCCTTCTCATGTAAAATACCTGTCTATTGCAGGTACTCTCTACTAAGTAGACGGGTGTAGTATCCCTAGCATGTAATTCAAGGTGACACGAAACTTTGACATACGGCCGTTACAGGTAGCTTGGAGTTTATTTTATGTACGAATTGGCTGAAGTGGTAATACCTACCTAGGTACCTGGGTACCTCAGCCAAGATTAGTACCGTCCCAGATTGTCGGGACGAGAGTTGGACCTATCCGCTGAATCCGCTGCAGATAGTGGCTGAACAAAACAGCCCCCATCAGTATGTACATAAGTACACGTTATCTGTAGTAACACCACCCGCTTAAACGCTCTAGTAAATTTTAGGTATATAGGTGGCCCAAGCTTTGCGGCAATACTTTTTCAATTCTTCAAGCTACCCGGGCTACCTACTTAACCTAACCTGTATTATCGGACTTTTGGGAATCCACGCAGCATCAATCCATAGCAAACCACAGACTATCAACCGTGACTGTTTTAATATCGCCGATTATCCCAATACTTTATACCTAGGACTATAAAATACATTACTAGCACTATGTTCGAGGTCCCTGATGCAAAAAGGTATAAGATTCTCTTGTCCATTACTTTCTTTCGGAAGCTAACAGTGAATGTAAAAGAATTCGGCGGGAGGAATTATATGATTCCACCTCAGATGAGGAACCATCACACGATGAACAATGGGATTTAACATTACGCGAGAAACTGAATGCGCAGTTCTCTGGATTACTGGATCTTAGCTCTGTGACAGATGGAGCTGCCGAAGCACAACAGCTCCCAGGATCTCAAGCAGATGATGCGGATGATGCGGATGATGCGAATGAAAATCCTAAAGACGAAGAGAATTCCGAGAAGCCTCAAGAAGAGGCCTTCACATTCAGGTTATTTCGGGATGAGGAACCTTCTCGGAAAGTAATACTTGAACCTCAAAATGCGAGTATGGAAAAGGACGGCAACGGCGCCTTTGTAGTTGCTAAACGGCCAATCTCATATTATTCATCTGGGGAACCATCGCCTGAAGCTACGAGCAGATTTAGGGCAGCCGCTGTCAGTGCCGATTACCTCTTCCAAGATTCAAGAGTGAGGCGATGGGGGCTTGAGAAGCCATGGAAAGTGACAACTATCACCATCACTACAAATAAGAAGATAGCTACCCCGAGTGGTTCTGCTAGTGGAAATACAACTGCAGGCATAGAGAAGAAGAAAAAGAGGCCGGGAAAGAAGCGAAGAATAATTCTAAGAACGCGGGAAAAGGTAAAGAAGGAACGGGAGGAAGCTGCAAAACGACAACTAATAGAGAAGGAAGAGCATTTGAAAGACAAGAAGAAAAGGCTTAATAAACTGAAAAAGCTGAAGCGGAGAGCTAAGGAAAAGGAAAAGAAACAAGGTATGAAAGTCGACGCGGCTTCTGAGCATAATAGTAGGGATAGCTCAGACAGGGAGGAATGATCATGCTGCTATTGAGTATAAAGAGGTATCTGATGATGGCAAACCGAAGAATGTTGATAGGATACCTAATACAAGAATAAACTAGAAACTGTTATTATTAAGGTCTCTACTCGAAGAGGCTGTTACTTAAGACAGTCAGTCTCCTATGGAACTGCACTTTACCAGGTACCTAACGGGAGGTACCTCTTTAGGTCTTAGGTAGCCCGTACAGGTATGTTACATGTAGGAGGTACCTAAGGTACCTATTATGAGCTCGCGCCACAATATAATATAATTCGAAGCCACATCTCAGAAAAATCCAACACTAATAAATTTAATTTCACTTAAGCTTTATGTAGATCACCTGCAATGCAGAGGAGGTACGTACCTCTATCAACCTACCCACTTCATCTTGTTTGCGTTCCGTTTTCTAAGCAAGCTTGCAAGTCAACATTCTAACCATTCAACATTCTATCGTCTTAATAATAGGTTACTTCTTTCTGTATATCTTTGGCAGCTTCTCAAGACTTCTCACCTTAGCTATGTGTATTGACACTGTCAGTTCTCCGGTTATGTACCCTTGAAGGACAGCCGCGTTCTCACCCCCGCAACCCGCCTCTGGATAGAATGAATTCGTTGTGGTCGTCGAAAGCCGCCGATGATGGTGTTGATGCACCAAAGGCATCGGTAGACGTAGCAGATACGGGCGTTGCTGATGTTGGGCCTGAGATAACGAGCTCAACACCTAGCCGACAACAACCTGTGCGACCACCGTTACAGCGAAACCAGATCCAGGCTACTCCTCCTGTACAGCCGACAAGCAATCAGCCGCCTGACTCTATCTCGTTGGCCCAGCTACGACGCATAGTGTCCGAATTTCCTCGTTCTGAAGCTGCCGCGTACGATTTCGAATATTCCGATACAGGACCTCACGAGGAAGAGATAGACGAGTGGTTTGTCTACCAACCTTGGCAATGGATTCGGTTGAACGCTGCCCAACGAGCTTTTGAGTGGCAGTGGGAGCATGACATAGCGCCCAGGAAGGATGAAATTACTTGGGATGAGGCAGATGACGAGGCCAGAACAAACTTTATCCTACAGGCGCTAGACGGAGTCCGAGCTAGTGATGCTGCTATGCGTGGTGCTGCGATAGGAAAACTCGCCTATCTCGTCCTGGGCCGATGGACAGATACTGCTGGCTCGTCCCAGGGTGAAAAGACAAATCCGCGGAGCGTTGCAACACCAGGCCAGCTTGCCGCCATGAAGTCTGGTGTCAAGTTGATCGCAGAGTGGAACGGTATTCCTATTATATGGGCAGCTTTACGCAGCGCATTTGAGACACTATGGTATTTTTCATGTACCTCTTCTTGTGTGTGCGCTCATGCTGATATTCGCGCAGGCTAGATGAACCCCAGAGGCCGCAAGGTAGTAGTTTATCGGAGGCACAGGATGAACTTATGAACTTAATGACTATTATGTACATGTGTATACAGGAAACTCTTAACGACCAGGATGGAATGGTAACGGTTTACGAAAAATTACGTGAGTGTTACATGGCCCAAATACTTGAGGATATTGGGCTAAATGTCTCAGTTGAATTAGAACCTCGTTTGACAATATTCATGCTCACGGCTTCAGCCAAGTTACGATGGCAAGAATTAAATGTTGTACCGGCTCCTCAGGTACGATACTTCTAGATATAATCATGGTGCCCTGCTAATGGAACAGACGCTTTTGTTGTTATGGAAGTCGATCCTTTTAGAGTTCGGTGGGACTCCTGAGATCGAAGAAACGAAAAGGGCCCTTAGAGAAACGGCCACGGACGACAAGGAGAAGAACTTGATTACCGCCACACCCCTCGACTATCACGTATTTCGGCAAGAAATCACTTCGAAATATCCCGCCTATGTACCTCCTCAGCCAGTATTACCCCTCGAAGCAGACAACACCTCCCTCTTACCTCCGCTGCCAAATCATCCCACCAGGAATAATGGATCCAATGGTATACTCCCTGCTCCTCCCGGGACGCAGAGTGGAGGCGCGTCTATCCTTCACCAGCCTGTCCATATTGCGACGCCCGCACCGTCTCCTCCCCCGTCTCCGGCCGCTGGAGGTAAAGGAGGCAAGAAACAAAATTACCAAACCAACCAGAACTTTCCATTCATGTACCCCCCGTTAGATGCTACCAGTAACAGTGCAGGAGGCAAGGGTGCTGCTGGCCTGCAGGACTTCCTTGTTGGTCGTAAATGGGAAGGCAGTGATGTACCTGCATCGATTCTCGAGGCTGGCGAGCTATTCTCGAAACGCGTGCGTATGACCCGGGCGACGCGGCAATTATGGGAGGAACGGGAGAAGTTTCAAAAATATGAGAGGGGATGGGATCCCTCGGATGATGATATAGAAGACCTCGACTTAGAGGGTCTCAGTCTTGACAATGATGTCGATGATGATAAGCTCCTTGAAGCCATAGAAAAGAGAGAAAAGAAGGCGCGAGGTGCTGAGATAGACTATGGGCCGAACCCAAATGTTGATTCAAAGGTCAAGCGACGACTAGAAGCTATCGAAGCATTCTACGTAAGTGATGGTACATTCATTTCTACTAGCGAGTTTGGCTGACATTTGACAGGCTGCTGCTTTACCTCAACTACAATCCTTGGTTATAGTTCTGATGAAGAGCATATTATACAGTGTCACTGCTTGTATTGCTCTTCCTGCTAATAACCAGCAACAGCCAGGAATGCCGGGGGGTAATCAGCTCCGCGTTAATGGCGCTCCCGGCACAAATCGATCGCAGAACAGTTTTATGGAAGCTAACAGCTCGACAAACCAAGACGGTTCCGAGAATTCCTTGGAGGATTTGGATGCTACTAGATCTAGGGAGATCGAATCGAAAGCCGCCACGGGTATAATCCTCCTACTGATGAAATGGCTCAAGATCTCGCGTAAGTAATACGCATATCCGTTCTAGGCTTGATTAACTAACTGCCCACCTAGACGTTTTGAAGTTTGAATATTTAGCTCAGCTATTGTTGGATTCTAATTATCTTCCTTTGGTTCTTAAGCTGTTTGCACATCAAGATATACAACAGGTGGTTGACAGCAAAACAGACCGGCTAGATCAAAGGTAAGACTTTGGCGACTACTGCATGATTTGACTCATCTCACAATTCTTAGTTTTTTTCAGTTCTGCAACGATCGTGCCCACTATCCAGACAAAGTGCCACAGGAGTCGACAGAGATGGACGGGCCAGAGGAGGAAAGCGAAGACGATGCGGCACCTCCACCCATCAAAATGCGACGATCGCCGCATGAACAGGTAGCCGAGAGTAACGAGCTTGCAAACAAGATAGAAGAACAGCTCCCCACTCGTCCTGAAGTGGACGAATTAGGCTATCCCGTAAACCCCCTGCCCAAGGAGCCTATCACCGATTTTTCACGCCGAAATTTCTTCACCCTCATCAATTACGTGCGAATCATGCAGAAGATCTGCAAAAATAAAGCGCACCGTAACTTACTGCTCGTACAGTACAAATCATCAAACATCATCAGGAAATCGCTCAAAGTACCGCAGAACGAGCTGCGACTGTATACGCTCAAGCTATTCAAGAATCAGGTACCGTACTGCGGTCGCAAATGGCGGCAAGGCAATATGCGCGTTATCACTGCGATCTATCTGCATTGCCGACCAGAACTTCGCGACGAGTGGCTGGCTGGTAGCGATGTGGATGCCGAAGTAGAAGAAGCCTTGCCTCTCGAGCAAGCCCTCCGGAGCTTAACGCACTGGTTCAACGTCCGGAGGTATCCGGATCAGATGGCCGCTGATATCAGAGAAGCGCTACGAAACGAGCAAGACTTCTTCAAGCGTGAGCTCGAGAAGTTGGACGTGTGGGCCGATGTCGGGCAAATAGAAAATATGAACGCCGAATGGGATCACGCTGGACACGGTCCTGCATATGGTTGAGCTTGCCGAAGTATTCGGTACGAGACCTTTGCCGCCTACATAGTATACCAAGTATATTTGATGTACAATGCATTTCATGTAGATGCGACCAGGGTTCCCTCATGGATAGGTATTGGACACTTAGCTGGATATTCTAGTGTCATGAGTAGCTTCTTTTTAAGGACGTAGTTACTAGGTAAATATCAGCTATCGTGCTGTACGGGATGGATTCGGGGCCGATGTGGATTATGTCGGTTCTGCGGAGCCGTACATAAATCTGCATTTTGTACAATACTGAAGCGGAATTTGCAGGTCCCCTAGCATGCGCATGTACCGAAATGGCATGTCGAAGGAACTATTTCGCGAAATGAGAAAATAACCCACATGAAGCCTCCCTCGCTAAACTGACCTTGAGATTTGCTCTATTTGATGATGGTACATTATACGGGTTATGTGCCTACCTCAGTTTGCCTAGCCAACTGCTGTCTAATGCTGGGTAATAGTTGGATGCGATATAAAAGTGTAAGCGAATTTGAATGGGTAAGGGTTAATCTACCTATCGTGATCTTTCGGGGCTGTCTGGTTAAGTCCTATAGCGGAGGTACCCACCTAGCTAACATGTCCAATGGATGTCGATGTCGCGATGCGGAGTGTCTGTTGGTGCCAGCTACATAGTATATCAATATTATTATCCCGACAAAGACCCCGATCCTTTCGGTATAAGTGCTAGATACATACGATGTAAGATAGGCGCCGCAAGCTTCTACTGACCCCCACGACGCATCACTTATATGTGTCTCCCTTGTATGTTTATACATAATATGTACCGATGCATAGGAGGTACAATACATACCTCCTAGATATAGGACCCCAGGCCGAACGTCTAACCTGGTTCAAAGCAGCAACGGATTGGATTGAAAATGTATGCTGGATCCTAACCTTGTCACAAAGCAAGCCCCATTGCCAGCGGGGGAATTAGGGAATCAAACAGCGACTAACCACCTTTTCCATGTATTGTACCTCCTACATAGGTGCCTACCTAGTTAGCCGTTGGCCCGTCATAGGTACATAGTAAAAAAGCCGCCCGTCCATCATCCTCGCCATCTCCGCCAAGGAAAGTTCGAACTATTGACCGGGGAAAGACGTGCCTACATAGAGCAGCATGTAAGTCGCATATGCAAGACGTGCCCCGCTAAGCTGCGGGTTTTCTGTGTAATACGTCAGTTTGTTTTCTGTCTTGTCCGTCTTTGGGGACCTTGCTCTAACATATCACATCATCACATTGCATCCCGCGTAAATCGCCGACAGGGACCGTTGTTCTATACCCGTACGTACAAGACATACATTAGGTTAGGTTAGGTTAGGTTAGGTACCTACATACCTCGTACACACTACTACATGCATACATACACGTACATCTAAATCGATGTAGGCGCTAGAAGAGCGGGGGGGAAATAAATAAAGTCGAAAAGAAGGCATCAGGGGAACAAGAGAGGAGAGACGATCAGACAGTCACGATAGGTTAGATACCTCTCTAGAGATGGTAGCAGATGCGGACGGCAAGACTTCCCCGGTCTTGTCCCTGGTCGCCGGCGGCATTGCGGGGGGTGTCGAATCAGCTTGCACGTGTGTTTCTTCCCTTTTCCCCCCCCCTTCCTCCCTTTGCTTCCCCCCTTTTTTCATCGTCTATCCCTGTGCAGCTATCTACCTAACCTACCTATACGCATATACATATCATATCACCTCATGCTATACTTGCCTACCTATACCTATACCTATGTACAGTGTACACTTATAGTAAATCGAGACTTAACAAATTAAGTAATTTGGCATGTGAATGGGTGAAAAAAAAAAAAAAGAGGCCTAACGTCTTCACAGATACCCCTTCGAGTTCGCAAAGACGCGCGTGCAGCTCTACGGCCATGAGGGCATCAGGAACCCGTTCATGGTCGTCGCTAAGGTAGCTCGGGAGGAGGGCCTGCGCGCGCTGTATAAAGGGTGCTCGACTATGATAGTGGTATGTACCTCTCTCCTACCTTAGGTACCTAGATCTATCTACCCAGTGCTGGTGCCTGTCTACATGCTCGCATTTATCTACCCCTTTTGGAGTATTCCTTTTTTATTTTCTATTTTTTTCTTGTTGCTTGGGTCTTGACTACCGCCCTCTTACCGGACAGGAAGGGAGATAGCTATGGCAGCACTGAAACCCTCTCAATCTTTCAGGGGCTGAAGACGAGTGGGTTCTGATAGAAGTTGCATAGTCGGGAGCCGTTTCAACGACTTCGTATTCCTATTCGATCAGGCGATTTGGACAGGAGAACTAGAACATCTACAAACATACCTACCTCCTATCCACCTACCTAATACATTACCTGGTACCAATGGGATTGCCTCTTTTCTGGCCCCCCTTTATGCTAAGTGGCAGGGGGCGTAATTGACTTATGCCGCGGACTCACGATTTCGAAAGCATGCGTTTTTACTCGATCTCGGTCTCGGAGAGATGGATTCTCACATGCTCGGACCTTGCATGAATATAAGACATACATACATCTTACCAGGCGGAGCAACGTCTCCGAACCACCAATACTTCGCCCTTTCCCATCTATCACACACATACATACATACCTCACACATACGTCTAGGTACACCCATCTGTTAAGCTAGCACCTACTTACTCACCATGTCTCCACCCCCTAGGGTTCCATCGGCAAAGACGCAGTGCGCTTCGTCGCCTTCGACAGCATCCGGTCGCTATTCTCGGACCCGACCACACACCGGACCACGACGGCGCAATCCATCGCGTCGGGCATGCTCACGGGGGTCGTCGCCTCGACGGCGATCGTCACGCCGTCGGAGCGCATCAAGACCGCGCTGATAGACGACGCCCGGACGTCGCGGCGCTTCCGGTCGCCGGCGCACTGCGTCGCGTGCCTGTGGCGGGAGCAAGGCGCCCGCCGCGCCCTGTACAGCGGCTACGCGACCACCACCCTCAAGCAGATCGGGACGACGGGCTTCCGGCTGGGCTCGTACGCGGCGCTCAAGGACTGCGAGCGGAGCTACGGGGTGTCGGTCGACGGCCCCGCCGTCAGCTTCGCGAACGGCGCCGTCGCGGGCACGCTGACCACGCTGGCGACGCAGCCGTTCGACACGGTGAAGACGAAGGCGCAGCAGGCGCGCGCTGTGCGCACGCTCGAGTGCGTGCGCGCCATTTACGCGGAGGACGGCCTCAGGGGGTTCTGGCGCGGCACGGTGATGAGGCTCGGAAGGACGGTGATGGCGGGTGGGATATTGTTTACGGCGAACGAGCAGGCGCTGAAGTTGTTGAAGACTGTGTTTGGCGGGTAGTTTCGCGTCCGCTACATGTTACTTAGGCCACCTACTTCATAGTACATAGGTAAATAACTAGAAGGGTATTAGTCAGGAGATACCTTTTATAATGTTACTAGACCGGCCAATCCTTTAACTCAGTACCTAAGTTAAATAGGAGGTAGTCCTCCAAAGTTGAACACTAAAAAGGGGCGAATTTAACAGTCTTGAACGACCTTGTCTTCTCAACCGCGAGGCGAAAGTAGCCCATTATTGATAGAAGGAGGTTCATGTATCATTTCAAAGGGCCAAAAATAATCTGTGTTGAAATTTTCAAAGTCAATTCGGTAGTATTTGCTACTATTCTGCATTGTAATAGAAAGTCTAGCTATAGCAAGGGGTATCAAGACAAGACCCTTTTCTCCAGAAGAATGCGACAGCAGACACTCGTCATGCGAGGCCAAATATTTAAGTATACAGAAAGGCAATTATGAAAACAAAGGCTGTCGCAACACATTTCTAGCAAAGTAATAATAAGATGTCAGAGGAACGCTTGTTTCTCCTCTCTCCTAATGCCTTCTGTGTACCTATACCTTTTTCGATAGGTACTAAATTTCTAACCTTCCACCCACTCGGAGGAAGTTCACACAGGTAAGGAGATGGGTCTCTTATTATAGAGGGAGATTTCTCTGCTTAACTTCTCTCTGTTCCTCTCTTCTCCGTTTTCTTTCCCTCTTCACTCAAGAGTGTTAGAAGGGAGAAGCTGCCAGCCCGGTACCGTCTTAAAAGGCTGGTTACGGATATAGGTGCTAACGTCAGCCTGACGAGCACATTCATTAATATAGTCGTGTACCTGAGGAAGGACGAAGCCTGGCTCGGTAGCATGTCCTTCAAATTCGGGTATCTCGATGATGTTGTACGGTTCACTACGTGCTTTCTCGATCGAGTCGTCCACTAGTAGAGTATCAGCCTGACTCCATCGTTTTCCTTCTGCAAACTCTGGATGGCTAGCCGCAACAGTAGGATCGGCCCACAGAGCACTGAGACGCTTGTAACATATAACGCGGGTGTTATAGTCATCTGGCGACAAGCCGAAGCGTTCGCGGCCCCAGACGGCAACAACCCTGGATAGTTGCTCGGGAGTGAGAAGTTGCGCACACATTCTTTTCACGTTGTTCGATTTCGCTGAAGACCAGATAACGACCTTGAACGTATCAATGCAATAGCGCAAGAAGGTGCGCGCGTGAGGACGCTCGACGAAGGAGGTAGGATTGTGTCGGCTAGGTCGGTATAATAGCGTGCCGTTGAGGTCGATGACTACGAGGATCTTGCGCGCATATGGTAGCTGGAAAGGCGGATATGCAGCAAGGGCTAGATACTCTGGGGAAGGATCTGGGACACCACCTGAAGCAGCAGACGGCTCGGTTTTCTTATCCCGGCCGTTTTTCAACTTCTTCGGTTTCTGAACTTTGTTCGGCTTTGCGTCGTTGCCATTAATGATTGCTGGACTTGGGGAGCGAGGGACTGGAGATCCTATAACAGAAGGTGGTGAATAGGGAGGAGAGTCTACTTCAGGCGGAGGCGGCGTAGAGATGTTTGCGAATAGGCCGGCGTCAGCTGTAGAAGCCTGCGATTGAGGTTGAGATTGCGATAGCGACTGAGCTTCCAACGGTATTTGTTCTCCATCTTGTACAGAGATAGGCTTAGAGGCTTGTTGGATTAAAGACCTCTGAGAGATAAGGGGTGTATACCCCGACCCCGACCCCGACTGATATCCCCATTCTTCCGAACTCATGATGCGAGTTTCTAAATTTCGGAGTAGCGTATGGTGTCTAGGTTGCGAGAACGCCGTCTCTGTCGCAGAGGTTGAAAGGCGCGCCGAGACGACCAGGCTTTTGAAAGACGGCTTCAAGAGCCCGGTAGACACTTTTGCTACACCACGCAGCACATTACCTCGAGAGATGTGCCACATGAAGGAAAGCGGCGTAGCCAAAAAGTTTCTTCACACCAGGATAAAGTGAAGATGTGTGAAATAAGAAAAAAAAAACGGCAGGTTAAGGCAAATGCAATAAAGAAAAGACCCTTGGTTGTCTTTGGTGGGGCAATGGGGCCGATAATGTTTATCGATAGATAAGTTCTTTCTTTATCATCGCCTTATCACCTTATCACTTTAGTACATGCATATAATTTAGGTACCTACATGGAGGTACCAAGTGTTACCATATCGGAATTTCAACAAACCATACACATTAATCATTAATCCAAGTTTTCTACCAAGATGGAACGCACAGCAGCAGCGAAGCGTAAAGCACCACTTTCAACTCTCCAACGACGTGTAAGAGCAAGGAGAGATGAACCGGAAGACATTCCCAGCGAACCCAGCAATCAATTCCAAGGAGAAGAGAGCAGTGAAGATGAGGGTTCCGAAGAACAGAGCGATGAGGATGTGAATAATGCTGAAGTATGCAATCTGAAAATCATTTGAGATTGAATTAAGGGTGAGAATGAGGAACTATGCTAAATAACAATCATATAGTCACAGTTATCATCCGAGGAGGACGAAAGCGAAGACGAAGGCGAAGACGAAGGCGAAGACGAAGACCAAGTAGAAGACCCATCAGCAGCTGTCTCGCAGATCTCGTTCGGCGCTTTAGCCAAAGCACAAGCATCTCTACCCAACATACGGCGGAAGAAAGGCCGCAAAAGCCAAGGAGATGAGGAAGAGGAAGAGGAAGAAAATGGCCAAGATAGTAACAAGCGACACAAAGACTCATCACGATCCGAGTCCAAAGCCAAACCTCTCGTGCCGCACCGCACCAACAAGCACGCACCCACCGAGCAATCCAGCAAGCGGCCGGTGACACGGCGGCGAGAAGTCGTGCTGCTGCACAAGCCCGTGGCGCGGGACCCGCGGTTCTCGGCGGCGGTGCAAGGGCGGCCGGTGGACGAGGAGCGGCTGCGGCGAGCGTACGGGTTCCTCGACGAGTACCGGGACTCGGAGATGGCGCAGCTGCGGGAAGCGGCCAAGAAGACGAAGGACGCGGCCGCCAAGGAGGAGCTCAAGCGCGCGCTAGCGTCGATGGAGGACAAGAAGAAGGCGCAGCAGGCGCGCGAGGCCGAGCGCCGCCTGCTCGAGGAGCACCGCCGGCGCGAGAAGGAGCTCGTCAAGCAGGGCAAGAAGCCCTTCTACCTCAAGCGCAGCGAGCAGAAGAAGCAGCTGCTCGTCGACCGCTTCGCGAGCCTCAAGGGCAAGCAGGTCGACCGCGTCATCGAGAGGCGCAGGAAGAAGTTGGCTTCGAAGGAGAGGAGGGAAATGCCGTTGGCGAGACGCGAGGCGAGAACATGATAAACGTATACCTCTTAAGATACCAGGTGCCGATGAAGGGGATGTGGAGGGCTTTTTTTTATTGTTATTTGTTATGAGCAAGAGGGTAGGGTCCGGCACGAATACATACTATGCCTCATATATGTATACCATACATAGCCCTGTGCCGTTGTAGTCTATGATAGATGTTATGACATAACCTAGGTACAAACAAAATGATACCATTTCCCCCCCTAATTCTACCCACTCCCGTATTACTCCATTGTCTCCCGCTCCATGTCGTTTTTAACCTTACTAGATTCTATATACAGAGGTGAGTGGTCATTTATTTCTTCTTCTATTATACAACGCTATTCGCGTCCATCTTCTTCAACGCCTGTTCGAACAGTTCGCGACACCGTACGCGAGCACCTAACTTGGCGCAGAGGAGGAAAGCGCCGCTGAGTTTACGGTGTAGGCTGTATGTTTCTTCCGGAGGGGGGCTTAGACGCTCACGGATCATGGTGGGGATAAGCGCCTTGACACGCTCTGTGATGGTCTGGTCGCTGAAGTCGTAGACCTGAGGCGCCGAGTCTAGGAACGGTTCGGCCAGTGTTAAGATCGAGGTTACGTGCGCATCGAGCATGGTCTTGCTCTCGTGGCCCGTCAGATATCCGAGGCTGCGGGATAGCTCGATGACAGTACGGCGGTCGGAGCGTGCGGCGGCTGCGAGCAGGCCGACATACTGGGCGACGAATTTCTCGGGGAACTCGCGTGAGGCACCGAAGTCGAGAAGCTCGAGTTTTTGAGTATTGGCGTTATATAGGAAGTTAGTCCAATTAGGGTCCGTCTGCATGAAGCGGAACTCGGTGATCTCGCGTAGACAGAGCCGTAGAAGGTTTGTGCCTATCCAGTCTCTCTGTTCTTGCGTAAAATTCTTGTTCCGCGTCACGCCCACTCCCTCCATAAACTCCATCGTCAATACATGCTTTCCCGAGGCTTCTGTATAGATCTTGGGCACAACGAAGACGTCCGATTCGTCGGCTAGAAGTTCCCGGTACCGTTGCCCACATTGAGCCTCTCGCTCGTAGTCGCATTCCCAACCTAGTTCTGTCCGGGCATTATCTATCGTCTTATTGAGATACAATCCCTTCGGTAACATTTTAGAGGCGGTAAGGAGCATGGAGATGTTATCTAGGTCGGAGTTGATCGAATCGGCAACGCCTGGGAATTGGATCTTAACAGCCACCCTTTCTCCTGTAGACTTGAGCGTAGCGCGGTGCACTTGGCCGATTGACGCGGCAGCTATGGGCTTGTCTTCGAATTCGTCGAATAGCTCTCGCCATTCAGGTCCGAGGTTTGCCGTGAGTACGCGGTCACGCTGCCACGCGGGCATGTAATCGGCTCGATCTTGGACTCTCTGGAGAACCTCCTGTATGGGACCAGGAAGCATCTTGGTATCCTGGAAACTCATCATCTGGCCCATCTTCAAGGCGGCACCTCTCATGCGGGAAAGCTTAGCAACGAGTCGCTCCATGTTCCCAGCGCTTAATAAGACTGAGCCCTTGCCGCCGCCGCCCATGCTTCTGCTAAGCCCTTCGGTGATAGCGCCGCCTAGCATCCCGGCGGCTAGTCCCCCGTAGTTCCATAATCGGCCCAAGCGGGTAGATGGCACTTTAGACTCCCGGAGGACGTAGGCCGGTCTTGCCGACCCGTCGTTGAACATGGCTTCTGCTTCGGCGGTTGCTTCCGGTGATGTCTCTATTTTTTCTCTGGATAGAATTTCATCGACCATCTGAGTGTGTTCCTTCTCGACCTTCCGGGTTATAGCTTCTTCTTTAGCAAATGGGGTATCGTTGTTGGCTTCCCTATGTGTCGTCTTCTCATTCGCCGCCGGATCCGCTTGTGAAGCCGAATTCTCAGCAATAGGAGGCGATTCCTGGGTCTCCTCTTTGCGGGGTTTCGCCCGTCCGTGGCCGTAATCCTTGAACCATCCAGGAGATGGAGCAGCAGCAATCGGAGGTCGATTTGCACGCAGCATATCTTTTTGCCCCTCTATTATCTGCGAGCCTCGGCTTGTGTGAAATACGTTTATATTCACATCTGGAGGAATGTCCTCCTTAGCCACCGTGCTCGGGCTGGAATCCTGCTTTGCTAAGTGAGGCTGAATAGTCGGATATGATTCGACCTTGACGACTTTGGGAGCCTCCTCTGCATTTTCCCTTAGTCGGGCTAGAATTGCACTTTGATCTGACTGGATTACCGGTTGCTGTGTGGGCGCCACGTCACTCGGAGAACTGCGTCGAAAAAGATTTCTGTAGCCATCTTTCTGTTCAGAGGGCGAGGCTCTAGTATCTTCAACCTTCCTTTGTATGCTACTGGATGGAGAATCCTTCACATGAGGCTCTAAGTTTTCGGCTTGAATTACAGTTGAATCGGGTTGAGTGGTTATACCACGAGATTGCTCTTGGCCGCCAGCAGAAGTATCAGTAACATTGGAAGTTTCCGGATGAGCAGGATAGGCACGCTGCTGTTTCCGCCTTAAAGACCGAATAATACTTGAGGTTTGGCCATAGCGGTTGATCTGTTGAGCTCGGAGCTCTAGATGTCTCGATGCAACAGACCGGGATGCTTGGACGACAGCGGCCAAGTCGATAACGATGTCCGCGAACCTCATAGGGGCGACTTTTTTTTGCAAGGCAAATATTTACCTCAAGCCCTCATTCTAGCCCTATCCTTTAATCCCCACGTCTAAAAATTTCGGTTAGCGACAAGTGAGTTTGAAGTTGAGACGTTCACAGCTGATTCCAAAGAGCTCAAAAATTGAGATGGTACTTAGTACTTCGGTACATACATTAGGTACCATGTACCTACTGCCCCAGGTGCCAGGTGGTAACTCTCTAGATCTGCCAGGGTCCAGGGTAAAAGCTCTCGCCACAATGTGGCTAGTGCAATTCTTTGCATGCGATGCCCCAATTCCCCCTCCCCCCTTTCCCAATACCGACAAGATTGAATTATTATTAATCTAAAGTTGGAGGAGAACTACAGATGAAATGATATTAATATCATGAATAATATATAACGTATTGCCCATCGCGTATCTGCTCATCTATAATGGGTCTTATGGTAACCAGCCTATAATTCAGGAGATAGATGCCCCTTTATGGAATCGCTCTTTGCATAAGCTACTTTCAGTGCCTTTAGTACCAGAGTATGCTCTTTGCCAGACATACTTTCACGGGGACTCTAATAGGGACTATAGTATAGTTTGCATGTTTCCATCTAGTTAGAGAGATGCGGTCGTGTTATGTCCACTACTAAGGTGTTGTCTTAAACTCCGAAAATTCTCCTTAACTACCTCCTACCTACTTCTCGGTTTGAAACACGTTCTAAAAGCCAGAGACTTAAGAGAATCTATGGGTATCTATGTACAGTCATGAGCGCTGCGTAAGCAAGTTGCGGCTGTCGTTATGAACGTATCTGCCCCTTGTTTAAGGAGATGTGGGCCTCGTATGACCACGGCAGTATCATATCAAGGACGTCCTCAGAAACGGTAAGAGATGACGTGCATCTATTTCGGAAATAAAAGCTACGATACGATACCTCTTATTTGTGCTTTGTTAAAGGCAAGGGTATCATATAGTTCAATAGGAAAAGAGTGGAATTTTTACATGGAATCACTATAATAAAACGCAACAGGATAATAATCTGACGACCGCCTAGTTACTCCCTGTCCCTTCTAAGGCGGAGACACGCTGTGAAGAAGACCTCGCATGTGGAAGTACCAGCTTCCTGGAAAGCCCCTCTTTAGCGGATCTTGCGGATCTTCCGGGTAATAGGAGAATATACCCACTTAGTGATAGTTCTTAGCCGCCCCTGATATAAATAGTACTCGTGCCTTGGTTCGAAAGAACAGGGCGAACCGCAGGAGCACATCGGAATAAACCGAATCACGAAGGTGCGAAAAAGAAATTAGGACATTCGTGTTTTTCTAGCTAAATCATCTCCAGCAGCTATTACCGTCTATATATCAGGACCTTTTTAAGGCCCTTATCTCGTAATATCTAGTCCGCCACAGTTCATAGTTTCGGTTGTCATCCAGTCATCGGGAAATGCGACACCTCCTCCCGCCATCGTACAGTAATTCCTACTAGTTCACACAGGATAGCGGCCATAGGCACTGGCCTTGCAAACGCAAAACCACCCCAATATCGAAATAAAAAGAGACGGGAGGCGACTCCCGCCTCTCTGATGGACGCCTGTATATGCATGATGATGATACACTTGACCCACCAATCCTTATCCTGATGTAGAAGTAGAACTAGCATCTTGGCCCCAGTGTCTGTTTTGGTATCATACCAGCCACGCAACGCCTTTCAGTAGAAGAATTGAATCGAAGAGAGAATAAAAAAAATCAAAAAAAAAAACAAAGAAAAAAAAAAGCGTTACAAGAGAGCATTAGAGTCCATCGTGCTTCTGTAATGTGTAAAGGATACTGCTGGAGGAAAGTTAACGAACGAAGGAAGGGTTCTCCAAGTAAGAAAACCCGAGTTCTAGTAGTACATATCAATTCATCATTTTTGTCTATAACCTCAAAAACAGGTGCTGTGGCGTCCGTTAGTCTGATAGACTTCAGATCCAATTAGGCCTGCCGTTTGAAGCAGCGCTCGAATCACCGCGGTTTCGAGGGGGCAATCGCGTTGACGTGCCCTGTATGGGCGAGGTGTTTGTTCTGCGGGGAACATTGAACCCGACTCCCTTAGGACTGGGTGTTTTCGATTTCGTAGGACTGTTTGGATCGTAGACAGTCGGATTTAATGTGCATTCGCTTCCTTCATCATCGGACTTAGGAGACTTAGCGGCCATCGGCGGGAAGTCTTTTATGTTCGAATCTCTTGAGTAAGAGCTTTGCGGTGGTGTGATGTTTGATGCGTTGGAGACTGCGAGAGGACCAGGCCGATAAACATTCATTGACTGGTCGTCCTGGGGACAGTCTATAGAATAGACTCTTTCGGTGCCTGTGGAAACCTCGCTCTGCATCGCGCCGATATCTGCGATATTTGAGATACGTATACCTATTTGAACCGTTGTGGATGAGCTCATGGAGGAGTCTCGGCTGCCGCCGCCCCAGGAGGTTCGTATTGATGGAGGTGGTTGGAGAAAGTCGTCTACATCGTCGGGTGGAAGTCCGTTTATGGTAAAAGTTGGCTGGGGGTTAGAGTTGTAGGTAGTTGATGGTAATAATGCAACCGAGGTAGTGTTGTTTTGGTTCTTGTTAGGAAAGAGCTTGTAAGATGCTGACGGTTTCCGGCTATGCGAATTTGCCGAAGGGATGGCAGATACTTGAACGGGCTCTGGAGCTCTTGGAAAGGAGAAGTTTGGAGTTCCAAATACTGCGTTGGACCTTAAGGGGTTCGGTTTCATCGGGCTGTACATTGGAGAATCCATAGAATACGGACTCATGCCACGTTCCATGGCGTCGCTCTTCTCACCTATAAGGCTTTCCTCACTTCCCGTCTTCGAGAAAGACACAGGGCCGGATACTGGTTTAAGTATGTGACCGTTAAAGTCCATACTGTTTGCTGCTTCAGCTTCGTACTGAAGTTTTAGCTTCTGCCGCTCATACTCGCCCAATTTGCTGCTGGAACCGATGGTAGCAATGCTGTTGGATCGAAGAAACAGATGAAGACCCCCGGTTGTAAGCCCCGAGACATTCGCCACGACTGTTGAAATCATCGATAGTGTCAACCCGGAACTGCCACTATCCTCCATAGGATTCGAGAAAGTAAGTGATATAAAGAACGGGACGATCAAGGCCTGGACATGGTCAGTGTGCGTATACCTTGATGATCAGATGTTAAATGCTTACGTTGGTTACAACTGCTAAAATAAGGAAGTACACCATCCTAGAAGCGCTAATCCGCTCAGAATCTTCGATCGTCGAGTGCCTTGTTAACTTTAAAAAGATAATGACGGCGCAGATCGCTAAAGTGGTTGCGATAAGGAGTAGTATCACGAAGCCGCCTTCAGCCCATTTGGCTACGAACCAGAAGAGCGAAGCAAAGCAGAAATTGGGAGGCTGAACAAAGTAGCCCACTAAGCCGGTCGCTAATAAGAGGACCTTGATCACGATGAGACAGATCGGAACATTCCACTTGCTTCTTGGAAGGAATGGTCTGCTTCGTAGAGCTCGAATGGTAACTTCCAGCCCGAAGACCAGCTGGATGTATGGTACGATGAAGATCGCTAGAGAATACCTAAGGTTAGTATGATATGTTATCGGTGTGTCATATCGAATGCTACGTACTAGGCCACATGAGCTGTGATATTAAAGAGCATCCCCGTAGGAAAATACTATTTAAGCCGTATGATTGAGCGACGGCAAATATGATGCCTTGGATCGTGATTCCTAAAGATAGCAGGAAGGGATATGTTGCGGGCCCCTGAACACAGCGGAAAGCATTGACTCTTGGGATAGTCGTAAGTATTCCATTCATGATCTGTTCGGAAGTGTATAGTAACTTACTTCTGCTTGCCGTCTGGATTTGACCGTTTTGCTCTTGTGTAGCTGTCATAGTAAATACCGGCTGCCGTCGCGAAAGCCGATACCGTATTGAAAGCGGAGAGGATGATTGTTGATTGCCGTATCGAATTTGCAGCCATGACCTTGAATTGATTGATAACCCCGAGCGTCGAGTTGGTGCTGAACGATGCTTGTGAAAATCCATTTGGGTAGCCTAACGAACTCATATTACTCTGCCAGCCATTACCCATATTACTGAAACCGTGAAAGTTATCCATCTTGTCTAACGTGGCTGCTACCCAGGTGTAGTTAATATCAGGCGAGGGCTTCGGGCCAAACAGTCGCCTGTCGTCGTAGCCAAGTCATCTAACTAATGAGTGTGCCGGGATAGCGCTCGATATTACAGTACGACGTTCGTTCACGAACCGGAGGATGAAAAGACAACAGGATGCAAAGCAAATATGAAATATGCCATACAAAGAGCCAGCTCGTAAAATGAGGAAAAACAATTCCTGAACCAGCAGTTATCAGGTCAAGCCTGAACGAAGGGAAACGAAAAGACGGTCGCGGTCACAGACGAGCGTAGGCCGGTGAAGTGAAAGAATGTGCACCAGGCCGTAAGTCTCCTCCAGAGGAGATGACAGAATGAGAAGAATGCATAGAAGGAATCGGTAATAAGAGACATCCACCTCGAGGACTAGTTCGAGGGTAGCAGTCCCGCGCGGGCCAGCCAAGTCCGGGTTGGACTAAACGGCTCATTCTGCAAGATCGTTCAAGGGTACCATCATCGTATGTACTACATAACAGTGCTTGCGCAGTCTAAGCTGGGAAGCAGAGAGACTCACGATTGGTTCCAACCAGGCCATGGCGACGAGAGCCCACACTGATGAGGCTGCGTATTAGCTACCTAGAGGTATATCGATTCATCCAAAATGAACAACCTAAGTACTTTTCAGATGAGATCCTATGAAGTTGCAGGGCCCGAGTACATGGTAGGTACCAATCCGAGCTAGATTGAACCTAGATTGAACCTAGATTGGCCCATTCATGAAGAATCTGTAGTCACGATAATAAGAGACCTGCGATAATGATGAATACAATACACTGGCTGACTGGTACCTTAGGTAGGCAACGAAAGAAGGGGGACCCGCTAAAGCATTGAGCTGCGGGAGTAGATGAGGCAAAGATGGAACGCGTAGTGGTTTCGACATCCCTTGTCGACTCGCTAAATTATCGCAATGAAGTTGGGGCTCGGGCCACCCAAGGGGTCACTTAAACCTCGTTAGGGAAAACTGAAGCCCAATAAGATTAGTCCATGAGTTGCCGCCGCCAGGGGTCAACCCTTCCGAACACAAGCCAGACGCACCCTTGTAACATGTTTTCTGACTTCAACCTCAACCTCTGGACCTTATCAGCGCACTACAGGAGTATTTTCATCCTACGCGGGTGGCTTTAGGTTCTAAGCTCATCGTATATTTCACCGGTTCTACTCGGAGCCCTCGCATATCTAAAGGACTTCTATACACAGGTACCTACAGGTAACCTAGTACACGCAGCTAGATGTTTCTGCGCCGTTTCCATGCGTGGCAAGCCCCCCATAGCGGGTCTACAGGTTCCTGAATAACATCTACTGGTACTAGTGAGGATGAAATCGAAAGATTGTGTTACAATTCAGCGAAGTAGACCCCTTAGCCAATACGAAAATCTCAGGCATATGAGATGCATGAGAGAGAAATGGTACCTACATATCTCGCTTTCGCAACTTCTTGGCTAACTTCATCATGTAGTAAACCAGTGCCAGGCAATTTCTTTTGGTGATTTGTATGTCTACACCCATCCATACCCCAACGGAAATAGAGTTGCCATGATCGGGTTCGGCTTAATGGTCGATCATATCGGTAGCACGAGGATCCAACTTAAAGGATACTCTATCCTTATACCCCTTTTCCCCGGATGTTGGCTGGAGTCTGAAGCGCTGTTCGTAAGAAAGAGTTAGTCTGGCCTACAACAATACGGGGGCCGATGGGAACCCCTTGTGCGAATCGCTGCGGGTGTGATACAAGAAACGGCCGACGACGCGTGGGGTTCCACTTACAATCGTTCGGACGAACAAAACATGAGTTGAAAATTCAACGGGAGGAAACTTTTAGATCTATATTAAGATCAGAGGCTTATCTCTGACGCAAGTTCGCGAAGTTTATCAGTCGGCGTGTCGCCCATCGCTAGAATACTATGGTCTACTCGATAGAATCCAATCTCTATCAACTATACGGCTAGTAATGAAACATGTGGCTATTTTTACTAGATCATAGGTAGTTGATAATACTATATTAGTATAACAGGTAGGTACCTAAGACAGTCCAAGATTCGCTTTTGATGTAACTAGTATTATGTCTAAAGCTTACGTAGGTGTATGGCATAAAAACTACCAAAGCATGGTCTGCTGGCGTGTCTCCGGGGCTTTAAACTGGTACCTGCATGAATACCAGGAGGATAGGAGGACATCCGGAATCCTATCACGCCTTGGTAAATCGCGGGGTGGCCTGCATGCACCCAAGTAGAATTAAGTAGGTGGTTTTAAGGCTAAGCTTCTTGAGACTGTCTTTGGTTGGTAGGAATGATGCCGATCCGAGATGATAAGGATTACAACCAGATGCGAGTTTCTAGGCTCCTGAAAGTTGTATTGTAGTACGGGATGCACGGGTGTGGCGCCATTCGTTGACGGCGTATTGCTCAGCGGGAAGGATGAAGGTTATCCAGAAATCATTCATCTCAACAGCATTGATGCGAAGTACCTTAGGTAGACTTGCTTAGAAATGTATCCGGGTATTTGATTGCTGAGGGGGTAATTCGGCGTTGCATTAAGGGGAGATTTCATTTATTAGACGACCTACTTATTAACATGGTCTTTTTTGCTAAGCCTACCCAGGTAGACATGTACAGAAACAAATTAAGCCTTATACAGCTTCTAGGAAGCAACACGTTCATAGATTTTAAACCCCGAGGTCTTCTACCACCTTAGGTACCAGGTACCTAGATGCCCGAGATGAATCGCTGCTAAGTCTTTGTTCTGTTACGAACACGACCATGAATTGGGAAATCCAGCTTGAGTCAACTTTCCGGGGATAAGCTACCTAAGGTAGAATAAAATAAATTCTTCCATGTTTCAAACACAATTATTAGACATCATATAAATCATTCCAGAACAGAATGTCGTGCAGCACATCCTCAGGCAGATTCAACGAAGTAAAATTTTCACGCTTCGGAGTTCGGATTCGAACGTGGATATCTGCTGCAGTTTTCCAGCCAAAATACCCAGCCATTTCCCAGTCGACAAGTCCAACAATCTTGTCATTATCGACAATGCAATTGGATAGCAAAACATCATTATGCATAAAGCTGAGATTGGTATCTTTGCCGTCACCCGCAAGAATGATTTCTTCTTCGATTTCTTGTATCCCGCGATGGTGTATGGGATCTGGATCTGGGACGATATAGGACCGGCGGCTGATTCCACTTGGGGGGATCACTGTGCCCAGCTTCTTCAGCATTTGCCGTGCTTGTTCCTTGAAGGAGGCCTTTTGAGGCTATGTTTAGGCCGACACCGGGAATTCTCTCTTGGACAAATACATGCCGTCCGTTGATCTATCAGTGAAATGACATTAGGGGTAAGTCAATTGAGCCTAGTGTAATTGCGAGTACCTCAGAAGCGAAATAGACCTTGGAAACTTTGATGTCACCCAATACGTTTCTTGCGAGGCGAATAGCCTCCGCCTCGTTTGCATCGGCATATGAATAGTCGCGGTAAGCTCGTCGGCCCTCGAGATTTGGCTTCAAGTGACTCGACTTAATAATCACGCTTCCGAGCGCAAATACATCGCGCCCTCCTTCATCGTTTTCATAGATTCTATTGTGTTCCGTACATTGTGCAAGCACTGTGGACCAATAATTCAGGGACTCTTGGGTCGTGACGTTGATATGCTTGGCATCAGGCTTGAAGTCAGTAGGGCGGGGAGAGTATCTGCCATACAAAGGTACGTCGGCGTATCGATCTGTGGACGGTATTTTGCTAGGGTCAGATTCGTATGGATTCATCATGCTACCTCTATTATGCTAAAATGGACAGGTACCAAGTTACGTTAAGAGTGAGAGCCTCAACTGAGAAATGTTTGTGAATGCTCGGGTGAGCAGTCTACCTATCACCGATCGATCACATGAGTGCTGCTCCCCTTGCGTCCAAACTGGAAGCGTAGGAGCAGAAATTAATTAAAGAAAAGGAAAATAATCTGGATTAGGTACATGTACTACGTAAGGATTTTGCTTACAACATGATTGACTCCTAAATAAATGGAAGGTAGCACAACGTTGTCAGATATTTACAGGCAGTTAGGTACCTACGTCCTAGACCTTACCTTGTATTATGTAATTCTCACAGTATTCAAGTCTCGGATCTCGACTAGCAGCACTGTATGGTCGCCTTTTTCTTACCGAAACCCGCTTTCTCCAAACCCAAGGATCCTAAGTTGACAACACACCATACAACTTTACGAATAACGGACGTTTTATTTTAGAAGCCAATCGTCACTACGCCTGACTTGTCCATTTTTCCAAGTCTTATTTTCGCTGTAGGTTTTCCAGCTATGGATAAAATATCTAGCCATCGCTCGTGTACGAATCCGTACTATCAGCGTCGTTTCAACCTTACGACTGTTCGTACGCGACCGTGGGTCCGGCCGCTTCGCCAACCACGGGCCTGTCACCACTCCCTCGATACTTACCTCCACCAACATGTCTTTTTAAGATAGCAACCGTTGCTGGAAATATGGAGTTGCGAATTGATCCCTTAGCAAGTCTACCAAAACTCGCCTGAGGATTTCTTCAATTTTCACAGCTGTTCCTATTCAACTCCTCAGCGACCCCAATCCACGATTCCTATCGACGTCGGACCCATGCCTGTCTAGATGAAGGGGAAATATCTACCTCCTATTCAGCATGCCAGACGTTTCCACGAGGCTTTGTGCAATATGTGTTGCAACTTGCAACAATCCGCCATGTCGTGACCGTCAATACTTGGCGGAGAGAGTATATTTATCAGTGCGCCTGGCGGAATTATAACACCTCTAAACCTTTTGAGAAGTTTCAGGCTCTCTATCTCTACTACTTGACCGGATGTAGTCCATATTATCTGCAGGCATAATGACGCCATATTTCACCTCTGGCACCTGGCCTTACCGGCCTTTTCCCTGACAGCACCCGCACCCTGATGATACCATCTCGCTACCTAGGTAGTCTTCATCTAGAGATGAGAGGTCGAGATATGCATTCCCCTGTAACCTAACATGGGCTTACTGCTGCTTTCCACAAGTATCAGATAGTTCTACATTTCCTTGTGCCCGGATTTTTATGTCGAGGTTTTTATCGGATTTGCATATTATTACATGGAAAGAGCTGGTTCTTTCAGTGATAATTTTCCTGATTTACGGTGTATTCGCATCTTGATAAAAGGAACCAGAGTGGAGGCAAGAGTGTTGTCGTGCGGTATGACGCTCAGGGACTTTTCATTTTGATCTCATCTGCGCCTTGCTTAAGCAGATGTCGACCGAGCCTGAACTGGATGTCTGTCTGAGTGGCCCTGTTAGCGGCTTCCAAATATTATTTACTGTCAGTACTGCAGGAAAAGAATCCATCGGATATATCAGGTATGCTCCCAGACGATATCCAACAACAATGGAATTCCGGAGGCAACGCAGTCGGCAGACGATAAAGACGCAGAGGCCCCCCTTCAGGATTGCTGTGGTCTATTAAAGAACACAGTTATCTAGGTGCCCAGGCTGTTATCTGTTATATGGGTTGGAGGTTGAATGCCTAACAATATTGGTTCTTTATTGCTTGATGGGGGATTAGAATGGCGACAAGAAAAGAGAGGATGACTACGGTCTGAACAGCAAGGTGGTATTTAGATTGCACATCATCGTAGATAGCATACGGCTTATTTTGCTACTTGACTCGCCTAGTTCCTCCTACTAGGCTGGTCACTAAAACCTGGGGATGCCGAGACATTTGCAGGTGTTTTGCCTTGGTCTCGATCAAAGGACTGCGCAACCTGGAAAGCACCTCGAAAAACGTTTAACTCGTTTTGCTCGAGCGTTGCTGCTGTTGCGGCCGCCTGCACGCTGGCTGGTACCTATCCTTTACGGACTACCATCTTGGCGGTACGAGAAGTGCTTAAAAATTGGGACCGGACAAAAACTGGATTTTCGATCCAACAGTTCTCAATTTTTTCTGCCCCTCAGACATCAGCGGTCTAGGTGGCGGTGGTAATAGTGGTGATAGAAGGTAGGTAGGTACGCTTAACAAAAGTTTAGGTACCTATCGATAGTGGGAGGAGGTGCTTAGAGGTAGCCTAGCACCCTATCTACGCTATCCGCTATCCGCTATCTATACCCAGGCAGCCAGGTCGCTAGGGTGGGTTTTTGACTTGGCTGGGTAAAAACGATTGTGCCGCAAGGCTCCCGGGGGGCGGAAACGCCAAAGCTTCGCGACCCAGAAATTCTTGGACGGGGGAAAACCTTCAAAACCACCGCGGTGCATTACATCTTTACCAGGAGTTGCCTCATACTGGATTTTGATGCTCTCTTTCCGACATTAAAACTTATCTCCCTCACCTAAGGTTAGGTACCTAGTGAAGATCGAATCGCATGCATTCCTTTTTATTTTTATTTTTTATTTTCTTTCTTCCTTTTTTTTTCTACCGGATTCGTCATAGCATCCGAAACTCCGACATTTTTCAATCCTTTTTCTATTCAGGTCCTTTACTCTGATTAGCCTTCCGTCTCACTATCACCTATTGTTCTCCAAACATCAAATCCAATCTTGGGTTTGCGGGGCAGACAAGGGTAAAGACGAAGAGAAAGGAAAGAAAAAAAAAAAGGTACCAGCGCGCACGTCACGTTTATCGACCACTTATCAGTCACCTTTTCTCAGTGGATGAGGCTGCTGAGGTGGCCTGACCCCCATGTCTTTCGGCAACATAATTTTACCGTCCTCTCTCTTCTAACTGAACGGGCTGAAGCCTGACCTGGCATTGGTTTAGCGGTCTTCTGTTACTGGAATTGGCACTAAATCAATGCAGTCGGTTAGTGCTAAAATGAGAGATGCCGACATGGATTCAGCAATGCATCGACGCCCCAGTATGCCTGGTCTTCAATCACCACCGCCAGCTCCAAGTTCAGCTCCAAACAACAAATTTGGATCTAATTTTCATTCCCGAGATGTTGCCATGAAACACGATCAGAGCAGTAAAGGTTACGACAACGACGACCGCGAACGCGTCCGCGATCGCAGGGATCGAGATAGATTTGATTCAGACCGTCGAGCTACGGCTATCAGTTCCCACTCTAAGCCGCTTACATCGCGATCTCAGTCGCCTACTTCTCGACGTCCCGAGGATCATAGTGTTAGGACTAAGAGTACCCGCGACGAACCATTTCCGCGGCAAAGTGATAGGCCATACAAGTCTGATGTAAATCAACGTGGTCGATCGCAAGACCGAGAAGGGAATCTAGAAGATAACAGTGCTCGCGAAGTTAGCGATCGCCTTTTGCGAGACGAGCAGGGTCAGAAATTAGACCGCAGCAAACACCGCAATATACCTACGTCTCCTAGACACGGCCCCAGGAGTAACGATTACGCGAACCACGGTGCTAGAGGCCGATCCTTCTCACCAACCTCCAGAAAAAGGCGGAGGAGCCGGAGCCCGCTCCCTTTCCCACCTCCGCGACCCAAGAAATCTAGGCGCGAGCGTGAACGGGACCGTCGACGTCGAGCAGAACGGGCGGAGAGAGATCACCTAAAAGGTTCAATTCCTTCAGCCTCTCGTAGACGTTCTCCTTCACCTCCTTACGACAACGAGCCTCACTCTAGGCGTGCCGACCGTAACGAACCATTCGAACCGCGTCGAAATCATCATCGTAGTCGTTCACCGGTTCATGAAGATAACTCTGAACCGGATCCTTCTTTTGCTCCACCTCACCCGCGAGCAGATTCACAAAATCGTGGTCGCAGCCGTTCTAGTTCCCGACGATCATCCTTTTCGCGTCCACATTCATCACATCGTCCGCCTGATCGACATCATCACGGTTCGTCTGAAGCTGGTTCACGATCACGTCGATCATCGCCTGCTATCGAGCCCCCTAGATCTGAATTTTTGCCCAGGTCGCCCAGGGAGCGCGGGTCTCGCCGTTCTCGCAAGAAGGGCAAGCATCGTGAAGAGTCCAAATTCCCTCTCGGGGGTCAGTTGGCGTCTGGTGCAAACAGTATCGAAGTTAATATGTCCAGACGGTTAGAGAACCGAGGGACTTCTAATATACAAGCGCCTCCTACCCGCCCCGGGAACTCCCAATATAACGATCGCCGACCTGCTCGTTCGCCGCGTCCTAAATCACGCTCATCTTTTCAAGGTTCCCCAACGTCGCAATCACCTTATGGTGGTGGTAGAGCAACTTGGAGTAATCAACGCCAAGGCTCGCCTCATAGGTATGCTCAACTAACTTCCTATAGGTTCAAATTATATACTTACCATTATAAATTTAGTCAATATTCTACACACCAACCCCAAAGTAGTCATGGGCCTCCTACAGGCCCTTCGGCTCACCACCAGTCAGCCCAGTCACCTCAACCGCCTACCGGTCCCATGTCCCAATCTTACTCTCACAGCCGTAACTTTTCCAGGGGGGGCTTTCGGGGTAGCATGCATCCTGCCCGAGGTAATTATCGGAGTGTAGGGGGCGCACAGAACGCCCAGCGATCAGATACCGGTAGAGGTATCCCTAACCATTCCAGAGAGAATACTCCTCAACATCACCACAGCCCACATCATTCTACTTCAAGCCACCCAGATGTAGCCGGAGCAAAGGAGGATAGAGATGATGACAACGCATCCAGAGAATCAAAGCCTCATAGTGAAGATTTGCTGTCGGAGAAGAATGTTAACGAGCAGATGCCTCCGCCTCGACCCCCTCCCACAGCTCCGACAGGTCCCGCAAGCTCGAAATTTAGTTTTGCGTTTAAGACGACGAACAAAACTCCAGTCGCGACCCCCAAACCAGAAATCTCGCAAAAGTTCAACACGGCTCCTAAGAAAGAACTACTACCATCTACTGACGACCGAGATCGGGATCGGGATCGAGACCGTGATCGAGACCGCGATCGGGATCGTGAGCGGGAGCGAGAACGGGAACGGGATAGGGAAAGAGAGCGGGAACGGCAACGTGAGCGGGAGCGTGATCGTGATCGAGACCGAGACTTACCTCGAGATACTCCAAGAGAGCCTGCTTCTGCAAGAGCAAGATCCGATTATCATGCCAACAGAGCTCCTCCTGAGTTACCAAGGACACGAAAGGTAAAGAGGATACAACGAAGATTGAAGCCTAAGCCTCAATTACCGACAGACCTCGCTACGTCTGATTCGGTGTTTTTTAGAAAGCCTGGCAACGAGTCAGTTGTGGGCTCAGGTACATATGGCAAAGTCTTTAAGGGCCTCCACGTGTACACGAAGAGGCTTGTTGCTTTGAAGAAGATACGTATGGAGGGCGAGAGAGACGGATTCCCGGTTACCGCGGTGCGGGAAATAAAGCTTCTCCAATCCCTGAAGCATCGAAATATTGTTAACTTGCAGGAAGTCATGGTCGAGAAGAATGATTGTTTCATGGTTTTCGAGTATATGTCTCACGATCTTACGGGCTTGCTTAATCACCCATCATACAAGCTTGACGCAGCACAAAAGAAGCATCTTGCCCTACAAATATTCGAAGGCCTCGATTATCTGCACAAACGAGGAGTGTTGCATCGCGACATAAAGGCAGCCAACATCCTTGTCAGTAACGAAGGGGTCCTAAAACTAGCAGACTTTGGTTTGGCGCGTTTTTATGCCAAGCGTCATCAGCTCGATTATACAAACCGCGTTATTACCATTTGGTACAGATCCCCGGAGCTTTTACTTGGCGAGACGCAGTATGGTGCTGCTGTGGATATATGGAGCGCTGCCTGTGTCATGGTGGAGATTTTCACTCGACATGCTATCTTTCCTGGCGACGGCGGCGAGATTAACCAGTTGGACAAGATATACGCCGTGCTTGGTACGCCAAATAGGACAGATTGGCCTGCCCTTGTCGACATGCCTTGGTTTGAGTTACTGAGGCCTGGATATCGACGGCCTAATGTCTTCGCCGAGAAATATAAGGAACGAGTACCAGCAGCTGCCTTCGAACTGCTTGCCGCCATGTTTCAATACGATCCAGTGAAACGTCCGTCGGCCGCTGAAGTTTTGGAACATCCCTACTTCACAACGGAGCAACCGCCTGCAAGGCAAGCTGTTGAGTATGGATTCATTTGTTCTGATCACATGTCACAAGTATGCTAACTTTTCACAGGCTTCGTGAGCTTGAGGGTGAGTGGCATGAGTTCGAGTCGAAGGCATTGCGCCGAGAAAAAGAGAAACAGGAAAGAGATGCACGACGCGCTGCTAAAGAAATTAGCGGGCGCGAGAAGGATAAGAAACGACCGCCATCACCCCATGAGTCTCAGCGAGATAGCAAACGACCGCATGTTGATGGGCGACCACCTACATTGGGTCGAGCTTCGAGTTCCAATGTTGTCCAGTCCGGCGAACCTGCAGTGAGCGAAATGGCACCAGAGTAGGACGGGTACCATTCTCTGCAGAAGAAAACCGAACGATTACGACGTACACGGTGAAGAAATCATGGCAAAGGCGTGTAGAGTAGAGATCCACATTGGGAAGTAATGGACTATATATTTTGCAAGATATATTCCCGAGATACGGATCCAAACAGTGGACGTGTACAAAACCCAAACAGAGTCGGGCGTGGTGTGGGGTTGGTTTCGGTGCATCATTTACGATAGAGAGGCTTCTATCATGTTTTGGAACAGCCTCGTTTACTAGCTAGAGGCGTGTTTTTGCTCGGTTGCTTATAGCATGGGAAGCATTGATCCTGAGAATAGGTATACTCGGATCGATTTATGGGGTGCTGTATAAAGGAGTGGTATGCTAAGCTCTAGACGCGCGGAATACATTGATGTCAATCCCACGTTTTGACTCCTTGCTTCATTTGATATAGATGAGCGCTCTCTTTAGTGTGACGTTTAACATTTGATAAATTAATTACGAAGCTCTATTAATGGGACCTTCTACTTTCCTAGGTACATTGATATTTCAGTATCAGTAAGTTGGATACTCCCACCCTATCTGCTTGCTCTTATTTCGGCGTAGTGTGATATTAGGTTATGGTTAGGTACGGTTTCCCGGCATTACGGGCAGAGTGATACGACAGGAGCTTATGTGCCCCTGAGTTGGTAGCATAACTGCGGCCGGGGCTGCTTCCGCGTCGAAACCGCAGCAGTTGTCGATGCTGTGTCACTCGGCGCGTACGCAAGGGATACACGACAGAACCGAGACTCATATATTCGGCCCTGCTTTTCAGGGGCAATAGGAACATCTAAGTCAGTCATCTTCAATTCTACCAAATTATCGCGCCTATAAACCCGTAATTTATTAGCCTAGCAATAACGCTAGGTAGATGGTACAGTAATTGCTCAATGAACTACAAGTTTATAACCCCTTGGCCATTTCTTGACATCGTCGTGTTCCGTGCTAAGGATGACGTCTTCCCACTCCTTGATCACCGCCTCTGTATCTTATCCTTGATAGCATCCAGCGCGTCGCGGATCTCCTTGATTTGCGCGACTCCCGTCCGCGTCAGCACGTCGACAATAACCCTAGCGCCCCTAACAACGTCGCCGGCTGCCTGTTGTCGAGGCCGTCGAGCTGGCTCTTAACCATATCCACTGGAGTCCCTTTATGCTCCTCCCTAAGTTGGTCCGCAGCCTTGATGCGATTATCGCCGCGGTGACCCCCTGCCAGCTCGCTAGGCTGCCGAAGTTCGCGATCCATGTGAAGGTCCCTTGGCTTACCTTATATATATCAGGTACCTAGGTAGCCACAAAGAATCTGAAAATATCCGTTGGTGGTATGATTTATTTATTTATGTAAACTAGATAACTCTTTTCTTAGAGCTTCTACTTTATTTTCTCTGAAATCTGATCTAGTGTGGACCATGATATCTTCAACGGTTGCACCCACCCTCCCCCTTACACTCGCATGAGGATCTATAGGTACTGGGGGCCCGAAGATACTGAATGCTCCATAAGCGAGCCTCAAATTGAGAACTAACATGAAACCTTGGTGGCCTTTAAGTGAACATTCGATTATGTTTTCAAACCCCTCGACCGAGACTTGATTAGACTGCTATAACCACTGGGAACCTTTGGTACACGCTAGGTGAGGTTGCGGACTCAGAGGTAAGTTAGACATGTAGTGACCTTATGCGGTAGTTAGGTCGTAGAAATGTGCAACTATATTGATACTAGAACCTAGCATAAATATATGCTATGCTTACCTTGATGTAGCCTAGGAGTTTGCTTTCTAAGAGAAGTGTTGCGACAATACTAGCTTAAATAGATGATTCTATTGCAGTAAAGAAAAAGTACGAGTTAATCCTTCATATGAATTATAAATCGAATCACCTAAACCTCTATTACATAAGGCCTTTAGATATGTTTTGGCATATTGTCGACGGTTAATGAAAATGGAAAATGTGCTACTAGTAACAATATCTTACAGGAATAAAGATATAGGGGTTACCATTGTAATTAACCTTGGTTATACTTGTAAAAGCATGTCTCATTTACAACTTCTAAATTAACAGGAGGGTCGTATGACGAATGGTGGATATACCTATACCTCTTGCTTCGATCCATGTGTGCGAGTATATAGAATCGACAGCTTGTCACGGCTGGTGAAGACTATGGGCATGAAGCACATTTTTACCTTGAAAAAATTACACTTAAGGCTTTAGGCACTAGGTTAGGTTACTATAAACTACCGCTGCCCTATACTATCGTCACGGTGGCGTCTATGCCTGTGTCGTACCAATCTTTGGGCACATTCGAGATGCTACCTACCCGTTCCATACACCCGGGAAACTTAGGTGATATGCCCAAGATCAATCCCATATGATCACTCTTCATCCAATGGCACTTTGCAAGACAGAAAAAGGCAGCCGCTGCCTCGAACGCATTCCCGGACGTTGTAGCTCGCGACCGACGAGCGAACGCATCGTTCTGACCAGGCGCAGCCCACGACTCCAGGGCGCCATCGGTTCGGAAGTGCTGCTTTCGGCTATACGAGCCGCCGTCGCCTTTTCGGTAGTAGACCCAGTGTTCGTTCTTATGGTAATCGGCCGAGAGCCGACAGTACTTGATCCGGCCCCGTAGAGTAAGGGTGCCCCTTGATACTTGTCCGTGAGGGTTTGCCCCTACCACGTTCGTCTGCGCGTCTACGACGGTGGTGAGGAGCTGCGGGTCCTGTATCGTGTTCCATGTCACGCCCCAGTTCATCGACGCCCATGACCACGTTGGCGCGTTCTCCTCGTGTTCTTTTGTCATTAGCGGGAGGTGGGCCCGGCCCTGCATCACTTGCCACTGGGACACCAAGTTAGTGACTGCTTCATCATGCAAACAATTCATTCAGGGGATTAATTCATGTCACAAGTGCAGTATTTCTATATGGGATCATTTCGAGGGAATTAATTGGTAATACGTACTAGGAGGTCTAGAAGGAGAGATTCACTCCATAGGCCAGCAAGATACCTGCTCCTCCCAGCCTGCGGCATGATCGTGGCAGCACCAGCTATCGCCGGGAGTTTTTCGCTGGTAAACATCAACTGACGCGACGTGTACGATTTTACAATCATGTGCCACTGCTCCAAGGGGGTCACTTCACCCAAAGTTCCGGGGGTCGTGAACGGATAAGGGGGTAGTTGGTCCTCGCTTTTTCGATGCGTCCGACACTCGTATATGATGGCGCCCGGGGCGAAGTTTAGGATCCGCGATGCGAGGAAGGACTCTTGGAAGCACCATCCGCGCGCGTAAAGAGGCCCGACTTTCTTCAATGTGGCCCATGAGCTGGTGAAAGGCGGCTCGAGTAACCCTTGGTCGAGCGGCGCAGCTAGGAGATGTCGCTGGCGGACCGTAATCGGTATATTGACGCCGGGGACAATTGGGAAATCAAACCGCTTCGGAAGCCAGTCCTCTTCGCGGGGCCGTAAGTACGGGGTGCTGGGATTGGGCGAGGAGGCGCCGCTGATAACAATGAATGCCCGGCTGTATACCGAACCCATGAGAGCTGCTTCTTTCTCCCAATCTGTTTTGTCGTCCTGCACAATGCACAGAGAGTCGATCCAAACATATACCAATCCAAGCTCTTGGGTGACAGTGATCGCGTCTTGGAAAGTAGCTGGTAATTTTGAGAAGTCGATACGTTCTTTCAGATCGTGCAGAGTTGACTTCGTCAATGACAGTGGCTTTCCACCTCCCCAACAGTGGCTCAATGCTGCCCACGCGATGTTGCCTTCCGAGGGCAGGGCATCGCATAGTCTGAGCGCGTCGTTACCTCCGCCAACGAATATCAACCTGGAAGGAACGAAGCCGTTAGTTTGTGTGGCACATCTGGGATGTGTTTTACAGCATTCATTGATGCTTTCCTTCATAAACCTCATGCACTCCTCAGACCGTACATCTGCCGCACGAGATCCCGTTGGGCCCATCGTAGGAGCACCAGGTATAGGGGACGGGGGCATGGGGTCCATATACAGCTCGAGATCTACCCTAGGGTTTTGGAACCACTTGTCATACGTAAAGTTCCAACAGTTTACTATCAGAGGCGCCCCTTCTCTAATCATGAGGCCAACTTGTATCGGCATGCCATTTTTAATCTCCGTAATCCAGCTCATCCACTCGTCGATGAAGTACGCGTCGAATATCTCGCAAAGGAGGCGGCAGTACTTGCAGTTGTTCTTAGGAAGACCGGTCTTAGGGTCGACTTCGCGGCTCTCCAAGATCTTCTTCGTTGGTATCTCTTCCAGGACAAGGGTGGGGACGGAGGCAAGCTCTTTCTTTCGGGCAGCTTGTTGAGGGTCACTAAGCTGGTTCCATGCCGCGCTGGGTCGCCCGAATGTGTCTTCGTGACCATAGGGCTGCAGATTGTTGCAAACGAGACAGACGCCGCTTTTGCTCCCTTTCATATGGCGCGAAACGGCGTTTCCAGCCCAGACCGCAGTGTCAGCTGCTAAGCGCACCCCCTTAGCGATATCCTTAGCGGAGCTGAATAGGCTCGGCATTTTTTGAGGCTTAAATAACGTTATTGAAAATGTAGTCTAGTTTGATATCGTTGTATCATGGATTAGAAACCCGGTGTCATGGTTCGACCGAGTCTAGAAAGTTATACTTAACATCGAAGTGCAGTCTTAGTTAGAAGATTACCGAAGTGGTTATCGAGTTAGGGAACTAATGAATCCTTCCATATTTAAACTTGGAACGACTACTATGGCAAACGAAGTCGCCAAGTCTCAGCCGCATCATCGTACCTATCCAGGATAGCATGAGCGTGGGCAGAGTAGCATCGCCCTGTGGGACATGTTTGTTTTCAGCTCTTAGGTGTATACTACTGTTTATGGAATAGTTGTGGCTCTGCTGTGATCTGAATATAACATGTAATTAGAACTGTCTGATAAATAAGAGGACTCGGCAAAGACCCATTAAATTACCTACCTATGGTAAGCTTCGAGCTCGTCAAGTTAGTATCGCACGCTATTTCAATCTTAATATTAGAATCATGAGGGACATTAACTAGATCTCGTCTGGCAAAATGAGCCAGAGCAGCTGAAGAATACCGTCGCGGATAGCAAGCTATTGAATACGAAGTTAATGGTAAAAGCTCATATACTCGGTAGCGCAACTTGTACGAGTAAAAAAAGGTCTGACATATCCACAGAACTACATGACATCGCCGAATTATTTAACCAGCGAAGATAGCCAAGAGCTATATTAATAGAGGACTCGAAGTGAGATAGCGCTGCTATCATCGCGAAAGATATGAGCGTTTAATAAGGACCAAAACCTGCTTATCTAGGATCGAGTCATGGATGATATGATATAGTCCTTACATACAGAACTGAAGGGTCCGAGAAAGGTGTACATGCGTGTTAACTTTTACCCCTAAACGAGATTTATTTGCCAATCAAAACAGGGCGGGCAACCACTTTGGAGAATATAACCCTCCCCCTGGCTTATCAAGCAAATTACCCGGTAAATTTTCATCTACGGCAGTTCCCCTTGCGAACCGCTTCTGTACCGAGACTGCTAGGTTCTCCTACGTTGTTGCTGAAGCTTGACCGAACCTACTATAGATAATAAGAAGAGTTTGGCCATCTTGGAGGTGTTCTCCCTAGTCGCCACAGAGCTGATATATAGACGGATTGATCTGTGATCTGCGGACCACCGCCTTACCCAGAGTTTTAAGATCCCTTGAAACTTTTCTTCAAATTTCTGTACTCTTAGACTTTCGTCTTTCTAATTCACCTGAAAATACAAGAAAGGAGAGAAAAGATGCATTGGCGTTCGCTTGCCGCTCTGGCAGCACTCTTGTCGGTGCGCGACGCCGCATACGCGCAACAGATGCTGCGGTTCTCGTGCTCCAAGCTTACTATCGAGCGTTTAGACCCGCTGGTATCGCCGGGTATGGAACAGTCGCCCCATATGCACCAAGTGGGTGGCGGAAACTCGTTTCGAGCATCTATGCCGCCTGTTGATTTTGATCCCGTGAAGGAGTCGACATGTACTTCGTGTACTTTTGCCGAGGACTTCTCAAATTACTGGACGGCCAACTTGTTCTTCAGAGCCCGTAACGGGACCTTGAAACGCGTGCCACAACTGGTGAATATGGGCCTGAAAGCAGACGGTGGATTAACTGTGTATTATATTCCTCCGTATGATGGGAAGACCAATGTTACTGCGTTTAAACCGGTAAGTAATTAAGCTATGAGGCAGGGAAAGACTTGGGTGAACATCTATTCAAGATTAAACTTCAGCGCTGACGTGAGCTTTTTGTTTGAATAGGGATTCCGTATGCTAGTCGGAGACCCGATGTTACGACAAGCCGAGGGTCAGCAGCGACAGGTCTGCCACCGGTGTTTTAGCACGATCAATCAGGTGCCATTTGGCGGCGCGCCTTGCACGGGCGAGGATACGGCCTCTCTTCCTCTTAAGATGTGTGGGGGAGGTATCAGAAGTACAATCACTTTTCCGTCGTGTTGGGATGGCGTCAACGTTGATTCGCCTGATCATAAGAGCCACGTCGCGTACCCTGAGACAGGATCATTCGAAAGTAGCGGCCCTTGCCCGGCTTCTCACCCCGTCAAGCTTCCACAGTTAATGTATGAAGTTATGTGGGATGTAAGTAGTATAGCTCTTATCTTGATGGTTTTGGGGGCCACGAGTTTCAGACAGAGTTGGCATGGGGACCTACAGTAATGTCGTTAATGTGCTAATCTGAATGAATGATTTATAGACGCGACCTTTCAACGACCCAGACCTATGGCCCGAGGACGGATCTCAACCCCTGGTTTACAGTATGGGAGATGGGTAAGTTTCTCTGAACTGACGTCGCAGAATGTGGCATTTGAGACTGGCCGGAAAGGTTGGAATGGTGGCTGACTACTCGCTCAAGTACCGGTTACGGCCAACATGGTGACTACCTCTTCGGCTGGAAAGGCGACGCCCTTCAGAGAGCGCTGGATGCTCGTTGCAGTAACGACCGTTGCGCACAGCTTAAATCCCAGACCTCTGACGAAGCTATGCGATGCACAATTAACCAGACCGTTCCGGAGAATTACAATGGCTGTAAGTTGATGATAACTACCTACCTAACCTAAGGTTATACTCATTAACTTGGTGGCTAGGGCTAAACCAGCTCCCTGGTAATTGGACTATTACTTACAGCTAATTAGTTGAAAGAATTCAACTGACAAGCCAGAGGATACAAGATGTGAGTTGGGATTAACAATGAAGATTCGCGATCAAGTTGGATGTCGATTAATCGAAACAAACACCCTTGCTGCCTTCATTCTTTATGTGATGCTTAAGGATATTGCACGATACTTATTTTAAATGGACTTTAAGTCAAGTTGGCGTGTAAAGTCTAAAACGTCCAAGCTATGAGTGTGACTGTCATAGAAGAAGAATCATTGTAATAATTGTTGATGTAAAGGGTAAGGTTAGGTACTGTACGGTTTAACATGGTCCACTGATGCCTGTAGAAGTATAGGTACCTAAGTACATGCTATCATGTGACAGGTTGCTAGGAATTCAGAGTTCACATTCCTGTTGATAAGCCTGGCAAACCCCAGACAAAGCTTTATCAGATGACCCCACTTTACCCTCGTTTGTGGCTAGTAATTGAGGCGCAGACACACTAGATTCTTGGCAGCCTGGCAGCTATGATGTACCTAATGTACCTGTGAATTTCGAAGCTTCACCTTTGACGTTTTCAGCTATTCAATACATCCATCAAAACGCATCAATAACACACTCACTTTCCTGTACCTAACCTAAGGGAAGATCGATGATACTACATACCTGGGGAAGGGAAATCTAGGAAAGACACTGGATCATAATTATTATCACAACAGCGCTCTTCGTATAAATGCGCGGGACTCAAATTTCCTCTCTCATGCCGTAGCCCAAGCATTCAACGCGACCAGCGATTCCCACGAAACTATGCCGGCATCATCATGGATACCACAAACGCGTCAAATACGCTCCACCGTCTCGACACCGCGAACAAGATTGCTATAGCGGACTTGAACCCCGAAATTTCTGACCCGGCATCTCGTGCTGTGCGCGGCGTGGTTACTATCACATGGCCCTATAACTCGGTCAAAGGCACATTTGCTTTTATCCTCGCCGAACCTGACTATCGTCTTCGTAGAAATAAAGGCCAGGTTCGCGTCAATTTAAACGGTGCATCTGCTAAGGCTGCTGGAGAGAGCGGATTAAGTAGTGGTGATGAAGTTCTTCTGAGTTTGGACGGAGCTGAGTGGGAACTTGAACAAGTCAAGAAGCGCCAGAGTTTGCCAGGCGCTGGGATCGATTGGCAGTTGCAATTCTCAGATAAGTTCTTGGCTCAGGTGATTTACCTTATACTGGTTTGTGTTCCATGTTTTAGGAACTAATTATATCTTTCCCAGGTTACCCTAATCGAGGCTGGAGAGTCGAGGCTCATTAATGTCGACCGCCCCCCTCCTCCTCTTTCTCCTCCAACGGAGCTACAAAATCGCACTGAAACGCCGTCGACCGAAATAGTTCCCGAAGACCTTCCCCCTAAAATACTCGAAGCGCTCACACCACCTAGCAAAACTTATATCGCGAAGCTTAAGGATGGTGAATACGAGTCTCCGGCTTTCGTCAAAAGAGCTCGGATGTCGTATGGGTCCCTGTTCGAAGATGGATACGATATATTCGAGGATGATGGTGGAGTGAGAGGGAGAGGCCGAAAAAGGTCAAGATTTGGTCGTGAAAGCGGTGCATGGAAATATACCAGCCAGTCTCCCAGTCCTGAACCTACTTCACCCAGTATGGCTGATGAGGGATGTCAAACCATGGAAATCGATTTACCAATGCCCTTATCTGTGCAAACAAGCACTAACAACGAGCCACAATCGAGTTTTGGATCGACGTCAAGAGTAGAATATTTTACCCACCCCCACCAAGGCATGGTCGACCATGGTGTTCAAGGGGACGTCCAAGGCGATTCCCGCAACGAATGGCCGGTCACAACACCTTCATCGCTCTTACCGCCCGGCGTCGGCGGTGAGCTTCGCAGTAGTGGCCTTGAACTACCGACATTCCACTCTACTAATGAGATTCATGTGCCCAATGATGTGATTCAACAGTGGGATACTCCGCGCATGAATCTTCCGCCCGAGGGCTACTTACATCCTAATGAACCTTCATCAACTGATATCTTTCCGAATAATTTCGAGGCCAGGCCATCTGCGGGACATGATGTAATAGGATCTGGAAGCCATGTACACTCACCAAACGAAACTGATCACCTTGCAATTGAGCATGGAGACCACCATCTTAGCGAGGGCCCAGCAACCGATGAGCAGGGCTACCCAGTTCAAGTTCCACAGCATAACACGGACTATCCTCCGCTAGGCCTTGAAGATGAGGAGGAAAGCACTGCGGTATCTACAGGGGCACATATCGATTATCCACCTTCGTATCTAGATAATAATCACCCCTTTCCCCAAGAGGCTATGGATATTGGTCATGGATCGTTCAGCACTAGCGTTCCTGTATCTGGTAATTTGGGATCATCGTCTTGGGCTGCGGTCAATAACCAGTCTCCAGAAACATCGATGTCTCATACCGGCAGGCTGAGTAGTGCGGAGGGGAAATCTCCCGATACTGCGGTGGTTATAGACGAGAGTGACTCGGATGACGAACCGCCACCACCCACTGCTGCAGAGGACACAGTCATGACCGGCCAAGCTGATCCCCTTGAAATGTATGACGAAGCGGAAGTTGAGGATGAAGTGGATGCTGAATATTCGGATGAAGATGAGCCTGAATACGACCAAGACGAAATAGGTGGCGATTATGATACGAGGAAGTACACCGCACCAGATGACGACGAAGACGATAGTCACGATGAAGACTTACAACCCCACGAGCTAGAACCCGAGTTCGATGATGGCGAAAGTTGGGACGAAGGGGATGAAGACGCCGAAAATCTCGACTATGAAAGCGCATATGAGACTGATGACAATGGCGATGAGGATCGAAAGCCTGTCCGGCCAGCTTCACAAGCTGCTCCTCAGGTCATAGATCTCATTTCATCCTCAGAGGATGAAGGGGATGACGACGAAGTTACCCAACCAGAAGCCGCCCAACTAGTTTCTAACAGTGTATTACAAATTCAATCGAAAGCAACACCGGAAAACATACCAAAGCAAGGACCTAACCGGGTTGCCGAGAGTGAAAACGAAAGTGAAAGTGAGGAAGACGCCGACGATCGTCAGGATAATGGAGAACATAACGATGAGGAAAATGAAGAGGAGATGAACGATATTGAAGGAGAAGAGGATGCCGAATCGGCCGATTTAAGTGGAAAATCTGAATCGGAGCCTTCAGAACGCGAACTCCAGGACGAAGACATGGAGGAAGTACTTGAAGAAGAACTCGAAGAAGAATTTGAAGAACTTGAAGAAGTAGCGCCAAGTGCTGAAGACAGTGATGGGGCCGAGTCTATCGACCATGACTCTAAACACACGCCCGTTCTTACTTTAACTTCGCGTCCTAGCGAGACTATGGTGCACCGAAAATCATCACCCGAGCCTAGCGATGTAGGGTTGACACGCACCCAGGACGATGAAGAGAGAATGGATGTAGAAGGCAAGGAAGAAAAAGGAGACCGCGATGCTCCACAATCCGCAGCTGAAGGACTCGAGATTTTGAGCCGCGCAGTCGAAAACGAGTCGAGCAACGACCATCGTGCTGAGTCTCCCGGAAGGGTACAATATGAGCATGCCGCTGATGCTGTGCTATCTAGGGTTCCCGAACCCCTTGAGGAACCTAAAGAAGCACCAAATGAAGAAATAGGAGGGCATGAATCCGATAATGCTCCGGAGGATGAGGAAATGGTTGACATGGTACCCATCTTACCGGCTCCTGCTTCTACCACAGACGAAAAAATACAGGCAGAAGTTACGTCACCTTCATCCCCTTCATTGACACAATCATTTGTATCGTTACCTACTGGGGACAAAAGCACGGACGTCGTGTTGCGAGAGACCACTGCTGGTACGGGATCTCAAACCCTGGCTGATCAACTGCCAACGCCTCGAGACACACAGCTTACCGGCGATAATACAGTATTGGAATCCGCGACAGTCATTTCTATGGATGTTGATGCGCCAGATGCGGAAAGCAATGCGATGACACTTCTATCCGTTGCTGAGCAAGTAGTCAACAAGACATCTTCAGTGGTTGAAGATGCCGTTTCTGATACCGAAGAGCAGTCTGCCGAACCTACCACAGACCAGCTGCAGCAGACTCGCGCAGAAGAAATATATGACGAAACCACACAACCAAAATACCCGCTTCATTCTCCGAACTTATCCTTTCAAACTCAGGTTGATGCCGATGATATGGCTTCAGCAAGCTTTGTCGAATCCATCACCGAGATTGTAGTCGAACCAGAGACCAGGAGTGATACCCCACCAGATGTCGAGGCTAGTATTTCTCGTCCCAGCCTGTCATTCATATCTCAGATGGAGATTGATGAAGAATTGCAAGCTAGTATCATGGAGAATTCTGAATTTGACGAGGATACGGATGTTGAGCTGATAGATGAACATGAAATCCATAATCAGGTCGAAGACTACGATGGCGAGGCCAGTTCCATTGAAAGCGAGGATGAAGTTCGCACAGAGGTCGGAAACCAAGATCTCGTTTCAAGAGAACCGTCTCCAGATCTTGGAACGCAGATAGAAGATCAGCGCGACACTACGCCAAGCATTTCAGCTGACGTTGACGCTGATTCTCCTCAGGAAACATCACCAATAGATCCGAGCGTGCAGCTTGCACGCATTGCCAATTATTCTAAGAGAAAGGCAAAGAACAATGATGTGACCAAGATCACTTCTTCAGATGAGAGAAACGTGCGTACCCTTGAAAGCTCATCTCCTAATGTGGAAGATTCGAGTGTACAACTAGCTCGAGCTTCTGTAACCAGATCCTCCTCGCAAGGGGAGGACGAGAGTTACTCGACGACAGCTGCGAAACTAAAACTTATGCGCCATCTCCGGGATGAATTACCCGACTGCACTCCTCTCAAAGTTTTACGACAGCATCTTCAAAAGAAGCTGGACGTAATTGCCGTCGCCATGATGCATCCGCCGGACCCACAAAGAGCTAAGGGCGGCCCGCGCGAATTCATGATGTCCTTTACCATTACCGATCACTCGATTGGCCCTTATTCGGTTGTTGAAGCACAACTATATCGGCCGCATAAGGAGACGCTGCCGATTGTCAGGGCTGGCGATATTGTGCTTCTCCGCAACTTCACGGCAGTCTCACTCCCGGGCAAAGGTTTCGGCTTACGCACAAACGATGAATCGAGTTGGGCTATTTTTGACCATGATGGCGAACCACCTCAAATCAAAGGGCCTCCCGTCGAATATAGCGATAAAGAGACAACTTATGTTGCACACATGAGAGCATGGTACAACTTATTGGACGAGAAAGCGAGGACGAAGCTAGAAAGAGCTAATAAGAAGATAATTGATGCTGGCAAATCCAAGTAGGGATAGAATGGACTCAACTCTCTCGCTACACTCAACATCAGCATTGCTGTACTTCGCCATGGCCATTCTCAAATTCTCTATGTATTAGGTACCTATTTATTCATCGTTGGCTTGCATTTTAGTTAGGAGTTAGGAAAAGGAGGCATAGCTCCCTATCTTATCATATGGGAATGGCAGATGGCATATTGAGGCATTGGGCTTAATGATATATAGGTACGCTACCTTAGGTTAGGTACTTAAACTACTATAACCTTTTCACTATTAACATGATTGCAATGTACGGGCAAGGTGAGCTTGACTGCCCAGATAGATTATGGCTACCAGCTATTGGGATGTAATTATTTGGGTGCCCTTGGTACCAATCTAACTAGTAGGCCAACATTTTTAATCCACTTGTTACTGTGTCGACAGCTCGAGTGTCTTGAGACTTGTGTGAACTTGATATTATCTCAAACCGCTATTAATTTCGGCGAAGCCCTAGCTCTAACTATTATTATTCGGACACGTACGTGGCAGGTTTGAGCATTTTCGTCCCGCGCCTTGTGCCTCATCTTCACAACGCCACCGGCTCGCTAGACTGAAACTATTAAATCCTTCTCTCAACGATTTCTATAAGAATTGTTGTCTGACAGAGTTTCTTCTAGCACCGAGATAGAAACGCCAAACAACCGGCTTTTGTTAGGCGTAATTCCACCAAATTGACTCTCAGTACGTTAGGTAGTCATCTCGTCTCCTAACCATTCTCCTCCTCGTCCATGTATGGAAACCAGCATCCGTTATTTCCATACTCATCCAATGTGGATATTGTAGCATATCACTCATTACCCCTCGGTCTCATAGTAACCCCATAGAGGACCCGAAGGACGAGGAAGTAAGTCGACAGCATCCCTTTCGATACAGTCCAAGTCAAGTAACTGGTTACTTACCTACCTACCTAGGTACCTAAGGTACCTATATCATTCCTATTTTAATTCGGGAACGTAAAGGCTAACGGGCCTCCAGCACGGACATGACATTAATTATACTAGAGGGCGCGTGCTCCTCGTCCTCCTTCTCGTCCCGGGACCTTACGCCCGAGCTCGACCCCGACGACGTCCCCTGACAGTAGATGCCGGAAGTGGGCGTCGGCTGGCACGTGGTGCTGCCGATCCCGTTACTAGGTTTGAATCAGGCTGATGACGCGACTCGTGGTGGCTTCGGCGATATTTGGAGCTTTGCTTCTGCTTGTTTGATATTACATACGATGGAGTGCTTACTAGGAGTTGGGGTGGGATTAAGGGACTGGAGAAAGGGGTCGGATCATTTTGTATGCGGCGCTGACGATATGTATATCCGGTCACAATTGTTCTCAGTTAATGATTTGCCTTGAACTATATGGCAATGCGACAATATTCAACTCTTAATCGATGTATTTGGCGTACATGGCCTTGAGCCGCTGTACTTACTTTTCAAGTTGGACTTGCGATCAAAGCGGATGATATATAGTAGCCTCTATCACACGGGAATGGTTTAGACGGGCGTGTCAATGGTTTAGAGAAATATTTTACTTGGACGGCTGTGTTGTAAGACCAATACAAATTATAGAGCATACAAAACTCAAATCGTAGGAAAGAATATAGTAATTGCCGAGAAATAACTTCTTGAGCTCGGCTTGCCGAAGGCCAACTTTCACGAACTTGTCATCTAAACCTTGCCGGGCGCATGAAGTGTTTGTTCCTTGTTGTTGACCGGAACCTAGTCTCACCAACGCCCCATAGCGGCGTCGGTCTGTATCTGTTGTCTGAACAGCAACATGCGATTGGTCTGAGGAGCATCGGATATTCCCGCCCCACGGTATCCCGTGTTTATCATCTGGTCAACTCCGATCTCCTTTAAGCTTGGGACATCTTTGGGGATTGGAGCTAGAGGCGTCGGCAACCTTATGATACCTAAGTTTTAAAGCCGCGAACCGGGACGGGCATTATGCACCAACGGGCTTAGGAGAGTGCGCGTGACCGAACAAGCTCTGGCCATATCATTATCCCCAATGTGACCCTCCATGTAAGCTCCAAGTTAGAAGATGGGGTGTCAGTGCCGTAGATAGATTCGCCTTGCCAACTGGATCTACCCTATGTATTATTCCCACTACTAATTGACGTCATTCATATACACTTTCAATTCCGCTGGCGTAGAACATATTCCCCCCCCACCCAAAGGTAAATGACGATAGCTTCATAAGTAATACCAAAACGGAGATATCCCACTTACAACCAAAAAGTACTGTAATAATGATTATTTCCTTAGAATTATGTTATCCGAATAAGGTAGAGCAAATGCGATTTGTTTGACTTTACGGACCTTTACCTCCGCCAACTATTGGCTTATGCGCGTTTAATCTGTATAAAGGTGTAATGCAAAGCAGAGAGGCAAATTTGTGGCTTATGCTCTACGCAAGCATAAGGTTGAAAGTATGTTGCACATGAGGCTCATGCAGAGCTGAATGATGTGAATGATATAGCCTCAGTCCAATCATGAAGAATCATGAAGCCAGATGAGACGAAAGCGAAGGGGGGAGTTAATCGAGATCATCGTGACGAAATCGTAGATAACCATGTCTTATCCCACATCTAACCAGGGTTTTGCTGGCCATGCAAGAGACCCGATTACGACGGTATCTACTGTGTCTTTAATGTACATAGTATCAAAAGGCAGCAAAGGCAAGCAAAGGCAACTTACACAGCCAAAGTTGAGGCCGGTTCTAGACTTAGACTGCTCCATAAAATAACGCTTCGAAAAGTCATGTTGTCATTGCGGAGACATCTAACTCTGAACAGCCAATGATATTGTCTGATTCTATATTTCCCCTGCATTGATCTAAGTTTCTGGAGCGGAAGCTCCCCAGTATGAATAGCTCTGATTGGCTGACCGTTCCCGAAAAGGAATAAGATGCTACATAGTATGCAAGCCAACCAAAGTGTTCGCCTTCAATCGTCACCACCCAAAATTCAGCCATGGGAAGTACAGATCAAGTCCGGAAAAAAGGGAACTTTCAAGTGTTGATCATGATGAAATACATGTTGAGTACTAAACGCTAAGTCAAGATATATGGCAAAAGTGATATTCCATATGTATGATCCCATTCGAAACGTGCAACTTTGTCCCTTTTGTGTAAGTGGTGACGTCAGGCTATCAGGGGAATCTCTCAGTCCAATAACAGGTACACAGTTAGGTAGCTCAATGCAGCTTATACACCACTACTTACTACAAACAAATGTAAGCTTGGAATGCGGACAGCGGCGGGACAATAGTGAACTGGTAAATGATGACGTACATTTCTCGCCCACATGATGTGCCCGGTATTGTCTTTTACACTTCAGCTTTACCAAGGTCAACCCCCGTGGGTAGACTGCCGGTAAGACGACGTAGTAAACAGGTAGCGTAGCCAGATTGAATCATCGAATGAGTGACAAACAACCAGCTTCGACTTTCTATATAAAGAGCTTCCAATTCCCCGTCAGGCCTGTTTTAATTCTATTACCATTCACCATCTCCATCCTTCCACAACAACAATATCAACAAACAATCAACTCAACTACTTCAAACTTCCAAAGTTATCAACAAACAACTCAAACCATCATCATGGACAAGATTTCGAACGCCGCCAACTACGTCTCCGACACCGTTAAGGGCGCCACCAGCACTGCCTCCAAGGAGGGCAACAAGGAGGTCGCTAAGGACAACAACGCGAACCTCAGCACTCGGTAAGCTTCATTTAATCACTGGTATCTCAGCACTTCATCTTCTAACATTTATCTTCAGCGCCACTGCTGCAAAAGATGCGCTAGGCGACAAGGTTGACGAGAAGAAGCACAACACTTCTGCCGATGTCAACAAGGAGTCTGTCAAGCACTAAGCTGCTTCCCTCCCACCAATCAACCCTACCTCCATACGACTTGTATGATGAGACGAACGTGGGGGAAATAGGATTGAACTTGATTATTGGGCGTCTTTTGGAACTGGTACAATTGTTTCCTTTGTATTGGTATGGCATGGAGAGACGGATCTGTTTCCCTAGCAAGGCTCCAATGCCATGGCAGGCTTCACAATACCCCTAAGATAGCTTAGAATTAAAGTCGCTATTCATCGCCAACCTTCTATATTCGCCTCGATTGTGAAATGAGAATGTTATGTGAACTTTGGATTACGAGTACTTCAATCTTGACTTGATTACGATCTATAGAGTACTTATCACACCCCATTCTAGAAAACAAGGTAGCGGTACAAGATATTATAAATGTTGGAGCTGTTTTTAGTAGAACCTTTCCGGAAAGTCCAGCGTGTCGATGTTGGTGCCACCCCTTACCAAGCTCCCCGGCCTACCCCGAGCCGTCCGCGACGCGTCCATTCGCTCAAGTATACTTATTGCGCGACTTAAGACTATACTATTCCCATTAGAGGTAAAACAGGCCTTGGAAATATGGCTCGTCTCTTGACTACGAATAATGCCATTTAGCGCCTTTGAATGAGGCTGTATCTTGACACTCCGCGAGTTGAAATCCGTCCAAAGCCCAGATCAAAGACGGTGGGGCGTGTTTTAGCCAGGCTCGGACTACGCGCTAAGCAAACGGTACGCTGCCAAATCAGTTTTATGCAGCGTTCGAAACAGCTGTCGCCCTATAGCACAGTACTGGTTCTTTCAAAAGGCGAACAAGATCCAGGTACCTACACTTGACCAAAAGCGCTTCGAGCAAGTATGTGATATGATGAGACAGTTCAAACAATATCTTACCAATATACAAGGCATCGATGAAGAAGATAGGGCTTTTCGGGCTAAAGCTAGGACAGGTCATAATCAAAGCCGCCTGGATCGTCGAGAATGACCTAATATTAAAGAAAGCGATCCGTTTTACCACCAGCGCGGCACTTCAGTCATCTACTAGATGCTTAACTGGTACCAAGTATGAAATATAAAAGAAATGGAACAATATATCGACAAAGTCACGGGGAGTGATTTTTTTTACCATGGCTACTAAAGTACTACACGATCATTTCTTTCCAATTCTTCTATTTGGTGATAAGATTGCATAGGAAATATCATAGTGCTCTTAGTCTCTATGAACCTTCGGAACCTTCTGCTTTACGAAGACAAAAACTAGGGCGAGGTTCCGTGGGACAGTCTTCTGGTGACTAGACTAAATGAACTTCCTCCTCAGGTCCACTGATTAACCATGGTAGAAACTTATAGGCAGAAGTTAGCTATTATACGTTTCAAGTAAGGGGTAGCAACTAAACGAAAGACAAGAGTAAAGAGATGCGGGTATCGTCCCCCGCTGGATTCCCATGCGGGCGTGAATAGGGGTAACAAGAAAGGGGGGGATCGAGAGTGGGGCATAAGAATAAAGACAAACCTGCTCTTTTACTAATACCACAAGACCCAGGCGCCGAAATTTTCCGTCCGATTCGTCTTTACGCAGCAGCAACCCCTCTCGTCTGTCCTTAAGAACGGGCAGAAACCAGCAGTCCTCGACCCCTGCACGTTCCTCGGCTATATCGAAACAGGTGATAGCAAAACCCTGATTCGTAGGTAATTTAAGCTCCTCCAGCGTTGCATGTTCGGCCTCAGAGGGCTGGAGGAGCGCCACGAAGCCTTGCTCCGCGAGGGCAAGGCGGCGCTGCGGCCAGCCCATCCTCGGGAACGCGGCGAGTTCGGACTGTGTGGCGGCGGTGCAGCGGGCGCGTTTGGGACGGCCGAAGAAGGCGAGCTCGCAGATGGGCATGTAGAGTATGTTGGCATCGCAGTTGGGATCTTCGAGAAGGGTCCATCCTGGAGTGGATTCCCGTGGCGACGGAGCCGATGTTTGGGCGGCATTTGGCGAATCCGATTTGCTGGATGAAGATGAGGGCCGTATGAGGACGTTAGTTGGGTCCTGGAAAGACTTGTCCTGCCGTATATATTCTGGGCGAGTATATATTTGGCCTTGGACCGATGCCCACTATAAGGAGTTGAAGGTAAGTTTATAGTTTAGCTAAGAGTGTAATTTTTCCCAAGTGGCATGTTATAGGTAAAGAAAATTGAGCACATTTGGAACATTTCCCTCCCTTCCTCCACCCGGCTTTTTCTACTGACAAGGTAAAAAAATACAGGGATGGGTAGCTTACCGACCATGACGGCGCTCTAGTGACCGTCTGTCCATCTCTATCAACAGGTCTTATGGGTTTAGGCCAGGATGAAATTCTCAGAATCCATTTGACCGAGTACGAGGTACACCACAGTAGGCCACGAACCATATCTGCCTCCCATACACCGGCTAGATAGCGAGACCTGATACTTCTCCGTGTTAGTTGAACGATACTGCTGCTGGCAGCGAATATGTCATCCGGATTTGTCAAGCGGCGTAGTGTATAATCTGGAAGGATTTCCTTGTACCACTGCTTTAGCATCCAGGTGCGTAGCTGTTTTTGCTCACTTCTCTTGGACTCCGCATCGATATCTTCCGAAGGGTCCGGGAATAATCCTATTCGCAAATGTGATGGATCTTGTACGTCTAATGTGCCATCTTCCCAGAGTTTCGACCGTTGACACGAGAAGTACACTTGCTCCTTCGCATAGACAAGCGCTCTTCTGCTGAGTACTTTTTCCTGGAAACACCAACCCCTGGTACTGACAGGCCCCTCTTCCTTTCTACGGGGTAACCATAAATGAAGGCCATCCGAATATTCAGTCGATGGTATTGGACAAGGGGGTACTATCTGTTCCATATTATTCACTTTAAATCCTGTACGACTATCTGCGGCTCGTCCAGCAATAATAGTCAGTGTCGCATTACCGTATACTTCTGCCATTCTTTTTGACTCATACATCCAGTCCTCGAGATTCCCCTGAATAATACAGAGAGAATCGATCCAGATGTAGCGGATACCCAACTGACGGGCGATAGCAATGCACTCTTTGTGTGTTGCTGATAAAGTGTCTTCGTCAATTAGTTCCAGCAAAGATGTAAAGTTTCCATCATTCAACTCTGTCGTGTGCCGTACACCTTGACCCCAGCAATAGGATAGTGCGAGGTACGGCTCACGCAGTTCTAATTGCTGCGGCTGCACTAATCTTGTCCATCCTGGGGTGTCTCCGATATCTAGAACACGAGTAGGCATTTCCGGCGACGTATTTTCGTCCGTATTTCTACACTCCGGGTGCCTTTTCTGGCATCCATCCAAGAGCACACGAGCAAAGTCGACTTCCCTATCCTTATTCCTAAATGCCGCGAAAAGGCGTTCTATGAACTGAGAAGCAGCAGGCGTCCCTAAATTTATTAGCAGAAATCGAATATATCCAGCTCAAGATACCTATATACCCGGATCCGCAAATACGCTGAGCTCACTATGTAAAATTTCCTTTGCGACGCTGGCCTCTGGGTCCGCTTCGCTGCCACAATCTACCCACACATGACTACCGGCTTGGTTATTAGTCTTGTCTGTGCCGGTGGTATTATCTAACTCTTTTGGATTGCGGAACAAGAACAAGTCTGAGAACATCCCCGTTAACCAGACACGCTCGTCATCCAAGGGCTGCCCTGCGCGTTCATAATTAGCAGGGAATCTACCATCCAGCACAGAATCGATCGAATTGGTTGGATATTTCCGTTGAATGGAAACCCAGCATAGCATACACAGGTCGCAGCCCGCTGTTGCAGAGTCCCGGAGAGATCGCAAATTGGGATGGAAGAAGGTCATGTGGCTTCTCAACTCCTCTACGGTTAGAGTGGTGCAAGTCTTACAGCGCGCCATTATATTCAGCGGCTACTCGGACTCGATTCAACTATTTCCTTCAGCAGTTTATATTAGGCCTAAGTGAAGTACTAAGAGCACTAACAATGGCCTAGATGCGGAGCCAGGTCAGATGGGTAGAGAGGACTCGGAGAGGAGTAAACATTTTATAACTTTCAAGTAAGCGCTATGCAATGCTTGACCGTTGCATCGGCTAGATCCAAGTCCAAGCATGAGCCGTGTTTCATGATTGTCTGGTTAGCCCATCATTGCTTGATCCTTGATATGAATGCGAGCGGTACGCCCAGGGTTGCGATCACTTATATAAGGCTTAGTTAGAAGCAGATCTAGGAAAGGAAGCACTAGACAAGGACTAACAGTCAAAACCCGGCCTGGACTTGGAGGAGCTGATCCAGCTGACGCACCGCCACAATGAAGATAAATGTATCATACAACGTCTAACCAAAACCTTTCCACACAAGGTTAGCTTACCATTACCTAGAGGAAACTGCAAAGGAATAATGCGATGTTATTGCATCTCATTATATGAAGACTTACCTTCAAACTTTAGGTAACTAAAATGTCTGATACGGATGGTATATTAGATTATAAACTTGAGCGTTGATAATTATCAGGCTAGGTACCTAGATAGCTTTCTATATTAAGAAATACGGTCTCCTAAATAACCCGACGTTTGTTAAGTGCATTAGAACGCCTATGATAGGTGCGCTTTCCCGCTATGCTTAAGAATACAGTCTTTACCATGCTTTGAGTCATAATATGTTGAACCCGAATTCAGACTTTGGACATAAGGCTGGCTTTAACTCGATCCACCCTCCAGGCTCCAGCTATCATAGGTTATGGCTATTGCAGATCATGTTGCCAGGGGTATTTCGAAACGGGTTTGTTGTGGGTTCATAAAAGTGAGATAACGACGATAAGCATTCGTTATGTTTATTTTTCTGATTTACCTTACTTACAATTTGCCTTGTGTTGCTGCTTTAGAGGTACTTTTATTAGAAGAATAACGAAAAATTGAAAAGGGAGAAAAAAAAGACTTTACAACGTTGTATGAAATTAAATTTCTCGTAAACGATCATAGTAATTCTGTCCTTTTACTTTCTGGCTTAAATCATGTAGAAAGTTAAGCCATGATGTATGACAACTGATGAGAATAATTGTTAGCAACGCACGAGCCCCTTTAGCCAAATCCCCCCACGCCAAATGAACTTTTCGGAACACCGCCAGTTTTGAACGTGCATGGTTAATTATTACAATTCCCCTCCATCTTATTTTTTTATACTAAAAAAAAACAAACAATTTGTTTTCCACATCAGCAACAGGTTGCGTGTAATTCTATTAGTTTAGTTCCACGTATCTAATTGAATCGCAATGGCTTCTCTCAAGACTTCCTTCCCCCCGGATCTATTCGACCGAACTACGCTCGTGTCCCTCGCTTCAACCGTCGCGATTTTGGCTGTCGCTTACCTCCTATCACTGCAGGCACTCGATAAAAAGACGCCCACAAGCCATCGGTTCTTATTCATATGGCACGCATTCGATGCATTGATCCACTTCATTCTCGAGGGGAGCTTTCTTTACCACTGCTTTTTCTCGTGGATACCCCTTTCCAACGTGCCTAACCCGCAGTGGTTGGCGCCCACCGCCCGCAATTACCTTGGCCACACCGACCGCGCTTACGGCTCGCAGGCTGGTGGTAACAATCCGTTTGCACAGCTTTGGATGGTGTATGCGAAGGCGGATCGGAGATGGGCCGGTGCAGATTTGGTATGTATAACCTCGTCGCTTTTACATCAGCTGCCCCTTCACACATTACTAATATGAACCCTCCCTCCTTTAGACAGTTATTAGTCTCGAGCTCCTGACGGTATTCATCGCCGGCCCACTCGCTTGCCTCATCTGCTACGGTATCGCGAAGAAGGATCCGCGCACCAACATTCTCCTGATCATAATCGCAACTATGGAGCTATACGGTGGTTTTATCACCTTCTGCCCCGAGTGGCTAACCTCGAACTACAATCTCAACACAAGCAACTTCATGTATAAGTGGGTGTACCTGGTATTTTTCAATATGCTCTGGGTTTTCATCCCCCTATACGCGATCTGGGTGGCCATCAAGGATATCGACAATGCATTTACCATAAGGGAAAAAGTTGTGATCAAGGTTGCAAGCAAGTCTTCGTCGTCGTCGTCCTCCTCCTCGTCAAGAAAAAGGCAGTAAAAAAAGGCAGTAGGGTTTATGGAATATCTAATGACTTGGAAGACAATTTCTAGGGGTATATTTTGTCCTCCAGCTTCGGTATGCAGTCGGCGTCTGGAGACGTTGGCCTTGATGCTATGGTATGATACCCATTAGTGATTACTTGCTAATGACAGGTGAGGGAGCTAGTTTCACGAATTCACGGTCTTGAGTTGGGTACTTATGTTTGAATGAGGATGGTCAAATACCTATAACAATGAATAAAACTACTCACGCTGAAGCTGATAGAATTAATACATTGTGGCTTAATGTAGAAGACTACCTAGGAATGAAACGTGAAGGGTAAACTTTAGGTGGTTGCGCCATTTCACCCCAACCCGAGTTGTCCTCAGCCTGCATATCCAGAACGAAATGTATGGCGGATTTTCTTTTACCTCTACCTGCTATGCCTTATGCTCTGTGTTGACATTTATCCGCCTTGAACATATGAAGACTAGTACCTACCTTATGCTTTGAGATCAGACTAAGTACTGGCATCACTAGATGTGAGAAATTTGAAAAGAGGTATCTGCCACCTTCGACATTTACATTTAAATAGTCCCAGCTCGAAGTGGATATCCTAGCGGACAGAAAATCGAGAGGCCAGAGTTTTAAGCACAAAGGAGAAGCAAAGTGCGACGAGGAGGGTGGGATTAAGAAGAAAAGAGCACATATCTATATTAGGAATATCTAGAACCTATAGTGGAACCCTATCCTACTCTTTGTTTGCTTCTTCCCCTTTTCTTTTTCGATATTTTTCTCTTTGATCAAACTTGAATTAATAGCTGTAAACATACTTCTAATTCGTAACGCCACGCAAAATGTACATGAACATATAGTTCTCTAGCACCCAAGGCTTTAGGTAACTGATTTGGGCTCGCTTTCAGGGGAGTGTGTGCCCTTGGTGGGTATCGTATACGGAGTGAGTGTCAGGGTCGTATTACATTGGCATATTAGTTCTGAACCAGTAATGTCCGGCCTCCTACATTTTTACGAGGAACTGGCTTGGGTTAAGGTATATTTTATGTAGCCAATCGACCCGCCCCCTACTCACATATCCCCGACACTTAGACTTGACTTACACATTCGAAACACTGCGTTTCCTTAATGAACTCAGGTTCGACGGCTGCAAGTCTAGGCTAGGTAGGTTCTTGAGTAACCAATATCCAAACTAGGATTGTCGAAAATTCAGCTCGGTTCCGACGAAAGATATCGTCCCGTCGCGCTAGTTCGCGGCTACAGGTATATTACCCTGAGCATAATACGCATTATTTCTAGTTCTGACAATATTCCTGCCGGTATGCTAGCCATCCGTACTAGTCCATCTCTGTGCCCATAGTAGGCCAGGGTATGTTGGACCTAAACCCCTGACGCGCGGCAGTGGCCGCCCCTGATGGAACAACGGGGATAGGAGTCACAGGATGGGCGGCCGAAGGTTGGACAGGATTCTGCTGGGGAAGTTGGGTAACATTCCCTTGGGGGTTATTCATGACCAAAGCTCTATACAGCTCGGAATCAGGTCTTGACTGCCTTAAAAAGCCGACGAAGGAGTTAACAAGCCGCATCGTCTCGCTATTTTGGTTCGATATGGCCTGCAGGAATTCTCTGATTTCGGCTCCAAGCCTTGAAAGGCGATTCTCGAGAACATTTACCTCGCTATAGTCAGTCATTGTTATGTCACTATCCCTCCGCGTTGTGGTTTGCGTGGGGACGTGCGAGGTGACGTTGGAGGGGTGATAGTAGTGGTCGTGATAGTGGTACTGAACAACCGCCTCTCCTTGGAACCTCTGCTGTCCCTGTTGGTGTTGTACATTATGGCGTCTGTTATGACGGGCAAATGGAAGAAAAGAGTCGGGTTGGGCAGGCTGCCTTGGAAAGGGGCGTTGTGTATTAGATCTAGGAGGTCTATGCGCGTATCCTGGTTGAGGATAGTAGTGAGTGTTAACCCCGTTATAATTTGATGGGTTGGCATAGACATAATCTTCGCTGAAGTCGTCCTTATCTTTCTGGGGCTCTTCGTATTCTATCCCAGAGTTATGGAAATGGGTCCTGGTCCTCTTTGGACGCCTACGTCTATAGTTTCCTCGAGTCATGGTAGGCGGCAATGGATTCTTTCGCCAATGATAGCCCCCCAAAATGATTGACTCGACTCAGTTAAGTTTATGAGGGGAAATGTGGACCCTTAAGTCTAGTAAAACCTTTATTGCTATTTCTGTAGGAAATCTCCGTTTGGTTCTTGTGGTTTAACAATCGTTTTGTGGTTGCTGCCAATCGCTGTTTTCTTTGTCAGTGAAAGTAACAGTTATTCGGCAATGTTGTCTAATTACCATGCAAATTTCCACACAATAGAATATTTTTTGCAGTGGTATGACAATTTCCCTCATTATCACAGTTCAATCTGAATTATAAATACCTTTGGATATGGCCTTCATCTGACTTAGGTAGCGGAACGTGTTACCCAACTGGAGGCAAGACGTCTACTGTAGTTCTCAAGAGAGGTACTTTCCGATTCATATTCGACACTTCTATTACTTATATATTCATTCAGTGCTTGTGAATTCCTCTTATGCAACAATTACTTTGTCCTTGCCCACACCGAATTCACGATAAGCGATGTCTTTGTCCAAAGTCAAGGAATCGGAATCCTTTCTAATTACAACAAGAAAAAGGAATTATATTTGCTAATGGACTATTTCTGTTCTCTTTATGGATATCAGCTACTCATCCTTCTTATAATAATCCATAATGACCTTCAGCTGATGATTCAAAAATATTACCTAGGTACCTGTAGCATAATACTCTTCCAGATATGCGAGGGTTTAACGGCTACCTACTACTGCGAATACTTGCCGGTCTAATGCTTTGAATTGGGTTAGGTAGAGGTACCTACCTACCTGGTATCTACCTACTTAATCTATATGGCACCGACGCTAGGTAACATAATAACTGTCACGGATGTATAAATTTGTAAGCTGCAGATGTAACTCGTATGTGGTATACCTGCCTCTATCGAAGCGGTATAGAACGATGCATACAACATCAAACCTTTCGTGGAAAGTGAGGTCAAGCTTTCAAGTTCTTTAACCTCGTGCAAGTTCTCTAGCCGTTCTGCTCAAACTATCTCTTCTGCAGAGGACGGCAATGTTTGGGTAATGCAGCATCTGATCTACAGAGAAAATAGAATCATGTACTACCACTCATATATTCTGTGGAATTAATTTCATCATGTGAGAGTAATCCCCAGTTCTTCATTTGAATTAATTGGTTAGGTTACATGATCTGAGATGAGTGATACGTCGAATCTCAATTTAACCAACAGTTTGTGAAGGAGTTGTCTAAGACATGCAGACAACATAGCTCATGATAGGCTGATAAGATAACCCCCTACTGATATAAAAGTGGCTTAAATGACGACCGGGATTCATGACGTGTTGCGATATCTCTTATTCTCATGTCTGATAGCTCAACAGACAAGCACATCCGAGTGACGATAACGATGAAATCAGAAGCGGCAATCGAGCCATCACTGGATCTTGGCTTCTTCCTAAATGTGACTTCGTAAGGTTGACTTGGCCGCTTATAAGATGAGAGGTACCTTTATTTATAATTGGTCAAGCTACTTCGATAATAGACAGTCCCCTGTGGGCATGCTGACTTGTAACGCTGCTGGCTGGATGTCCGCCAATTTCATGTTTTCTAAACCGGAGGACCGCCCCGGAGAAATAGACACGGGGCCCCGGATTTTGGCACAGATGCCGAGCAGGCCCTTATCGCCAAGCACACGTTGGCATACGCTGGACCTTGGTACGTCAGGGAGACCATAGACGGCTGGTACAGAGCTGCAGAAGAACTATACGTTGGTAAACGACAAGACGATGATGCGATTCAGGCCAAAAGCTCAGGAGAGTAAGAACGGAGACATGCTGTTAAGGCGATTCCCATTCATGCATGAGGTGCTGTATGATGCAATAGGGTTTGGGCAGGTGACTCGAAGGCTTGGTTGTCGGTAGATTCCTGAATATAAACTACCTGTAGCCTTTATTGAGCGATTTTGCCTGTTTTTTTCCTGTGCCTCGTTAAGGCCATAGGGGCGTAAGCTGCTCATTACAAAGGTGTTTAACAACGATGATTTCATAGAAATTCTCATCGCACCTAGATAAAACGAGTAGTAACCTGCCTTTTATTGTACGCTGATTATAGAGTAATATTAAGAGCTCTGGTAGATACAGACACGCGCAGCATCGTACCGGCGGAGGCCATTCAAGATGGTTGTTAGGCCACTGATCCATTCATTTAAGTACCCTAATTAAAGTACTTCAATTCAGCATAACTCCTTACCTCAAAAATGACAAAAGAGGACTTCAAACATGGGCCTGCCGAGGCCGTCCCAACTCAATCTCCTCCGGGCCAGGTGAAGACCCTCTTAGTAACGCTGAATAGTTATTACTAATATGTATAGGAACGATAAGGGACTGCGATGTCGATCCGTCGACGCCCTGTTTAGAATGGACCGGATGAGTTAGATTGTGGTAGTTGCGGCTAGTCGACTTCCTGCTATCGAGAAAACGGCGAGGAGAAAATAAGGGTTTCAACGCGGGGGCGCTTGCGCACCAGATCGCCACGTTGATCTCCACCATGGACCAAACATTAACCTATGAAGGAGTCAGATGAAGGAAATTTCAAGCTCCTCAAGGAGTGATAAAGGGATGGTTGTGCAAGAGATGCGGTTACATACAAGAATACTGTCGCGGAAGGGGTCAGTAGCCAAGGTATAGGTGTGTATTGAATAAAGACGAACACATGAGAAAGCTGTCGCGACGCCGCCCGCGCCAAAGACGCCGTAGAGTATGTGTCTGCTTCGCTTCGATATCTGTAGGTGTTTCAATGGTCGTATAGGAATCATAAGAATCCAAAGATCCAAGATAATTCCGAAAACAGATGTAACTAGTCCACGGTGAGTTCTCTGGGTAGCCATATGATAGGGGGTCTATGTACTAACAGTAAAAGAAGGCCGTAGTGTTTATGCAACTGCCCTGCACCAATCGTGATAGATCCCACGCCTTCTGAAGAGGTCTACATTGTCCAACCACGACCCCGATGCAGACAATATAAAAGATAGCCAAAAGGCTGTTGGTACCTTTGCACAAATTTTTGAAGCTATTTGTTACAGCTTCAGCGCGATATTAGTCTTTTGTAACCATATTACCAATACAATGTGAGGCACATACCAATCCTATGATACATGAACACAATTGACGACTTGACGCAAGTTATAACCGAGTAGTATAGAAGCTCAATTGCGAATGTTGTCTTTGTTACTCGTTAGTGTTTTATTAGAATGTACACTATTTAGGAAGGTAGCTAGGACTTACTCGGAGCAGTGCCTCTTTATCTCCTATAGATATAGTTTCCATAGGAGAACCCATCCCCTTGGCTTTCCCAACGTAAAGGGTGGCGAGATATCCAAGAGTAAAGATCTTCGAGGCATTAGAATGGACATAACATCAAGGCGAACTATGAAGCATACCAAAGCGCCAATAGACATCCAATCATCTAAGCCCGCTTTTTTCAGGACGAAAAATCGAATCCATGATCGAGTAACAACTACGACGGCTACGTATCACCGCATTAGACAGATTTTCTGTATTCAATGGACTGAGGAGGATATAAAAGCAAACCTTACTTGAAATACCAGTTAACACAGTCGACAATGTAACAAGAATTGTTATTTGCGTGTGGTTCACTGGCTCCGAGGCCTCCATGGTAAAATGCGTATGGTGCCCTCGTCAAGTAAATCAGCCCTCGAAAATGTCGTAACTATATGATGACAAAGAAGGTGGTAAGCTTATAAGCCTTGTAAGGGCTTGGAGTGTTGTGAGATATTTCCCCAGACCGAATTATAGTATGCTATCATCTCTTGAATACCTAGAAGGGAATTGTGACAAAATCACAACATAGGGAGCCACAGTGCAGGGACTCTTTAATATCGACTCTACTTTAAAATTCTCACCACAGCCTTAGATCTTTCTAGTCTACACATCGATGGGAGTGAAATATGGGGTACGTTACAATGATCGAAGACGGCGTTGAACTAAAAACTACTAAATGGACCAAGCGTTCGGTAGCACTTCTTCGCTCCGAGTACGCCACGCCCTTTCGGCGGTTGTAAGTGGCCCTTTGTTAGCAACGTTCGTGGACATCGCGTGTCCTTTCTCACTCGGGGCTCGTATCGAAACCAGATAAGTTCATGACAGGGGGGCCACGCGGTGTGGATATCCCCCTGCCCCCGAACCAAGATTAAGGCAAGTTAGGCCACTCAGCTCAGCCTTGCCCTGACCCAATGCCAATGCGTATAGTTTCTCAGTTTACCATTGCGCCGGTCTCCGCTAGTTGAGCTACCTCTTTTATGCCTCGGTAAATTGATTAGGACGGGTTACTGTATTGATGGCTCATATGTATAAGCAAAGAATAAGAAGAAAAAACGAAAAAGAATTTGACGATAACAGTGATGGAGTCAATAGTTTTTACATGCACATTCGCACACTGTCACGTCGTAGAGGAGGAGGTAGGGTAACAACTTTGTTGTTCCGCAAGAAATCTCATGTGAGCCTCCTGACAGACACCGTTGGATAGCCTACGAGCTACTAAATACAAGGTAGTCTAGAGAAAATTTGAGTTCAAGCGTGGTACCTACTATCGTCTACACTATATGCGTCTATTTCGTCAGCTTACTGGATATGGCAAGCTCGATGGGTATTTCTGAATGAAATTCAGCTCGGGTTGAACTTTAAATATTTCATTCCCCTGCATGTAAGGCCAATACCTACTGAGTTGATCGTAATTGTAGGTCTTTGACCCAACAACTGATGATAGAACTCATGTATAGGCTACTCATTCTAGTGAATCAGTCACAGCAAATCAGATTTGACGATGAGAGATTAATATAGAGTCGCATCTCATTACTACTCTATGCAACAGCCTATGACGTACATATTTTCTTCGCTTAGTCGGTACGATTCCGGCGTTTTAGATACTTTAGCTCTCGGTTTAGCTCTCGCGCGAGGACATGCCTAGAGATGCCTTTCCCGTGTCGGAATAGTTCCTGTAAACAAGCAAAGCATTGATTGATCCGTTAGGTACTTGTGCTGGTGAAGACTACGACTGATTTAGCATATGGTCCGAACCGTTGAAGCTTCTGTCAGTCATATAATGGCATGGCGTGGATAACAGGAGGGATAGACCAAGGACTTGAGAATATCACGCAAAGAATGGAACAAATTTACAGAAATATACAAATCTACCGTTCGAAGATAACGGGATCAGACATATGCTGAATTATGTTGCTAGGACATATTTCAAAATCCAGTATTAATGCGGAAGTACACCGGCAGATGAATATTACTTGTCACTCTACACAGAAATAAAGTATTGTACGGCGATTCTGGGGTGGAAACTTAGTTGAATGGAGAAGTGGGCTTGCGGGACAAAACCACCTCAAGATAGAAGTGAATCTACCTAGAGCCATCTGTACCAACCTTATATGAACCAACTGTCTTCAAGTTTCCCTCAACGTTCTTATAGTACTATACAATGTTATGAATCGCAGGAAGGCATGTCTCTGAACTATTATGTGAAAATAAGGTAGGACTGATCTATAAGATATTAAGACCAAGTATCGATAAAAGAAGTCGCGATAAAAGTTATATTACATCATCCAGAAGTAACATAACAACAATATATACCTGTATATAAGTAAATCTCTAATTGGTACGTCTATCCATCTCCATAAACCTTGTCAAATAAATAGCATTGGCGATACCAGTCCACGTGTGATATTACAAAAGTGAATCATCGGATAGCTCACACAGAAGCTACTTACTTGGAATATCTGGCTAGTATGTAGTTATTGGTAAACACTTAGATAGTAATCACGCCCCAACGCACCTGAAAACAACTTCTTGTTGCATTCAAATCTTGACCCCTTCTTATGGTTTGTCTCTAGACAAATATTTATGCAAACTGTTTTGGTGCAGCATTTAAGGGGCCTGTTAAAGGCAGCAATTTTCGACAATTTCGCTCTGCGGTGCCCCCAAATCTGATACTATCTTACTATTTTCCACAATAACAGTAGAAAAGGTCAATTGAACTTCGAACAATGTGCTGGTTGAGACGTGTTTACTTTACATGTAGACATGAAGACCAAGATGTCACGCCACCACGGCCGAAAAAGCCCTGCGAGAATGCTATCCGCAGGGGATCAGCAGAATATCCACGCTTTTGTAGTGAGGCGTTGTGTCAGAAGACAAGGCGAAATGACTGGGCTGAGGCTGTATTTCGCGAACGAGTTTGCATTCCCTGTGAGAAGAGACAAGAGAGACAGCGCTTAGACCAGGAATGGAACTATTTCATCCGCAACAACATGCACGTGCTTACCGAGCCAGAGATAGCTTACTACGAGCAACACCGCGAGGAGATATTTGAAAGTTACTACTGGGACTGGAATGATAAGCAGAAAGACTTAATCAATCATTGTATACGAGACATACAATCAAGATACGGTTACACCTAGGGCCGGGAGCGAGAAAATGGTTAGGGATCGTTTCACGCTTATTTATGTTAATCCCAGAACAGTATTCTTTTTAGACAAAGGGATAATTAAACTGGGAATATGGAAATAAGGGGTCGTATGAGGTTAATCATAACGTAGCACTTAAGAAAGAAACATCTAAAGAAATAAGGTAGCTTATAACTCGCATATTTAAGCCTTCTTAAGACTTTTAGTGTCATTAAAATCACGATATACACAGTACAAGCTATTTAACGTAAAGGGGAAATACTGTAAATGTTGATCGAGCTATTGTTTCGCGTCAACCGTCATACATGATTGTATGCCAGCAAATCGGCTAGTAAGAGTAGGTACCTAGGTACATTTTAAATCTATTCGCAGCGGATGCTATAAATATCAACTGATCGCAGATTTCTAGATCCCAAGGACTTCCTTCGCTAGGTAGGTACGTAGGTAGATACCTCTCTTATACATATTAACAAGTGCATTTGTTAAACACGATTAAAGGATAATTTGAATAGTGACCAAAATTTTATATCTATAAGAGGTACCTCAACTGTTTTAGGATAGTCAAAACAACTAGTAGCATTCAGAGCATTGTTTTACAGTTGAGCCTCATTTTTACCATCTATATCCCTTAGATTACCGGACACTGATTCAGAAGCAGCAATTCGACCTTCCCAATCGAGGTAGTATGAGACCCGATATAGGGGATCGATAAACATGGGTGAACATGGGATGGGGGTGTGTACATAATATCGTTCCGGTCCTCGGTGATAAGAGAACGAATAAAAGCATCATCTAGAAGCTGATGCTTCATTCTCTTATCACCTAAAGATTATATATTTAATGAATACATTTGAGACTTTGCCTAATGTATAACTCTAGAAATTAAATAATTCTCTTTTCAATTTCTCTCAAATGACATCTTCAAGATGTATGAAAAACGAGAGCTTTTACCGCAATCGATAGGTGCGGACTCGCGTCCCCGTCCGAGGTCCGTTTGGATGACGTTAGTCCAAGTCGTATTTGCCTTGATACTACTAGGTACCACTTACAACGCATTGTTTTCTTCACCTTTGAACCATGGCGATTTGAACGGTTTAGCGTATTGCCCTCAGGTCAAGCCTCTTTTGCCGCAACATGATACCCCCGCGCTCTCCAAGCTGGACGAATATATTACTTCGCCCATCTTCCTTAACGAAACTGTAGTTCGTATGCGCGGAGCAATCCAGATCCCCTCCCAGTCTTACGACGACTTGGGACCTGTTGGCGAAGATAACCGATGGGACGTAATGTTTGACCTTGCCGCGTACTTAGAAAGAACATTCCCGCTTATCCATAAGACCTTGGAACTTCAAAAGGTCAACACTCACGGGCTCCTATATACTTGGAAGGGATCAGAGAGAAGCTTAAAACCGACTGTCTTCATGGCTCATCAAGATGTTGTCCCTGTAGCTGAGTCGACTATCGGACAGTGGACCCATCCCCCTTTTAGTGGCCACTTCGACGGTCATTTCATCTGGGGCCGAGGATCTAACGACTGCAAGAATAATCTCATTGGTATTATGGAGGCTGTCGAATTACTTATAAATGCGGGCTTCCAACCAAAGAGAACTTTAATCTTATCGTTCGGATTCGATGAAGAAGTATCCGGGAGGGAAGGCGCCTCACATCTTGCTGAAGTGCTGATTTCCCGCTATGGAAAAGACGGTGCTGCAGTCATCGTAGACGAGGGAGCTGGAACGTCAACAGTTTGGGGTTCCACATTTGCCCTTCCTGGAGTCGCTGAAAAAGGCGCTATCGATGTTGAACTCATTATTCGTATGCCGGGCGGCCACTCCTCGGTTCCTCCTGCTCATAATGGAATAGGAGTCATGGCGGAACTGGTGACTGCTATTGAAGGTTAGTGGCCCTGTTGCCCTATTAAATTCTGGACTCAGTCAGCAAAGTGATACATTATCAAATGATGCCACCATATTAAGTTAAGGCTGGCTCTAAGAAAAAGGTTTCTTTGAGTAATTACTGACCGTAGATCGATATTCAGACAATCCGTACGAGCCACACCTGCATTCCACCAACCCTTTCCTTGGTCTCTTACAATGCGGCGCAGCTCATAGTCCCGAATTCCCATCTAAGCTAAAGAAGCTTCTTCCGTCTCATGACGGGGAAACTTGCTCTAAGAAAGACAGGCTGGCTTTAGAGGCAGCGAAAGCAGGCGACGTTGTCAAATACTTATTCACAACTTCGATAGCACCCGACATAATAAGTGGTGGGGTCAAGAGCAACGCACTCCCAGAGCGTACTCGAGTCCTCGTCAACCACCGAGTCAATGTCGGCGACCATCCATCTGATGTACAGAAGAAACTAGTGAAGATAGCTGAACAGATCGCCAGTAAGCATAACCTCACGGTTCACGCATTTAAAGATGAACCGGAAACGCCCCGGTCAATCACCCTTAAGCTTAATTCGAAGGCGGACACGCTAGAACCTGCACCAGTAACCCCAACGGCTGTTGATGGGGTAACGCCGTATTCGGTGCTTTCAGGTACTACCAGGGCTCTCTACGGTGAAAAGCTTCTTGTCTCGCCAGGAATTATGGCTGGAAATACCGACACTAGGTATTACTGGGACTTAACAAAGCACATCTTCCGTTACGGCCCTGGGTGGGATCCTGAGCAGGAAGGATTTGATGGAGTACATACAGTTGATGAGAAGCTTAGCATATTTGCGCATATTAAAGGTGTGCAATGGTATAGCCTCTTTATCAGGAATATGGATGAAGCTGGGTTAGCTTAAATTAAACTATCTAACGTTGCTTCAAGAAACAGTCGTTAGTCTCACTGGCACTTAGGTTAACTGTGAGATTCTTGAAAATTTATATTGAGTGGGATAAAATCTGCCTGGTGCCATAACATTAGAGAAAGATGACTGTATGGGGCTACTATAGCCTTGGCACATGATTCCGGCTCAACCAGTATTCTTTTCTCATGTCATCAGTGAGGGTCCCTGATAGAACTGCTTGAACGATTTTAGCTTCAGGTGTGAGACCTACCTCCGAAAGGAAATCGTAAACGTCGAACCACGAGGGATTTCCCTCTGCCATTTCGCAGTCAAGGATTACCTGCATGAGGGCATTATGGCTGGCGCTTGCAGCAAACCGGCAAAGACCTACGGCAATTCTTGCATGGGTGACAACTTCAATCGGGTCAACCGTGCTGGCGGCCTGGCGGAACTCAATCGTTCTTTTTGTCTCTCTTTCGAGCTGCGCAAAGCTGTATGCGCCTCTCCTCAGGCCAATACCCATCATTCTCGCAATGGAATGCCTATCCGCTGACCTGAGGATTTCGCCGACGGCAGTAATCAGCGGAACAGGCTCGTAACTTTGGGCGTTGTGAGGGCCTTGGTAGTCTCCGCCGAGATCCCACAATGCACCTTGCACGGTGTCCTGATCGAGATTGTAGGCACCCGTAGCTGGACGAGTGGGAAATCGAACCTTCTTAGTAACTTTGTCATCCTTGGAAGGCTCAGGATGACTCTTAAAGTGTTGAAAAAGGTTCTGTACGCGCGTTATGACTTGCGCATATCTAGATGGCCTCTCGACTTGTGCTACCTCGGTGGGAGGGGCAGGTTGAACCGGTTCACGAACAGGATTTACTAACCCGAAGGAAACATTAGAATATAGACGTGGACTCGTACAATATGCATTTTCGTATCGATGTTTAGGATGTGACTGAGCTAAGATCGGGTCTGCTGCGTAGAGAAGAGCAGCAATCTGTCTAAGCGAGTTCAAGGGGAGCCATTCATTCCCATTACCCACGTGTACGTGAAGCCCGGCCTGATGAGAATTAAATATCCAAAAGTGTCTCTGGAGAAAGTCGCACATTCTACGGACTTCGTCGAACCCTTCGTTGGTAGCCCACAGAGCTGGCGAAACGATTTCGGCGCCGATCCATCCGAAATCTTTATCGCTTCTATCTGCCAGCTCCTTAGGCAGTGCTCTCAACGAAACGTCATCCACTACACTCCAGCGTCGATACCCTTGGAGATGAGTCCACTCTCTGTCGCCATAGTTAATTGCATTCTTATCCAATGGCGCAACTGCTCCTTCTGGTGATGGGAAAGCCTCGTCTATTATAAGAGCTAGGGCGCCTACCCTGTCACCTGCATTCTCCCACCTCCCCCTGACAACTAAAGGAGCTCCAGGGTTTACCTGAACACCTGGGGGCGCTGGTACCGTACCGGTAAAGCTCTCGGCGCGCCATGCTAGGAAAAATTCCATTTCTATACCGAAGCTTAGCTTCTCTTTATCACCCTTTGTTCTATTTGCCATTTCCAATGTTGTTTACTCGATTGTATGCCACAATGGTCTTGTTTGGATCTTTTTGGTTTAGGTCTTTTACTTGCCTATGACCTTAACTCCAATTTCTTTAGTCGCTATGTGCCACGGACCCCTTAATATTATATAGTCATCCGAACTACTAGCTAACATCATCCTGGTTTCGATACATGATGAGAGAGACAAACCAGTAGTGACATGGCGGGTTTGTTTAAGAAGAAGCCTGTTTGTTCTTTAGCTGATTACCTCACGTCAAACTCGAGGTTCGCTAGGTGATAATACACTACGCTCGAGCCGGTTCACTTCATCCCATATACTTTACAATTCAAAACACATAATCTTCGATCACAAACTACTGCAATCGAATCAAATTGTTGTGTTGTGCCGTTGCCGATATATACTGTCATAGTGATTTTCATGTCTCTAGACGAGTGCTAAGGGGGAGGCTTTCATAGGTGCTGCGAGGGGCAGCTTCTTGGGCGTAGCAGTGTCCTGACTAACGTCCCAGCGAAGATTATATCCCCTTCGAATTATATAATCACATAAGTTCATCGCGGAGGACTATATAGTCGGGTATATAATGAAAGTGAAATTAAGTGAATGAAGTACCTATTAGAAAGTAAAATACTAGGTATCCAACCCAAGTTGCCATATCGTACCCGAAATAGTCTTCTAAAGCAAAGCCCAATGCATGAGGGTCTATTCTCGAAGTAATGTAAAGTTGACGCATGGAGATCAAGTAAAGGTGGTTGATGCCCGCCTGGCTCTCTACTAGCCTAGCGCATGTGCCTCTCGAAATGTTGGCGTAGAGTAGATGCTGTCTGACCCCCTAAAAATCTATATCCATTGTCTCTAATTCCTTGAAGGTTCTCCCGGTTACTTTTCGGAACCATCGGACGCCTTGTCGTCTTTGCGAAAATGTGGTGGTGGCGGAGGAAAGTGCTGTTCACCGGTTTGTTGGAGAAAAGATCGTGGACGAAGATGAAGGTGATTTATACTCCATCCCAGGCAAACGTCTTTATGTGACCCGCATCTTAGGAATACCGGGTTTGGACAGTGGCTTGTCCTTGCGTATTGAGAGTCGCAAGCGACCCTGCCAGACGGGCTAGGATATTGTAAGACAATGCTCGCAAAGCTATGATTACCGGCTATATACCTTTCATGACGTCTTAAGAAAAGAAAGAGGAGGATGATTTGAAGAAATATATAACCAAGTTCCTAGATATCAAAACAAATGGCATGAGCACCTGACCAGTTCAGTTTAGAACCCAACAGTGCAACCAAAGTTTATTGTACTTACAGAATGATTAAGGTGACTGACAGGAAGCTCTCTAGAGGTAGGTAGTGTTCCTACCATGAAGTGCCTTGCCCGTGTCACTTTAACACTTTAATAATCCACTTTACCCATTCGAAGCTAAAGCATAACTGTTCGTAAGCTAGGAAAAGTGAGAAGTAGTCATCGCTAAGTTTCCTGTAGAGTACGATAGTATAGTATACGTACCGTAAATAGGAAAAGTTGAATATCTCATCTCATAAAGCCAGTGGTTAGAAGTGTTCTCAAGAATATATTATAGCTTCTTCGGAATGATGTATAGTTCAACTTTTACCTGGGAATGTTATAGGAATTGACCACTCGACTATGCTCAGTACTAAGGGTCTTTGCCGATACTGAGGAGATCTAAATTTAGATGAGGTAACTAATAGCTGATTCGCGGTTGTTCGCGTAATGGTTAAGTTAACTCTTTTTTATAACATCCTCAGGTGTTCTACCATGAACTTTCATACTATAGTATACCTTTGATTCTAAGTCATTATTCAAGACTTCTATAGGTTAGGTATTGATTACCTGTAAGTATGGCCCAGCAAGTTTATATCTGACAAGTACTTAGATAAGTATTTTTAAAGCAAGCCAGGAGTTAATCAAGATGTGGAATTTGGATTCTGTTGAAAAAAAAAAACATTGAAATTCCCAAGAGAAAATAATCCATGTGATAATTCATCAAAATAAATGCTTTGGCTTAGGTTCATAACCAGGGCAATAGAATACCAGGTACCTACCTTGGCCAAGTAGGAGGTACCTTAGGTGAAGTAAAGTACTAGGTACCTACATACCTACCTAGGTGCGTAAGGAAGCTGCAGGTGCCAGCTTGCTAAGGTACTAAAACGTTGCGCCTGCAGCTTCCGCGCCTGCCACGTTAATGAGCCCCACTATTAGGCCGTCCCTCGTTGTTACCTATTCCCCTCTGTCCCCTCTGCCCCTCTGCCCCTCCACGATTGCCCCGCATCATCAGAACGATGATTTATCAAACAATCTTACGGTTGCTGAAGTATACCGTATCGTGTCGCCTCACCGTCACCGTCTTCATGCGAAAATAGGAAAAGGTACCTACACATCTCGGGGAAATTATCATACTACAAAGTTTAGGTATTTGCCTAGTTGGCTTTCTTGACGTCGTACAACTTCCTGAGCTTCCGTTTTGCATTTAGTTCTTCCTTTCGATCTTTTGACTCAGCTTACTCTAGAAGGTACCTACCTACATAAGGTATCCATTGTCAGGTGCCTATCTGCAGCTACCTAAAGTTTAGGTTAGGTACCTACCTACCTAACCTACGTACCTCCTAAGGATCTCCCTAAGGTACCTAACCTAGAACCTTGGAACTTACCTCAGGGTAGGCTCCATCTGCATTGCTCAATCAGGGTCTCTCACCACCGAAAAGTTGAAACTGGAACGAACTTGACCGAAAGACGGAGCATTTTCTTATTGTTCTCGTCAATCTTCCAATTCGTACAACTTCTCAGGGATATCATATTACACCACGAATCATTTCATTTCATTTATTTATTTATTTTTTTTACCTGAGTCCCAAGGTAAATAAAAATCACTCCGACACGGCTATCTCTACACCTGCGTACACCTGCGTACCCCATACTGCCTACCTCCCATCAAGCGTCACAGCGGCTACTGCACAGCTGAACACCTGTGTTACCTGCCATCCACTAGGATCCAAGAATTGTACGACCTACCAACGAGGGGAAGGAACCTTGGGACTTTGGCCACTTTAGGTACTTACCTAAGGTACCTGTATCTAGGTACCTATCTATCTATAGGTACTGGGTACTAAGCACTAGAACATCTCATCCACGTGCACATTTAAAGCCCTGTGAGAATTAGCGGACAGTTACTACCTCTTTACAACACATTTCCGTCCTCTGCGGATATCATTTATTTTATCGACTATCGTCTCATTGCATCCAGGACAAGAACAGGAGAGCAGTTTAAGACAATCTTTAGCCAATCTCAAAATGGCAGGAGCACAAGAGACCGATGATGGCATCGAGGACCTTTATATGGACGGTACGAAACGTGAAGCAGGTTTCGATTCACAGCCGGAGCCCAATTACCACCAGGATCCTCGGGACGTCGAAATGACAGACTCACCGATGATGTCGACGCCTGCGCATGCTGGCATTCTTCCCCTGTCCATGTTCAACTCGCGACCGTATACCGGCCCAGTGACACGATCCATGACCAAAGCCCGTCTCGGTCATTTGGTCGGTACCCTTCCACATGCTACTTCCTTAGGAGACCGGCTTAAAAGCTCCTCCAAGAGGCACGTACGCAATTCCAATGTATCCAAACTTGAGGAGTCGAGAGATATTAGCTATATCATGAATGACCGGATTACCAATTCCGACGAGATCACTGATAATACTCGTAACATGACTGGTCAAGTGAGAGATCAGGCTCTGTTTCTTGATCCGCCGCCGCTGGATACGGCATCTACATCACACCCCCTAACTGGCCAGCTTCGAATATCCAGCCGCGGATCTTCCCGTGTTGATAATGGGAATGCTATGATTGCGGAGGCTACAGTGTTAAGCGACAAATCTCGGGCCAAAGAGCCAAAAAGTAAATCAAGGAGACGGCTTAAAGCAAGCAACGCTTCTGCTAGCAGATACGTTCGCCGCTCTCCACGCTTTATGAAGCCACTCACTGAGTTTCCAAAGTACCGTAACCTTCCGGATGAGCTCAAAATCATGATTTGGGAGGCCGCCATCGAGCCACGTCTAGTATATATAGTGAACCGATACTCACTATCACACACCCAACGTCAATTTGAGGTTCAGAACGACCAACCTAGCTGGTTTAACGCCTGTCGCCTGTCACGATGGGTTGCGCGGCTCCATTACCTGAATCTCTTTGCCATGTATAGTCCAGTTACGAATTCGTTCAATCCCAGAACACTTCAGGCTGTTACTGGTGATGACATTGTGATCTTTGAGCCTTGCCATGGCGGGTGCCGTGGATGCTACTGTGCCAAAAATCAGTACAACCTGCGTGACCGTTCTATGGTACGGTCATTGGCTATACAAGCGGAGTCACCCAACTTACCCCCTACCACAGAGCCATGCTGGAAAACCATTGCAAGATCATGGCACAACGTTGAAACTCTCTATCTAATGAGAACTGCCGTGAAGGGCGTGGACAAGCGGAATAAGGCAATGATTCGAGTCATGAAAAATGCGCACGAAACAGCTCTCTTAAAGCGCTTCGACGAATGGAAGAAGGGTCCTGGGATCAACGCTAAAATAAAAAGAATAGAGTTTGTCGTTGTAGTAAAGAAGGAAGTGGCAAGATCTAATAACCCGCGGGATCGTTACAAGTTTGTCGAAGATCGGTTGACTGACCAACCGGAAGATATAATCCTCGGTTGATTCATCCTTCCTCACGCTGTCCTCCAATCTATTCCTTAGAGGAAGCTTACCCTCATAGGCACTATATGCTAAATAGAGACGGCTGTCAGGGAATGAAATTTATCCCGCCTCCTCAGCAAGAACATCTGGAGACAGAAGGAACTCGATATTGAGTGGGTACCAAATAAAATACCGTTTTGCGTCTCTAGTTAAGATACCATGGCTTGGGAGTGGCCCCCGCTACTCTATCTAATGGATTTTTCTTTTCGGAATATATCTCCCTTTGATGTGATGACATCAGGTATATTGAATATGTTTTCGCACTCTATCCGTATTCGCTACTTCTAGAAGCTAATGACTTTTGTTTGTGATAGAGGTATTTTTTGGGGGGTACTATGGATTATTCTGCTACATACCTTACACGTGCAATATCTTGGACCCTATTCGTTTTGTTACAGCTTTGATGCGTCAGTGACCACCATATTCGGTAGCCGAGAAAAGAAGCCATCTATTACTGCCTCAACGAGAATATCAACGATGAAGGTACTGATAGCGATAAAATGGGCTTCAATGACGCCATAAGAGGTGATCTGGATATATTCCAACCTGTTCCACATATGCTTCTCTTTGCTGTCTTGTACCAATTGCCACTCCGGCCGCGGGTAGTTGGATTATCCTCCAGCTTGATCGAACGTCACAGTCTCAACTTTGACAAACCTCCTGGTCAATGCAACATGCTGCAAAATATAAAATGCAGTATACCTAAGAAGGAGATCTAAAAGAATCTGTTTCAGTTATGCTTCAACCATCCAAGATTTCCCAGCCGACCCCCTGGCACCTTCTGTCACCTTTCAGAGCTATCAACATTCATCAAACTCTCCCTATCTACGACCACTGTCGATAGTCTGATAAGGGTTTGCACCATCTTAGAAATCTACCTTAGTTAAGACTGAGACCAAATTGCCTCGGGAGTTAAGCTTATCCTCCTTATGACATTCCCTAACACGAAGCCTGGAGAGAGTCCACGAATCTTCTGGATTATCTACTTGCACTAATGAGAAATATCCACGGCCTCACACTGGAGGAAACAAGTTTTAACGAAGAAAAGGAGACGCGCACATTATTACTAAGACGCTCGAAGCTTTAACGCAGTTGTGAAATCAGAAAGATCTTTCTGTCGTAAAACGTCTTCCGCTGCTCCGTAGCTCTACCACGTAACTAATACAGCTTAGCTAGAATAACCTAAGGAACCCTGAATTTACCATCCTACCCAATATCTGATTCCATTTAAAGACGATTATCCTACATCGAATTGTTCGGGTCATATGTTGATAATAACTCGATTGTGTGGAGTTATGATGCGGGCTTCAGAGTTCTTAACCTCGAGTTGAACGTGGACGTTATGCTGACTTAGTTAGCATGTGAGTTTACGTTCGCCTCATGTCTTGTAGAATGTTGTGACTTGATTCCATGTCGCCTTAAGTCCGTATCACCATTACTACGGTACCTAGGTGCGTACCCACCAGGGCCAGTCGCAATGTAATTCAGGAGTGACCCCTTTGATGACTAAGCGACGACCTGTAGGTGCCGCACATCTGCTTGAGGGCCTTAGGGCCAAGTATTATACAATGAATACGCGTACACTTATTGTCAGGATCTTTAGTAAAAGACTTCTAGAGTCATGATGGGTACATCAAATTCCAAGTTTAGGGTTCCTTTCCATTTCTTGCCAAGAAACGTTTCGTTACAATAATCATCTTGAATGAAGTTGAACCAGGTCTCTTAGATATTGTGAAATTTGCTACTTTAAAAACAGCGATCCATTTTGCTGCTTTCAAGTACCTAGACCTAGTCAAAATGGTGTTGATTGGCGATTTGTTATAATAATTACGTCCTAAGTACATCTTCGACTAATATTTCTGTCCTAGTCTTCACTAGGTACCTCTAATACCTAGACCACAGAACGCAAGGACAAGTTAGAAACAATAAAGCGGATACCGATCGCACTTCCTTTTCTAAGCACGCACGAGATTGTATTTTACCTATCGCATCGTCCGAGATCGTTACTAAAGCTTACCTTGGGTAGGTAAATACATAAGGTATAGAAGAATTGATTCAACGTTATAATATTTGATAATTGACAAATCAGGTTTAGAAGTTCCCGAATGTTTAATTGATTGAAGCGCAGTACGGCTTGGGGGTGACGCCGTCAAATATATATGCAGGCAGCAACACCAGATATTCCATATTAAAAGAAGGGAGCACATGAAAAAGGAGAGGAAAAAAATTAAAGGCAAAAAATTTATTGTGCCCCCACACCGGATTGAACGATGGACCTCAGCATGTACTCGCAATGGATCTTCGAAGAAGAATTACAAGTGCTGCGCTCTACCACTGAGCTATAGGGGCCATGCGACGATAAACTGGTATTTTTACAGGGCTTTATATACATCAAGAAGACAGAGAGAGATATGGTACAATAACTAAATCACGTGAAACTGGATCCATTATGGCAGAATTGAATCAACGAACCTTTTCGAGGTCCTAGCTTGATTAAACTGTATGTACAACGACCACTGTTGCTCAATTATTTCATTCGTATGTTGATACACTTTTAGGCGATGATGGACGCTATAAGACATCTCATCAACTTCAGAATTACACTCAACTATCCAGAAAACGCAATCATCATACTATCAAGGCTTCATATAATCTGAACTGAAGGGGCCCGTTAGACATAATATTAGAATCACGGTGAGAAAAAAAAAAACATTCTTCTCAAGATGCTAGATAGGTGGCATTTAATATACCTAACTACCTAATCTAAAGGGGGTATCAAAATTTCTTGTACTGCTTGTAAAAAGGCCATCCGGTTGCTCCAGCTTGGTTCACAATATAATGTATGCTTGAGATAAGGCTGGACGTGCTATGCTTAATCTAAGCCGTCTCTGTAGCAATTTTCCTTTTTTTTTTTTTTTTTTGGTTGCGGCCAATCCTACGTTTAGCAGATAATAATAATACTACACGGTCGACCTAATAAATGTTCAGGTTGTGTGTTGTAACGCCGTTGCTGGTCAAGAGATTGAGAAATTTCCTCTCTACCAGTACGCGCCAAAAAACCTACAAAAAAAGAATAAAGTGTAAGTGTTACTGACTATCATGATATGAGTTGATGTGATCCTGGCAGTACCTGTCATATATCTAAGTCCCGTATGTAAAGTATACTCGGTAATCAAAACTATGAAGACCTGGAACTTCCTGCAGCTCGAGTAAAGACTATCAATCTTCCAAGTGGGATCGAGGTATTACTTGAATATTCGGCGGCCACCCGCCCTCACTGCAAATCTCTCAGCTCCGTTTTGCGTTTGCTGGTTCCAAACCATCAAGCTTCCCAAAGCGCCACCATTCTCGGTAGCGGCCTTGCGACGTCTATATGCTTCGCGAAGATGTTCGGGCCGTAAAGGCGCTTGCCGGCGGTGTTTCGATAACTCGTTCGTCGGTTCAAGCTCGTCGTCGGATAGGTCGGTTTGCTTTTCGCCTAGTTGCACCCACTCTTGTTGAACCTCACGGGCGGACTCGACGATATCCCCAAGGTACATCTTGCAGACGACTTGCATCATTTGATGAACGTTGGTAGGACACGACTGCGAGGTGACGCTGTTGATATGCTACGCAGGGGAGGGGACGGTTAGATTCGTTATAATCGATTGAGGTGACCAATAACATAGGAATATGATTTAGCTTACCCTTTTCACATCTGCGTTCTTGAGTGTTTGACGATGCCAAACTTCATACCGGTCGAACTGCTGTGCGTCCATTTGCGCCTTCAACAGCGCATTAAGTTCCTTCTCTTCTTCAATTTGCTCTTTGGTTCGGGCAGCAGACATGCTGGCCATATTCTCGGGTATCTCGAATTCCTCTTCTTTTCTAGAGTCCGGGTCGACGTCCTTTCCAGCATGATTGCCGCTGGCGTTGCTGAGGACAGTGGGCGCGCGACCTCCCACGACACTTGGAGTGCCATCGCGTATAGCCTCGACCGCAGCCTCACTTGCGCGCTCCGCCTTCGACTTTCTGCCTCGCTTTTTTTTGTTGGGCGCGCCGCTCACCTGACTTCCACTAACGAGACTCATGGTATCGACGCTTGGAGATCGTCTGTAGGATGGAGAGAAAGTCTGGGTTTGGGATTCGTCGGGCGGGAAGGACGTCTGCCGAAGAGGATGAGCCGAGCCTACGGAGGCAATAGACATGACCGATGCCTTGCGACGTTTAAGGGAGGGTGGTTGAGATGGTAAATCAGCAGTTGTGGAGCCGCGCTTCTTCGAGGGCAACTGCGCGCTAGAAGAGTATGGCGGAGAACCCGCAGGTGAGTGGGCGCGTGGAGGGGACGCCATGTCGGCTTGTTGAGAAGAAGACCTAGTTTAGTGAAGCCCACTCGAGATCTAGCTTCGAGATCTAGCTTCGAGATCTAGTTTCGAGATCTAATTTAGTTTGGATGTCAAGTAGCCAAGGTAGTTAAAAGGATATCGAATGCTTTTGTTGATTCGTGTCGAGTAGAAGTTGAGGAAGCTTTGATGGGGGATGCTTGGACAGAAGTAGATTTTGGGAATAATAATTCCGCGTTTCGAACTTTACGAATGATGATGTATCAAGGTAAATAACGAAAGAACCTAAGCCACGGATAGAGAGACACGGATAGATAACGCGAATCTAACCTACCTAGGTACGAAGTACTTAGGTACGATTTACGTAACCTTACGTAACCTAGGTATCTACTTATCTTAGCAAGCTTAAACCACAGATTTAATGTTTTTCTCGTTATACTTTTACCTAGTTTAAGTAAGTACAAATGGTCACGGACCGCAACTACCTAACCCCACAATAATAGTAAAATGGTTCGGATGTTACCGATGTGGGCCTTATATAAGTGCGATAAGACGATAAGACGATAAAGCGATAACGGACAATTGAAAGAGTCGATTTTCGATACTTACAAATCTTGTCTATTTTAATAAAACTTGCATTAGAGTGGGATTTGACAATTCCATCTAAGCTACCCATAAGCCCCAAGGGATTCCTCTCGGCGCATGTGCTTAATGTAATTGAGCCGATTGGAGCTTATAGTCTGATTATCCCGTCCCGTAAGTCCCTAAAACACCTTTCCTTCGCATACAACGCCTCTTACGAACGCCTTTTACGAACACCCCTGCACAAGTTTAACATCTTTGGTCGCAAAAGCAAAAGCAAAACGGTGCTGTTCGCTGACTCAAAATTGGGACGGTTTAGAAATGGCGACGATAGAATCTTCCAACAGCTCCAGTACGGGGGTCTCCGATGTCGATGACTCTGTCAATGGCAACGACAGACAAGAAGAGCACGGCCAAAGTCGAGACGAGAGGAGGGCTAATAAAAAGAAGAGAAGAAGAAGGGCCAAAGATGGAGGTATATCGGAGATTAAGAATATCAATGGACACTCAAAATCATTGAAGAGAAGGAACAGCATCAGCAAAGCCGCACGAGACCCTAGAGACGAGCCCCGGGGCAAGAAGCAGAAGAAGACTAAGAGCGAAGGTGCAGAAACGAGGTCACCTAGTCCGGTTATTGATTTCGATGGTTTAAGCCGGCCGAGTACGTACCAATGAATAATTACAACTTTCCGCTGATCACACCGTTACCTTAGATATGCTTACACCATATAGGTCGGGGGACTCGAGAGAGACTTGAAGAGAGCTCTGAGCAAGCAGCCGAAAGACTAGAGAAGATGCGAGGAGCCATTCGTACGATTCTAGAATGTGTTGGCGAAGACCCAGATAGAGAGGGCGTTCTCGATACACCGACAAGATATGCGAAAGCGATGCTGTTCTTCACCAAAGGATATCAGCAAAACGTCAGAGACATTGTCAACAACGCTATCTTCCAAGAGAATCACAATGAGATGGTTATCGTGAAAGACATAGAAATATTCAGCCTCTGCGAACACCATCTGGTCCCCTTTACTGGAAAGGTAAGTTGTACGAATTCACCACTCCGTTGATCCTTAGTTTTAATTCTCTGTCAGATGCACATTGGATATATCCCCAACAACAATGTTATCGGTATATCGAAGCTACCGCGTATTGCTGAAATGTTCAGCCGCCGACTGCAGGTCCAGGAAAGACTGACGAGAGAAGTTGCCAATGCTATCATGGAGGTTCTGAAACCCCAAGGCGTGGCAGTTGTGATGGAGTCAAGTCATCTCTGGTAAGTGGAATAGCATTCTCTCGGCTTTCTAGTCATTCCCAGAAGTGACATTTTCCCCTCTTTCTTTCTCCGACAGCCAAATGCTCACTATGATTATGATTGACAGCATGGTCATGCGAGGTGTCGAAAAAACCACAACCAGCACCATCACCAGCTGTGTGCTCGGTTGTTTTGAAAGAAAAGAGAAGACTAGGAATGAGTTCCTAAGTCTTGTTGGGCTTAACAGAACCTATAGGTAGGTACCTAAGGTTGCAAAATAGGATACCTTATATCTGCATTTGAGGCGTTATAGGTTCGGAGCGTGGGATCTCAACATCAAGCTCATCCATGAATAAGGAATGGGGAATGCATCTTAGAGCTCAACAGGCTCAACGCCTTAAAGGAATCGGGTGGCGTTCAGGGAGGGGATAAAATGATTCTTCAACATTATATTTGTGTATCATCAACTGCGCCATACTTGCATTCATTACGAGATTTCTCGAACCGGAGCCTTTGCAAATACAATCTCGGCATTCCGACACCCCGTCGCCTTAGCAAGCAAAACTGACATCTACAACATTCGGTCGAAGGACGTCAACATTGTGTACATGACAAATCGGTGAGCAGCTCAATCCTTCGCGCGAAAGGAGGCAAGCGATTAACTTACGATACCTATGATTGATAATCACATGATTGATAAGCCGCGCGGCTACTTGTAGAGTTACATCCAAGCTAACTTAGATGCCGGAAATGTGGCATTCTTGTTCCGGCAGGATCGTGGAGTTTACGTACCTAGACAGCACAGGTAGTACCCTCTTACATGACATACACCAGAAGGAAAATAAACTATTTGAAGTTGTGCATGCCCCTCAGTATCGCATTAGAAGCAAATTAATATCCAGCATTTTTCGCATCCATAACTTACCAAGGAAATAGACACTACCAAGTGAAAAGTGAAAACAAATCTATCAACTCGACAAGATGAGCAGCAGCATTACCAAAGTTGCCATCGCCGGGGTAAGAATACACCTGAGCGTTCTATACAGGAACTACTAACTAAATATAATGCAGGCTACCGGTAACTTGGGCCCATCAGTGTTGAAGCAACTTCTTGAAGACGGTTTCAAAGTCACCGTTCTCACCCGCAAGGGGGCCACCCACACCTTCCCGCCCTCAGTAACTACTGCTGAAATTGATTATAACTCCCCGGAGTCGCTCGAGAAGGCACTGAGTGGCCAGGATGCTGTCGTTTCGACCGTTGGCTTCGGGGGATTATCATACCAACCCTCTCTAGTTCAGGCTGCGGTCAAGGTTGGCGTCAAACGCTTTATCCCTTCGGAATTCGGCGGAGACGCGGAGAATGAGAAGACTGCCAGCTTACCCCCCTTACATGCGAAGAAAGCTGTTACCGACCTCCTTAAGAAGGAGGCAGCGGCTGGTTCCATAACATACACGTCGATATCTACCGGGCCTTTCTTGGATATGGCGGTCCAGTACGGCATCGCCATTAACGTCAAGGGCAGGAAAATCACCCTTTGGGACGGCGGAGATAGGCCTATCAGCATGACCACTATCGCATATATCGCCAAGGCCGTGTCAGAGGTACTCAAGCATCCCGAGGAGACCAAGAACCGCAATGTGCACGTACACAATGTAAACCTCACCTTGAAAGAGCTCCTTGAACAAGCTAAGAAAGTGGTTGGGCCGGAGGGCTGGACGTCTGAAGTAAAGTCCACCGAAGAAAACCTCAAACACGCCTACGCGGAGTTGGAGAAGGGTGGAAATGCTACGATGCAATTTCTAGTCACAGCGATCTTTGGAGAAGGATACGGTTCAGACTTCAAGAACGTCGACAACAAATTGCTCGGAATTAAAGAATTTACCGGTGAAGAGCTCCAGGACCACATCAAGCGCTTCGCTAATTAGTCCCGCGTCTATCAACCTGGGTCAGGTATCCATAGGTGATTCCTATCCTCATCGCAAGTTTTGGAATAGGTATAAGCGCATCCTTCCAAATCAACCGCAGGCTAGGGGTACGTACCTAGCATAGAGATTAGCTACCTAGTACCTACCCATAAGGAGAAATACGATAGATCGATCGAATGACAATGAGTTTTGTGAAATGGTTTTGACGATATTGAGCGAGGTCTTGAAAGCAAATATGTCACGCACGAAGTATAGATATAGTTACAGGTGGTCGTACAGAAGTATCATGACACATTGTGAAAAGAAATATATAATATATTGATTTAGATTATCAACTAAACGTACACTTGCATCGCCTACACCGCCATATATAGATTGTCCTCTTATTAGTACGTAAGGATAGATATCCAACGATATCTGGTGCTCAGATACCCCGAGGACAAAGAGAATTGCTCGTCATCATGCATGCGAGTAAAGTACAATTAAATTTACTGTTCGATAGTATGCATAGGACAATTTCCAGTCCTTGGGACTCTTATGTCGGGATAAGGAGGCCGACAATTCGGAGGAGGGGAAGTGGTATGGACGATCCTAGGGGGGTCGTAATGGCAACCACAGGCTTCGTAAATGTAAACGTGTCTGTAGCACATTGTCGAAAAGTGATATACAGCCTATAGTAGGTATAATAAGTTATTGCGAGATTTAGTTAAACAGGATGGTTGGCTTTGATTGTGGTTGATGTTTGTGGATGCTCCGATGATGGCTTTCATTCGTTCCGTTAGGAAATGTGATCTCATTTATAGAAAACATGTTTCCAAGCCGTCATATATAACACCATTGTCAATCATGTTAAAATTGTAGGTTTCTTAGGCAGGTAACTTTAGTAACACATAGCTTCAACACGGATAGCCGCAGGCTTCTACGGTTGTCTGGTCACTTTGAAGCCCTATAGAACAATGAAATTCTTTCCATGATTTCTAGTTATACTCCATTGAACACCACCCAGCTTTTTTACAGCTCGGAAAAGACCAGTTAACAATGAAGTACGCCATATACATAGTGAAAGAATTCGATGGCGTCTGAAAGGATAATTATCTTGGTGCAAGACGGGACTTCTACTTGAGTTTAGTTTAGAATACTGCTACCTATAATCTAGGCGACCTTGTCAATATATCTACGTCGATCTAAATTGGCAAGCACATAATATTTACCTTAGTGGGCTAAACTTCTGATTTGACCTTCTATGCGTTGGCTTAAATATACATAGATAACAATCGGCTATCTTATGGCTTGAAGAATGGCCCAACCCCCTTTTTGAGCTGCGAAGAACATGAACTCGATTTGTGTCCTTATTCAACTACCGATGCATATATGGTACAATACTAAGTAATTATGATTTAGTAAACTGTATTTGCATCAAATAGATAGCTCTGGAACTTCTGTATATGTCCTGACGTGCATTTTAACCAAGTGTCCAATAGATTCGTGGTGATATATAAATTGTTCCCCTAATCAGATTTCTCCAAAGCTGTCCTGAGCTTTCCCTCATCCCTAGGCACACAAAACACACGGTACGGTTTAGGAACCATGATTAAATCCTTTGGATTAACCATGTCAACGCTAGGGCGGCGTTTTATATCACCCGAGGCTACGAAGCGAAAGCTACTTAGAAGCCTCATAAATATGATATACACCTCGCGAGTAGCAAGGATATGAGCTGCGCACATACGGTATCCTAGACCGAACGTAAATAAAGGGGCATCGGGTTTCTCTAACCAACGTTCAGGTATAAACCTGTCGGGCTCTGACCACAACTCGGGGTCTATAGTTATAGTTCCAATAAGTTAGCTATGTATTAAAGTAACGAGACATGAAGGAATCTCCTTACCATGGTTGCAGGCCCATGCATTCATGTAAACGGTGCTCCCAGTCGGTATTAAGGTACCATTGTATTCAATGTCTCTGATTGATGCTCTTGGTAGCGCAAGCGGAATGACAGAGAAATACCGATGAGCTTCTTTCGTCAGTGCTAGTACATAAGCACATTTCTGGTCGTCTGCAGCATCGCACAAAGGCTCATTAGATCCCTGGAATTGCTGAATCTCCTCATACGCTTTATCCTGGATCTCTGGATGTTCTGCGAAATAAGCAATTGACCATTGAACAGTGGTTGACACAGTCTCGAACCCCCCTCCTAGAACAGACAAGCTGAAAGCAACCAACTCGGTGTCGCTGAGCTGAGCCTCTTTATACTTGATCACGCTCGCCTGGATGCATGGTTTATTAGTACCGTTGGCTACTTTTTCCGCAAGGTCCCCGTTAAGCTTGGAAAGATATCTATCTCGACGCTGTCGCAATTGTCGAGCGGTCGCAGATGTCTGGTTCAAGGGGTTGAGGCGTAGGAGAGGAATATGGTCTTGAGTATTGCCAACAGTAGACCTGGTCTTGTTGAGACCTTCTTCGACCGATACAATTTCTCGAAACAATTCATCCTCAATAGAAGTGATCTGGACACCCCAATTGATTGTTGTCATCAATGATAGGCTTACCCGTTGAACAAACGGAAGCGGATCCACCGCAACTGCGCCGGCTTTGCCGTAGTTGAACAGATCTTGTATAAACGCCTTTGTCTCCAGATCAAGATACGGAACATACGTCTTGATAGCGGGACGGTTCAGAGCTACTGCGGCTGCCTTCTTCTTTCGCTTTAAGCTATCATCATATGGCGACGAGCCAATTGTGAAGCCGGCTGTACTGGATGCCACCTGATGGGAGGGGGATATTATGATCAATAAACGCTGCTGCACACGTACACCGAGCCGAGGGAATGGCATACCTTGTGAAATGTATAACCTATTGGCCGAGAACTTAAGGCTTGCGAATTTGATATGAACAATTCCTTTGCCGTTGCTGCACTGTTGACAACCACAACAGTACTATCCCCTAACTGCACCTGATAGACATCTCCATATTCTTTGGCCCATTCCTGATACTTTAAGGCAGCATTGGACCGTATGTCCAGTAGATTCCCGAAAAATGGAAGGCCTCTTGGTCCCTTTAATCCGGCGATTCGTGAGCGACTACGTAGGATTTCATTTCCTACAAGGTAAAGTAGCACTGTAAGAAGACTCGTAATGATTAGGGATTGCAACGGATTTTCGGCGAGCTGTTTTCGGGAAAAGACAATGAGAGGCTCCATGGTAACATGGATAATACCGTGTGGTTTTGGATGCTAGGAATAATTACATCGAGAGGTAACTGGATGTGATGGGACCCTTTATAACCTCGGACGACAACCAACCCCTCCTCAAGGCTCCTCAAAAACTCCCCCGAACCATGTATTTAGTTAATTCCGTCACTGAATCCTGCTATGCATTACTACATTACAACTTGCCACGTGCATAAATACCTAACGTGGCATTTTGTTCGGGATTTATCTTAAACGGGATTTATAGACGGGATCATTTGACGGAACTGTGTAATAACAAGCTATTGCCGAACGATGACTTCACGCACACCATCTCAGGGAATACTCAAGAAAATATAAGCCAATCAATGGGCACCTAACTGTCGGAAATAGATACGGCTTTGAGATTTTTTCTATAATCCAGTATTTTAATTGTCTTTTAGACGGAATTTCCATTTAGGATTTCCCGTCGGATTTGCAATAAGTTCTTGCATATTCTTTATAAAAGGACGATCAGGCCCTACGAATAGCAAGCCATTCTCTATGCATAACGCAGCATATTCCGTTGCCTTTTCAACGTCGCCGATTCCGACATACTCGATTGCCGCTCGATAGTATGCTTCGTTTAATCGACCTAGAATACCTTCCTCCTCGTATAATGAGATTAAAAGTCTTGCCTTTTCTGCGGATCCTTTCGAGGTTGCGGAATGGTCGTCTAGTTCTTTCCATAGAGCGTGTATCTGAGAAACTCTACGATCTGATTCGGCTATCGCCGTCGCATTTGCACTGCATCTCTGACATGAGCACTTAAAGCCCCACTCCTTTTGCAACTTCTCTTGTCTCGTCGAGTGTGATTGGAGAGGACTGAGTCTTTTTTAGCAAGTATATTATTTCTGGTCCGGTTTATAACTCACTCATAATAAGCTATTGTAAGCTCCTCGTCCTCCGCGACATCTCGAACAGCCATAACTTTATGATGAAAATCTCTATGATCGAAATAGTAGGCACAAGTGGGGCGACAGTCGTGATTGAGTCGCGATACTGCCAGTTCGTATTAGTTTCCGCCGACAAGACCAAAGACAAAGACTCCACAAGCCAGAATGCCTCGATTATACAAACCTTCGGTAAATAGAGAATAAAAGGGATTAATCCCATCGTGATAACCTGTTCGGAATGAATTCGTTTGGAGAATTTTATAAAGCTTATCACCGTAGTCACTCGCACTGCTATGCGTCGATAACTTGAGTAGAGACTCTCTATGTCGAGACGGGAGATTGAGGGTAGCGCGAATAAGGAGTTCCGATACAGCTTTCCTTCCTAGTGTATTAATTGCCTTTTCGTTCACCATTATTGCTGGTGTTCGGGCCATTATGAGCTCTCCTGCTCGTATCGCCCTTGTTGCTACTAACCCAATGTCTTTACCTGGTATTTCCACTTCACGGTAAGGGACGGTTAATTCTGATTTCGAATCAAATACCTCGGTTTTCTTCGTAAGGAAAGCGGGTCGTGTTGAAATAGTTGTGATACTCTTTGCGGTAGTAATCACCGAGACGCCCTCGCCGTGGTTGAATGCTTCGTTGGTGAAGACGCAGAACTTATCAGCTCTAGCGCCGCGACATATACCGCCAGGCTTCCAAGCCTTAAGCGGCAATGATACTTCGTCTAGCGGCCCGCTATGTCCTCCGGGAGAAGCCTCGGAGGATACACATATTTGAGTATCGAATACGAATAAGGGGCTAGGCACCGCACATATCTGAGAGTCGAGATGCGACTGCACTGATTTAGCAAGAGCAGCTGTGAATTGAAAAAGAAGCAAAAATCGGCGCATTTTCCACTGTAATAATAATATTATAACTCAAAAAGAGTGGTTGATCATAAAAGAAAAAAAAAAGTTGTAGAGTTCATGTTACAGATATCTGTCCCCGGATATCTTGGCGGAGCCAAGCCTCCGAGTCTAACGGGAATTCCGGGTCAAAGACATGAGAAAGCCATGGTTAAAATATCACGAAGATGGTGAACCCCACCAGCGATCCACAGGTCCCCTGTAAGAGGTAGAGGGCATTCACTTCCAGATACAATTTTGTTACCACTCGCTTACCAGCTGGCGGGATGGAAAGACAAGTTGCTTAAATTTCAATCTATGAAAGTCATTCATAGTAATAGAACATCATGAGAGCTCTTAAAATTTGTTTGGTCGCAAACACATAACCAGGAATAAGATCCAAGAATGCGCCCGGGCCGCGTTTCTACTTACAGAGATCTGAAGATCAGAGTTGTCTATCAAATCGAAGGTCTTCAACTGCCCACTTCGAAAGAGAGGAACTATACAATCCACCAATGTAAGTCTTCTCTTAAGGTTACACGCCGACGAAAACAGGAGCGAAATTATATACTACAATAGTTTTTAAACCCTAGAGACTTTTCCAAGATCAAACGCCTAACAAAAGAGCTTTGAAATTTAAGAGTCTGGAGTAGTAAGTAATACGCTAAGCACCTTAGGTAGATTCATAAGAAACTCACGTAGACATCAGTCTGATATCCAGCTTGTTACCTAAGTTTTTTAGGATGGCATAATGTTTGTTGTAGTGCTGCCACATGTACTAGGTACAGCTGTATAAATCAGGCATTGTATTGTACAATATCTTGAGCCAATGACAGCTGATGCCTGAGACACATTGCGGGGATTTAGATCCGACTCGTCAAAGCTTATCTACCGGGAAAGAAGAAAAAGCATGCATTATTGAATTAATTGAGACATAACGACGCACCAACAGAGCTTTCGACTAGATATGACTGCGTGCTGCAACCCTATTCCGTGTACCTCACCCTTACAGTTAACCTACATCTAGTCCGTAGTCGCATCATGAGCCAAGTACATATTGGGCATACCCCCTCGACAGGAAAGCCATTTTTATCGCATCAACATCCGGCCTCTGAGAGTAAGTATATTAAGCAACTACTTACCAATTTGGTTTACCATGTCTTTTGTCACTTTGCTTATGTTGGCGTACATCGCGGGGATAGACGCGGGGCCTGTATCTAAGGTTAATGACAGTAGCATAGGCTCCCTCGGTCCTCTCACTTTCAAACGAGACGGAACCTTCCAGATATCGATATTCGAAGATCTGCATTTCGGTGAAAGTACGACCACCCCTCCAGACTAATAATATACCTAGGCAACTAAGCCAAGAAAGAAGAAAGTTTACTAATTTGAAATAGATGCCTGGGATCAATGGGGACCCCAACAAGATATCAATTCAGTCAAGGTCATCAACGAGGTCCTTGAAGCAGAGTCGCCTGGGCTTGTTGTGTTGAACGGCGACTTGATTACTGGCGAGAACGGATTTCTGGAAAACAGCACAGTTTATGTCGATCAAATCGTCGGTCCCCTCGTAGATCGAGGACTTACTTGGGCGTCAACGTACGGCAATCACGACTATGACTTTAATATTTCAGGCAGTGCGATTCTCGCCCGCGAAAAGCAGTGGGGTAATAGCCGAACGACACAGATGGTCTTTAACGAAGAAGCAGGAACGTCAAACTACTATCTCCCGGTTTACGACAGCGGCTGCAACGATAACAGCTGCTCTCCCGAGTTGATACTTTGGTTTTTTGACAGCAGAGGGGGGTTTCGCCATCAACAGAAAAATCCTTCCGGCGATCGAGTCGGCCAGCCAGATTGGGTCGACTTCAGTGTCGTGAACTGGTTTATTCAGACAAGCAACGAGATAGTTGGCAAGTACGGCAAGATTATCCCATCCTTAGCATTTGTCCATATCCCAACATATGCGTCATACATCCTACAAAAAGAAGGCGTCGATCCGCACGCCGAGCCGGGAATCAACGACGACAACCCGCTAGCTCCTCAGGCTCAAGGCTGGTGTTCAGACGGTCGAAATGACGGCACGTGCGACTACGGCGGCCAAGATATTCCGTTTATGCAAGCCATCTCAGCCGTTCCAGGATTGATGGCTGTCTTCTCGGGGCACGATCACGGCAATAGCTGGTGTTATAAATGGGACAGACTACTCCCTAACATGACCGTTGCACCTCACAATGGTGTGAACCTGTGCTTTGGCCAGCATTCAGGATACGGCGGTTACGGTAACTGGGAAAGAGGAGCTCGCCAAGTTCTCGCAACCAAGTCGAAACTAGCGAATTTTGAAGTTGATACTTGGATCCGTCTCGAGTCCGGGAACGTCGTGGGGAGCATTTCGTTAAATTCTACGTATGGACAGGATAAGTATCCGGCAACTAATAATTCGAAGACTCACTGTCCAACATGCCATTACGACCCGTAAGGGGGATAGAGCTTAGGTACCTTAGGTTAGGTAAGTACCTATATATGTACAAGTCTATCACGATAATAAGAGCAATCATACGGGCGTGAAATGCGCAATGATACCTATTCAACATATAAGACGCCAGTATTTTACCATTACATGGGGGTTAATTATAACGAATCAGGTAATTAGAAACAAAGAGGTAGGTACCTAGTGATGCTTATACATACTACATAGCATCCGATAACTGGAGCTTGTGTGAATGTCACCTGCATTTGGTATAGTCCATAAGGCCAAGATCGGATCATTATGCTTGGGGTGTACATATGAATGGAGGTGGACGGGTTTGCTCGGCAAACTATGATTCAACTTATACGACTCGCCTTTAAATACGATATTTATCGTTTTCGGTTCTTTTATTTTTACAACCCCGCCTATCCCCTCTGCATCACGGTTCTGCCAACGGCGTATTTCGTTATCCACAGCAATCGACTTACCTAGCTTGACACAATTTCTATAATCCGCTAGTCACCATGGAAAAGTATGCGACGTATCCAAGCCTGCGCGGGAAAACTGTCCTGATAACTGGTGGGGCCGAAGGTATCGGTGCAGCATCAGTTGAGCTTTTCTGTCGGCAAGGCTCTGTTGTTGTCTTTTTGGACTACTCGGACGATTCAGCGAAGAAGCTGCTTGACAAAATCAAGGGCATCCCGGGAGCTACCCAGCCTACATTCCTGCACTGCGATGTGACCGACTTAGCTCGCCTCAAGGAGTGCGCGGAGAAAGTGCTTTCTGATTATGGCACAGTGGATGTTCTTTTGAACAACGCCGCCCGTGCCGGCTCTCAAACAAGGGTCCCAACCGTCCAGGTAACCCCTGAGTCGTGGGACCACGATTTCAACGTGAATCTTCGTCACCAATTCTTTCTAACGCAGGCGGTGGTGCCAGCGATGCAGAAGAAGGGAGCTGGTAGTATTATCAATATGGGATCGATCACGTGGCGCATTCCAGCCGTCGGGCTTCCCCTCTACACCATGTGCAAAGCAGCGGTCGTCGGGATGACGAGAACGCACAGCAAGGAGTTCGGACAGTATGGTATCAGGGTGAACAGTGTTGTTCCGGGCGCCATTGCGACACAGAGACAGATCGATGAGGTCTTGACGGATGAGTATCGCGCCGAAGTGATGACTGCGCAAAGCTTGAAGAGGGATCTGATGCCTAACGAGGTAGCGAGATTGATATTATTTCTTGCTGCGGATGATTCAAGTGCCATCACTGGGAGTAGCTACGTGATTGATGGAGGATGGGTTAGCGATGTTTAGGGAAATGGACTGATGGACGGTGCGTCGATACCGAAGCGTTTATTTAATACATCACTTATATTAGCAAAAATGTGATACCTACCTCTACCTAGGTACCTACAATACAAGCCGCAGTGTCGTTATTTATCACTCCTATATTCTCTCAAGTACAAATTGCAAAAAAAAAAAAAAAAAGCGTCATCAATTTTCGGCTTCATTCCTTATATTTCCTTATTTAACTTGATTGCATTATTAGCTGATGGTGTAGGGAATAGGTGCTTGCCAATGAGATTAGATATAAAAGGAGGTAAACAGCGTGACGTATATCGTCGAGATATTCTTTTCGCTAGAACCCTTGCTAGATGCAAGGATACAGCGCAAAAGAAGTTGACGATATCTACCCACCTACATACTGTAGCCGGACAGGCACCTATGGGAGGTGACCTAATTCTCTTGAGTTCGAGATTGCGGGGAAAAAAAGGAAGATCAACTCGCTATTCTAAGGAGCGACTAAGCGAATACAGCGACGCAAGTCGACATTTAAAATAATTTAGATCTAGGTTTTCGTGTATTTTGGTCTCCCAACTCTTCCTCGGTACATCTTTCGCATGTACATGTGAATCCCCAGCCTCGCAACACCTCCCGCCTTCTCTGTAAATTGTCCTTTTCCAAACCAAGGTATGTGACTGTTACCTCGGAGCCCGCTGGAATATCTTTAATCGTTACGAGCTGGAGCAAGAAGGGAGATCTGCCTACGTATTTCCAATTAGAATTTGGTATGCAAGAGTGATTGGCACGGGCAAATGTGCTCCAGAAACCCACTTCCTTGTCATAAACCGAGGCGCAATTAGTCCAAAATGTCGAGTAGGACCTAATAAGTTTGAGTACCTTGTCGGTTCGAGATACGGAGGAATCAAAAGTGCCTTGAGCTTTTAAGTGGTTCACATACCACTTATCGAAGATACTGTAGAAATTCTTGTTCGCCTCGTAAAGCTCCATATTGCAGGCGTGGTCATCCAGTCGGGTACGTTGTGCCTGGCTTGACTCCCTGTATAGGTTACAGAATGATTCAATTTTTACTTCGTCATACGGAGATTTCTTTTCTAGCGGCGCATACATTGACGGCTCTTCGCAGCTTATAATGGTATTGGCGGGAATGTCTTGCGTAACAAAGAGACCAAGCCCTTTATTTTCGACACGCCTGACCCGGAGACAACCGAGCATCTTGAATTCTTTTGCGGCCATGTCTAGTTTGAAGGACTGAACTGGGCTTTGTTATTCGCTAGGTACCTGTAAGAAATATCACGAGACAGATGATGATAAAATCTTTGTGGGATATTACCCATAGCAACGACATGGAAACCTCTATATAGTACATTGTAAAAAACAGAGTATTGTCACCAGAGCTAAATATAGGCTGCCACGAAATGAATTAAAAGAGGAATTGATTGGGACATGAATAAACTGTTAATAAGATATAAGAAATAGAGAAAAGAATCTGTAGAATTAGGTTGCAGCCCAAAAGTAGTAGCTCTACTTGGGTAAAGAGATTGCCCCGAGATTGAAAACCTTTGTTCGGTAGGTAGCAATACCCATCAATCATTGGTAATTCAAGCAGAACCTTGGAAATTTAGGAATATCGCAACTAAGAATATCATAAACATTCGTCTCTTATGGTTGCTCCCAAAGGGAGGCATTCGGGTTTCTCCGCTTGCATTTATTCTGCGGAGGCAGTCTATGTGGGATATCATTCTTATTTTCTTGTCTTCGGACGAACTTGATTCAATACATCCCCCAATGGAAATATCATTCAACGGCTACACGGCTCACCCTAATGTCAAGCTCAGCATGCGGAACCCTGGAAGATGTATGAGCGCAATTCTTGGCGTTGTCTCGATCTCATTGCTTGGCGCCCCTTTCATGATATTGAGCACTTACATACACTGCTCGTACTTGGGAGGCGCAGACAGAAAAAGTGATAGAGCTCTTGCTAGGACTGCAGAGTCGTATATCAGGTACACTAACACCAAAACTTCTTAGTGGCATAGGTAGTTCATGATGCTGGGGTAGTGAAGGGGCTAGATCTCCTTGCTGCGGCTCGTGGGATTTTTGGATTTCGAACCAATCAGGAGTCCCAAATTGAATCCATCCAACAGTGACACGGCTCACAAAGAAGCCCCTGCAGAGAAATGATCTCGGAAAAATGCCAAGCGAAACCGGAGAACACTTTGAAACCTGGGCGTCCAGACTTCAACGCTTTCTTATTGATCCCGTTTAAATCCTTCAAGATGAACGTTTTCTTAAGCTCCCAGCACGTGTTTTCGCCTCGGCTCGGGGCTGATAACTAAACCTACCTAGGTAGGTACCTACTTACCCAACGTCCATCTCCCAACCTGCAGTGTGCATTCTCAAACAGAATTTGAGGAATCTTGAGCTTGTGAAGCCTTATCTTGAGATCGGGTTCACAAAGCATAGATACAGTACAGCCTGTTATAAAACTACAACTTATTTACTGTATCCAACTTAATGGGAACCAGCTACTAATGGGATATTGCAAAGAATGGAGGGAGATATAAATTGTAGGTATCAGGCTTGGATAAGCTTATATTTCGGGACCTTACCCATGGGTTTAAATCATCACTTTTATTCGTTTTCAACTCCACATCCACAATACGTCCTGTTCCGCCTGCATGGGGCCGGAAAACTGGACATCCGAAGTCAACTTCAGATGACAAGGGGTGTTCAGCACGGGGCTTATCACTTTGACGTACAGGTCGAATACCGCCAAGGCGTTCCACTCAACGTTAGTCACTCAAGCAAACGTCGAATTTGCATACTAGATCTCCCTAGGGATAGCATCCACAACACCTCCTTCAGGACCTCAAGTAAGGTTCTGCTGGAAATGTCACCTCATATCGCCCCTAGCTCAGGGTAAGATGCCCCTGTGCAGCATCATTCTTGGGCATCTTGCCGGCGCCGACGCCGCCCGGGTTGAATATAGGTAAACTAGGGTATAAGTCTTGGTATTCTACATCTCCAACCTTTTCCCACGAAGATCAGGGACCATGCTTTTCCATTCATTCTCTCTCATCTCAGCCTAAAGTTCTCTCCTTGAGATTTTGGCTTCGCTTCGCTTCTCTTTCGCGGTCGATCCGTTCCTTTTTCTTCCACTTACACCGTGTGTATCTTCAATATTCGTTCGTTTCGTTTTGCCGGCTGAGCCAGTTTGATTTCATAGGATTTTGGACTTCTGTACTCTGAGAGTTATTATACCTAATCGTATTATTTATTCATTACTGGATCCATTGCTTCCACTCAGCATCACCCTTTTTACATTTACCCAGCCATGCAGTTCTCTTATACCCATATACCGGCATTATTGGCCTTGGTCTCTGTAGCCACCGCTACGGGAGCAGCGCCAGCTGAGACTATTACAGAGACAGTTCACCAGACCGTCCACGAGACCGTTCATGTGGTAAGCAACTTGATGAGATACTTCTTACACTCTAGCACCTCATTTACAGATAATGGTCATTTGCATCAAATACTATCTCGGGTATATAAGCTTTATGCTACATGTTCTGACACTAAATCCTTAGACATTACCCCCCGAGACAATAAAAGAGACAATACACATGACACTTCCGCCAGAGACAGTTAAGGAGACGATACACATGACCTTACCCGCAGAGACAGTAAAGGAAACCGTTCATATCACACTACCTCCAGAAACTGTAAAAGAAACGGTTCACGTTACTCAACCACCGGAGACAATAAAAGAGACGGTACACGTTACCTTGCCTCCACATACAGTAAAGGAGACAGTACATGTTACCCTGCCACCGCAAACAGTGAAGGAAACAGTACACGTCCCGGTGACGGAAGTTGTTCATGTTACGAAAACGGAGGTCAAGAAGGAATCGATCACGTTACCTCCACAAACGGTTAAGGAAACAGTCCATGTTACTATCCCCGTCACGAAAATAGAGGAGAAACTCCTCACGAAAACCGAACTGAAGACGGAGACGAAACACGAAATAAAGACAGAGGTGCAGACAGCAATACAAACTAAGCTTGAGACCAAGGTCGAGACTGTCCATATTACGCTTCCTCCCCAGACCGTTAAGGAAACGCTACCACCTCAGACTGTGAAAGAGACAGTACACATCAGTATTCCAGTTACTAAGGTGGAAACTGTGAAGGAGACCGTACACGTCAATATTCCAGTTACCACGGTACAGACTGTGAAGGAAACTGTGCATGTTAGCGTGCCTGTAACGGAGGTGAAAACTGTGAAGGAAACGGTACATGTCACTATTCCCGTCACCAAACACGAAACTTTAAAGGAGACCGTCGCTGTTAGCGTGCCCGTTACGAAGGTAGAGACTCTGAAAGAGAGCATTCCTGTTACGAAAGTGGAAACCCTAAAGGAGACGGTACATGTCAGCATCCCGGTCACCAAGGTGGAAACCCAAACTGCCAAAGAGACGGTCCACGTGAGCATTCCTGTCACAATAAAGGAATCGGTGGCCATCAGTGTTCCTGTGACGGTGAAGGAGAGTGTTGCTATCACGGTTCCCGTCACCGAGGTCAAGTCGATCCATGAGACTGTAGCCATCACGAAGACCGAGGTATCCCACAAGCTCGAGACAGTTGCCGTCACAAAGACAGAGGTCTTGAGCCACCTACAGACACAGGTCCTTACAGAGACAGTCCATGTGTCTCTGCCGCCGCAGACTGTTAAGCAGACCGTTCATATCACGAAAGCGGTGACCGAAACCGTCCATGTGACCCTTTCGGGACACACTCAGACGGTCCACGAAACAGTTCACGAAACAGTACACGTTACTCTGCCGCCACACGTGATGACAGTGTCTGAAGTGGTACACGTCACGGTAACGGAGATGGCAAAGGCCTGCCATCAGACGGAAGTTATCATCCCTATGGGTCACGAGACGACTTCTTCCGTAGTCCATGAGACCGTTGTAGCCCCGCCCATGGTCCATACAACGCCCGCGGCTCCCCCTATGGTTCACACAACACTTGTGACCATACACCATCCAGAGACCACATCAGTTGCTCTGCCTATGGTCCACGAGACTGCCGTAACCTCAGCGGCAGACCACATGGCGCCATCCAGCACGAGCGTATCTGGAATGCCGCCTCCCGCGTCGTCTCTGTCGTTGGGATACATGATGCCCCATAACGCCCGGAGATGGCGAGCCTAAGCTCAAGTTCGTGGTTTAATGAATGGCAAGTATAACGCGTATGGTCAGGGTCCATGGAAGTGGTGTCTTAATATAAGGATGGTTTTGGAGCTTGGAAGCGTTTGGTAAATGTAGGGTTTTCATAATGCTCAAATGTACCTAAGTCTATTTTTCTTTGCGGCTTGCTTTTTTTTTCTAGTCCCATACTTAGACGTATCTCACGCTAATAGAACAAATACAATAGGCTACCTTGTTCTACTTTCTGATACTTCACTGCCTCACTATTAATTTCCTCGAGTGCATTATTTCGTACAACTGAATTGATGCTACTGCAAACATAAGGTAGTATACTAGTTCTGAAGTAAAAACCTTAAGCTCGGGTCAGAGCTTTTATTATTCACCATAGGTACTATCCCGATCTCTTAATACACTGCCAGTAATTAACACCCCTTTAACAAGACTGATGCAGCGGTCTTATATTGGATAGGGATATTGTTATGAGCAGACATTAGACGGGGTGTACAATGGATCATCAGTACCCCGTCGAAGCTAGCAACCCTGATACTACATTAGGCATAAGACTGGAGGATCTGGGCTCCAAGAATATCAAGAATTGGTCATTTAGTGCAAAAGAGCTCTGGCTTAGGTATCTACAGTGATGCATTTAGCAGACAAATAAAAATAGTGGAGAACATAAGGGATAAGGGGGGTAGGTGAAGAGGTCAATAAAAAAGACGTGAAGCTTGTTCGTGAAGCTTGTTCGGAAGCAACCAAATTATTTCATCCTAAGGTTTGGGAGGCTTTCCTAGTAGCACAACCATTTAGGATACTCAACTTAGAAATTAATATATCCCGGCTAAGTCCAGGCATTGAATGTGGTAATTATCGTGACATGAATTTGCCAACTGTCTCTCGCGATTAAGCCTACATACGGTGGGTGCAAGGTGTAGCTGGAGTATTTCCATGTTACCAAGCCATGATTAAACTACATCGCAATTGTTCATCGCGGCCATAAAAACTCAAAGTGGACTGGTATCAAGCAAAGCAAAGACACTTTCAAATTGGTAATCCTGCAAACTGTTTGGTAGCATCCTCGGATATGCGACCCCTATTCCAAAGGCTGACAGTTGGCCTTGTTCATACCAAGCTCCTACATATCTCTTGGTTCAACCTGATACTCCATGGATGTAAACGTCTTGCAATCGGTGGTTACTTATGCAGGTCGCTGGTCCTTGTCAACGAGACATCCGCCCTTCTTCAGGCACTGGTCGCTGATCTTTAAGTTCTTGCAGTGTGCACATCGTCTCGGAATGTTGGGGTTGGCGGTATCGGTTTGGCGCGAGCTTTCTCCATTATCGTCTTGCTCCTCGGCTGCTTCCTCTCTTAGATCCGCGTAGTAATTTCGAAGGCGACGGCGGTACAGTTCTTGCTGAGCTCGCGCTGCTTTTCCTTCGCGGCGGAACTCCCTGATCTTTTCGAACAACTCGCTGACAAGCAGGTCGTCGTGCTGCCTCTGTTGTTCAATTATCTCTTGGGAAGGCATTTTGTCGATGATGGATTCAGGCTTTGGTAGGGGTGTAGGTGAGGGATTTTGATAAGAGCTGCTGCTTTTGGATCTTCCAAGAGAAGATGTTGAAATGATGGAACCTAGGGCTAGCTTCGCTCTGAGAGGACGAACAAGAGTAGTTGCTGCCTTCATGCGCTATGCTTGCTAAGTGTCAGCCTTTATGGTCACAAAGATTATGTGGGAAACTCAGACTCACCATCGCAGCCTAGTTTTCGGTCAGAGAAGATTTGTGTCCAGACTTGGCGCTCAAACCGAACCGTTTGATCGAAGACTGAACGTCTCGGTCCCTCGTTGTAATATAAGGGGCATGGAACATGAACATGTGTCAAAACAGGGATTTAAAAATCTTGATGATGCAAATCAGGTGTGTGAAATATAATTGTTTAAGCTCCTGACAATAGTACTGGGCACATTATTGCGGCACGTAAGTTGTTAAGGGGGGTAAATCTCCATGGCAAGTTGTGACTAACCTTTTGGCTTATTCAATTAAGGGACAAGGGAAAACAGAAATCGATGTAGCCTCAGTCGACACATAATCCGAGACGCAGTTTAGCTCATCAATTCTAACGGTCTGTCTTTTCATATATCTCTAAGTCCCCATGTATGATAATATGGTGGAGAATCCATCTGGCTCTGATAGAATAGTACACGATGAAACCTACGACAGAAAAAGAAATATAGGTACAGTCTTCGATCATATGGTCATCAAATCCTCTATTTATATTCTGGATTAACAAAAGCGATGTGCTTAGTTCCTTTGACTTGTTGTATGAAGAAGGGAATACGAAATGGAAGGGTCAGTCTTGACGACAGAAGAAAAGGAAGTAACTTCAAGCCAACTTGACCACGACACTTAAGCATTGAAGAAGCTCACTTTACACATAGTTCAATCATTCATTATCTCTTTATAACCATGTCATTCATCACCAGCCATTAAATCTTTGCCAGCTGTCGCAGAGATAATCAAACTGCCCACATCTCGACGACAAAATCACAAAAATGTTAGAGCGGCTTCAAGTTCCGGCCTCAGATATTAACGTATCTGTGAGAAGAACTTTATCTAAAATTCTAGCCTTTATATGGCAAAGGTTAAGTGATGAAAATATCGCCTTCATTTTGTTGAATAATAACACTTTGAACATATTAACCCCCCCCCCCCCCCCCCCCTTTTTAGGGGCAGTATCAACTGTGACAACGTGGTAATCTTAAGCCTCCATGGAGGGTTTATTTAGGGTATTTTCCGCAATTAACCAATGTGGACCTTCTGTGATCGAACCAAACAGTATGGAAACAGCTTCGTTGCTCTGCAAGTAGCTCTAAGTTACTATCGAGGTACATAGCCATACATACTGGAAGTGTCCTTTGTTTTGTTCTCGGTGTCTATCCATGTCTTAAAGCCTGACGGCGAGTGAACTTAAATAGAAATATAAGGGCTATCTATCTATATATTCCACGCCGTATAGAGGTTCAGGCGTTGCTATACATATTAGACGCTTGCCTCAGTGTCGTTCCACATCTTCTCGACGAGACGGCTATTCATGTGATGATCTTAGGCTAAGCTACCTTAGGTACATAGGGTCTATGTTTATTTCCTCCTAGGCAGCTGAATTGTGACTAGTACCTGTACAATTACATTCAGTAACCCTAGTATTCGCAGCCTTGTTGTCGGGTATGGTAGGTACCCTTGCACCCGCCTGCTTCTTCACGATCCTGTTCTCTTGGTTTGGCCTAGTTAATTCGAAAGACACCACCTTCCAGTGCCATCAGTACCTGGCCACTTGGAGGAAAACTACATACCATAGAGGAAGCTACCTCATTTAATTCTTCCTGCACCACTTTTTCCTGGCAACATCAATAAGTGCGTAAATGGGCCAACAGACCTCAAAGCCTGCTTTTGCGCAGAAGGTCAATTTTCCTTCCAAAAAGAACCAACAAAAGGAAAAGCCATATCGCGCTATCAAGCCCACTTCCATCGGAAAAGTCAAGATGAATTTCGGCTCCGTGGCAAAGGTTGTTAATGCAGGCAAAGGAGGCCAAGGAAAGGCTAACCTTGGAGCTGAGAGTGATGGAAAGCCTCAGTATGAATGGCTTCTAGCCAAGATGGAGAAGAGAGATATTACGCCTAATACCATTATCGGTCTATCAAGCTCGCAATCATATCAGCGCGAGTATGTCATGTACATGGAAATTTTCGAGGCGAACATCGCAAAGAAGGGCATCGATGTTCTACGAGCAGAGAAAGTATTCCACACGCCCATCTGGTCCGACGGCAATATTCTCTTCCTCGACTACGATTCTAGCGAGACAACTTTCGCTCTGACCAACTCGTCAACTGAATACACCACTGACGACACCCCCACCGACACCCCTGATGATAGCGAATTCGTCGAATACCCTGGTTTCAACATAGAGAAATACTTCTTCGAACTCAACTACCAGTACTATTGCTACAAGGACTGGTTCCGCTGCCTGGTGGACTCGTTCTGGGGCCCGCAAGTCGCGTCCGTCTTCCAGGTGACCACTTACAACCGTGCCTTCATCCAGATTGCCTTCAAGACCGACTGGAACTACAGAGACCAGTGCCAGCGTTTCTACGAAGGATTTGCCGTGTTCTTGCACGTTGTCGCCCGCCTGCGCCCCATCGAAGGGCTCGGCCCTCTCACGGATATCTTCGGTTTCAGCTTCGCCAACTTTGCCGGCCAGGTCATCTCCGAGTTCGAGTCGGTTGCGCGTCTTGGAATTGACGTGCCCGAAGGCGAGGGACACCAGGTCTTGAAGTACGCCGTCCGCCACCGCTTCGAGACTTGGCGGAACGAAGTTGTCACCATCAAGGATTGATCAGGTACCTAGTCAGGATTCCTCATGGCGAAGAACAATCTTGCCTAGCCCGGTTATATTGAAGTGTTGAGATCGCTGGATGGAGAAAGGAAATGATGAATAGCACCAGAAGACCATAGCAGAGAAGGGATGGAGGTATTCATGTGCACTATCAATGAACTTGAATGGCTCTACTCAGATAATGGCATGCTCATTGCCCCGATCAGGGATGTCAAGAGGAGGGAACAGTTACTCCCCTCAACTTAATTAGTCGCAGTACCGTCTCCAGTTGACTTAATAGCTAGAATTTAGCATCTCGAACCTGGAATTTCATCATCAAGCTTGACTCCCTCTGTCTAATGCTGTCTCTTAATAAATCAGCTTCGTGCATGGTAATGTGAACAATGATCAAGTATTGTCTGTAGTACGATCGTCAAGATGATCATGGCTAGTTTCTGTTTAATATAATCACAATTCGAAAAAGGTTCCTAGTGTTCTTAGCCGGATGAAGTGAATGGTCTTCAGCGATCGTAAAACGCTAGGACACGGAGCCCATATCCATTGCCGCAAGTCCGAAGGCGAATTATCTACACGTACCACGGGAGCTCGGAGCGCAAGATAATTTGGAATCAGGTAAACTACCTCCTAGGTATAATCGCGCTGAGATGTCAAATTAAGCTAGGGTTCAGGGATTCCAAGCCAGTAATAGTGTCAATCGAAGTCTTCATGTACTAAGGAACTACACGGTCAAATACAAGCTTGTATTTTCAGTCGAAGCAAATTTCATATTCTGTCACTCTATGTTGCAGCTTCGTGAGGCATTTTAGCTCCAAAGCGGACCGGTACTTAAATTCGTTGGTACTTTATCCCCAATACACAACACGTTGACCTTGATCGTTTTCAATGATACAGAACTCGATAACCGAGTAACATCAGACCGCCATAAAAAGGAAGATGAAAAATAGGCAATTGCCTTATATACGAAAGGGGAGAGGAGGGGCTTCGTGGGCAATGATGTCAACTCTGTCGCTAACTGCAGATCAGGAGCAAATTAGACATCACCTCACAGACGCGTAAAGGTGCAAAAAGAATGATCTCGCCCAGGCTCGAACTGGGGACCTTCTGTGTCCACAACTTATAATATTGTTAGACAGATGCCCTACAGAGTGGATATTAGTTCCTTTATTCTTTCGTTGCGAGATCCACTTAGTTAAGCGGAAGGGTTTAACTTACATGACCAACTAGACCACGAGACCTGCCAACAGGATTTGCTAATCTCCTTCATATTACTGTTCGAAAGCCAACAGTGGTAGTAGTCTCTTGCTAGAAGATGGAGAATTTGTGAATTGGAGATACTTTGGTGTAGTTCAGCGGCTTCCTTATTATAATATTGTGTAATATCGTCACTAGATAGTCAAGCGTAGGTAGTTTTACCGCACAGTACGTACGGTTCTTCCGACCTCGCCCCGTTCCACTGCCTCCAGTCGCGGCAGAACAAGTTCCCACACCCTCTCTGATAAGCTCTCGACGTCGAGATCCGCGTCCACAATCTGAATATCCTCTTCCTCTTGCCTGAACTCGCCATCTTCGCCTCCTCCATCTCCGCCCCTGCTGGTCCCATTCCCGAGCCTTTCCACATCGTTCCTCCTTGGCACCTTGCTGCTGCCGCTGTTTCCTACGGCGCTGCCAAGATCCCCCATACTAAGGCCCCAGAACAGATCCCTAACGCGCCGTTGCATCTCGCCCTTCTCGTATACTTCGCCGCCCCAACCGCCGCGTCCGCGCGCGACTTCTTCCTCGAGATCTAGGAATAACACCATGTCTGGCCTAGGCAAGCCGATCTCAGGCGCCTTGGCCCAAGATAGCGATAAGGTCTTGATATTTTTAGCAGCGCTGTACACGATGCCGCTGTGGTAGAAGCGGTCGCAGATTATGGTATGACCAGCCTCTAACTCTGCCTTGATTTTCTTGCTATGAGAGGTATTAGATACTACACGCAAACTACGGGATAGGGGCGAGTGGATAAAAAGGAAACTTACACAGCTTCCCATCGATTAGCGCTAAACAGCAGATGAATGACATGGTCTTCAATCTCCGTCTCGCCTTTGAGATACGAGTCGATCATCTTGCCGATCGGTGTTGCCCTATCTATATGAACCTCGTTAGTTCCAAGTACATATATATATATCTTATATATACTTCACATTGACGTTCCAATAGGATACCTATTCGACTTACCAGGGAACCGCATAAACGTCACCTCCCGCCCGCTTTCGATGCACCTCTGCTGCAGTAGCTTCGCCTGCGTCGTCTTCCCCGCGCGATCCATGCCCTCGAACACGACGAAAGCGCCGCGCACCGGTTTCGGCGGCGGCGCTACCGCCTGTTCGACGCCGTCCATGTCTTCCCCCGCAGAAAGCCTCGGCGCATCTTTATCCTCGGCACCGTCGTTGTTCCCCGCAGCGTCTTCTTCGGGCGCAGCCTCGGGCGCGGATGGGGCCGGGGCCGGAATCTGCGCCTGCGAGGGGGGGTTCTGAGACGATATCTGAGGCGGCGCTAACACGGGCGGAGCTCCTGTGGCCACGGTTATCGAGTCCCCGTCCTCGTGACTCGCGTCTGCCGACTTAGAGTTATCCGCCAGCGATGGGGTGGTATTCTGAGCCGTCGCTGTTGCGGGTTTTGAGGAGGGGGGTGATTGTGGCGCCGCCGGGGGCGTCGCGGATTGAGCGCCCTCCCGCGTAGGCGTAGGCGAGGACTGCAACGCCACGGCCGACGACGCTATAGTCGCGGCTGTCGCGAGGTCGTTTATTGAAGCCATTGAAATATTTAATGGGTATCTCCCTTTGTTAAGTGAGACACTCAACGCTATTAAAAGCTAGTTTCAAGACACGGATGAACTTGATACTAGTTATTAGCTACCTCTACCTCTACCTATCTAAGTAGGTACCTAAGGTATGGTAGCGAGTGGTTGGTGGATAAGTAAGTGAGAAAGAAATTCGGGAACCAATTATATTCGCGTATGAGATTTTTATGGAATTGTATGAACAGTGTGTTATATGTGGATATTAATTGGATGTCAGATATAGTTCGGTTTTTATGGGAATGAGGTTGTCGTCAAAAGCCGTATTAAAAAAAGAGCGCTTAAGCATGAGATGATGTCGAATGACATGACACGAAGAGGATTGTAGCTAAAATACAGCGCTAAAATGTATTGTTGTATTGTATAATACATGTAACCTAGCGGATTACTGCGAAGCCTACCAGGTAGACTTAGCGCGTCTGAGGTGGAGCCACATTATAGCGACCTCGGGTACGGAATACATCCATTGTAATTCTTGGCTTAGAGGCGCCTTAGGGACCCACCGAACTTGCATCTGTAATAATGTATGTACAATGCCAGGTACCTAAGGTAGTACTACCTACCTAACACTAGTACAGGATGTCGTACATAATGCAGTTGTACATGCTGCTTAAGCGCGTGGCTGATAGGAATAATGCAGCCAAATAAGCAATAATTATTGGCAAAGCTACCTCTATGTAAGGAGTGTAGGTACCTAGAATGTAAGTGATTTTCGGCCAATAGCTCTGCCGCGGTTAAACTTCTACACTACAAACACGGACAAGACATTCCAATTGTTTATCCCTTTTCACCCTTATAACAACCCCTTGAATTATCTAAGGTGAGGTACCTAGGTAATCACCTATCATTGAACGAACTAGCGTTTATACATAGCGGATCTTAGCTAGGTAGCTATATGAATTCTCACAGATATGGAAGTATTCCTCTCCTTTATTCACGAACTCCTAATAGACACCATAGAGAACGCAGGCGAATAGAGCATTGTATTGATGGGGTGCCCCAGTGCAAAAGTAGGCCCAGAAGAGAATAAGCCTCTCTACCTTAGGTATGTACAAGAACTCGTACAGAATCAACAGTAAAAAAGAAAAAGCAGAGTACCATCCGGTCCCATTCCGCACATCGCCATAAGAACCCAGCCGTTAGGAAAACCCAACCGTAGAACCTAGCCGTTGCCCGCCATTAACTTTAAGAAAAAGAAAAACGCCCCGTGACGCCGTTGCTTATCCCCCCGTAGGCTACAGAGTCGGAGTTTAATAGGTATTAAGGGACAGGTAGAGAAAAAAAAGAAAAAAGACAATACCCATCAGTCCGAAAGAGCTCCGAAAACAACACGTACATATCCGTAATCCGTAGTATTCCTCATCCATTCGTCATTAGCACTCTGTCGCTTCTGCTGTCGCCATCTCCGTCTCCGTCTCCGTTTCGTCCTTCGCGCTTCCGCTTTCCCATACCTCGAAGCTTTCGCCTGTGCCCTCCACAGGCTCGAGCACGGCAGCGCTAGGGGCGGGCTCATCCGCCTTTCCCATAAGTTGGTCTACAGACTGCGCGCCGTCTTTGACGCTAGGTTGGGGGGCGTGTAATTCGCTTGAGCTAGATAGGGGAGTGAAATCTGGCTTGTTCTCCGATTGCTGCTGTTGGTGTTGGTGGGGTTCGTTGGCCTCTTCGTCGTCACCTGGTATGATGACGATGGTATTCTCGTCACATCCTTCCGAGTAGTACTCGCGAACGTTCATCTCGCCGAGAGGACTCCGCTCCTTCTCGAACATCATCTCGTCGTCCGCAGCCGGTCTCGAGGCCCGGGGTCGCGAGGTCTGAGAGACGTCGTCTACCGGGGGTACGTTCTCCTTGCCCTCCGCGCGTTCCCGCTGGCGTCGGGTCTCGCTCTCCTCGTCCGAGCTAATATCTAGAACGCAAGTGCTGTGCTGTAGTAGGTTGGTCATTTCCTGTTCTGGGGTGTCTTCGTGGATGTCGAAGAACCACGACTGCTTCATTTCCCCCTCGTGCAGACTGCCGAGGTCGAGCGAACTAGATGACAATGAGGACTTCGCCGATGAAGAGGCGCTGCGGCTGTTGTAGCTGGGGATCGTGCCTTTGAGGGCCGCATCCAAAGAGAACGGGGCGGGAGATGCGCTTGACGAACCAAAGTTGGGCGGGTTTACTCGGGAAAATGCCTTGGTACGCTGACGGGAAGAAAGGATGCCGGTTCTCTTGCCACGGGTTGGAGATCGTCCGGCGGGAGCCGAGAGGGGTGTGGATCTGGCCGAGCTGATGTTGGATTTTGAAGCAGGCGACCTGGGGTTGAGTAGGGACCGTGCGCGCGGAGCGGCTGCTGCCTTGGGCGGGCTGAGAACAGCGACATCATTTGCACTAGCCGACTTTGTGAGGATGAATGACGGCTTTACAAAGGAATCCTTAGGGACAAAGACGTTATCCGAGCCCTTTGATCTCTTAGAGTGGAGCACCGGGTCTACGTTCTCGGAATCGTCTGTATCCAAGCTATCTGATGCTTTCCGCTTCGGGGACGACGCGTTCGAGAGAGCTATAAACACGGTTTAGCAGGCAACCCTTTTCAATTCAACAACGGATCGCAAGGAATCACGATTCATATTTATAACAGATTGGTGTACAGGATGGTGTTGATTCGCATTGGACAGGCAAATAAGACAAACCACGATACAATTGGAAAGTTTTTCAAATTTTTGGGGACATCTCAGATCACTCTCTCCGCCGGGACTTACCATTCTGTCTGTTCTTAAGACTTGTTAACGTCTGCAAGCGCGCTCCATCGAGAGGCGCAAAGGGTTGACGAGTTATGGTAGCCATTGCTGTAAGGTTGTGGAGGTTGTGAAGGTCGTGATGTGGATGTGGACTTTGAAGTGTGAAGGGATCCGGATGCCCAGATAACCCAATCGAACCACAAAAAAAAAAGACGATTCCTAAAATCGACTCAATCCAAGGCACCAAGGATTGGCACTACAGAAATTGATCGCAATTACCAATGAGTTGTAATAACAACTGAAGGCAAGGTTCACGACGATAATTGATACCCAATACAGGGGAAATAGTCGACTGCCACAGTTGTTTGTTTATTATTTTGCTACTCTTGTCGTGAGTAATTGATATCGTCAAACTCGATGCAGCAACAGTAATCCCAAACGATTGTTGTACCAGTATATGGCAGTATGGGGAGGGGGGGAGGTAGAAGGAAAAGTGGGCGAGGGACTGCGTAGGTGGGAATTGATAAGTCTTATTGCATCTGAGGCGCCGTCCGGGGGGGGAATAAAAAAAGAAGTAGCTTGGGGTGTGTGTAGGTCGCGACGGGGGAGGCCTGAAATGGGAGAACGATGGACGCGGAGATCGATGTCTTGGATAATGCAGCTTTAAAATTGTCAAACCAAGCTGGGAGTCAAGAAGCGCCGCCCTGCTAGTCAAAAGGAGGAAAGTGAATAACGGGATTGAAGCGCGCTGAGTGGACGATCAGGATGGATGGATGGATGGCTGCAGGTGTGCGTAGGAAGAAGGTATGCAAGGAAATTAAGAGATGATGGTATGATAGTAAAAAGAGGGAAGAAATTGATTTGATGCTTCGCACTTATTACTAGAAGGTATCAAAAGTTTCAGGCGGACTTTGGTGGTAAAGCGGTAAGCCTTAGGTATGGTATGGGAATAGTTTTAACGCTTTTTTTTTTTTCCCTCTTTTCCCTTTTCCCTTTCCCCCTTCTTCGTGTTTGGACGCGTGGTGTTGGTGTATATGGGGAACGAAATGGGGAACAAATTATCCAATCAAAACAATCAGATGAAAGGGGGCATCTCTAGGTACCATATTACATGCAGGTTTCGAGGTGGACCGGTGCAAGGGCTGAGCTTGATTTCACTGGACCGGGCCCAAAGTGATGCAGGGAATTCGAGCTCATGTCTCTCATGCGAATCCCTATTTCCAACCTTTGATTTGTTAGATTCGTGATACCAGACCGTCTCACCAGACACAGCCTTTCGCTACCTACCGATGCCTACCGCTACCCGAAAAGTTGATTTGAATCTGCAACTGTGCGACAAAAAAAGGACCAATAGTCGCGTTGAGATTCTAGCCAAGATTATCTTTTCTTTTCCCTTTTCCCTTTTTTCCCTTTATTTTTTCTAAAAAGGGGGGGGGGTTGGGGGGTTAACCGAACGGGCTACAAGAAGAAACCCATAAGAGATAATGGATCTAGAGGTCGATAAACCAAAAGCCAAACCCGAAGAGATCGCGCCTTGTTGTGGGACTCGAAATGTTTCTACGCGCAAACCGGATGCAGGGGTCCGCGCTTTTCGCGTCCATAAAGGAACTGGCCTTCCTCCCCCTTCCGCCCCATCCCTCATCGTCATCGCGCCGGTGCGGGAATGTCAGGAACCATTTGTCAGTAACTAACTAACTCTAAGACAAGGCGTTAAGGCGTTTGTTCTCAACGCGCCCTTTATTTTATTTTATTTTTCTTCGTAGGGAGAGCCGCAGCCCAGAAAAGTGTGTCTCAAATTACTACCCCCCACGACGGTTAGGTTATGCTCTGCTCATCCGGTTGAGTCGCCGACTTTCTTGCATAAATTATACACCCTGCTATTGAACGCCGAGTAAATCAAGTAGATGGATGAACAAGCATTATCCAACCCCCGTCATCCATTGTAAATAGCGATCAACTATAGGGCCAGTGGCAAGTTCTAGACTGAAGTCGAGTTAGACTTTAACAGGAGCACAATGATCTATCTAGCTGGAGGCAATCCTCTCGAGGAAATGCCGCTGTCTTACATGCTTGCTTCCCTCGATGCCGCCACCGTGAACAGAGTAGATGGCCAATAAAGCATATACGCATGGCATCAATTGTAGTGCATCGAGAACCAAAAGACGACCGGTCGCATATAACATGGCCACCCTTCAACCTATCAGGAGACGGGGCTCTGTAGTGGGTGATATCAGCCCTGGAGAATGCCTTGTGGGTTTTTTTGGGCTAAGTCCTTCTGCTCTCCCTTCAGCCAGTCATTCAAGGGTATTTGACCGAACTTGGTCGTCCCCTCAGGCCCAGAGACGTCTGCAAGGTCACAAGGACGCGCTTGTGGACGGTTAACAGTGGCAACGACGTCTCCGCGATTGGTTGATCTACAGTAAAGGGGAGCCCTTAAGCCACTTTTTCCATTCGCCGCAGGAAGCTTATTAACTAGCTGCCTCCCTCCTCTCACGCAGAGGGACCATCAGACGGGGCAAACTATCCTTAGTTGACGAGAGAGAACCCGAGTTCTCTCATGATCGTAGCCTTGGTCGGGCTTCTAGGATAATTCACGTCCAACCCATTCGGTCACTCGGCAGCAATCTTTCTAACTACCTCTCATGAGACGCGGATATTCCGGAGCCTTAGTCTATATCAAACGCGCAGGTCTACAAACTGGCCTAGAGTCGCGTCCCATGGTGGCCATAGAACGACAACTAAGAAGTTGTTCCCTCGTCCTCGTGGGGGTGTGATCCAGAAAGGAACGAGATAGAGGGTCGAATCGTCCTGATTCCGAGCGAATAAGGAACAATAGTAAACTAGATAAGACCGCTTTCCCCGTAGTACAGTGTATAGATTGTCTATTTATATCGTAAGGAGTGTAGTTTAAGTTAGGTACATATTAACGAGATCGTATTAAGTTCCAATAGGGCACTAACCCACAGCCCAGAGGTGTAATAGCCCTGAAATATTATGGTACCAGTCTTTCGGTATCCCATGAGTGACGAGATCATTTAGCCTTTCAGCCTTTGAACAGGTCACTCTGAATTTACTCTAGGACTAATCTATCTCGATAAATACTTTTTATATCGTCAGCTCGGTTTGGGCTGGGGTAGAAGAGTAAAATCTATAAAGCTAGTACCAAACATCGTTTAGCACTCCAAATGCTTGCCCGTTATAACCTTACCGACCTTGCCTGATAGTTTGCTAATGTAGTACATGCCGGCCTACATGTATAATCGTATCTCATAGATCCACCCTTACCGAATTCTATAAGGGACTATAGAAAGAAAATCTTTCAGGTTATGGCTGTTTGTAGACCGCCACTGTGTGACATTTGTGCCTAACCATTATTGAACCTGTATCACATACAGGAATGATTGCCCAGATCCAGGAGATAAATGACTAGCAAAAACTGTGTAGTACTTTATAATAGTAATCACAACGAGAAATATGGGATAAGAAATCTATAAACCAATCCCTTTCTACCACATGTCATACTGGATGGGAAAACCGCCGTATGATTTCCAGAATCTATTGGCTGTTGGCAAAGAGAGGTGAGCAACTTGTCTTTCTTTTTCTTACACCCTTTGAATTATCTATCTTATTAGCACGATCGTATATCAACTGTACGCCAAGGACAGCACCATTTCTTGTAATTAGACATAAAGAATGGTTGATCTACTAATGGTCCCATGGATTCATCCCAATCTGACATCAGGACCGAGAGCAAGATCAAACCTATGGCATCCTGTGACCGATAATTTACACATATGAGTCCATATCATGCCGCGGCACCCGAGAAGGAGAACTAGATTAATCCTTTTGCTATCGGCTTTTGAGAAATCTACCTGGTAGTTTGGATCTTAGATATATCGGTGAATCAGAGCTGACTGTACTTCAAGTCATGTACATAAGATATTAATGATTCAGTAATCACATATGTCCTGAATCTATCTGAACTTCAGCTATTGATTTCAGCTGCCAATATTTTACGAAAGCTGCCTAGTACATTATGATTGTCAAGGTATTCTAATTATTACTTCCAGTCCTTGTAGCCTTTAAAGTCGCCAGGTAAGTATCACGGGGTTTGCTTCCATCATGAAGTGCAAAGGAAGTAATACTATTGTCAACGTATACCAAAGCCCAAGAGGCAGTGCCACGTAGACATAGCCTTCGTAATGACTCCGTTCTGCTCAGCCATCGCGATTATGAGGCGGAGCGAGTAGCTGCTAAATGTTTGCCTGATAATCGTGACATTTATTCAATTTCCCTTTTCTCCATATGTTGGTATTACCTACATGAGAAGGTCTTGCCGGGCTCCTGTTGGTTAGCCAATTGGCGTCAAAGCCGAAGTATATTGCCACTTGCGGTGGCTTAGGCAGCCAATAGAGATGATACACCTACAGCTTCTCGTGTACTTAAAGATTCTCAGATTATTACCATTATATCTAGTTGTGTTTTTAGTGGTATGATGGAGTGAAATATAAAAGAGGTAAAACACCGTTGTGATCAAATGCTTCGAGGACGAACGAAATATACGAAATGGGACAGGAAGCCGGTCTAGGTAATGTGTATAAGGCCAGAGATAGATCTATAGATCAGGAAAGCTAGTATATTAAGACATTTTAGTTATTCAAAGAAGCTGTCTAGTTGCCTCATGTAGGTCTTTAACTACTACACGCGAGCCTACTATATTTGACGACGAATGGTTGAATATCTGCAATGGCATTTGTGACTTGTAATTATTCTAGTGCTGGGAACGGATTATCCAAATTAACTAGAATCATACCGTACGTAGCAGAGGAGTTATTCGTTTTGGAATTCCCTCTTATTGGTTGCCCTGTATCTTGGAGATCCTGAGAAATTTGGATGGCTGAACTACGCTTAAAGAACAACACATGATTTGGTGCTTTACTTATTAGGTACCTAACCAATGACTTCGTGATTATATAATGTAAAGAGAAAGATCCTTTGCATCGTCAAGCTAGTTTTTTTTTTTTTTTCCGAGATCTAAAAAAACATTTTCCCACGAGATAGGCTTCGGTCCCGAAAATATGTGTCTAACGCAGGTTCAGTTAGGTATAATACATATTAGAACTGGTTGACTTCTTAAGTGTAGCAGAACTTTTAGTACTTACTCTCGTTATCCTTATTACGCTTCCTGGAAAAGCCTAGGGAGGTGCGGTGCGTTCCGTTGAGATTTGCATACACCAATGCGGAAAGGGACGGAACTAGGTACTTCATTCAATTATATTTGGAATTGTATTATTTAGTGCATTGGTATCTATGGTGGTATCTCATAATATACAATAGTAGTAGTGTTTTAGGCAATGGTCCTGATTTTATGTCCGAGGTTGTTCCTTAATGAATGTTGCTGGCATCTTCATCTCGATGGCCGAGTCTACCTCTGAGCCTCTTGATGGCGGGAGAGGGCGAGAAAAATTGGATGGTTTTCGTTGCAAGGCGGGCGCTTTGGAATCGCCATGCGTTTCCCGTGCACTTCTCGATAGCATTGCTGGCTCTGGTCGTTGAATCACGTCTTGGTCCTTATCCGTAGCAGCTCTCATACCAGGCGTATAGTTGGGGTTTTTAACGACTCTGATTGCTTGTCGAATAGCAACTTCCGGCTGTGAGGCATATCTAACCGTTGATAGTCGGGAACGATTTGCACTGCTTGTAATACTAGTGCTTGGTGTCGCGCGATGCCCTTTGCTGGGTTCGTGAGAACTTTTCGATGGCGACGACGAGGAAGATGTTCGGTCAGATGTAGAAGAGTAGGTGGAGCGGTTTGTGCTGGAACTGTCTATGGACGTCTTGGTAGCCTTCGTTACTCTTGGTTGTTCAGCGGCATCATTCCATTCGGTCCGCCATGCGCCTGGATTGTACACTGGCTGAGGGGGGGACTTTGAAAGCCTTGGTGGGACTCTCAGCACGCGTGGAACTGATAATGAAGACATGTTACTCGGAGCTGCATGAACGGTATAAGTTCTCCCAATAGGAGAGTTGGCCATAAGCTCGAACTTGATCCTGTCGTTAGGTATGTCTTCCGTCCCTATAGTGAGTGACTTTGCCGTTTTTATCTTAGGTTCAATTGTCTTAGAACTTCCGAGTTGAAATATCTCCGCTGTAGGTACTGTGGCTATGGATGCACTATTGCTCTCTTTTCTCTGCAAAGAAGCTCTGCGGGAAACACTGAGATCTTCAATTAAATCACCGGAACATTGACTAGATTGGCCGTTTAGGAATGACGCTCTAGAGACCCCTTTCGTAGCGAAAGGAGTGGGATTGCTTTCGATACTGGCCGATATAACAAAAGATGACGGTCTGCAATTCGTATTAGTTATATTGTCAAGAAGATATAACAAGAGCCCTTACATTGCTATCACACATATTACCAAGTTTAAATATGGTGCAGTTTTAGCAAAACCCTCCAAAGCGACTGGTTTCGCTACCATAACAGCCGTTGCAACCAAAGCAGCTATCCACACAGCAATAGCAAGCCTCGCAATAAGAAGTGCGCTTGCATGAAGATACTGGCCGTAAACTTGCGGTGGCCCAGGTCCTTTTCTTCTATAATTCTTTTTCGCCCCTCTGACATGAAGACATATATATAGCAAGGCTATTGCGGATGCGAAGAGTACCAAGTCCCGCGATATACAGGTGAATTTCATCTCCGTGGGCTGCAACATCAATACTATTGCGAGGGAAATACCTCCCGCAGAGGAGAGGAAGAGGGTTATTAGAGCGGCGAGGACAAATGAGGGTTGCTTTCTCCGTTTCTGCTCTTGGTTGTACTGCTCAAGAGATCGGTAGAGCAATTCTGCATGGTTGTCGCTCACGGAAGAACTTTGCTCTTCGTCGCCTTTCTTGCGCGCCATGGGAATTGTCGTTCAGACCAGCAGAGGACCGGCCGACTGTTGGATTCTGAATTCGAAGAAATGTAACGAGCGACAGAAGGAGAGGGAATATCTCCATCCGCATTAGATTACCATAACTCCTATGGGAAGAAAAGAAGATATGTATAACCAAGAAAAAAAAAACAATGTAAATATATAAAATCAGAAATATACGAAATGTACTATAACATATTCACATGAAGGAAAACCCAGAGGCGGGGCACGACTGCGAATGGCTAATCCAGGCCATGTCGTGGAATGAAGAAAATCGCAAGTACGTTTTCAGTGGCGGCGTTGATGGTGAAGAATGAATTTACCTTTGAGCTCGTCCCTCGTCCATTGTTTTTAAATCTTAATAAGAAACAATTATATCTACCTAACATATATTTACCCATCTAGGAAACAAACTCGACCCTAGCTGTCCCGGCTTTTCATTAGCAACTTACCTTTAACCATGTTTGAGGTTGTCAAGTAATGAATTAGGCTGTATTGAGTATGGAGAGAAGTCAACGTCGTAACTCTGTGCGGGGGCTTGTTACGGAAGTGTAAGTGCGGTGGGCTGATGGCACATTCCACACCTGCATATAAACAGCGCTAAAGCCCCTGTAAAACAAGGGGGTTTACCTTAAATCCTTAAACCAGAAAAATGGCTGCAGTGAGCCTCAAGAAGCGGTGGCTTATGCAACATTTCAAGTCTCAAATTCCAACATCAACTCGGACCACTGACAGGTACATAAAAATTAAGTCAATTATTTCTCGTTTGCTATCATTCGTCAATTAAACTCCCTGCGGAATGCTGAAGCTCATATGCGCTACAGAAATATAATGTAATAATCCCAATACCGTTAAACGCCCTAAAGCAATGCTTCACTTAATAGGTACCCAGGAGAACTAAACTCCGTTTTGTTTATTCCAATCGTCGAGGTCCCGGAACAACTCAATAAGTTACCCAAGTAGATATAATCTTATGGAGTAACATGTTAATGTAGCATGTATGATAGATCAGGTAGATTTTGTACAACATTTTTAACAATGTTATCTTCGTCTTGTTTGCGCGTCTTGTTTTCAATCGGACCCAGTACAGCCTTCAAAGGGGCCTTGGCTGTCTTAACCTCCTCGTTCATATTTGTATTGTTGGTGCGGGGACCTGAATGAAGGTTTGATTTTATATTTGGAGGCTGTATCAAAGCTGGCACTGATCCCGATGCTGGCGATTCGAAGATAGACAAGTTGGCAAAAGGCCAAGTATCTTGTCTTGGAGACTTCGGGGTCTGCGGAGAAACACCTTCGAACACGGAGAAATCGACCGCAGGCCACGAGTCAACTTTCGGCGTTTCCACGGTCAAGGATGCTGGTTGAGTAGAACGTTGCGCTGGAGACGGAATAGCTCCAAGCATCAAAGTAGAAAGTCCAGGTGCTGTGCTGCTGCTCTGGGCTGTTTCTATGCTCTTCTCGTTAATTATGGCCATATTGCTAGCATTGCTGGCACTGTTAGTCGAAAGTAAGGGGGTCCCATTTTTGTTGCTTATCAACTCTGTTGCAAGAGCGGGGCCCTTTTGAGATTCTACTCGGGGCGACGACACCATTTCTCCCCAGTCGTCGTCATCTTCGCTTTCCTCATGGGATTCGCCTTGGCTTAGTTGTGCTGGTGCTGGTATTGTGGTGTGGCTTATAGTCTCAATCGTTACGGTTTTTACTCCTGGCCGGCGCATATTGGTTGCGCGATCGACTCCGTCACTGCTGCTAGAAATCGATTGCGTAGTAGGGGATGATTTAGCATCTGAGCTCCAGTTGAAACTAGGAATAGAAGCTGGCCTGGGCGTGTCGGGAACTGCATCGGGCGGCTTGATCGGACTTTTTATTGGAGATGTTGGAGGCGCTGGCTTTTCCAAACTGTGTTTTGTTGATGGAAGCGAAGTTTTTCGCGAGTGCGTGATGGAGGTCTTGCGAGCAAATACCTTACCCAGATCAACAGGAGCTGCGGAAGAATCCCAATTAAAGACGCTTGTTCGTATACCGGCACCCGGAGTGACTCGTCCGGATATTGAATCCTCCTCCATCCATCTCCGAATAATTTTGATAACATCATTGTGCACACGCGATGTTGACCATTCTACTCTATGGTAATTGTCATCATCTCCCAAGTCATGCTTACGCATCGATCCATACCGTGAGAGACGGTACCAAGTTTTACGCTCCGAGATTGCTGTGAAACTATCCTTGATGATTTGATCCGGTACACCACTGTTATCTCTTGTATTGTCATCCTCTTTTAAATCCTGGGCGATATCGGGGAAGACCTTATCGACCAACTGAAAGTCGATGTCAAACTGTATGGGACCATATTTGTCAATAATCTGCTGAACCGGCGCTGAGGTAGTTGCTGCCAATGCGACCTCGTGCTCAGAGGATTTCTGAATATGACCCTCAATAGAAGTATCTCCAGACCGAGGCGCAGGTGAAGACGATCTTCTGGCCTGACTTGGTGACCTCCCTCGGTTCTCCGTTTTTGGCAGTTCAAGTCGCGTTGACCTAAATGGATCTTCCCTAGGAATTTTTGTCAAGCCGTCATACATTCCCACAAGCTCCTGAACCTTTCCGGAATCTTTCCTAGAAGTTTTCGGGAGGCACGACTTAGTGTCTTCGTCAATTGATGTAATCGGTGAGTCTTGATGATCTACTCCGCGAGAGCTACTAAGCGATAGCGTCGATGGCGGTCTGGATAGGGTATCTTGGGTGTCAACTTTCGGTGTAGAACTAAAACCCGAATCCTGTCGTTTTTGTGTCCTTGGCGATGGCGACGGCGACGGCGACGGCGACGGGAGCTCCCATACTTGAGATTCGGTGGCTAAAATCTGTTCGCTCTTCTCTGTCCTAATATCGTCTTGGTCCTCTCTTGCTGCTTGGCTATCCGTAGCATCATCTTGCGTTTTTACTACAGATACAGGGGCTTCAACCAATTCTTCCTGTAAGTTAATGTTGTTGATCCCTAACGCATTCACGGGCGTGGAAGAGTCACCCTTCCTATCTTGTAACGATACTTCGGCTGCCCACGGATCTGGCGAGTGGTGACGGTATACGGAAGAAGTTCGAGAGCGTGGAAGTGGTCTCAGCCCGGGCGATGTCGCGGCGCTGCTTGGTAACGCAACCGAACTCCTTTTCCCAAAATCGTCAGGCTTTGGGCTCGTCTGGGAAATCAGCGGAGACGGTTCCGCCCACACTCCCCAGTCTACCACATTTGCCGCAACGTCAGCTTGTTCTGTACTGGTCCATTCTCCGTGCGCATATTCGGTCGCCCATGGGGATTGGCTTTGGAAGTTGGATGCACTGCCGAAGAAAGCTCTCGGGGGTGGACTAAGCAAGCTTTTCGGAGGTGATGGTATCGGAGGGTCATTCTTTGATGTGTTTTCTGGTAGTGCCCAAGGCGAGCCCCAGGGATCGTCCATAATCGCTCAAGGCGATGGTCATTGTTGGCTGCCAATGGGGCGATTCTCGCGAACGAAGCCGAATCTACACCTTACGGCTCACATGTAAATGTAATAATAAAACTGGAGAGCATAAACGGTGTAATAAGACATGTTATTAATAATATACCTCACGTAGAAAATTAGATGCGGGTTAAGTTGCCAAGGATATACATGTTGCGCCTGCTTGAGCGCGAATCTTAGCACTTTGTTAATTGCTAATTGCGAAATTGTGAAGGTACTGGATTTCAGGGGCCGGGTTGGCGCAAAGGGGGGGCCCATCATTCTCAGGTTCGGGACGGCTGGGACCAACATTGAAGTACATACATGTATAACATTAGCCACACAAATGTAGCCACACTGACCAACACTAACCAACGCGTTTATGACCCTCCAGCTGGGAGCATAATTCCTCACGTGCTCAATTTATGTGGCTTAGTTATCTGATCTATTTTAAGTCGCACATGAGGTACTTTGTCCGGGAGCATTAGATTACCGTATGAATTTCGTCATTTTCAAATCTCGGTAGTGGGGGGTTGATCGCGGGGCACGTAAATGTCGTTCTGGCTGTCAGCCTTCAGGTACCTACCTAGTAGGTACCTAGATCCCAGGTCCTTTATGAAATTGCTACTTGATGTTTGTACCTTTTGCTGATAAATGCGATGCCGGCAGAGGCCAAATCTTCTTACCTTTAAGTACGCATCACATGAAGAAATGAAATACATATTGATGATATTTTATTAGCTGCTTTGAATTGATTCATATTAACCCTAGAATTTAACTTTAGGTACCTTTAATTTGCAGATATTCAATACCTTTTTATTTAGGTCTACAAATTATTAGATCGAACAATGTCCCTGGCAAAAGTTAAGCATATTCTCTTGGTATGTGCGTCCCAGACTAGGAAAAGAAAAATCTCATGTAAATAATATAAATCTCTAATGCCAGTTTTGTAGGTCCTCTCAGGAAAGGGGGGTGTGGGGAAATCCTCTGTGACCACCCAGCTCGCATTATCTCTTTCGCTCTCTGGATATTCCGTCGGAGTTCTCGATATCGACCTTACTGGGCCGTCTATACCGCGCATGTTCAATATCGAAGATGCGAAAGTTACCCAAGCGCCAGGAGGGTGGCTTCCGGTGACGGTCCATCCTGCGAACCCCGAGGCCGGTATAGGCGAATTAAGATGCATGAGTCTTGGCTTCTTATTACGTGGACGAGGCGATGCAGTTGTATGGCGAGGCCCCAAGAAAACTGCTATGGTCCGACAGTTCCTTTCCGATGTATTATGGGGAGAACTTGATTTCCTACTCATAGACACGCCTCCAGGAACGTCTGATGAGCATATTTCACTTGCCGAAACACTGTTAAAAGATGCATCACCCGGTCAGGTCGCTGGTGCTGTAGTAGTAACTACACCCCAGGCAGTCGCTACGGCGGATGTTAGAAAAGAGTTAAACTTTTGCTCGAAGACAGGTATATCGGTCGTCGGTGTTATTGAGAATATGGTCGGGTTCGTGTGTCCAAATTGTGCCGAATGCACCAACATTTTTGGAAAAGGAGGAGGCCGGGTCATGGCAAATGACTTCAACGTGCGATTTTTAGGAGGTGTCCCTATAGACCCTCAGTTTGTTATGTTAATCGAAACGGGAAGACGACCGCGATATCCTGAAGGGACCGTTATTGACGGGCAAGACTTCTCAGGGACGCATCAACATCGGCATACCGACTCGTCGCTGGCTGCGGACACGAAAGAGGCGGGTCTACTTGCAAGCAAATATCTAGAATGCTCCCTCGAGCCTATCTTCAGAAAGATCACGCAAGATATCATCACAGCCATCGGATGATGTCGGACATATTGTTATCAGCCTAAGTTCTCTTCTCTACCTAGGATTTTACATTGATATGACCAAAGGGGGCAGTCTTAAATTAAGATCTGATGCATACACATGCAGAAGCCAACAGTCATTTTGGTGGTTGGGCAGCTATCGTTATTGCTAGGTAACTTCTACAGGTTCGATTTATCGCTATCAATCATTTACCAGATGCTGGTAGAAAAGCAAGTTTCTGCGGCACTGTTATAAAACGCCAGCCTACAATAACCATAACAGTCTATAGGTCGTAGGTCGGCCGGCTGGTCAGGGGCGTGGTGGGTGTGGGTGGGTGTTGGTGGTTGGTTGATATCCACCAATGTTGCAGTGATAGGGCTATCAAGAGAAGAACATAGAAAGAAAATAATTTTTTTTTTCCAAGTGACATGCATTCTCCAAATCCCGTGGCTGTGGAAACTTTCCTCGGGCTGTGACCATTTCGCTTAGTCATTTTTTATGCAAAGTCACAATGCAAAGTTAAAACCCAGCCTAAAGTTCTTTTGTTCGCGTATGTCGCGTATGTATGACGAAACGTGTTCGTACATGTACATAGGTAGTATAGGTATACCTAATGTATGTATGTACCTAAGTACCTACCTAAGTGAGCAACCAGGAATTAAATTGTGGTGGTGACAATGCGCAATGCTACGTTCACACTTTAAAAGGCACGAAATAAGAAGCAAGAAATTGATTTGACAATTGACAATTGACAATTCGATATTTCCTTTCGCATCTTTTAATATTTGCCAGGTTTGATAGGTAGTACAAATTGCACATGCTGGCATGACCTTTAAGGTTAGGTACCTACTCCGTCAGATGGCCCCCAATGTTTGATCTGCAGCTGTTCTCCACTTTGGGCATAGTAGTGAGGTCACACCTACCCAATCGTTGCAAAATCAGGTACCTACCCTACAGCTGGTACCACATGTAAATCTTTTTGCAAATCTTTTGCATGCCCTAGCTACAAGTACCTTTGCAAGGTACCTTTTTTTTTTTTTAAAAAAAAAAAAAAAAAAAATCTCTTTTACCGATTTCGAACTTTTGCACTAAAACTTTCTCTTTACCCCCCCCCCGAATTCAGTTTTGGTGATGAGACAATTCAACTACCTATCCTAAACTTAAACAATTCCTTTTTTTGTTTTGTTGTCCAGTTGCTTGTCAATTCCAATTGTTTAGACGCGTAAAACAATCCGCCACCGGGTTACCTCCATCGGAGAGGCGAAGCCAAACATTCTGTCAACATCAAACCTCACTTCCTGTCCACCACAACTTGTTTACACTCGGTATTCAGATCACCGCCCGCGTCGCACAACGCACGATTATAATCAACTGGAGATATTTCGTTGCAGGACTTGGCGATAACAGTCAATGTCAAAGAAGCTCGAGACTTATCGATATCTCAACAACGTAGCACCTCTTGACGTATAACCTGTCTCGGGGGAGCACTACCTTTTTCAATACAAGACCTGGTTTTCCATGAACCCAGCAGATTTACTTCGCTTCCTCTCTAAGCCCGCAAAGTATTATCACACTCCACTATTTTTCAGAATTACCTCAAGTTCATAGGAGCATTGGCTAACCATCTGCATTATTTACAGGCCCAGATAACACCCGCTGCGAAAGTATTCGACTTGGACTCGCAACCTCTTTTGTTGCCCGTTCTTCTATTATTACCATACTTGCAGATATCCTCGTCTGCTAGGTCCGATACTCCCCCACAGGTATCGGTTTCTGCCAGAACGAGGCTTTAAACAAGGCGTCACCATTTCTTGGTCAAAGGTCTTCTTTCTCCCCCTCCGAGCTCGACCACCCTAACGTCCTCTTCGTGAGACGTTAAAAAAAAAACTTGCTATTGTAGCTGGCTCCGCCAGCATTCACGGTTTCTCATTAACCTGTGGGCCTACTCTCTCAAACGAACGCCGCAAGGTTCGTTTGGGCGGCAGTCAGTGCTCCGCGGTCGCTACAGTACCTCATCTGCGGCAAACATCCCGGTATCAGAACAACAAGCCAGCTCCTCTTAATCATTTCGGCTGCTCGCCTCTAGGGTCCCTGTACGGAGATGGTCAACCTCGATATTCCCACCAATTATACATTTTCGCCATCTGATGGTACCCCCCAATTGACAATCAATCATGATGTTGCTTCGGATCTAGACTCCACCAATGCCTTCGAAGGTAAGCTACACTTTAATAGGTAACTTAATAGACGAATGCTAATAGCGCCTAGGCCCGGAAAAGTTGCTCGAGGTTTGGTTCGCCCCTAACCCTAAAGCTCTCCCGGCCGGTGTTAAGGAGAATGGCTTAAAGTCGGTTTCCAGTGAGACCTGGGTTGAGATGCTTGACATGGTCAATTGCAAGATTCTCTCGGTCCTTGAAGCTGAGCACATGGACGCCTACCTGCTTTCCGAGTCCAGCATGTTCGTGTTTCCGCACAAGCTTATCCTCAAAACGTGCGGTACTACTACACTTCTTCTCGGTCTTCACAGGCTGCTTCGAATCGCTGCCGAACATGCCGGGTTCCCTTTCCATAACGCTACCTCCCTAAACGATATCCATGCTGCCGCTACGCCATATCGAGTATTCTACTCCCGAAAGAACTTCCTATTTCCCCAGAAGCAGCAGGGTCCTCATCGTAGCTGGAAGCAGGAAGTCAAGTATCTTGATGACATGTTCGAGGGAGGAAGCGCTTATATGGTTGGAAAGATGAATGGTGATCATTGGTACCTATACATCACCTCACCGTCAACGAGCTTGACGCCACCCCGTACGCCGGACAGTGAAAAGGCATCTATGAACCCTACCAGAAAGTTAAAGATTTCTACCGGCCTTACTTCCGCCTTCAATGGAGGTTTAGAGGTCAAAGATGAAACACTCGAGATTTTGATGACGGACCTGGATCCAGAGAATGCGAAGAAATTCTATCTAGAGCACGCGAGTGCGGTCGCGAGCACTAGGCTCTCTGAGCAGGTCGAGGAAGCACGGCAGATGGCTATTGACAGTCTTGGAGACCTATCGAACAGTACCGCTACGCTCAAGACCATAAGCACGGTTGAGAGCGCATTTGATGACACAGTTGACGTGTTCAGCAACGGAAGCGACTCTGACCTGCATGATGCTCATACCCCACTCTCTGAGCAAGCGGATGCTGAGTGCCTAAACACAGAAGGGCATGCACTTGGGACCGTGGTATCAGATGCTTGTGGCCTTTCGGATGTGTATCCCACTTCTAAATATCCCGATGCCCGTATCGATGCCTACCTTTTTACTCCGTGCGGTTTCTCGGCCAATGGCATTATCCCGGCCCCTCATAATCAGGAACATGATGAGGATGCTAAGTCCACTCATTATTTCACTGTGCATGTGACCCCTGAGCCGATCTGCTCGTTCGCTTCGTTCGAAACCAATGTCCCGGGCGGGCAGAATGGGCGTGAAACCTCGGAAATTATCGATCACGTGGTTCGGATCTTCAAGCCTGGACGATTCAGCGTCACGCTTTTCGAGGCTAAGACAATTCATGCGTACAATAGCGACGAAGTTCTAGCCGGCCGCAACAAGCGTATGGAGAAAATCCCGGGGTATCGACGCATGGACCGCATTGTCCACGATTTTGACGATTACGAACTTGTCTTCCGGTATTATGAGCGGGAGGATTGGGTTGGTGGAAGCGGACCCCGCGTTGGAGAAGATCTTTGAGGGATAATTGGACTATCGGCACACTCTACGTCTGATTTTCTTCATCTTTTTTTGGTTCGCGTTACTTTATATTATGTTCTCGAAATTTCGTGATAGTTAGCTGGCATGTTTGCGGGGGAAATTGAGTATGTGTAATAACTGTTAGGTGGTTAGGAGACTAATGTTTTTTTTGTCCTTTGGTATTTCATCAAGCTGTTCCAGAATGACAAGACTAAGACACAACACAGCCATTCTTTAGTAATTGAATCTCATATCTTCTGAATTACAAGAATCATGCCATTTGACTAGGAATCAGTTGGGAAACCCAAAGAGAAATTACTTCCACAATTTCATAGTGACGTATCTTATTAATTTACTCGATGCGTCAGTGTGCTGTGCTTGAAAACATGAACACCTAAGGCAGTAGAAATCCCCTTTCGATCCAGTTGGTTATGGATTCAACAATACCTCATTAGTTTTATCTGGCAAGTATGTCTAAGGCAATGAAATATATAGCCGTCGCAACATGGATTTTAACAGTTTACCACGCTGTAATCAACATTCTCTCAGTACTAAACCAAGTTTTCATCTCCTGCCTTTTCTATGAAATCTAGAGAAACCCTCCACTATCCACGTAGATAATACATATTTAATGTAAGATACCTAGCTGTCCATTCTTATAAGAAACTTACTTAGATCCGCTAGTACGGGTAGTAGCTAATACACGTATATGCCAAATGTGCAACATATATCAATCAACTGGAATAAATTGCGACTTTCATACTGACTATATCCCGATGTTGCTGTAATAATAGTAGAAGTAGATAAGAGGGTTCTAGTATACAAGAAGTGAGTGTAGAAATACACGCCTTGGCTTCCCAGATTTGTCTCGCGCGGACTAGGTAGCGGCTAACAACGATATCGATCGCACCCAAAGCGAAGAATTTGGATGTGCAAAACTTCCCATGCGTTCAGTTGCGGGTGGTCGCTCCTTTTTAATGTTAGTACATGGATACATAAGTTATAATCTATTTTGTATAACCTCCCAATCTCCCCTCTCCCCTCTACCCCTTTTCGCATATGCCCCTATATAATGAAATGAGTGAAAAGAATGTTTGTATGATGCACGCCTAGAAGGAAATAGTGAATAGTGCCGATGTACAGTTTTTTTTTCGTATAGTTGGTGTTGGTACAGGTATCGTAGTCACGAAGGTTCAAGAGGTGCTCGGTCCTCCGACGGAGGCGTCAGAGTCCTCGTGCGCGAGGTTCTCAACCAGGTAGTCGATTACCCGGCGGAGAACCGTCTTGCACAGCGCCTTGAAGCTGCGTCGTTCGTCCGGGAGAGTATATCTGTGGAAGCCTCTCCCCTGGAGAAACTCGGACACGGTCCTCTCCCCATTAGCAGCCCAGTAGTTTCGGAACGCGCAGACTGCGGTCTCCATGGAGCCCGATGGGTACATTTCGGTCGGATAGGACTCCCCGGGAAAGACAACGGCCCAGATGGATAGCCATTGCAAATCTTCGTGCATCCGCGCGTCGGCAGGTTCGGCTAGTTGCTGGGCCTGCTGTACCGTTATACCCTCGGGCTTGATAAAGTCTTGGAGAGTACAGCCCCTATATCTGATGTGGCTGTCGCAACTGGCTGCCGTGGAGAATATTCTGCCGCATATGGGACAGTAGGGCGGTAGCCTATGGTTGTTCCAGACATGTTTCTTTACGTCTTTAATTGCTCGAAATTCAAAATTGGTGAAGCACTGCATATGATCCGCTGGTCTGCGGAGGTAGAATGGACAGGCGAATTGGCGCCCTGGGTCTCCCCGATTGGAGCATCGAGAGCGGTCTGCCCTACGTGATCGGCTATTCCGAGGGCGTGTCTCGGATCGATGTTCTGTCATTCGTTAGCTCCTAATTCCCTCCGTGGACGTTATTGACTGACTCTCGTGTTGAAAGCTCTCTATAGCTAGCGCTACAAGTTCGTCTGCAGTTTGTGCCAACGGATCATCAGGATGCAAGGGCAGGGGTTCCTGCATGGGAAGTTCAAAGAACCCTACTTCGTCTCCTTCAGGGCCATAACTGTCTGTGACATATCCTGGCGCGGGGGAGTAGTATGGAACGTTCCTGGAGAGGTGATTCATTATCAATATATAGTATTTCCTTTTGATTTATCGTACTCCTCTGTATGTCTAGATGGTTCCTAACTGTTTGAGCTTCTATAGAGGATATTTTGCCATCAACTGAAGCATCTTTATATAGGGATGACGTTTTCAGCTGGACATCGTCACCGAGACTCAGCCCTATCTATATTCAAGTGTGGCTGGACAAACTTATCACTGAGCATTTCTTGAAACTGGTTACAGATGTGGATTTGGGGTCTAAAGTACCTATCCAGGCTATTTCGAAATTCTCACCAAAGCTTAGCCTTGTCACTCTGTAACATCTTAGGGATACAGCTCAAAGAATTGAGGAATTTGGTTCATTGTAAGTAGAATCGACTTGATATGATTCCTTGTATAGAAAGTTTCTTTTTTACAATCAGTGCTCAAAAGGTTATCGCAGTTCAAAGTTGCCGTTAGTTAACTTTTGAGGGGTTCTCCATACAAATCGACTTTTTTGTGTGGAAAATTTCCAAAAATCAAATAACGCCAAATTTGAACTTCAATAGCTCTCTCAATAATAGCTATAAAAAGATATTTTGAACACAAAATGTTAGGCTATATCAATTATCTACTTAATAAAATTAAACGTATCATTATACAACCTCTACTGGTAAAGATATCGTAGAGTGACAAGGCTAAGCTTTGGTGTAAATGGAGGTGGCCCGGATATATTTGACCCTTTACCGTAGACTACCTACCTCAGTAGGTACCTAAGGAGGTAGGTAGATATTTTCCAGCCCCCAGACCGTCAAGTTTTCTTTTTTTTTAAAAATGTGTAAATTCACTGCTGTAGTGTAGTAGTATGTGAACATGTATGTGCCAATGTGTGTATCCGTGGTAGCTCGGTGGCCAATGTCGTTTTTCGATATTAAGGCTTACATTCAGCTTGGGCTCAATTTCGGGCCATTCCAAATTCTGTATTACGTGTAAGGTTTGTATAGTTGACCTGCTGCTAGCCGTGGCATCTGTGAACCAACTTATGTTCTGGACTTGTATTTGGCGAAGAATGATTCGTAGGTAATTATATAATAATGCTATTTAATTGTCGTCATGAACAAGAATCGTTGTAGTGTACACGTAAAATATTAAAACGACAGAAGATAAGTATGACAGTCCAACCGCGTCTGGAGATGGTCCCAGAGCCCCCAAATTTCACCCCACGATACTTCACTTTTCAGAAGCGTCATCCCCGCATTTCGAGGGCTAGGTACCTAGGTAGCCAGCCTAATCATATATCATATAGGTACACAAGGTATCCCAGGTACCTTAGAGGTATCTAACCTAACCCACGGGTAGATACCTTTATTCACTACGCCGTGTTCATTCGTTGGACCAATTAGGTGGTTGCCAGACCAAGTACGGGTCAACATCGTCCATTTGCATAGAACCCATTTGATTCTCAGGGTCCATCATAGGATTTTGATGGGGGAGTTGCGGGTATGCTAGCATTGGGAAGCTCATATTGCCGTTCGAAAGTATAGGTGTTTGTATATCTTCGGGTATACCGTTACTTGCAGGGCCTCCCGTACGTTGCCTGGCAAAGAGGGACATGTCGTTAAATACTGACGCTAGGTGTCCGCTGATTTCCGCTTCTGGACACGGCCCCAGAGCGACTCGTGCGATGAGCTGCTGTATATCTAGCCTGCTTAGAAACTGTTGCTGGTATTCTTCGATAAAATGCGATGCGACACCAAAACCTGCGGGCAGGTATGGAGAACCGGGTCCTGGACGTTGAAATCCCGGAAATAAACAATCCCAGATCTTGTACCATTTTTCTTCGTCGGTAATGGCGCTCGAGCCGTTAGCCACGGTCCTCATGGCCTCAAGACGATCTGCTGTCACCCCGGTATTATTGACAAGCCGCACTTCGCAGCGCATTTCTTGAATATGCTGAGCGAGTCTGTCGTTCGTGCTTTCGCCTTCAAATACAAGCCCGCAACGAGGACATCTAATCTCCTGTACGTGTCTCCTTGTGATGTGTTGTCGGACGTCACCAATCCGGTGAAGCTCGTAAGTAAGACATCCGTAATGTGTCCACGGGTCATACCGGTAAAAGGGACAAGCAAACTTCTGCTGTGACTTCTTCCGTCCGGAAGTGGACACCGTAGATCGGCGACGCTTTTGGTCCCGTCCGTCTGGGTGATCCCCATTATTGTTCCGCTTAAGAGGTTGGCGCCCAGAGTTTCCCTGGCCATTGGAACTGGAGGACGGTTGTAGAGCATCTTTAGGATTTCCGCCGGAATTATTATGGGTATTGGCTTCAGAACTCTCGGCGTCATTGGCATCATTGGCATCATTTTGATCCAATTGGGGAGGAATATGTGAATGCGAAGGTGAATGTGAATCGAAAATTACATCCAATAATTGCTGATTGCCATTTTGGAGGAATGGGGCAATTTTCAGGAGATCGGGATCCGAACCATTGGAATCAGTGGGTTTACCCCAGTATTCAGCCTTTGGCGCTACTGCAGGATCCCGAGCACTAGGTACGCTGGGTACGCTAGGTACACCCATATAAGGGTGGCAGGAGTGACCACCTGCAGTGAACTTGCTGATGGTTCTGCCAGCACCAAAGACGCTAGCTTCCGGACACTTTATCATTTCCAGCTCCTAGGTAGCATAGAGGTAACATTAGTAACGGTCATTCCCTATGACATATCTACCTGGTACCTATATTAATCGGCACCTAGGTAATGCAGCTACGAACAATTATAAGCATTAGGTAACTATACTACAGGTTAATTATAGTTAACTGGAACGCCAACTATAAGTTAACTATAAGTATAAAATATACCTAACATAACAACTGCCCAGCTGCAAGATCGAAATCAATATCTTAGATACTTCACATACCTTTTTCCAATGTTCCACATTAGCATTAGCATTCGCATTCGCAGATAATACAGCCATCTGGTTCATGAGGCAAGGTTCCGTCTCATGTTGTAGTCTGATTGCTATATCGGTACCCATTGTCGTCGTCGGTATAGTTCGGGCTGTCCGATGAAGATGAAGTAGGCGCCCGTATGCCGTGAAGCTTATCGTGACACCTCGGTGAAGTTCGCTCAAGTTCGCTCAAGTAGAAAATCTCAATTGAGCTATAGGCACAGAAGAAGAAAGAGAATAAAAAAGTTCTACAACTTCGGGCATTCGCATACTTTCTCGAATTTATGAACAGCCGTCTTGCACCGCACCGCACCGTAGTGTATCGTCTCAATGTATTATCAGTATCTACTTGAGATGCGCTTCAGTGCGTGCGGGGATGGAGTTGACTTCAACTCTCGACGACGATTCGTGATCACATCGGCGTAACTTTATCTACTACACAGTTGCTCATCATCGCCCTTCCAAGGCTTTCTTGTAGGCACTTTGCAAAATTCCCTAGTTCACTTACATTTATCCCGTGTGAAGGTATAGGACGAAACTACACACATGTGCTATGTAGGTTAAAGTGAGCCCAACGATAACACTAGAGCGAGTTATCATGCAACAAGCCGCACCGAGGCCGGATCTAGTAAGTTCACTAGCTCCGATATTTCGGTCAGTGGTGAGTTGCAGGTCCATGCGAACTAGTTTAAGGCATAGGGGGATACGGGTAAAAAAGCCTTGATCATACCGTTCTCGACCATGAAGTTGGGCGTGATTATAACGCGTAATCCTAAGGGTTAGGTATGTACCTAACATACGGGGCCCCGGATTCCCTTCACCTTAGTATCCTTAGCTCCGTCCGAATCCCAGCAGCCTCTTGCGGTTGTGTATTTGTATTACCAACCCAGATTGCCGTTACTACGATGATCTGCTAAACCCTCCAATAGATACCTAAACTTGTCAAGTCACGCGTCTACTATAACCTACGCTCGTGTGTTAGCTATATATGCAATATGTTAGCCACCATGCTATATCTCGCAAACGTGTACGTGGAACATAAACAAACGCGTTAATACCTAAGCTCCGTTGTAGTATAATCTTGATTCTAGATATGTCATCTACACTCTTGCCTGCCTACTTGCCTATCTCCCTCTAACCTTTCTGCAGATCCAGGGTTAGGTGATTGTTGAATGTCACATTGCGGACTATACCTAGAGGAGAAGTACGCAGGGTCTAGCTGCGGCCCCAAATCCTCATCATGACACTGTAGAATAGGATATGGATTATCTTTTAATGCGGGAATCATTGTCAATGGCATGCTTGATAATAACAAAACCTAGCGCCGAAATTTGTTGAACTCGGTGAAATTCCTCTTTGCTGCAGCTAGGTAGGTAGCTTAGGTAGGCGTGAGGGGAAGGGAACAGTGATCAAATGCTTGACTGTAATATTTCATCACTTGAAAGGGACTACGCTCTTACGTCAGATAAATGCCGGAATTGACAATCAGAAATCCATCAAAGGGTAACACTTTGGGTGGAAATACTACCTGGATACAATGTCGGCGATAAGGGACATGGCGTCCAGTAGAACAACCCTTTGAACATATCAACTATGCGCGCTTCAAGCAGGCTACGATTGCATGCATGCACACCCGCATACATCAGCACCCTCGCCCAATAAGCTGCAATTGCCAATATCAGAAAAACGCATACAAGGATTATACGATATAGTAAAGACAGCCTTGCGACCAAAGCCGGAAATCAAGTTTTGACGTCTCACTGCTAGGGATCTCACCGAAAATCTGGACCTGGCGTGCTTATGGATGCTTACATTTGCTCCCCTCTTTTTGTATTCTTAATATCCTTTTTCTCCCTGGGGTAGCGTTTAGTGGCGCCCTAAGGCTGTGCTTCTAAGTATCATTGAGAAGCTATAATGCCTAAAATAGAACTTTTTCTTCTAGAAGACAAGATAGAGCTCAAGTATATTACCGTGAACCACTACCTAACCAAATGGACAGGTCAAAAGTGGGCATTGGGAGTTGCCAGTATTGAATATGATCCTCATAGAAATGAACTTCTAAATGTAAACAGAATTAAAAGGTCAGTGTACCGAAGAAAAAAGGAGGAAATAATATCATTATCCATCCGGACCTACCTAATACAATTAATGTGCTAATTCTATTGTAGTTTATCAAAGCACACAAGACGAGAAAGGAGAGCTCGATATGATCGGGGCAAACTTCCTTTTCGAACAGACGCAGACACGGGTTGGCGAAAGGCAGCAATGTAACAACATGCTTCCTCCGTGTTACGATGTGTTTACACTGGGTCCTGATATAGGGGAGTTTGGCTACCAATACGTTCCTACTCTTGAATTCAAGCTTTCCCCTTCATCTTGCTCAGAAGAATCGCTTGAACATAACCCGGATGGGTACCACGAACTTCTGCAGAAGCAGATTGATGGTCTTCCAGATGGTTGGATGAGCTTAGATTGTTCACCCGAGTCACTACCAAATTCCCAACCCAGGTTGAGCTGCCCGTGCTTCCCGCAGCACACATGTACGTCAAATGGAACGGTAAACACTGGTAATGCACCCTCCAGTGTGGCCAGGGAAGATTCAACGCCAATACCCTCCATCGAAATCAAAGCCGATGATTTCTTGGATCTATACAACGAACGAATCACAGGAAATTCCCTGAAACTTGACGGCACAGAGGTCCAACACAGTAGGGAGCGGTCCGAAGCCATGAGAAAGCATGAAGATCAGTGGTCTCCTGCCCCACTGGCGCAACCATTATGTGAATCAAACTCCGAAGAGGATTCAAACAGGGAGGGATCTTGGGCCAAACAGGACGCACCATCTGACAATGGCAGCAGATGCTCCAGAAAGAGATGGCTCGCATGTCCCTGGTACAAAAAAGACCCACTGAAGCACTCAGGGTGCGCGAAATACAAGCTGTTGCGTATCAAAGATGTCAAGCAACACATCTGTAGGAGGCATACGAACCCCAGCACCTACTACATTCGAGGTAGAAGTTGTACCCCTTCTACCGAGTCGGAACTCGACGGCCTATCGGAAAAGCAAAGACGGAAGCTGAATCAGAACGCTAATCGAGGGAGGAACGACGTGGAACGATGGTATTGCATGTGGGATACTATCTTCCCCAGCGAGCCCCGGCCCCTGTCACCCTATCTCAGCAGCGGGCGGCAAGAATTACTGCCTCTACTGCGAAGCTTTTGGAACGAGAAGCACCAACATATCATACGCAAAGCACTCCAAGAGTCGCACCGTAGACTGGAGCCGGAGACGATCCAAAACATCATGGATGCCGTCTTCGACCGGTTCGAATCAGAGTCATCTTACCAGGAGTCCGATACCAACGAGGACTCGGGTGATGAATCATCGGAGACATCCAACCCCAAGAAACAATCCCCAGCCATAGTTGACGGCATCGCTCAAGATAACTTGCCTTCTAAACTGGGCGATACAGACTATGGTATACTATACGAATCCACAGAACGGCAAGCTGGACACGAGCCTAACTGTGCTTCGGAATATTTGAATAGAAGTCAGGCCGATATGTACTTTGGCATCGGGCTCGGAAACAACCTAGATCAGTATAGCCTGAGATATTCATTTTGAGCCACCGTTCCTAAACCTCGCACAATGATGGGAAAAGAAAGGTGTCGGATAAGAGTCTAACTCGTAGATACGGTTGATCTCCCTATTTTTCATTTGTTTCCCCCTTTCGTTTTTCTTTTTTTCTTTTTCTCCATCTGGTAGATATAGTTGATAATTACCTAGGTACTCAACTACCTAGCCGAGGTAGTAATGAGCATCTAGATTATAGAAAGAAAGACGGCGTCATCTAGAGAGAGGCAAAAACCTTTTGGGTTCACTTAGAGGTAAAAATCTATTTAAATACTAGCCAGCTCCCTCGTAAGAGGATAGAAGGCTAGGCGTTAAATCAACCTAAAACTTCATACAAAAAAGACACCGATACTAACTCCGTATATGACACCCGTCAAGGGAATAAGCATCCTGGCATTACTAAGGTAAATACATTATAATGCAGAGAACTAAGTACCAGGTAGGTTAGGTACACAGTAATAATCGAAGCAACGTCAATAGAAGTTTCGCGTGAAGTCGTTAGACAAAACACGTGCCCTTCCCCCCTTTTCACCAATCCCTGTCTGGAAGGATCCCGATCTGGCATGTGCGTAACCACCACCGAGATACTGCTCTATCCAATATATCCGCTACCGAGTTTCACGTTGGCACCGGGTTATTTAATATGCTGGGTACCTACCTACAATATGTCGAGTTACCGAACCCGGATGAATCCTAGGTACACACCCTCCCTTGGAACCGGAGTTAGCGGACCAGAAGACCCCCCTCCCCTGTTCAGGTAGTACGATATGTAACCAGCACAAGCCCTCCCCCCCTTACTTTACGAACTTTCGGGGTAATTACAAACGGGAGTGTTGACAGACAGAACTATATCATCCCGGAGCCGTAACATGCCAATGTATCATGCATCTATTGATTATAAAGTATGCAGTAACCGATTACTTGCTACCTACGACTTAACCTATTGAACCTTTACCCGAACCAGCACCAGATAATAAATCCCCACGGACCGACATTAATGAATAAATGAAAAAAGTCATAATGGGGGTGTTTTTTTTTTTTATAAAAAAAATAGTTCAGCTAACTATGTAGTAGGTACGTATACTCTAATCGTGTTTCCCATTAGTCCAAGAGTTCGGGGCTCGACTATGCTTGCACCGCGCGTTGTCGAGCTGAAATCCCACACTCCCTGAATCGAATTTCCTCTCTGGTTTCCCTGGTTGGCTGGTTTGGGGAAGTCAATTACTTCCAGCGGCGGAAGCCAAGAAAGGAAAAAAAAAGAGCAAGAAAGAGAAAGAAAAATAGCTCATACTTCCATAGTCATAAACTTCGTCAATTTTCTTTTTTCCTGCTTGCTTGCTTGCTTGCTCACTGAGCCCTACAACGCCAATGATGAAAAGATGCACCCGATCCCTTTCTCCCCTGGATATCAAATTCACGCAATCGCCTACGATCATATCATAGTATCTCCCTCAATTGCTGCTTCTGCTGTGGTGTTAAGCTTGTAGGGAACTTCACATTATACTTAACGATAAAGTTGCCCCGCTCGCCTGGCTTTTTGGAGATGGGCATACCGAGTCCGGGGTAGGTATCTGACGTGCCCGGAGCTGTGGGACCGGCTTTCTCGATGTTGAGTTGTTTGCCATCGATTGTGGTAACCGTTCTTCTCCAGCCGGTTAAGGCTTCCTTCAGGTCCAGGTCGATGGTGTGGATCAGATCGTCGCCATCACGAGTAAAGAGGGGATGTGGTTTCTATTAAATATGTTAGTCCTTTATCTGATTTACGTGCTCATGGATATGCCTGCCGAGGGTGGGGGGATGCTGAACTTACCTCTTCAACGATGAAATGCAGATCCTGCTTTCCACCCTCCTCTTGGTCGCCAACACCCTTGAACTTGATCTTGCTGCCCTTCTTTAGGCCGGGCTTGATAGGAACTTCGAGGATTTGATCGGTCGTTGTCCGCTTACCCGTCTCGTCGAAGGTCTTCCGCTTGATCTTCATCTTCTTGGTGACGCCGTTGAATAATTCTTCTAACGTTAACGGCAGAGCACGTTCGACGGTCGTGACATCGGGTGCTGTGTCTCTGGGCCCGCCGCCCGAGAAGGGATCGCCGCTGGCGAAGTTATTGCGCATGCGCGTTCTCCCACCCGAAGATCGAGGTATGCCGCCTCCAAAGAATGAGCTAAGATCGGGCTCTTCACCGTCACCTCCTACGCCGCCCCCGCTACTGCGCATGAACTCTGCGAAAATATTCTCGGGAGCGCTGAAGTTGAATGGATTGCCACCGCCGGTGGTGGTACTGAAGCGGAATGTCCGAGCTCCTCCTCCTCCTGGCATGCCACCTCCGAAGTCGAAGCCTTGGAAGCCACCAGGCATACCACCTGCGGCTCCGGCGAACGGGTTCTCGCCAGGTGGTGGGGCGGCGCCACCGCGTAATAGGAACTCAAGGCCGAATTGGTCATAGATCTTACGCTTTTCGGGGTCGGAGAGGATCTCGTAGGCTTGAGAGCACTCTTTAAACTTTTCAGCGGCGGCGGGGTTGTCTTTATTCTTATCTGGGTGATACTTTAAGGCTGCTTTTCTGAGGGGATAGTTAGTATAATTTATGTCTTGTGTCTTGTCTTATATCTTATTCTGTGGATTGGATCATTGATCAAGTGGATGAAAGGACGGTGTGTACTTGAGGTTGGAGTGGGGTAGAAGAGTAGGCTTACCGATAACCTTTCTTGATCTCATCTTGGGTGGCGTCCGGCTTGACGCCAAGCTGGTCGTATAGTTTTGTCTCCTTTACCATGTTTGTTTAATATATATGAACCTATATTATTGTTTTTTTTTGTTTTCCTTCTTTTTGATAAAAAAAAAGGTGGAGGAAATGAAGTGTAAGAGTGAGTTGTGATGATGGTAGTTGTGGTTATAAATAGATAATGTCCAAGGTTGTCGTAGATTTGAGGTCGTGTGATTTTGAATTAGGTGGTCTTGTGTCTAATAAGTAGATGTCGAGGTCGACGAATTGTTTAGCGTTAATTAATTCGGTATAAGAAAACGCGGGTAATCGTCGCTGTTGTTAGAATTATAAAAAGAAACGAAAGGAGAAAACAAGACGAGAAGTGTGTGTTCAGTTGTTCAATGTGTTGTTAGTTTCTTTGTCTTTGAAGATATTGAAACTTGAAAAAAGTCTTGGGTGCAACAACAAGCTGGACAGATTGATGTACTGCAGCTCTTGGGTGTTTCTTTACGGTGGGCTGGTTGGTGGAAGATTCGGGAATTGGCGATGAGAAGGCGGATGAGTGACGTTTTTACTTGTAGATAAGTGGGAACGATAAACACCCCTTCAAGAATCGAAAGAGGTACTTTGATACTCGAATATACTTCCCTGATTCGACATTCCCAGCAATAATCAAAGTACCAGGTACCTAACTCAAGACGAAATCAGGTGACTATAAGCTCTAAAATTGTCAGGCTCCCTCCTTCAAGCTCTCGACATTCCTAGAACCAATGAGAACAACCTACCAATCTGATTACCTTTTGCTTAGGTAGGCACCTACCTAGGTACCTATAGTTACCTACCTCGTTTAAATATTCGAATTCCTTTTGTTATTGGAATCCTCTTAATTCCTGCATCTATTTATTTAAACCAATCAACAATTGCTTACGATCTTTATTACCCAATTAATAGAAAATATATGTAGGTGCCTTACCTTACAGATCTAGAGGTACTTCAATCTAATGCCTCCAGTGCTTAAGCATGGTGGGGTTCGCGGGGGACGCCCGTAATAGCGTTAATAGCGTAATGCCGCTGCAAGCGAGAACAAATAGAGCTTAATTTTACGCATATGGGCCAGGCTTTATACCATAGTACAATAGGTACATTAATTACACCTTATTATATCTTTTATCTGTCAGTCAGTCAGTTAGTCAGCATCTAATCCCGAGCACAGGAGGTACCTATGTAAGCCGTTAGCTTAGTCCGATCAATTACAGAGGTACGTTAGAGCGTTGTAGAATGTTCTAGAATTTATAACATGCATAATACGACGGTACGGATATTCAAATACAGCCCATCATACAAGGGCTCGTACCCAAGGTATTCCCTGATTGATCTATCAATCAATGCTGATGAATTAAAAAAGTAAACCGCAACAGCAGTAAATTCCTCGCTTGCCCCGTACCTGTTTATTATCCCGTCTTGGGTATCATGAACTAAATACGTTTTGTACAATGCATGGCCTCCTTTCCCCCCCAAAAGGCTCAATTTCAGTAGAATAACTCAAAGACCTACTCATCATAATTCTAGTATGTCCTGCTCACGCCTCCTTGTGTTTATATCGTAGACGTGAACCTCATACATCGTCATAATCCAGATAACCATAATCCAGATAACGCCAGGCCATGAATGATGCTTTAGTCATTATTCGTGATGCTCTGCTTCTATATCAATGTCCATCATGTCGATTGGACCACCCTGAGGAGTATGGCTAGAGCGTGTTAAGAACGGCGCCGGTCCACCAGTACGCTCTTGCATCTCAGGTGGCTTAGATATTGTGTTAGAATCAAAAGTTTGCATCTCCGAAAAGCCTCCCTGCTTATTTATATCCCAACTCTTTGCACCCTCAACCGACTCGGTTTCATTAGTGCGACATTTCGCCAGTGACTCGACAATGCCACTGAGCTTTTTAGACTGAGGGCTACTGTTAGCGACTGATTCGTACTGAGAACCCAGAGCTTGGTAACTCGGGTACGGATCATCAAATGTCAAATCAACATCATTTAGGTCATCGCGAGAACTTCCATGCGTTGCTACCGACGAGCCGATGCTATGTTTTCGTTTGCCTGACGCTCTAACAGGGATATGAGATAGATTTTCGGCCGTGATTCTGGTAGGATCCAAGTTCTGCTGCGACTGTTCCGAGGTCTGCTCCTGGGCCAGCTCTTGTTGAAATGACCGATTGTCGGCTCGTACGAACATCTGAAAAAATGTGTTAGTTACCTGGTATCAATCTATCCAAGTGAAGGAATGCCATACCCGTAGAGCATCTGACAAGGGAAGAGGCTTTGCTTCCATAGCAGCTTCGGAAGCATATATCAGTATAGGGTACTTGGACTCGGTCCCAGCTGCGTGAAGAACGTCTTCTAAAGTAGCTTTCTGCATACTCCGTTCAGTATTACTACAGGAAGGGCATCCAAAGCGAACATACCTCAGTTTTGATTGGATTCGTTTCACCTGACGAGTATCCTATTTTCCACCATTGATCTAAGGGCGGAGCTGCCTCATCAACCTCTATTAGTTGGGCATCTCTCCTGACACATACGTATGCGAGTTCATTCGTAAGCGCAACGCCACGAAGGGTGTACGAATTGGTAGGGTTCCAGTACTCTGGATTGTAGGCGGGGGTTGACCGGAAGACATATTCATCATCATCCACTTCCTGTTCCTGGCATGTGAGCCGTTTGGAAATTACTTTTATCGAGTCGTAGTATGCCTTTTTCGCCTCCGTGATGCCTAGCGCTGGATTAGAAAGATAATAACTCAAAAAGCACAGACGGAAAACTCACTGGCAAGATCAGTCTTGAGCTCCTCGAGCTTCTCTTTGCAACCTTCTATAACACTTTTCCACTTTTCCATCCTCTTCTCTTCTTCGGGTAGAAAGGTGTAAGGACCGCTCCACGTGTGGATGTCGTAAAGGTCTTCAAGACTGAGTTCCAGCCCGCCCTCTATTTTATCATAATGATAACGCCATTGTGCAGCCCTAATCTGACTTTGCATCATCCTTTCGCAGTGGTTAATAATCCCATTTAGACAGGCGAAGAGGTCATGCGAGCCATTCCCTAACCCGTTCACTTTATGGCAGTTCTGTCCGTGACATTTTACCAGACTCGCCTCCAGGAGATCATATAGACGTAGCTTCTTTCTCGCCAGACGTATATAGGTCTGGAACTTGAGCGCGAGATCTTTTCGGCCTTTCATGTACCTATCCACGTACAAAATAGCTGGCATCTCGCAAGGCTTGACTAAGCCAGTGCCGCCAAGTCGTATGGTCATTACCTCTGCAGGCTTGGATAAAACGGCATAATTCGAGTCTTCTGGGAAGGGATGGTCTAATGATAGTGCATGTGTCCAGAGCAAGTTATCCAACGCGTCGTAAAATGTGTTGACCCACTGGTACTGTTCATGGTCTAGTTGCAAATCCAGAAATAGAAAAGGTGTGTCTCGCTCCTCGTCACTCCAACCGTTAGCATCGCTCTCGGCCGGGGATTCTTCAGTTTGTACTGGAGCACAAGATAAGATAGTGCCCATAGTAGTCAAGGGTTCTAAGTCGCAGGCAGGATTGTTGGGTGCCTCCTCCTTAATAGCTTCAATAAGTTTGTCTTCGACATCAGGCATCCAACTTCCAAAGCTGGGGTCAATTGCCTTAGTATCGATGAGACCGTCAACGGTTCCATAACTTCGTTCGGTCTTATCAAGGAAAGCCATTAACCGGTGGAGCTCTTCGGTAAACTCAGGGTGCGCTTCATCACCCCATACCGACTCTCCTCTTGCCATTGCCGTTAGAAGTTCATGCTTGAGAATGGGTTGACCACTCCACCATTCGGAATTGTGTCCATAGTTCTTGGCTGGGTTTCCACATTGAAGCAGGATATTCCTGACAACGGGGATCTTATGATAAATGGACAACATGAAACCAACTCTGTGATCTTTGGTCTGTCGGAGAAAAGCGGGAGCATCGGGATCACGCTTCCTACGAGAAGGGGGAGGATCAGCCGTTACTGTATCGACAGTCGCTTTTGTAGGGACCATAGCCCATTGTTCAGTATCGTATTCCGGTCGGTTCGCAGGACCAAAGTATTTTAGGTTCGCTTCGTTATCAACAATGCCGGCTTCTTGGAGTTGGATCCCGGATTCGGCAGCGGATTCGGCCAAAGCTCTTTCCAAATTCGCGTCTTCTTCGGCGGCGTTGGCCGGTGCGCCTAGTATTTATTGATATTGGTTAGCATTACTATCTGGTATCTAAGGTTTAGGACAGGCGTGTAAGCCATACCGTAGGAAGATGTGTTATTAGCTCGGGAAGGTGGTCTGGTAGGAGCAGCGTTGTTTTGATATATTGTAGGCGCAAGCTCATCTGGGCCCTGGATATTGAAAGCTGTGACATGAGTTTAGTAATAGATCCCGTTACAAGACAATAGAATGCCGCACATATTCCCGAATCAGTGGCCTCTCCATGCCGATCCATGCTGAACTGTGATTCATCCCATCTATACTACAGGGTGCTTAGCAGAAGAGACAGAGTTTGGAAAAGGCGACTCGAGTACCTTTTGACTATCAGGGTCTTCGAAATACTCTTCGGTTGCACGTTGAATGTCATTATTATTGGCCTATATAGTAAACAGCCGTAGTGTCAATACCTATTGAATACAGAGCTGATATGATGTAGAAGTACCTTTAATCGAGTAATGGCTTCACTTCGTAGGAGGCCGGTGATGTCACAAAACAGAGAAATAGTATCCTCCGTCGGGTCGCTGGTTGCCGCCATCTTGGGAAAAGCGCGCTATGTCAAGTGAAGCGTGAAAGTCCACATAGAAATCTGAAGGCGTTGGCGATGCCAGTAGGGGTTTATAATGGGAGAAGGTAGGGACAACAAAGTCTCACTTCGTTACTATCACTCTGTTACCGTGCTCACGCCGCAATACCTTAGGCAACAAACATGAGAGGGGTAGAACAGGATAACACCGCGGTTTAGGTAGGTAAGGTAGGTATTGGTATTTACTAGACGTAAGGAGATGTAGATGAAAGTAGCGGCAATAGAGAACGCCGTTTTGGATTTTATGAAACTTGGAAGTTTTGAGTCTAAAAAAGAAGCTTTTTTTTTTATCAGGACATGTGCAGTAGAAGACATCAGTTATCGTAAGGCTTAGCTGACTATAGGTACTGTACGTTAAAGTTACACTACGTAATACTTTTAGTACAACACAATACACAAAGTCCCATCCCACTTTGTATAAAATGAATTTGATACGTCAAGAATAGCATGCTATGGTAAATTAATAAGAAAAGGAAAACTGAATAACATATAAATTATATGAACGATTTCTACCTACCTCAATAAAAAAAGGGTATGAATTAGAAGGTACAATACCTATGGAACCGTACCTACTTTGGAGGTACTTAATCTACGTTAGGTGTAACTTACCCCGCGGACTGGAAAGAAAGACACTGGCACACTGCTAAGGGACCACAGGACGTACATTAGGTTAGGTACCTATTGTAGGTACCTGTTGTATGAGTGAAATTACCTAAGGTACTGAACCCAATTATTAAGACATTAAAATTCAACTCTTGCTTTAATAGCAAAATACCTGTACCTTAGGTAAGGTGAGAACTAATAATTACAGGTACCTAGGTAGGTTAGATACCTGTTTCCATCCCGTTGCTTAGGTATCCGCAAGTCCACTACAAATCCGTAGCCTGCCCGATTCCCCCATAATCACATGGTGAACCATTTACAAAACAACGCATACCTGTAAAAGGTACATATCTAAGTAAGACAAAAGTTATAGATTTTTCATATGACTTGCTGTAATAAATACGGGATTTGGCCAACCAAACGTCTATTGCTTCAGTGCCAGCACAACCGCCCGACGGCGAACTGGACAGTTATATATACATGACAATTCCGGGACACGTTCATCAAAACCTATTACAATGTCCAACTTCCAACTTTACACCAACTGTCTAGGGGGGTTGGGTTATCTCGCTCAAGGACAATCTAAGCCTCAAATTCCCCTCACGTTCTCATTAAATTAAATAAAGCCTCGCACTGGAGCGGCTTACAACGCAAGCCATGTTCCACCAAACATCAAGAAGATGGCAATTCCGACAATGGGCATGGCCACATTCGCAGGGTCAATGCCAGGCGCGTCGAGGATCGGCAGACCGAGTACAGTACCCGCGGTAAGGTTGGCAGCGGCTCCGTCGATCGCAGCTTGGGATAGATTTCCGCATCGCCGGTTCAATTGGGTATCCATCATCATCGCGGCGAGTTTCGGGGCCTGTACATCCAAGATTTCCCTGGCAGGGAACGTTCCGAGGGGAGAGGAACGTAGGAACGCCGCGCGGTACGTCGAGTTCAATGCGATGGTGGAAAGGTTGGCTACCACCGCATAGTTCTTGCAGATAGGCGAGTTCACATCGTTTGCGCTGGGACTCTGTCGCGGAAGCAGGTCGTGCGTGACATCGACCTCGGCCACTACAATACTGCAGATGGACAGGAGGAATACGAGAAGTTGGAACGGTGTTCGGGACATAGTGCCGGGCGATTTTTTATTTTATTTTTCTTTGTTAAATAAAAAATTGAAGAAAAAAACTAGGGAATCGAATAATTAAAAACTTCGTTGGGATGCTGTGGCCTGCCACAAAACACTGTCGATGTAATTACAATGAAAGTTGATGAAGCGAACGGTAAACGAAAGGAGGCCAAGAATGAAGAGATCAACTCGTGGAATAAGGGGAAAAGAAAGAGGAAGCGGAAAAGGTCGAAGGTATCATTGGAAAATATAAGACTTTGGACTAATACCGTTCGATGGGGAGAGGGGGTGTCAGACCAGGGTGATCAGACGTCTCAGGTCCCGTAGTCACGATAGCGGCTTGTTGCAGGGCGAATCAGATCCAGGATCACGGGCCGCAATAGCTAATATCGAAGATACGAAAGGCGCTTAGACTCTATCTCTTTTACACCAGATATTCTACGGCAACTTTCTTTTAGTTGGTTCAATTTTTAATCTCCATGGACCACTACTTAGAACGAGGCTCTATCCTACAGGTACCTAGGTAGCTACTATGTAATGAACAAGATGTCGGTGCCAGTATGATTTTGGAGCTCATAGCACCTTATGATCCTGGCCAGATTCTCGCATCTATATTTAGATTCTAGCCCATAAGCGAATACCCCGGTCTCGAGCTTATGAATCGAAGAGACGAGCAACGAACTCTTTTTCCGCAATTCTGCTTACCCTCTTCTTTTAGTGATACTAGTGTGTAAGCCATTTGATCCGTGTCACGACTCATCTTCATGTTGAACATATCTTGGTGCGCTATTTGGAATGTTGCGCTGTGTTGACTTCATAATATAGCGCTGTTGTACAATAGAAGACAGCATGCAGTACGACCAGATCCGGTGGCGTGGCAACTACGGACTGTAACGCTGGTGTGCCGAATACGACTCTATATTCGCCAGAAGACAGGTAGGTTGGGTACCGCCTATTTAAGTTTTTAATGGGACATTAGCGACAGCACGATGTTGCGCTTCGACTAGAGTCGATATGAGCGTTCTTTACGAGGTCAGCGGAAAGCACGTATAAAGGGTGTATTAGAACCTGATTATATGCTTCCTGTATAAAAGAGTAAGAGACTAGGGATAGTGGTTGAATAAAGGTATGAACCCACCCACAAGCATGGCCTGGTGTTCTATTACAAATCCTACTCGCAGGTAACGGCCATACTACCTACCCCTTCATTATACGTTATGAACATGTATGGCTACCCCGTAAAGATCGGAAGAAGATAATTTGGCTTCGTCATAATGCAGTCATTTGGCAGGAGGGCCTGCAAGAGAATCACGAAAGTGACCAAGTGACCAAGTGACCAAGTGACAAAGGTGGAGGTGTAATGGGTAGGTTGTTGTATATCAGATGAAAGAATACGCATTACCCCATACCCCCGCATTTCTAAGATATTTCGATTTCGGGTATATAATACTAGGTACCTAACCTAAGGTTAGGTAACCTACGTCCGTCAACCGAGTAGCAGTCTATCACGATGCTCCAAGGTCCAACACAGTCCCTGCAGTGACTTAGCTACCTAACTAGCAATAACCAACAGAGATATCTCCTTGAGCGTGCCATATGTTCCAGTGGCGTTTTGAATGCAGTACCTGACATTGTAATCATAATCAATTGTTGGAGGTAATGTCCATCACTTACTCATGTAGTGCTGATTTGTAGCACCTGATGCTTCCAAAGGCAAGTTTATGTTGGTAGAAGCTGGGCATATCGTTTGTTTCTTATGTAGGTAGTTTAACTCACTGTGCTCTTATCTCCTAAACAAGTGCTTGTGGAATAGACATATGCCGTAACCTATCTAAATATCATTGGCCAAATCTCTTCCCCCATTCCTAAAGAGTATGTGTCCAACGGTGTTTAGAAGTCCCATTCGTCGACAGAAGTGGAGTGAATATCCTAGTTTAGCTCGCTCTTTTAGGAGATAAGACCTTCCCGTATGTCACACGGCAGCTCAATCCACCCAAACGGCCAAATTGGCACAGAACCCCCATGCCTCCGAATCTCCGGACTGAGCCGCCGCGGGGTATCACTGCGGGTGATCTGCATGATATAGTCTGTAAGGAGTCAACCCCCGGCCTAGCCCCACTTCATCATAGACCTCGGACGCCTTGTTCTCATGGTTGCTTCGTTTTCTTTGGCTACCCGCTTGCTAAGATACATTATAAATCTCTTGGGTAGATCCAGGTCTAGACGTGACTGTTGGTACTTACTCCAAACTATCTATATCAAAGGTTGGCGGTGTGGACATGATGAATGAGACGCGGAAATTTTTGAGATTCATGTCATAACCCGTAACTAATTAGGAGACTAATAGACAATCGACAGATACTCATCCAACAGTACTTGTGGTATCAAGTAGAGAAACGGAGGCCATTCCGATAGTTACCCCAACGTGCGTGTAGGTAGTCCTGCGGTGGACGAGTCCTGGGCCTCCAAGGTCCTGTTTTCCCGTACACTGGGAGCCTATCCGCCGCAACAGTGGCATAGGTTGAACTAAGTCGGAAAATTCGTTCGGTATCTGTAGTGATATGGCTTGCGGATATCTGAGGAACTGCCGACTTCAGTCCTTTGCGGTCCATGTATTTCAGTAGCCTGACTGCAAGGCGAGCTGTTATATCAGCTGCTATGGTCCAGGTGTTGTCGGCGTAGCCAAACACAAACATCATGTTTGGTACCCCCTCGATCATCGCACCGTTCCATACATACTTGTTACCCCACGACAGGGTCTCTCCATCAACCCGCACATCAATACCCCCGCCCATCTTCATGTTCAGGCCGGTAGCAGTAACGACAGCATCCAGATCAGTAGTTTCTATCTTTCCAGTCTTGTGATCCTTGGTCTCGACACTGGTGTCTGTGAATTTTGTAATGTTCCCGGTGATAACCTTCACGTTAGGGCGGTGAAGAGCTTCGTAGAAGATCCCGTCGGGGTCTGTACACATCCGCTGTTCCCACGGGTTGTACCGGGGCTTGAAATGGGGGTCCTGCTCCAACCACTTCGGTAACCGCTTCTCAGCATCCTTGCGGAGACGCTCCTTCGCGGAAGCGGGGAAACGTTCGCAGTACGCAACGTAATAATGCTGCTGTACAGTGTGATAAAGGCGCTGACAAGCCGATGCCAGGGATAGCGGCATGTGCCTATACGTCCATGATCTGTTGTCTTTGACAATGACATAGCTTGGGCTTCGCTGGATCAGGGTTAATTCACCGGCTTTCTCTGCAAGTAACGGCAGCAAGCTGACAGCAGTGGCCCCGCTGCCAATTACCGCCATTTTCTTATTCTCGTAGTCGTAGTCCTTCGGCCAGAATTGCGGATGTATTACCTTTCCTGCCAAGCCGTTAGAATCTATGTATCATCTCGTCCCGTGGCGCCTTAGCTCACCTTTGAAATTGCTGAGACCTGGAAACTCAGCCTGCAACGGGGTTTCATAATCATAATAACCGGTTCCTAGAATCATCCAGCGCGCAGTATAGCACTTTTGCTTCCCCTCGTGGTCAACTGTGATGGTCCACTGCTGTTGTGGCGAAGACCACTCTGCAGTTCGTACTTTGTGTCGCATCTGGATACGGCTCGCTATACCAGACTTTGACGCAGCGTCTTTGATATAGTCTAGAATTAGAGAGCCGTCCGCTATCGGCTCTGGATGGGGGTATATATGCCATGGGAATGCCAGCGTGTTCATTATAGCATCTGAACGCACTCCTGGGTAGGTGAACTGAGACCAGGTACCGCCGATTTCATCGCGGCTTTCGAGAATAATGAAGTGAAGATTGGGGAGTTGAGTCTGCAATCGGTAGGCAGTGTTGATTCCAGATATACCAGCACCCACGATAACAACATCAAGCGCTTCCGGCTTGCTCTTCTCCGGTGGTGAAGCCATATCTGTCCAAGTATGTAAATGTCCCTATCAAATGTCACTAAGTAGTTCTTAAAGAGAAGTTCACGCACAAAATAAGAGGGTGCGGATGGTTGATGATGGCAGAGAAGCTAGGTGGATTTGCAAGACACTTTAATATATCTAACAATACTGGTAGAGATATCGAAGAACGACCGAATGACCGGTATATATAGCTCGGTAATTGGCGCGAGGGGGCGATGAAAACGTCACTTAATAGTTACAACTATACTCGCTTGGTATACAGTGGGAGGTGACGATGCTTTGCAACGGCATTGGTTCCGATAGCATGAATCTGCAACTACATGCGGGGAACCTACCTATGTAAATCGCCATCTCAATGCCTAGGTAGGTATTATTATGGCATTTCCGAGATATCAATTTAACAGGCATCTCGATTTCGTGTAAGTCTGCAGAGGCGGAGGGTAGGATTTCCATTGATATGTACGAATACAACATTATATGCCACAGTGTGATCATTTCCCTCGCACATAGCTCTCCTCAACAGTATTGCCGATCCCCGCAAGCCGCTTCCATGCTAGGATATTTTGAAAAACCAGGGCGAAACAAATGGTTGATGCCCTTGGCCACTAATCATGTAGTAGAGATATACAGTTACATGTGTTGAGGTGAGCCGGGAATCCTGGTACAGTGTCTATAATCCTCTACACTGGTGTTGATACACCGTATTGGTTATATTTCGACAAAGAACCGAGGTAAGAAGATATCCATAAGAGGGGTATGATGAAATTCAGTCTATTGCAAAATTGGTCTTGTTATGCTTGAATACCATCATTATGGACCAGAGCTTTAAGACGTTCCAAGTCGATTGCAGGTAACTTAGGTACTGATGAAACCACAAAATTCGTGAGTTTGATCAGAATTGCTAGTAGGTAGCAAAGCATGTTTCAAAGTATCTTGCTAATCCAAAGTCTAAACGTGAGGTTGTGCTTCTTCGTTATGTTTAAATGCAGCTTGAACCTTATCTCCCCCTGAAGGTTATCCCCTTAAATTCCCTTTCCTAGTTGCCTCATGAATTCCGTTGTTTACTTCCTCACATTCGGATCATACAAACACGCGAGTCATCACAACAATCTTCCACCTACCTCAGGACGGAAGCAGGTCTCTGTTTCATCTCAACCGACGACAACCAAAAATGTCAGTTTAATTCAGCCTTCTCTGAGATCCCCTCGGTTAGACGAAATGGCAATTACGAAAACATGTTGGAAATGATGGGGACAAGAATGTGCTATGAGCACGTGTCCCTTTCTCTACCTCACCCTCTACCAATATATGCTAAATAGCTACATCCTACTCGATAAAAATTGGGCCATTCGAATTATTCTATGGCTTATCTATGTCACAACTCTCCTTTTTTATCCTTCTTCAAATCATCAATCTTTCGATGTTTCCTCCCCGCTATGATGAAGACGCACCAGAGGAGCATTTTCACTCTCTAGATTCACGAGAAAAGGTGCTGTGGTAAAGGGCACGGTTAAGGGAGGAACTGAGGCGTTAAAAGAAGGAAAGCTGGCAGTATGATACGAGCAGCGACCCTCACGCGACTTTCCGGCACCCAAGAGTTGACAAGATAGGGGTATGATATCTAAAAGAATGCCATTACAGTGGCCAACTGTTTGGGGGAAATTTCTCAATAAATTATCAAAAAATATATCGAAGTCTTGAGCTGGTTTATATCGCCTCTCATGGAAGCCTTGGCCATGTTAAACTATCGCGCCGAAGCAAGATGGCGATGGGAGTAAAGAGTGAGGTACCTAGAATAGGAACCTAAGTTAGTGTATACAATAATGTTCGTTATTACTGCTAGAAGGATGGCTGGCTATCTTATGTGAACACTCCTAAGTTCTTGAATATTCTGTTCTGCCATATTGTGCTTTATTAAGCAGTTCCTCTAACCGAATCTCAAGATGTGATGACTTCTCACGAAATATTCATGACTTTCATACCTACGAAATACCACTAGTACCTTGGGTAGGTACCTGGCTGCTAATCAAGTGAACGACTTGGACGGCGATAGTCCATGAAATGCTAATCAAGCCAAGAACCGTAGAGGCTATTCGGACTGTCCGAGTGGGGAATATCTTTAGATAAAAAGCAAGATCGCTCAGTTTCACCAATGCGCAGCTAAAGAGAGACTGCCTGTTGTGTGAATACCTAGTTGCCTTGGTTACGATTATCCGGCACATGAGAGTCAATGAAAATACCCGGACCGGAATTCGAATATTCTAGCAGTGTTTTGGCCTGATCCTCTACCGACGACGTCTCCATCTTGTTGTCTCTGAGAATAGTGTATCGCCAATGGCGGTTCATTATCTTACTCTTGTTTCGATTTTTCGGGTTTTACACGAAATTCATATCTGCAGGTGCTTTAACTGTTAAACAATATGCTGTGCTGCCCTACTTGCAGCAACCTTCTGTATGTGAAGTATGTTGCATCCGATATAAACCCTACTGTTGACTACTAGTTGCTCCTTTATCTCTTAATTATTAGTGAGTTAGTAAAGACTGCCAGACGTTTCCATATTTAACATAAGATGTTCCTGAATATATGTATCTATACTCCTACTAGAAAGTGGCTTACCTCTAATCCCATTAACAGGTACTAACCAGTAGTCACAAGGCCGCCGCTAAATCAAGCCTCGGCAGTACCCGCCGGCTTGTCAAAAGGCTTCCACCGGCATATACCGGCTTACGTGCGAGTGGCGGCTTATTTAAGATATAAGTCCCAGGGAAAAAAGAACGGGATCCTCTACCTACTAATCTTCACGCCACCTGTTTCTTAGAATAGATTATGGTAAAAGGGTTTTGTAAAATTTTTACCCCTTCGCCTTACATATTACACATAGTCCTAGGCTTTAGTTCGATTCGCGATTCACGTTTATTGGGATTTCCCTATAGGAACTTATTCTTATATACCATATATACCTAGGTAGGTCAATGGAAGTGTAACACTGCCGGATAACGTACCAACCTACCGGATCTGATAATGGAAGATCGGAAATGATACCTGTGACGTCTATTCTTGTTGTACAGTTGGCCAAGACAGACGCCAAGCCGAAGAGATTTACCTTGGCGATAGAAGATGTGGAGTACGGACCACATGATAGAAGCATCCTTGGGTGAGTTTTTCTATCATTTAACGCGTGGTAGGCAAGGCTCATAATTAGGTGTGTATGTACAAAGAAGCTTATTCTACCTATAATATGCAGCTAAAGTAAGTACCTAGGTGTGATGTGTGATAGAATTGATATATGCATGGCATTAGGTAAGGTAGGAATAACCACTCCAATAGCTTAGGTTATAACATTCTTAAGTTGACTGGAAAGGGGTGACGCGTAATTAGTGTGTTCGCGTTTGTACCCAAACGACAACTATCCTTCACCTAACGAAATACCTAGTATGTAGGTCTCGAAGATTTTGCTACCACTTAGTAGTAACCGAGAAAAGGCCTTTTGTGCTTACGTTCCACCATCAAAGTGTCTTCTCTATCTGAAAGAATATGCGAAAGTCGATCGACCGTAAACCAATAATACGGAAAGACGGACCGAAAAGGGCGTCAAAGGTGCAAGAGATCCATAAACGCCTTACCCCCCGCTATGCAATTGTATACCGAGTTAGAAAATGCTTTGCAGACCCATCCCGCAAGTTAAGTTGGGTAGTTATTGTCGAAATATGCGTAGAATGGGGTTGATGTTAGTTGTCGTCGTCGTCGCTAGCGCCGTCATCTTCGCCGTCTTCATCAAACTCCGCCAATTCCGCGTCCTCGCCCGTGTCACTACCTCCAAAATCGAGTTCCTCGTCGCTTTCTGCCCAAAATGCAGCATCGTCATCTGCTGGCTTCGGTGGCGGCGGAGGTTCGAGGCTGGTTGGCATGATGAAGTCGCTGGGAATGTCGCTCTTTGACTTCTCGACGATTTCTCTGGCTTTCTTATTATAGGTGGCGCGATCATCCCGGTAGGTTACGCCTGCGTCTACGTTTGCTGGAGAGTTGATTTCGGGATCATCCAGGAGTAAGAGTACGGACCGAAGCACAGACTCGACACCCTGCAAAGGAGACCATCGCTCACTAGCCTGCTCCCCAGACATAAGGTCCTCACCGGGAGTGTGTAGAATGGAGATGCATAGCTTGCCGTCGGGGTAGACGTTGGGATGATAGATGGGGATTAGAAACCTAAATGTCGGCGGCTGGTAAGGATACTCTTCAGTAAAAGTCATCTCGGCCTGTTGTACGTCGTCTTGTGTTAGCGCATACCTCAGTTGAACGATAATACTTTGCTTTGTTCCTCACCTTAAAGTAACCGCCATTAAATGCGCTGTCGGGATTAACGACAATAAGGCCGAGGCGCCAACGCAGGATATTGGCATTTACCAACTGCAAGCGTGTATTGTTAGCGACATGACTAGAGGATGAAAGTGATCGCATTACCTACATCGATGTTCACCCATTTCTCTTTGGCAAGTTCTTGCATCTCGGACATGAGTCGGTGCTTAGCACCGCCAGCAAGCCTTGACGACGACATATCGAGGTGTAGATTTTGGGTTGTCGTATGGATTAAGAGGGTATCGTGAGCCCAATGCGACAGAAGGGTGCCCGCTCGCGTGCTTCGGTGTGGAAGTTAGAGGGGCCTTATCAACGAAAACGCCGCCAGACCCGACTACTTCCAATGAATGGAAATCCAATGAATGAATGGGAATAAAAGCGAAAGGAGGGACCTTGCGAACGCGGGAAAGGGAAAGGGAAACAGGTATGCGATGCCTCGTGCCAGAGGAGAGAAGTGAGAAATGACTGAAAACAGGCTGGAGAAGGCGCGAAAACCGCGGAAAATGGTGAGAATGGTTCGTGAAATCCAAACCGTTCAGCCCGATGTGGTTAGGTACCTAGTGAATAAAGAGTTGTTAAATAGCACTATGTAACTTCGTAGTAATTTGAGTTGGCCGGCGTCGGGTCAGAGATTGGGTGAGATGAACTTGGACCGGAGACTTTAACGGAGAGTGACCGGATTGTGCTATCTTATTAATGGAGGTCTTGTACATTAGGTAGAGAGGTAAGTTATCGTAACTGTGATTCCTCGGCGCCTGACTCGTCCCTTAAATGGCTTAAATGGAGTCTCCACCAATGAAGTAATCACACCCGTGGACCTTGACGGCATAGTGTACAAAGTACCTACATAACATACCTTACGTACCTGTATGGAAGAGGTTGTAACTTGTAAGAATAGACCTGAATAAGTGGGGACAAGGGGGAAAAGGAACCCTCGGATACCTAGGTACCTAGGTAAACCATACAGTCGTATCTCACATACATGTACCTATAGGTACTGTACTTCGTACCTGATGTATGTATCCTTAGCCGCTCTGCCGCTCCGTAGGCTAGGTAGGTTAGGTACGTATCGCTTAGTTAATATTTCTTCCTTTCATGGCGAATCCCAACTTCATCTTCACCCTGGGTCTACCTAGTTTCTGATGCCTGAGAAAATCCGTAGATCTTGTACCCAGGACAAAGATCTAGTTTAGGTATCAGTAATTAATCTACATCAATGTACCTACCTAAGGTAGTGAGTTATTATATCCTACTGGTAAGAATTGGTCAATTAATAAAAGAACCCAACTCTGCCCTGATACTGCAATACTAAGACTAAGGGGTGCCGTCGCATGCCTTTATAACAATTTCTTACTCATAACTTCGGCTTTATTCATTGTATCAACTATAGACATTTACTACCCCAGTTTCTGTAGCCTTTGTCAACATAGGTTAATGTCACAACAAGTTGGCTTGATTCAGGGGACCAATACCTTAGGTATCTAGGTAGGTACTCTCATTGGATCGTAGTATAGAATAATAAGTCTTCTGTCTCTATGTTAAGCCTACCTATGTACATTAGGTAGGTATGTAAGTTATGCAAGTTAATTATCTTCCTGAAGGTCTAGTAGAATATTAAACGAATCTTCTAGTGTGCTCAGGCTACGTAAATCGTACCATCTACCTTAGGTACCTGTTGTGTGATACCTTATCTCCTTTGAAGATTTACTTCCAGGGACGTGTAAGACAGTTTAATAAAATTTCCAAAAAGGACATGCATAATCAACAACTACATACCAGCTACCTGTACATCTAAGCAGCCAGTCAGTTACTAAGTAGTCATCCAGTGAAGCATTGGTGTTTCTATTTACGGTAATGGAAAACGTGCTCGGTGCCTCATCTAACGGCGGACACGTTTTTACCAAGCATTACCTTTATCGTGTAACGACCTACAATTTTGAATGTGTAAGAGGAGGTAGTACTTTACATGTAAATAAGGTACCTTGCATGTATAATACCATAGTAGGCATTTTGAAGATGTTGGTGGTGTGTAGCACAAACATGACCCGGTGTTTAGGTAGAAGGTAGAAGGTAGAAATGTCCACCCACCTAGTACCTTAGTCTGATAGTAAGAGGTTGGTAGGTAAAATACATGAGATGAGGTAAGTCAGCAGGGAGTACCTAAGGTTGTGTTTAGGCTTAGGTCAGTTAGGGGTGGAGGTACTTAGGTACCTAGGTAGGTACATGGATAGGTACCTAGTGTATTTGAATAAAAGCGGGGCTCTTGCGGAACAGGCGAGTTGCCCAGTCGCAAGGCACCACCTGCACTTCATTCTCCCCCCGTCCGCCCGTTTTGCTCGTCACCATTACTACAACTTCACCTTGCGTCCTTTCACCCAAAAGACCCGCCGACTTTTGTCTTCCGCAATCGACAACCACCACAACTGAGGCATCGCGATATTCAGGGAGACACTCTAGCGGCTTCGATCTTGCTAGGGAAATATTTTTTTTGGTTCACCGATACGACGTTTTAGGGGAGTTTAGTCGGTGAATGCTGGTAAACTCGGGTATCTTCGACCACAACAGCCGGTCGGCGGTTTCGCGCGACTCGCCACAGTGAGATCGACCGACTTTTATCATTTCACTCCTCACCACAATTTTATCGTCAATCGTCCATCGAGCGCATCGGAACAAGTCAATCGGCCTACTATCTTTAACATTTCTTCCGCGTTTCGGCCTTCTCGCTACGCTCATTCACATTATCTCGTCTTGTCAGCATTTTCGGTGTCAATTTTTGCTGGCATTCTCTAGAGATTTCTGACGACTTCTCCACCCCCAACTTACGCCGCGCTCCGTAATTATCCATCCTTTCTACCTAACTTTCTCGATGGCGACCATGGTATTCAATCCTCAAACGCCTCAGAGTCCTTCTCAATTTTCCCCGACCACAGTTGATCAGGTATCGAGCATGAACAGCTCTATGACTTCCATCACAACGAATTTGCCTACGGTAAGTTACAAACTCTTTTTTTCTTCAGTAAAGAATTCTTTCGCTGCTTAAAACAATTTCATTATTCCCCCCCAACATTTCGTCCCCTTTTTTCGTTACTTGGGGATATATATTAATTTTCGCACCATCGCAGCCGGCACATAGCGTGAACGGGTCGGTCCAACCCGCCGATATGTCTCATGATGCTATAATGTCCGATGCCTATCCGACTAAGCGAAAATATCCGTTCGACGATGCTGGAGATCATGAGCACAAGAAAGTCAACCTCGAGAATCGCCGAGTTGGTATTGAGAACCTACACCTAGATGTTGGTGAAAAGTACCTTCTTTGCAGTACTCGTAAGACTCCCTTTACTCATACATGCTTTTCCACACTACCATCCATCCTTTACCAGATTGATGGTAATTAATAAAGGCCGCGCTTGAATGAAATTTGATACTTTTTTGGTTGACACTTTCTCATTTAGCCTACCCGCCCTCCTATCCAAGTCTATCCAGCGATTTCTTTGAAATGTTCGGATTAACCGGTATTGCTGCCGAGGTCGCCCGCACAAAGCCCAACGGAGAGAAGAACGCGCTTCGTAAGACATACAAAGGTCAAATAAAGACTTTAGGACTAAGTGGCCATTTTGATGCTGTTAAGAAGGACATCGATTCCCCTGATGGCCTATTGGCACTGATCGGGCTTGACGAAGATACATGGCTTAGCCGGGAAGTAAGCGGGAAGGAGATTGAGAAGGGATTGTCGCAAAGCCACCTGGCGCACCTACCTCGAGCGGCGACGATGGCCAAAGGTTCCATCCCAAAGGCGGCCTGGGATAACTCCGTTCTTGGTGACCTAGCACCAGGTATTTTACCCAAGAAAGGCGGTCTCGACTCGGCTACTAGACAGACGGCACCTAGCACTCCGGCTGCCTCAGCCCCGGGGGTTACTCCGAAGTCGAACAAACCGTTGACGCCGCAGATCGATCGTACTCGTCGAATTGGGAAAAAGCGCAGCTATCAGGACAGCAGTTTCGACGGGTACGGTGAAGGCTATGTCGATGACGATGCAGGCGGGTATTCGACCGGCGATGGGGATGAGCGGTCCAAGTTGAAGAGGAGAAAGCAGGTACGCGCAGATTGTCCGTCTTCTGCAAACCTCCTTACTGACCGATCGCAGAACTCTGGCGACATGTCTTCGTTCAGAGGCGCCAGTAGCCAAAACTACAGTGGCAGGATAGGAACGTGAAGTTGAGATACCCCCGGTCGAGGGGCGAGATATAACAGTTCTGTGCATCTGCAGCACTGGAAAAGGTTTGACACTTTTTGTCAAACCCGAATATCCGCGTAGACCGTTATGGTTATTTGCATTTCCCAATGATTTTTCAGCATGGCGTAAGGCGTTCGGACGACGAGGAGAAGAAACAGGCAACGCAGGCTTAAGTGCCTACACAATGAATTCAGATGGCAGACGACTTTGTTTGACTCGTCGTATATATTCCTTGGGGAGAAAAATGGACCATCTCAGCCGGAGTCATGGTAATCAACTGGCTTAATACGCTGATGATCTATTTTATGGATAGGGCACAAGCACTCGGTAGGGTTCTCAGTAACTCGGGTGTCTTGTTCTACCGATTCAGATCAATTAGCATACCAGTTGTAACCAACTTTCACCCGTTGGCCCGACTTATTCATGAGCATTTTCAGATGCAAGTGGAAAGTCGGTGTATTTTATATATACACAAAAAAGGGGCATGGAATTTTTATAACTCATTTGCATTTGCGAGAGCACGGTTTTATTGCCTCTTCAAGGAGGCAACCCAATCCAGGGTATTGCGGGTTTACTGGCTCAAGTTCGATGATAAGCTCCGACGGTATGAGGATTCAGTTATGAAGTATTGGTCCCCCTTTCTATGAGAGAGCTGACCTGATGGAGGTCATGACCATTTATCCTATTCGTAGGAAGTCCTGAACCGTTCGTTCGGTGCAGGCGATGATAGTTGAATACGATTTGACTTGCCGAGATACCAACAAGTGCGTCCTTGTTACATGAACTGATTACTTTCCTTCCTATGAGATTATCGTCCTAGGTAATTTGAAAGGCTTCTAAGCTAAGCCCGGTGGCTATGCTAATGCCCCGCGGAGAGAGTACCATAAAAAACAAGATCGCCTGTCGCATTCTGACGCAGATTTTATGCCCAAGCCAAAATGTGTAAGTGTTATTTAGTATAGTATTCCGAGAAGTTTTCTTTCCTCCGGAACGGAAAATAGGTGACTTCCATGATCCTACTGTAGTAACCTATTAAATTCATGTACTTTTATGTTTGTTGAAAAAGAATTGCCGTGTAAGGTACCTACCTCTAATTTCATGTGAGCGTTGATGATCGAGGCCTCCAAGTGTAACTGTCGAAACTGAATTTATATACATATAGCAAGAGGTTAGGTACCTACCTGTTAGGTAGGTTATGTACTTAACCTCAGGGAGGCTTATATAATGTACCAATTGTACAATATCTGGTCTAGCTGATATGTAGAGGTACCTAAGCTTGTAGGCAACTTCGGGCGGTGCACGAAGTACACTGCCATGTAGTGCAAACCCCGCATTACAGTGAGAGGTACCTACAAGTTGGAACTCTCTGCTTGGGACATTCACTCTTCGTTACAACTTCAACCTATCATCTACCACTATCATCTACCACTCTCACTACCACTTCCTTTACTACGAATACAATTAGGTAAATAATTACCTAGGTACTTACATTAGGTGTCTGACTTCATGTTATTGACAACAATAACAAATAGCTTTCCCAGTGGCTCGTACTTCTTTTTCTTCCTCTTTTTTTCCGGTTGTTTGCGTTTATTTGTTCTCGATGGTTGGTCCGAATAGGGGCATAAATTAAAACTGGGTGGTTTCGCACATTTTGACTTCTTACTCTCGCGTCATCGCCGTTATGGACCGCCTGCCTTCGGACGATGTGTCCTTAGATGTTCCTCGTCCTACCATCGGCTGTCAACGCGGTTCATCTTCGCTATCGCTATCGACGTTAGATGATCCCCGAACCTCTTCCACCCAGTCCTTGGTCTCGTCATTTTCAGACCAAGACTCGGGACGTCGTAAGCTACTAGTCATCTACATACATGGCTTCATGGGCAGCGATGCCTCTTTTCAGTCTTTCCCTGCCCATGTGCACAAGTACCTCAGGATGGCCTTGTCTGAGACCCATGCTATCCATTCCAAAATCTACCCGAGATACAAAACTTATAAGGCTCTTGACGTAGCCCGCGATAACTTTAGCAGATGGTTAGCTCCGCATGAGTCTCCAAATACCGATGTGGTTCTCGTTGGACATTCCATGGGAGGTCTGTTGGCGGCTGATATCGCCTTGATGGTAAGTTACACCTACACGGATTAGATAGTTATCAAGATAACTAACAATTCACATCAGCCATCTAGAAACAATTATCAGATGGGGTACTTTTTGCATCGCATCATAGGGACAGTTAACCTAGATGCGCCTTTTCTCGGACTACACCCAAGTATTGTTACAGCTGGTATCGCTAGTTTGTTTCGATCTAAGCCGAACCAAGCAAACATACCGGAGGAAGCAGAGCCCAACGAACCGAGACCGGATGATGAATCATCCTATTCACTTTCTCAAGTCACTTCATCAAATGCTTCAATGTATTCCCATCAGTCTATTGCTTCTCAGTCCTCCTCAAGACCCCAAGGGCTTCCCTCTGGTATGACATTTGATCCAAATTTCAACCCGTCGTTTTCCAACGATGTTCCCCTTCGGGATAGGGGCTGGTGGAGAAATATTGTCCACTTTGCCGAAAAACATAATTCCGAAGGTCTAATAGACGCCGTCACTCGTCACCTTATGTCTCATCTAGAATTTGGAAGCTGCCTCTTGGATATCAATAACCTTAAGACTCGGTACGAGAACATCCGTAGGTTGGAGGATGTAGACGACCTTGAAGGCCATGGATTCTCTCACGTACCCCCGCAAGTTCGATTCATCCAGTACTACACTGTGTGTTACGGATATCCTAAGAAGCCCAAAAGTCGAAGCACTAATGAAAACTCTGAAGCTTCTGAGGCTGTACTAGACACACGCTCAACTCCTCAATCACCAGAGACTTCGATTCAGCGTCACGATGATTTTTCAATACCGCTTATTAATACTCCAGCGCAGGACGAGTCCAATACTAGCCCTGAAAGCCCGGGTTTACAATTACTTGAGCCTATGCCCATGGTTGAAGAGCCTGAACCATTGCCTGATGCCAATACATTTGGTCGCCTTTCAAACGATGATGCAGATAAGACCATAGATAATACTATATCAACCGAACATAGGGAGAGCAACAACACGGGAATGCTTTCTCAACAGAGTCACGAAAATTCTGCGTCTCAGCAATCTTCCGATAATGATAAAATCTCTACAGCCGATCTTAGTGATGCTGTGGCGTCCTTAAGTATAGGTCTTCCTGCCATACCGGAAGTCCCCGTGAAACCTGAGACGCCGGAGCTTGACCAGTACACGGACAAAGAAGCGCGGAAACAGGCCGAGAGAGAAGCTAAGCGGGTACAGAAAACATACGACAAGCTCGTAAAGGATCGTGAAAAGGCTTTGAGAGAGCGACAGAAAATTTACGATAAGAGAAAGAAGAAACTAGCGCAAGAAACGGAGAAGAAGGTGAAGGAAGAACAGAAGCGGCGTAGGAAAGAAGAAGCTACCGCCGCTGCATCGAGTTCTACCTCAGATGACAGCACTCTTAGGAAGGCTTCTTCTTCTTCGCCAGCCGCACAGTCAGAAGATCCTTCAACCGGTGCTTCAACACAATCCCAGGGGAAGACTCAACCGCCGAAACAACAAAAAGAACGTAAGTTCTGCAACATTCCAAACAAGGTGGACGGCCGGGTCGATCCGAAATGGATCAAGGTCTTTATGAAGGACATGGACCAAGTCGCCGCGCACACGGGACTATTCTTCAGGGGCGAGCACTACGAAAAGCTCGTCGGCGACGTGGGTCAAACGATCGTAAACTGGGTGCAGGACGACATGACGAAGAGGGCTATTTTGGAGATGGAGCCGTAACCTAGAAACATTATCAGTTCTGTCATTGTTTTTTTTCTGTATTAACCAGTAACATCGAGAAGCACACTTCGTGCAGCATAATTAATATTGTAATGATACCCAAGAGCCGAGAACAGGCAATAAACAAAGCATTATTGGATTTTCACCGACGACTTGAATCTCGAGAATATCTGTAGAGCATCCAAATTAGATTTCATGTGGATTACATTAGATTATCTATTACCCTAGTCGAAATCCATATACGATTTATTATACCTCTCCAAATGCATCAACGGTGCGGGAGCGCGGATAGCTCTCACCTCCACATCCCCGTTTCCTAATTTTCCGTTCTCCTCGTCGTCGGAATGCAGCTCGTGCATACGGTAAGTCCCGTTTTCATCACGAGTAACCCGCTTCGTCGTCCCCCGCCAACTCGGGGAAGAATCAACTGCCGCAGTATCAGCACCACCACCACCGCCCAACAACAAGCAGGGGAACGCGCGGGCGAGCATGGGCCGCAGCGTGGGCAGACACGCGCAGATAATAGCCAAGTCGAGCTCGACGCCGGACCAGATCCCAACGGGGAGGCCGCTGACGGACGGGTCCTGGGTCGGGGTGCTGCTGCTGCTGCGGGGCATCAGGCGGTACAAGGCGAGGAGGCGCATGATAGAAGCGACGCAGACGACGGCGCCGACGGTGAAGACGGCGGTGAGCGCGACACGCTGCCTGGGCGCGATCCGCAGCTTGCGCAGCAGGGGTACGGGGATAGCGAGGACGGCGAGGTCGAGCGCCGTGTTGACGATCGAGGTGGCAAACATGAACATCGGGAGGTCGATGCAGAACCGGTCGCGTATTGTGCTTGTACCCGTGCCGGGACCGGGACCGGGGCTGGGGAGGGTCCAGGACAGGTAGATGGGCACGCAGGCGAATACGCCGCCGAAGAAGAGGGCGAGCCCGAACAGGGAGATGAAGAGGACTAGGGCGTAGCAGAATAGCTTGAAGGGTTTCCCGTTCCAGATGCGGAGGTACGATGTCACGATAGACAATTTGATGAGCGAGGATGAAAGACCCCAGAGGGGTGGCGAGATCCAGAGTGTCTGGAACGGTGTTAGATGATGGTTCGTTACTTCTAACCTAGGATGGTTATTAGAATTGGAAAAACTTACCTTCAACGCTACAACTCGCTCTTCGTCAGTCATGCCTGATAGCGGATTGCCGAAGCCTACTACTACCCCTGAAACGTAATATTGTCAACCAAGAATACACAAGATAGGCTAATATCCAAATGCACTCACCAGCCATATTCGCCAAGTACGTGCCAAAGGAGCATAGCTAAAGAATGTTCAGCATGACGTATATCTGGAAGTTTGGGGGGTAACCGAGAACATACTACCGCGGCGACGCATAGCCAATCGTCGATACCCGAATTGCTCAGTAGAGTCACACGAACGTGGAGTCGTAAGCCAACAGCCAAAAACGCAGCGGCTAAGAAAGGCGTAACGACGCCGACTAGGGGGACAGCGTTGTTGGAGAGAGGCATATAGTTCCGTGTATACACAAAAGAAAGAAAAATATTAAATAATTAGCATAGAAACATGGAAAGTCTTGACCAAGAGAGACGCATCCATTTACAGCAGATGGGATGAATAAAATAGAAGAAGAGATCATATCATATGCTGAAAACTTCGACTCTAATTATATCTAATGATCTCGAAGCCACGGAGACGTCACATATGTTACAAGCAAGATGAGACAGCCTGCCCCTTTGACAGATAAAAAAAAACAGCCTCATGTCTTGCATCAGGAAACGTGGGATGAGCCAAGAGATGTCCCAAGATCTAGCCAGGTAGTGATGGGAGGAATATATCCGATCTTGTATGTTTTGCAGGTCTAAGGGTGCTATTTCTCGTTAGGGCTTACTGTCATTTCGAAACATAGCGACGGTTCGGGTCCAAGATCCACGAGGCACCTTTGGTTCGCTGCAGAACGTGAGATTCCTTCCGACCAAAATAAACGCAGCAGGAATCGTTTCAATTCTAAATCGAAGACATTCGGATCCTTGTAATACCGAAACAAAGGCTACGGCTCCGAACTACCTAAAAGATTGAGTAAGTGTTACAGAGCCGTAGCTTTTAGGTACGGGCCGGTGCCCGTCACCCCATATTCCCTACCTAGGTAGGTACATATAGGTAGGAGATAGGTGTTCTAGGCGGAATCCTTCGACCGCATAACTCCGAAACGGTATGTTAAGACATCAAGCCTACGTGATGATACGAGGGGTATATACCCCTAAAGTTAGTTCTTACCACCCATTCATAATGTCCTCTCTTGGGAAGTATTTCTTCTGATGTGGTTTTCGCTCAGCGACCATGTTAGGTATCAGGACATCGATGACCTTTCCTTTTCAACGTGCCAGCATACGGTTAAGAGGATTTGAGCACGGCTGCTTTTCTCTACCAATATTGACAAACTGCTGACTCTTCTAATCCGAGTTACACAGCTATCAGTCGCAACCTAGGGATACCCACGGGAAGCTCTGAGAGGGGGATGGGTACCTAATGGTAGGTAGCTAATCCATTAGAAGCATACTAGGAATTATGATATGACAGCAAGACTAGCAAGATGATAAGCATAGAGATGTTGCTTAACCAGGTGATACAGGCGACAGGTATAGCAAACATACCTATCACTCTCACACTAGGTCTTGCGAAATGCTGTTAGACTGTTTGTTATATTATACGAGTGTGATACTAGATCAGAATCTAGACCTTTCAGATGGTCTAAAGGAAGCTGAAGTCACAGAAAAAAGCACCTTCAGCTTCGGTGTTATTTCCGACGTTCCTCGGCAGTATATTGATAGCGGCATAAGCTCTCAGGTCTCTAAGAAACCTAGCCCATCAGGTAGCTATTGACGCTTTGTAATGTCGCTCGGCTTGGGTTTGCTTCGGGGAAAGCCGTCATAATCCGGCTAAGCTTGACTCTAATATCGCTCTTGGTGTGTCCAGAAGGTTGTGCATCCGGTTTAAGATTGCCTTCGCTGTCGAAATTTTGGCATAATAGCGCAAGGGCTATTCCGACCGACAAATCCTTACCGGTCTCGCAGGCGATCAAGATACGTCGTTTTTCAGACGAGCTCGTGGCTGAACCTTCCAAGGAAGAATTGGAATCTGGTTCCCGTTGCAGGAACCGGCGTACGAAATCGTTGATGTTGGGGAGGGCCAGGCGAAGATTGCGACTAGCACGCTTATGCTTACCCACACCGACTTCCATGAACGATGGGCTCTTCACCCAAGTGCTTGGATCTGTAGTATTGGAATGGATAATAACCGTGCAAGTTGAGGAGGAAGTTGAGGGTTCAGTAAATGGTAAACAGCTGACGAATAACGACGGCGCAACCTCTCTAGGGCCTGGAGCGTTTACATCGACAGCCGAATTTGCGACCAAGGAGCGCACAAGGTCGGGTAGATCCGCTTCCGGGGTAGATAAGAGGATATCCTCATGGCGCCAGAAAACCGGTGGTGTTAATCCCAGGGCCCAGTTCTCGGTATCATCACCGGCGCCTTGGATGTAGCCCCCCTCACTCATTTCCCCGCCAAGAACTCGACGGGAGCTCGTGCAACAGATGACAGGATGGAAGTCGTCAAATATCTGGTCCGTCTGGAGAAGTTGCGATTCCTGAGTAACCCACATGGGCCTAAGTGGCTTCTTCAGTTCCCGGCGTAAGACGTCCATGTTGATGCCGAGCTCTCTAAGTGAAGCCACATGCTCTGGGATTCTCGCTTCTATCTGGGTATGTTCAGATCTCGATACTGTGTTCGGAGGAGTATATAGCTCGTGAAATGCTGGTGTTTCCGGGAACAAGACGTGATTCAGAACACAGCACCAAATCGGTACTGTCTTACTAAGAGCATCTGGCATCCGTTTGCCTCTCCTCGTCGAATCGACGATGATGCAGCCATCATTTTCACCAATAATGGCCAACAAGTTCAAGTTCAACCGTCGCGTGCTGAACCTCCACTGGCCCGTGTGGCCATCTGTGCTTTTGAAATAAGCAGACCCAGCTTTGTTTGCAGGGGGAATGTACCAGCTACCGCAGCGCTCGTTAGCAATCAGTGGACGGGTAAATGCAGATGCCACCTCGGATACGAAGTCTGCATCTTCCCGTATGGAGCGTAGACGGTTGCTGATGGAGAGGTTTGATCTTTTAAGATCGCTAAGTATGCGTGAGAAATTATGATTTGCTTGCGGTGAGAATACAAGCTCCGATGTGGCTGTAGCCATATGGATATGAAAGGTGTGTAAAAAGGAGGTATAGATTATATGTAGCAAAGAAGCGAAGAATGATGTACTTTGTATAATGAAGAATGATGTACAATGAAGACGAACCAACCAAGAGATTCGTTTGTAAAACATGGAAGCAAGGGTTTAAAAAGCGGACCCCAGCTAGCAACACCACGTTAGGTACTTCCGTATTGTACCACACGGATACCTAAGGTACCTTATCACATGTAACGCTCACATTATGTAATAGAGAGAACATTCAAATCAAGTCAGTGCAATTCCGCTGAATAATCTTATCTATTCACCTTCCTTAATACATACAAGGCGTCTATTATTATAGGGTAAGTTAGGGAGGTACCAAGATAATACGGTCCCAAAGTCCTACCTTAATCCTTATCGCGATGTACGAGAGGAAATATCGTGATTGTGAAATTAGAGGTATTAATCACATCCATCGTACGGGCCCGTTCATCTGCTTCGGCCACGTCCACGTACATTTGACTTTTTTTCCCTCCACGCCGATGCCGCCTTGCGCCATACCTAGACTTGCGCATTACTTCTAGCAGATGACGTCCGCCTTCACAAGGACCACATAGTCGGCTTCCTTCTTCAGCAGACATGGCGAGATCATCATGTCTACGATCGTCGTCGTTCCGAGGTGGCTTCTCACCTGCATCGTCGCCTCCTGGTACGCGAATCCGCGCGTCCGCTCGCTGCCCGGTTTATCCGACATCAAGGCCAAGTATCGCGAACGGGCTAATATCGTGCTTAGTTCCGCCGCCGCCTTAACGATCTCAGCGAGAGAATTGGTCAGTGCTTCCGTGTCGACCCCCGTCGCGAATAGCGTAGTAGCGTCCAATATTTTCTTCGTCACGTCGCTCACGACGGCCGGGTCGGGTTCGCCAGCCTTATTCAACAGCTGCGCCGTGTGTATTCGCCACTTCTCAAATTCCGCCTCCGACGTGTTAGTTAGCAGAAAGCGCCCCAACTTCGTAGCCATATCGCCGTATTCCTTGCCCCACACGCGACAATATTTGCTCAACAGACACGTGTACAAGTATCTCCAGATGAGAGCTCGGAAGATATAGGAAGTGAGGTTGCCGTTGGTCATGTAGCTCTTCCAGTGTTTCGAAAGGTGCTCAAACTCTTCCTTTGACTTTTCCGGTACCAGCTTCGGCTGGATCGTCTCGTTGAATCTATCCAACGAGAGCGTTCGGATCTGGTCCCGTAGATTCTCCCATCGTTTTATGATTTGATCGTCCGTGACGTCGCAAGCGCCTACGGCATCAAAACTACCTCGTCTAGCCTGTACTTGTCGCTGCAAGTATTCACAGAGCTCGGTCTTTTCCGTAAGCTTTCTCGTCACATCTTTGAACTTGGACTCTATATCCTGCATTCGCGACCGGGTAACCACGATGGTCTCGCCATCCCCTTCCCGCGTGATGGTGCTATTGGCTTTATTCGCTTTATTGGCTTCTGATTCATCCCTCGGAAGTGAAGCTAATGAGTGTCTTTTCGCGTGCTGCTTGCTTTCCTGGGCCAACAGCAGCTTCTCGTCTCCTTCAGAAGCTCCATTTGCCTGGCGTAATCGTCGGACTTCAGCTTCCAGCTGTTGCAGTTTTGCTTCAAAGTCCTGCTTCTGCTGTGTCCAAGCAGTTTGCGCCGCCGCATGATCCGCCCGTAACTGCCTCACTTGAAATATTTTGTCCGTGAGCGCGCCTTGCGTCTCAGCAAGCTGACTTCGTAAGGCATCCATGATGAAGGTTGGGTGTAAGGTACCCAAGATAATCTCCAGTGATGATTTGTGGAAGATAATAATTCCGAAAGCGGGTTGTCTAGGTAGGGTTTAGGTAATTACCTAGGTAGATATGGATATGGGTATATTTATGATTATGTTGTTTTTGATTGTTTTTTTTTATGCTTTGACCTTTATTTGGTCTGAGTTCTGCACCAAATTCTGCACCATCTTTGTTATGAAATGCCTAAGTTTGCACTTGTGCTGTACCAACAATTTAGGAAACTACCGCAAACCCTTTAGTTCACTATTTCCCACCTTTTGAAAATTATTCCGCCAAATTCATCGGAAAGAAACGCTTTCAGATCAATTGTGAGGTACCTAACCCAACTTGATCCATCTCTTAATCAAACGCTATACGCGGCATTTCTTCTATACCTAGGTACCTATCTCCTCAAGCAAGTACCTAATCTGTACCTAATGGTACCTTAAATGCAAGTGGTTGAGACATCTCCCACGTGCCCATATCGGAACGTTATGCCACTAAAAATCAACTCCTGCCGGCGCGAAGTAAACTATCATGCCTCTAATACCTAAATGTCCATCCCCTACTTCTTAATTTATTCAGGTCTTGCGTCCCTTTAAACGCCCCCATCTTTCACTCGTTTGTACTGCTCATGATCCATGAAGTTTACCCGGTTCATATAAAGTACTCGCGCCTTCTGAACAACGACCATATATTCGAAGCCAGAATCGAACGGCTTCAAATATTTGACAAAGGCCGGCGATATCAAGAGCTCTACGCCATCGCCATCCTCTAGTCTTGAGTTTTCCATTGTCATCCATTCGTTTTCGTAGGACTGCAATGCATCATGAGCGTCTGAGCGACTCTTTCTCATGATTCCAACTGGTATACTACAGCGATTAAGATCTCGGGCTATCGACGCTGCAAACTCGAGAATATTTTCGATATCCGATTTGATATGGTTCTTCGCGCTGTTCTCCTTTTCTTCGATGATGAACATTCCAAGTAGCTCTAGAAGCTGTTCTTGAAGTCCCTTAAGCCTTGTATCAACTGTCGCGCAGTCATACAATATCTGGGTGGTATGCGCTCGCCAGGAAATAAGTGCTTCGCTATCACCACCATGCTTTCCGACTAAGCAAGTGTTAGGTATCTGTAAAACTGTTCCAGGAGTATTTCTAGGATCTTCTCACCTTGAATTTCACCTAGGATATGTCCAAGCCCACTTCCCTTGTCCAGTAACTTAAAGGGATTTTCCATGATTTCGGTACATAGAAAATCCCATATAAGAGCTTCAAATGAAAGATGTGCATACGAACCACATCGTAGAAATTTGTGGAGCGGTGTCCGAGACATCTCCTTGAACCTCTTTTCAATATACTCTGGTATAGTATCTTTATCGTATACCTCAACAAAGCTGCGCCGGACAAAACGGGAAATAGCGTAAATCAACTTCTTAAGTCGATAATGTGCTGAATCCAAGTCCTCCGTTGAAAAAAACTGGACCGCTGCTCTTTTGAGTTGCTCTTCCGCTAACTCGAGGGAGACAATCTCATAACGAAGCTTGGCCTTCGTAGACTCGAGGTCAAGCTTAGTAGATTCAAGCTCTATTGTCGTAATTTCTAAAGCAGCCTTAGTTGATTCAAGCCCCTCTCCCGCCGCCTTGAGTTGACATTCCAGCTTTTCAATGATAAGCTTTTGCCTTTTGGCAAGTCTGGCATCTTCAACAGGATCAGCTTCTTGGTCACGCTGTCGCTTATTTCGCGGTGCTACTGCCAGCTTGGGCTCAAAATTCCTATCTGCAATGTCTGACTTTTTGCTCAGGTGATCTTCAGTCGCGTTATCGTCCTCATCGCGCTTCCGCTTCTTGATATCCACTGTTTTCGGTTCCGGCTGAAAGTTCTTGATGGCACATCTTAGCCTCTTCGTTGCTTGAGGATCTTCACTTGAGTTATCTTTCTGATTACGCTTTCTCTTTTTACCATCTTTATCAATGCCACCTTTCAACTCCGGAGGCGGTATGATTGCAGTTGGTGCGGAGCGCGTCAATGAACGCAATATGGGCGGCATAGCTGAGGGTGTATCAGAGAATAGGGTTGTTGGTGAAGTCGAAGGTATGATTCTCCTAGTTGACTTGGATGATTTTGTCAAAGAGGATTCAGGAGACGTGAATGTTTGGATGATGCGAGTTGGTGAATATAATAAGTGGTTGACCAATGGCAAGTAAGTAGGTAGGAATTTAATTTAACTCTCGTAATTTTGGAGAAGAGAAGAAATGTGTTATTTTGTGTTAGGAGAGAAAAAACTTTTGTAAGTAATGTGTGTTGCAAGAAATGTCGCCTCAACTTCCATTCTTTGGTTTGTAGTGATATCCAGTAAGGTTGGTGGGATGGATGAGATAAACCCTTTATGTAGTGCCATGACTCGTCCGGTTTTGTGGCAGTAGCACTTGTGTTGCTCTCGATTTTGTTGAAGAGAAGCAGCAGTCAAGACTTGCAATGTTCATGTAGTAGAAGGTTTATGCTGTCTCAACAAATCCCTAAAGTAATCCCGCACCTGCTCAGGCAGTGGCTGCTCTTGTACGCAGGAGATAGGTACACATGCCTAGGTAGAATACCTAAGGCAAGAAACAGGATCAAACTGGGTATCTCCTACCAAACCTGACCTACATTGGGTACTTGTTGTTAGGCATAATTACATTACTTCCATGATCAAAATCAATAAGTGGCTAGTATCTTTTTCGCCTCCTTTTTTTTCTCTTTCGCGAACTACATCCACACTTTATAATACCTAAGAAAAGAAAGGAGAATTAGAAAGCCACCGACGTCTTACAAATTTCGACTTTCCATATATATTTAGCATAGTCAACTAGAGAATACTTACCATGGAGCTATTCAACCCAGTAGATTATTCCAAGAATTGGACCAAGGGGGGTTTCCTAATCGGAATCGATATTGGAACAACGTAAGTAAAACACCGCATCTGATTCCTCCATGTTACTAATTATTATTTAGATATTCAGGAGCTTCGTACGCATATCATAAGCGTGGAATTCTGAAGGATCAGGTTACCATTTCAACTCTTTGTCTATGGCCTGCCCCCCCTGGCGTTAACCTAGGGGATATAAAGATTCCATCGACGGTCTCTTATGACGTTAACGGAAATATTACTTGGGGATTGGGAAATGAAGGCAAAGAGCACGTTATCTCATGGTTCAAGCTCCTCCTATTAGATGACAATGACCTTCCTCCCGAATTTCGCGAATCGAAGCAAACCCAAGAGGCAAAACGTCTCATAGGTGTCTTCGGAAAGAGCCCTGTCCAGGTTGTTGCGGACTTACTAAGAAATATCTTCGAACATATAGTCGTGTACATGGGCCGAGAGAAGACCGACAAGTTCGTAAAGGAAAACCCGTTTCACGTCATTTTGACAGTACCAGCGATCTGGAAAGGTAGAGCATTGATACGAATGCAAGAAGCCGTAGAATTATCTGGAATTCTCGCAGATCGTCCCAATCAGGTTTTAAAAACAACATATATGTTTGCTACAGAGCCGGAGGCAGCTGCACTAGCAACACTCCCTGAGTTGAGGAAATGGGATACACTACTTCCCGGAAACACATTTGTCGTTGCCGACCTTGGAGGAGGAACCATCGTACGTTTATCAGAAGTCCTTCGGGCTCCATATTTAATACTGATTTTAACAGGATTGCGTGAGCTATGTGATAAACAGCCATGAGCCCTTTGAGCTCCGAAAGATAGTCGAAGGTGGTGGTGCCCTTTGTGGTGCCGTATTTCTTCATCAGTCGTTTAATATGGCCATTAAAAAGAAAGTCTTCGACCCAGAGGGCAAGACCTGGGATGAATTACACCCGCTTGAACAAGAAAAGATCATGGGTATCTGGGATCAATTTAACAGGGGAATACATATCACTGAACCAGACGGAACGCTCATTATGAATGTTTACCCGAATTCTAGCGGATATAACAGCGGAGATATTAAACGTCTTTCAGTCCACTTCTCTCGGTATGTAAACAATTTCAACCTACCTGGTGGGGTTTTACTTACCCGTTCTTTACAGTGACGAGGTTTATGACATCTTCCAAGTTGTGATGCCTACTATTGAATCTTTGGTCGAACGCCAAGTCAAGGCCATTCGAGAGAGGACCTTGAAATCTCCAAAGGTAACTTGCACAACTTACTTGTCTACGTGTTTATGCTATATTGATTCGTATCTGACTGGAAGTGTAGGTCATCTTACTTGTTGGCGGGTTAGCACAATGTTTATACATTGTTGAATCATTGCAGAAGTGTTACTTCGAACAAATTCCCATAGTTGAGGAAAGGGGTAATCAACCGCGGGCCGCTGTATCCAAAGGCGCTGTGATCTGTGGGATGGAGCAGCGGGCTTTAATACGCTCCCATATTGCCAGGTTCAGTTACGGATACTTCTTGAACAAGGTTTTTCAGGAGGGAGTCCATCATGTGGAGGACCGATTCTACGACGCAGCAAGAAACTGCTACATGGCCCGAGACCAAATGGAATGGGTCATCAGGCGTGTAAGTCCGAAATATATACCTGTTTTACTTACTAAGGCTTCATACAACTTCTAACTCTTGTGAAGGGAGATAACGTCGAGACTCATGGACGAAAAGTTCGAGAGTACGAAATGCTTTATAGTTCTCGCGCTCGGGGAGTCCATGGCTCCGAGGAGGTTATATATGAGTCAAAAGGTGCTAATTCCTCGGATAGAAAAGCCGAGCTATGGAATGAAGACGGGTTCCAGGTTGCGGCAGTAATTAGAGTCCAGACGCCGTGCCCCGTCGAGCGGCTACCCAAGTTAAAACGGGGAGGTGCGTAGTGGTACCTCTTCGCATACGACCTTGAGGTGGAGGTTATCGGTGCGTCCGTTATGTTTTCTGCCAAATGGGCACAAGACAGATCAGTCGTAGTTGGGAGACAAGGCTTGAACGTCGTTTTCGGATAGAAAGATACATGGCAGTGATGGGAGGATACGCCCAAAGGGTTTGGTGAGTTCGACTAAACCCTCGACAGCCAGTTGGATATGGTGCACGCATTTTCAATCAATGATATTTGGCATGTACTATATAATCACTGGAGGTTGCTTGGGATAGCCTCCATTCATTACTGGTGTTTGATTTCTTATGTCCTCGATACCAGGATCTTAAAGTATAAATAGGTTAGGTAGTTATTTTGAGGTATGATACGGCTTGACTCGAGATAATAATTCGACTTGATTTTAACAATATCCTTTGTCCTAGCTTGTTTTTTTTCTCTTTTTCCTGTTTTTCGGGATTTTCTTTCGGGACATTTGTATTGTAAAAAAAAGGTTATATTATATAAGGTTAATTGGCGTTAGGACCGCCTAACCTTCGTATCGTATATTCACCTCTCTATTTACGTCATGCCTTTTTGTCTACGCCAACTACCTACCTAGGAGGTACCTAATATACAATGAGGTACCAGCCATTTCATACTCCAATACAGGTACCGGTGCCTGAAGGAGAGGAATGACAGGAGCTAAAAAGGAATGTCACGATTTATCATCCAGGCTATACCCCACCCATCAAATTACTAACTCTTCGTGCTTCGGATTATGGCTCTTTGGATTACGGAATTGTCTATTATGCTTGCTGTATTGTTGCAGGCAATGTCTGGAAGCCCGGTGAAGGCCGAGGGATGCTCGATGAAGGTCCTTTCTTCTCGTCTGGACGTATAGGATCAGAGAGTAGGAAGGTATTCACTGATGATCTTGTCCCCGCTGGATGTTACTACTTCCACGTTCCTCCATTTACTAACGGTTAGCCTTCTTCTCTTACCTCCCTAAGTAGTGCTAATTTTACGTCGTAGATGAACCCTACCCGATCGTACCTAGTTTCCGTGATTGGATTTACCCGAGTGAGACGCCTAAACCGTGGAGAGCTTTAAAAATTGAACATACTGCAGCTATCGCTACCCACCCTAGAACCCCAAGCACTAACACGCCAAATACCGACATTCCAAGCGCCAATACCTCCCATCCATATACTGATGGCTTTATTCCTCCTATTCTTCAGAGTCTAAGTAGCTATGATGGTAATAGACGCCCATGTCCTGTAACATACGACCTTACATCAACAGAGGAAGGTCATGTTATGCCGATTACCAGTCGAAATTGGGTGGCCATTAATGATATAGCCAGGTTTAAGCCTAACGATGGCATTAGGTTCAAGAGCTTTATCGACCATCCGTGCAACACAATTATTCTCCGCAAGGACATTCACACACTCTATGAAAACAACTATATCATTATGGTTCCGAAACCCGACTTAGCATATGAAGGGAAATATTGTCTTGGTATGCATGTGTGGAGTCCGCCAAATAAGTCAAAAGAGTCGGACATGCAGATATTTTCTTTCTATCAAAACCGTCTGTTATCCGATTGCATATGTACCAGTGGAGTTCTTCTTCGTTCGCTTCGCTTGGGCTATCTTTACTCACTATACCATTAATATGTTAGATAGCGACAACGCTAACAACGAATATTCCGTCCATTATGTGGTTATAAATGAAGATGGTTCGAGAACATATGAACATAAGATGATTTTAAGTAGCGAGATGGACAAATTGCTTAATATAGCCACTGACGAAAAAGGGCGGAAGCGATCCAACAGTTATGTCGCCGGAGCCGGAGTTGATTCTGCTCCTAATAAACGGCGCGAGCTTCGTTACTCATGGCGCACAGGAGAGATGGAATGGGAATCCGACGATGACGGATTCGAGCCTAGCGACCACGGTGGATTGAGCCACAATTATTCGGAAAGTGATTGCCTTTCCGATGATTGCGAGTAGGACTCTGAACACGCCGTGCTAAAGCTTTCGAGCTCCGTATTAAACTTGGGCAGTATCGACAAGAGTTCTGATCATGGCGATCAAGGTTCATTTACGCCTGCGTCGTTAGCTCTGACGATTTCTACACACGAGAAGAACGTCTCATAGCTATTTTCATCGGCCTGATTCTGATGGGCATGTCCATTAAAGGAGTGGGTGGCTAGCTTATAGGTTTAGTGTATATGGGTTAGATCACAGTTATGTTAAAGGAGATATATAGGTAATTAAGTATTATAATAATACTAGGAATTTGTTTGTCATTATTTCGGCGGGTAGTTGGGAAATTGAAATTAAAATTATTAATATAGTGATGCGCCGTAAATGCTGTAAGCGTTGATTAACTTTCCTAAGGGGTGCAGGGTAATAGCGCGGTACCTTATGGGGTTGATGTGCAAAAGGGCGCTTCAATATAAGATTATTTTGTATTTATAGAATTAAACGAATAATATATATATATTTCTCAAGATATATTACATTTACATAGGGATCGCAGCAAAATTGTATGTACAGGGTAAACTTCGGAAAAGTCCTTAGTCTTGCCCGTTTTGCTAGTGTAAGTACCTAGAGTCTCCCTAAGACTGCACTAGTACCTGTAAGTAGGTACTGTGTAAGCTAAGCCAATACACTAATCGCCTTCAATTCGCCTTAGAACCTTGTTCCACGCCACCACCAGCCCACCTTTTCTACGTGTATTCTTATCGTCCAACCGACATTTTTAATCCGCATACTTCAGATACGCACATCGAACTCCTCCTACTCCTCTTCCTCCTCCATCTCTTCCCCCCTCCCCCTCATCTACCCGAATCGGTATCTACGAATCCACCGAACTTTATGCTTCTCTACTCTCAAATATTAGATCGCCGCCTCCCCTCATTACCGGCATGAGCGGACGGCTTATAGCAGCGGTCGGGCGTCTCCCGGCGTCACGCCCGGCCATGGCTCGAGCCATACGCCAATATCATCAGCTATCTTCTGGTGGTATACTTCGAGCTGATGCCGCCGTGCGTGCCACGCGCCGGCGGATGTGGCTCCCCGTTAATTCGTTTCATAACGCCGTCATCGTTCGCAATGCTTCCTTTGCGCGATTCTTACCCCGGCTGGTGGTTAAATTTGTAAGGATCCCTGCTATGGCAGGGGGTGTGATGATAGGTGGTCTGGCTTGGATTCAGTACCAAGCCACACGTATGCCGACCCAAATCCTATCCTGTATGCCCATCTGCGAGCGTCGACTAATATGGAATCTAGAGGCCGGGAATTATGCCTGGGACGTAATCTATACCACGAAAGACGCCATCACCAGCACAGCTACGGGCCTCCTAGATGGTGCGAGAGATATTGCCTCCCAAACGAAGCAAGGGTGGCAAAATACGAAAGACCAAGTCGAACTCCCAGAGTGGATGCAGAAGATTCTAAGGTCCCAAGAGGAGATAGGCACTGGAAAGCAAGGCGGCGGGTCCGGCGGCGATGAACCTCCAAAGCAGAGTAGGACAGGCGCTGCAGTTGCGGCAGGTGCAAGCGCTGCGGCATATGGTTATGAACAGTCATCCGATGACAGCCCACAAGATATGGCCAAGGATGATCAAATGATGGTGCTTACGAAAAAGATGATTGAAATCCGGAATATTCTATCAAGAATCGGACAATCTGGTACCCTCACTCTGCCTTCTATTGTAGTAATCGGGTCGCAATCTTCCGGAAAGAGTTCTGTTTTGGAAGCTATCGTAGGGCACGAATTTTTGCCCAAGGGATCAAATATGGTCACCCGGAGGCCGATCGAGCTTACTCTCATCAACACCCCCGACTCGGTTGCGGAATACGGTGAATTTCCGGATCTGGGTCTAGGAAAGATTTATGATTTCTCCTCTATCCAGCGTACTCTAACGGAACTAAACCAGGCTGTTCCAGAGAGCCAATGCGTATCAGACGACCCAATCCGACTTTCTATCTCGTCACCAAATATCCCAGACTTATCGCTTATCGATCTGCCTGGCTATATCCAAGTCGTCGGGCAAAACCAGCCGCTTGAACTCAAGCAGAGGATATCGGAACTTTGTGACAAATATATTCAACCACCTAACGTCATCCTAGCTATTTCAGCTGCCGATGTTGATCTGGCTAACTCGACCGCTCTCCGAGCTAGTAGACGGGTCGACCCTCGGGGCGAACGGACAATAGGTGTTATTACCAAGATGGACCTTATCGACCCTTCTCGGGGCGCGTCGATCCTAGGTGATAAACAATACCCTCTTCGCCTAGGTTACGTCGGCGTCATCTCTCGCGTACCGGCTGCGTCCGGGCTATTCAAGAAGGGCAATACGAATCTAACGTCTACCATTACCCGCAACGAAAACACCTTTTTCTCGGCTCATCCAATGGAGTTTGGTCCGGGTTCAGACGTCCAGGTTGGAACTTCAACTCTACGCAAGAAGCTTATGCATGTTCTAGAACAGACCATGTCAGCTAGTTTACAGTCGACCAGCGATGCCATACGACAAGAGCTGGAAGAAGCGACGTACGAGTTTAAGGTCCAATACAATGATAGACCCTTATCCGCCGAGTCATACTTAGCCGAGAGCCTCGATGCGTTCAAGCACTCTTTCAAGCAATTTACCGAAGAGTTCGGCCGTCCTGAAATGCATAGCCTCCTGAAAAACGAGCTTGATCAACGAATGCTGGACCTATTAGCTGCGAGATATTGGAACAAGCCTATTTACGATTTAAGTGTTCCTATTGCCGAGCCCAATAACCTTGCCGATCTTCCCAAAGCGGATCCGGACTCCCTTTACTGGCGGAGGCAGCTCGACGCTTCTACCTCTGCACTTACTAAACTTGGCGTTGGTAGACTAGCCACTAACGTGGTCGCAAACTCGATCCAATCTCATGTTGACGCCCTAATCAGTCAATCTACTTTCGTAAACCATCCATATGCGCGACAGGCTATCACAGAAGCTGCCGCAAGTATTTTGAACGACCGGTTCTACAGTACCAGTGATCAGGTAGAAAACTGCATCAAGCCTTTCAAGTTTGAGATTGACATGGAAGAGCGAGAGTGGACTGCGGGCAGGGAGCACGTCCAAGGGGTGCTAAAGAAAGAACTGTCTGCCTGCGAAAATGCCATGAAAGATCTCGAGACAGTGGTTGGAGGACGGAGGAAGCTGAGGGAAGTTGTCAATTTTGTTGATAAGGCTAGGAAAGGTGACGTGGTGGTCGAAGGTGACAGTCACGCCGGCGCAGGAGGATTTAGTGCCGAGCTGCTTGCGAAAGGTTTGACCTCAGCGGCTTTTACGCATCAAGAATGGCTCACTAACATGCTTACAGGTCGAGAAGCCGTCTTCCTACGTGACCGTGCCGATATTATAAAAATGCGGATGCTGGCAGTCAAGTCTAAACAGTGTGCCAATATCAAGAATAAATACCACTGTCCAGAAGTCTTCCTAGACGCGGTAGCCTCGAAACTCGCGTCTACGGCCGTACTTTTCCTTAATGTGGAGTTGCTTTCTGAATTTTATTACAACTTCCCGCGCGAGTTGGACTTGCGTCTTGGGCGACACCTATCAGACGAGGAAGTCGAAAGGTTCGCTAAGGAAGACCCCAAGATCAAGAAGCACCTAGAAGTCATCAGGCGCAAGGAACTCCTGGAACTAGTACTCGAGAAGATGGAAAGCCTAAGACAGCTCGAAGGCATAGAAAGGGAGCGACCCAGGCCAGGTCCAAAGAAGAGCAGCGAGAAAGAACGTGGACGATGGGGGTTGTTCTGAATTATAAAGACCTCTAGTCATTCCTAACGAACTATTATGATATGAAAAGGAGTTAAAAATGGTTGTGTCAGCGCTTACTGTTTGTCCAGATTTCCCTTCCAAATCAACTTAACAGTTAGTTGACTTTCTGGCAGCATATACAGTTCTACATAGATTCAGTTCTACTGTTTATAGGACAGGAACATGTGATATGATCATCAACGCTAACCTAATATTACGCTGTTTTGATGTGAACATGTATTTTATGGCATTAACATAGCCATGCCTAAGTCACGTATGTAAACCACCATATGGGGGAATACATTGTTTCGCCTCCTCGCTTACGAGAGATTGTACTCGGCAATCAGTTTCTCAGCACACGTTATACCTGTGAGGTAAGCGACGCACTGGACGTGGCAGCTCGCGAGAATGGGGACGACGCTCATATCTGCGACGCGAAGGCCCTCGAAACCAATGAGGCGGAAGTTATTATCTACAACCGCATCGGTAGAGCCAGGACGACCCATCTGTACCGTTCCGGTCATATGCCACTTTAATCAAGGTCAGTAATCACATCGTTTTCTTTCTTGGCCGGCCGGGTTAAAAGGCCTTCAGGGAAGGGGTACGTTGTATGCCACTCACGCTTGATCCTATAGTTTGACGCCAGTACTCGAGCAAGTCTTCATCCGAATCGCTTACTGGTCCTGTTATGACCGACACGTTATCCTTTGCGTAACCCTCGGACCGCACGAACCGCATCGCATCACGTAGCGCCTCGATGGCGGCGCGTCGATCAAATGCCGTCGCCAGAAACTTGGGGTCTATCCGCGGCGCCACGTTCGGGTCCGCTGATTGTATCGTGACCTCCCCGCGGCTCTGTGCGTTGAATAAGAAGACTAGGAGTACCGCGTAGTTCAGGGCCGAGTCGGGGAAATTCGGAACAAACCAGTGGAGGGGGAAATGGCTGAGTACTTCGTAGTGCGGGACGGTCGGGTCGTTGATGAAATCCTTTTCGTCAGCAGGTAGGTCTTGGAACTCCTGAGACGCGAGGAGCTTGTCGAGTTTAAACCACCCGATAGGTAGCCCACAGGCATATTTTGCCCAAGGACCGGAACCGTCCGTCTTCCACTGTTCTAATGCGTCGGCCATGGCTTTCTTGTCCCCGTAGAAAGAGGCTCGGTCTGTAGTCCCTTCTGCTCGCGTATGGGCTACGGGGATAAACATATGGTCGCGTAGGCCCTGGCCGATTGCTGGGACATCCTTAACTACCGGTATCCCGTACTGTTCCAGCTGGGCTCTGGGGCCAATGCCGGAATGCATCAGGATTTTCGGGTTGTTGACTGAACCTGCAGAGAGAATAACTTCTTTGGAAGCCATGTCTAACGTGAATAATTGTCAGTCTACTATGGGTACTTATACCACCAACGTGGAGAGAATAAAACTCACAGCGCTGGCCGTTCAACTCAACTCCAACAATCCTATTACCTTCTACTACTAGTCGCTGGACCGGTGCCTCAGTGACGATTGTGAGATTTTCCGGAGCCGGCGTAAGTAGGTCCGTCGCCGTAGAACGAACGCCCTTACTAGACGAGTTGATGCCGAGGGCGAAGCCGATGGGATTCCCAGAGTTGTGGTCCGGGTTCAAGGGGTATCCCGCCTTCTCGAAAGCGTCGAAAAGCGGCGCTACGTCCTTCTCCGCCTCAGCCACATACCCCGTTTTCAGGGGTCCCGAGCTTCCGTGATCCTCGGCTTTCGGCGCCGCATACCGGCTTCCTATCCCCGGCGGCACCGTCCCGTCGAACGACTCCAGGCTCTTAAACCGCCGCTGCATGTGCGCCCAGTCGAACGCGTCATCCCCCGCGACGCGCGCCCACTCGTCGTAGTCCCGGCTCGCGCCGACGGTGAACACGCTGAAGTTGACGGCGCTCGAGCCGCCGAGCCCCAGGCCCCGGGAGTAGTCGAGCTCCCGGTTGTTGCAGTGCTCCTGGGGCGCCGTCTTGTAGCCCCAGTTCAGGGCCTGCTTCTGGAAGGTCGTCCACCGCTGCCCGTCGACGCGCAGGTTCTTGTCGTCGTTCGCGCCGCCGGCCTCGAGGAGCAGTACCTGCGGTTTCTTGGCGGACTTGGCGAGCCATGCTGCGGCTGCGCTGCCCGCCGGGCCACCTGCAATATCGGTCAACGGACGGATCAAAGGACCTGATGCGTAAGGTGGGAGGGATGAGCTGAACTTACTGCCGACTATCACGAAGTCATACGTCACTGCCATTTTCTCCCGTGTCTTAAGCCAGGCTTAAGAATGGAGCGGGGGTTGTATTGATGGAACTATGGGTAAACAATGCCAGCACGATATAGGTTAGGTAAATATATACCCTAGGTACCTAGGTACCTCTTATATAAAGAGAAGCAAGGTGTGGAGAGGAGTGGATTTGCGACTATCTTTCAGCTGCTCCCCATTATCGTTTATACCTACCCACCTATGTAAGTTCTGTGGCGATCCTTATTTCTAGGTATTTTGGATAGAGGCACGCTATTGGAGCATAACAGCCCGTAATATGTAACCCCAGCGAGCTAGATATGGAACGCACGCACTAGTCAGCAGCACATTATCTCTGGCCTCAAGATCGGGATTTGATTAATGGTGATGATAGATAGGTAGGTACCAGGTAATTATCGTACGGATTTCCTTGGGTGTTGGTACGCGGTACAGTTTGGATAGGTCCGATTCTAGGTTTCAGATCGGCAATCGTGTACGTGATTAAGGTTCTAATCAAATACTGCGAAGAGGTACACATTGCTAGAAAGGGGTTTGTTCGTTCCACGTGGTAGGGGAAGTAAAAGGCCGCTGGTCTCCTAGTAATTTACCTGTTTCTATCATTCTAGATGCCGTCGCGTCGGGCTAGTCCCTCACTATGTCTTTGTCGCCGATATTGTCGTTGGCAAGTGACGCCCTTGGAATGGTTGTCAATTGTGCTTAATCTAAACCGTAAACGGAAAGGTATTATGGTCTAGTAATTTACTACACGCTGAAGCTGACCAGCCAGTTCACATGGCATAGTAACAGGTAATGAATCTTCTAGGCCCTGGTAGTGGACTGGCATATGAAGAGGGTACACCTGTGTTCAAATAGACACTTCCTATCTGCTGTGTGACTGTAGGTAGAATTGTGCTCGAGACGTCTTAAGGAAGTCAGATTTAGTTTAAGGATATCGTGGACGCGGGGCTACTATATGGAGGGGAAAGCAATCTTACCTCAGAATCAGAAAAGAGACCAACGGATTCTACGCGATTTGAGAGCCTAACTACCTGTTATGCAGTATATACCTCAATTCCCTAACTGACATATTTTGTAGCATTAACGAGAACTTCGTGCTCATGGAAATAGCAGTGCAGGAGTAGCACCGGGTTATCAAGACAGCTGCTGTGATACTGCTATCTTTAGAACTATACACAATAAGCACATATCTTATACACATACATGTATGTCATCGCTATGGCCGTGCTGGCGTCAGCATACCCGTCACTGTTATCTTATGAGAAGACAATTGGAGACTAAAGTATCTCAGGGAAAGCACAAGGCAGTACGCCCGCTATGAGGGGGGTTATGCCAACTATTTCCAATTGGCCGAGCACGAGGGTCGGAGCGAAATGCCAATCAAAATACCTGGTTGCGTTTTAAGCGTGAAAAGCAGTGGCAGGAGAGGCGTGTGCTCGTCTGACTCCCACTGCTCGGAAACCCTCGGCGAGCCTAGAATCAAGGCAGGAAAGGATACGAAGACAAAGCCGTTCGTTACCTATTGTACTAGTTTCAAACCGAAAGACGTAGAGTTAGCTTTGTGAAGCAAAGTCTTCTTCATAGCATGTCGTTCTGCTACGCCTTCATGTATACCTAGGTAGATAGTCGAAAATGACTTGAAATTAATCTTACGGATACACATAGGCATATTATCCAGGTTAGGAGGTAGGTATAACGTTGTACAGACACATACGTATATAGGAGCGCAACCCATTAGGTGGTAGGTAGAGCGATTTAGGTAGGACTTTGATCAATCAACTCACTTCACTAGGATTGATTGACCTTATATTGGAGCTTGTTTCTTTGAGATTGATAACATATTGTAGTGCAAGGGGGATGCCGATAGGACGGGCGTTTACCGATTCCGTTTTCATCTCGCGGATGAATATGTGGAAATGCGTCTATTCTCGATCATTACTCCTTTTGCATTTATAGTTTATTTGTAAGTCCATTCATCAATATACGCTTTATATATAACTGTGTATAATATAGTATAATATATGTGTATATTATATATAGCAGTGGTTGATACCTTCATATTGACAATGGAATGTAACTGCCCCCTTATTCTTAGTTTCCCTACCTTCTACCTGCCATGTGGACTTTACCATTCAGTCATCTAGCAGGAACTACGCCTCTCAATACGTGCGTAGATGCGATGTGGTAATTTAGATTTCGCGTGAATACAGGGATATGCCCGTGGCTTTTAGAGTAGACATCACTTTAATATGATTTGATTACCTAGAAGAGTTTTGTTTTTCTTCATATATGCCCCTGAAAAGGATTCACAGCCTCGTACTATATTCCTCATACCTCGGTTTGACACTTGACTTGATACTTAAGGCACGGTCAACCATCCCTCAATGGATGCCAATCTTCTCCGTCCAGCTAAGAGTCTATTGCATCTCCTATAATATCTCAACCAAGACTAAACCTACCACTCCTCGGCGGACGCGGTACCAATGATAGAACAATTCGGTCTCCTGGTAGCAGGGGTGATCATTATCATACTTCGCGTATGTGCCAGGTGGATACAAGTCGGTCCGGCAAAGTGGCAGCTTGACGACTATCTCATGCCTTTGATAGGTGTAAGTTCCTTAGGTACCTATGCGATACGCGGTGAAAGATACCTCATATGATGGTCGACTAACACGTCAAACCTTTGTGAATACAGGTTGTCTTTGGAGTTGCGACAGTAATCGCATACAAAGTGGTAGTGAAAATGCATGGCATGACGAACGCGATGGATGACGAAACGCGCTCGACGATTGACGCTGCATCCAAAGAGTACATGTATAGACAGTACGGGTCCAAAATACAAATCGTATTATGGTCCCTGTCCGTCTTCATGCTTTGGGCGCTTAAAGTCTGCGTTGCCATCTTCTACTCGCGATTAACGTACGTTTGCGCACACGCTCTCCTGATTAATCGCTAGCGGTAGGTATTGAAAAGGGGATGCTTTTAGGTCCGGTTTGCCAAACCTTCAGCACCGCGTCCACTTTGCGTACATACTCTTGGCTGGCACGTACGCCGCTGCGTCGTTAACTATCTTCTTGTCATGCCGGCCGATGTCGAAGTTCTGGCAGATAACCCCGGACCCAGGGAGTATGCTTCCCCGTCTCATTTTCATGTCCGATACTTCGGAAATACCCCTTTACTAACTGTGAAGTCAGATTCCTGCCAGCCAGCTATCTCGAGGCCCTACGTCCTTGTAGTTGTAATACCGACGATATTCGTTAACATATACCTCCTTTTCATTCCTCTTCCGGTATGTAAACTCCTCGTCTAGCACCCCGGTCCATCGCCGGCTTCGCTAATAACAAACGCCTTAGATGCTCTGGAAGATCAATATCACCCGGTGGAGAAAATTTGTCTTGATTTCTCTGTTTAGCGGTGCGATCTGGTCTATGATGATGGGTCTAATCCGCGCCGTAATTATTCTGCAGGTATGTCTATTCCCGATACATACCCCCTTTGAGTTATAAACCACTGTATAGTCATCTCGCGAACCCCTGTTCGGCACTGAGGATATTCATAAAATAGGGCGGCCCCAATGCTGTTGGTTCGGGTAGCGTATGGGCGTGTCGTGAGACTTTCGTTGCTATTGTGGTGACGAACCTGCCGATATTACAGCCCCTATTTCGAGAGTGTATAAAGAGGCTCCGGTCGAGCAACGCGATAACTAGCAGAAATAGCGAACAACTGACTAGTTCCGGTAAACATCAGAGATATCGTCTGACATACAACAGAGCCTTTTCTCGACCTGCGACGTCTCCACCGGTGATTTCGCCCCGCTACCAGACCAGGATATCGCAGGTTGAGTTGCTAATGCAAGATAGATCACCAACGCCTGGGATAGTGGCGAGCGAATCCTATCCATCAGCCATGATCAAACGCGGGCTAGCACTGTGGCAAAGTTGCCTCCTGAAGATATCGTCGTTGATCAAGAAATAATCGTTATATCAGAGCCAGCAGCCACGGCTAAACCCCAGTTCCTTAGCCAAGAAGCTCTGGGCTTTGGTAGTGAAAGATAGATTTAGGATTCACTGTCAAACACTATATGTTGGATGGTATGAAGGGATAAAGAAGAGAGATTCAGGGGTTATACTTACATGATAGGTAAATCGCCCAGCTACGTGCCCAGGTACCCCCTAGGTAGATAATTCATTCAAATCCTACTCCCCTCTTACACTTGTTGACATGGAAATTCCGCAATATTAATGAGAATTATAACAGTTCCGTAAATGACTGCGTTCATTAATAACTAAAAAGATTTCAAAGACGTCGGAAGTAAATGTGAATTTATTTATTATTGGTATGGAATTAGCAGCCTACTCTCCGCTGCGATGCTAGACACACCCCAAACCGCTCATTCTAAAAGAAAACACTGCAACCAGAAACGCCTTGCTGTTCCGGGTCCTTTTGGATTTCATTCTCTCACCAGTTGCGGAACTTGAAATCTATGTTGAGACTAACATCCCTTCCCACTCATGATGCGAAACGTCAAGGAAACATTATTGTCGAAAAAAAAATACAGCTTAAATGCCGCCGGGAAATAAACTTCTTTACTAAAGAGCCATCCCAAGGACGCGAGCTGCCTTCTCCGATGTGGTATAATCGGGGGCTCTCGCCGTAGAATTTGGCAGGGGGCTGTCCGGCATCGGTAACTCTGTATCGACTTGGTGGTCGGCAGGGTGAGGGTGCTCTCCGATGTTCAGCGAACGCCTCTTTTTCTTGATATTGCCCTGAGAAGGATGTTTATTTCCATTATCTGGACGTGGCGCTGTGCGAGGGCGGGGGTCACTTGGAGGAGCACGAACATCGGACGGAGAGGAGGCTGACTCCGAGTATGCAAGCGGTGTTTTGTTTCGGATTGGTAACGATGGACCCTCTGGCGTTCGACTTCGTCCGACACCGGCGGGAATTAACGGGGCAAGGATGCGCCTGTGACTCTCGACATCGATACTCGGCGTAGGCAAAGGACTGGTAACACGGGGAGCTGCCTTCTCGTTGGTAGTAAGACCCTTCGTTTGCGCGAAATCCGAGGAACGCTTGTGATACGGGTCGCGGTCTGAATAGGCATCGATGATGGGGTTCACCATCACAGTCTGGCCGTGAATGGTCAGAATGGAGTTGGTGGGAACATTGACCCAGTTTTCTACTATCATGTTAGCAAGATCCTTACCGCAAGAGTAAGAGTAGGGGTAGGAGTAGGAGTAGACCGCCACGTACCTCGCTCGAACGTCAGAGGTTCGCTAGCCACAAGGACGATATCTGCTCCTTTGTCACGGCGTTCCATTTGGTAATCTCGACCTTCCGGAGCAGATAGATTATTCTCCCATTGGGTACCCGAAGAATAGTATAGGCTTGCGGCCTCGTCAGTCTTGCTGCTCACGTATCTCGTGCAGATGATGCTATGTCCGTCCGTCACGGCGAAGTTCAAGAGACTTCGAGTATCCACATTCTCGCTCTGAATGACGCTCTCCGGTATAGCCATGGTAAGCTCGTTGATGATCTCGATCGTTTGCAAGAGGGCTTTCCGTAGAACAGCTGGCCCGAACCCATTCTTAGGCTCCGAACTTGGGTTGACACCTAGACGTTCGAGGCGGTCAAGGAACAAAGCAAATGCCCACTCGCTATCAGTTCCGCCTTGCACGCAAAGATACCACCTGTCGTGTAATCGTTCGCCCAGTCTTCTCTTGATATGTTTCCAGCCACCTAAACCACCGTTATGCATCCACATCAGGCTTCCATGGCAGAAAGGGTGGCAATTGTCTTCGCTTAGGGATCCTTCGGTAGTCGCTCGGACGTGTGCGAAGACGAGCCGAGAAGCGGTCTTGGAGGCGATGCGATGAAGGTTGGTGCAATTCCAAGCGGGAATGGTCGAGGTGAAGAGACAGGGAGCGGGGCCGAGTTTCGGGTCAGTATAGAAGCCAATTCCAAATCCATCTGCATTATTCTGGCCGCGTCGAGTGTCCTGTAGAACAGAGATGAAAGTGTCAATCATAAGTTCTCATCCAGTGAACATTCAGAATTGTGTGTTATGGGTGCTATGGGAATAACTCACCAGTCGTAACCTGGAGTCGAACGATTGCTTCAGGATAGAATGCTTCGGGTCGAGAATAAGTTTGGAGAGCAAGATCTCGTCGCTACCTCGATAGACCTAAAGGAAAGTATTAGTTAGCCTGGTGATCTGATCATCATATTTCACGGGGTTAGGCAGTAGGTAGGAGGGTGTGGTACCAAAAAGCGACACATCTTCCTTAATTAGGAGATGGTTGGCGTAAATGTTAGACAAGAAGGTTCGTCGTTATCATACGATACCTAAACTTGACATAAAATAAATAGACGAGTTTGTTGAATGTAGATAAATCGAATGTAGAACTGATCTCTTTTTTTGCCTCTCCGATATCGCGAATTTGAGTGGATTGAGAACACGTTTTCTGCGACTGCTAATTTTCCGTTAATTTTTAATTAATTACTTTTTCTTATCTTTTTTTTTTCCCTCACACGTTGCAGTCATCCAGAAATGTGGCGTGCCTTTATTACTCAATTGCGATATTCTAGATTGGGAACGACGGAGTGACAAAGTGACAAAAAGAGGTAACAAAGTGGGTGGTGGTGGTAGTGGTGGTGCTGATGGCTGCTGTAAATTTTATGGTCTAGGCTCTCCCTATGTACCCACCACTACGTGTAAAACATATGGGGCAGGCACCTACCTGTCGGCTACTACCTAACCAGCTAACCTAGCAGTACCTAATTACTTCATCCCTTGCTAACATGGTGCCTTCCTGGTAAGTACAATACAATGGGTACGGCTGAAAGGGCCAAGTGGGTCAGCGCAGTTGTCAGCTGCAGCTATCCGGGGTAATTAACACTATTTTGGTTTAGCCTCCTAAGTTCGAAGTCTGGGGGTTAACTACATCCAACCAATCACATACCCTTCACCGTTCTCAAAAGGGGATCCTCGTTACTATGTATTTCTAGCTGTCTTCCATTCCTTGTCTTTATTTTCTTGAGTATCTAACAATGTAGCTTGTTTCATGCGTAAAATTGCAGCACATTAGGCATCAATATCGTATCAATACTGCCTTATCTTCTTAAACTATCCTAAACAGACCTAGCAATGCCTATCTTTATTTTATAGAGAAACAACTTTGTTATTAACAGTAATTTCCGCTACGGTATTGAGCTCTCACACTACTAGATTTATTAATTTCCAGCAATATATATACGTAGTTCCTGTTAAGGTTCGAGATTTCTTTGACGTTGGAGGATCATGTTCTCTGTCTAGCATATGCTATCCCCAACCCTCAGAGTACGAGTGCATAGATGATGCCAGTCCTTCAATCCCCCCTTGGAAGGGAGTCATTCGTTGTTTAAAACAAACATCATTTCTGTACTTACATCTAGTTGGCATCCTAGGACATGATGCACCTAACCCAAAACAGCTGCTTCACATCCACTACCAGGCTCTATCGTGGGTTTAGTCTAATCTTCGACGCTCATCACCTCTCTCAAGCAGCGAATCTTCCTCGCTATTCTTCGCTGGGTCGTCTTCACGGTAGAGTATGTAGTGTTGAGTCATGAACACTAGGTCATAAAGCATACTCACGTTTCCCAGCGCAAACTTGACTGGGTTGCCCGTGACTCCAGACCAGTCTCCCTGTAGCCAAGAGTCGATCACCAACTGCGCGATACTCAATATGCCACCCAAGAAATCTAGTAGTATCTGCCAGATACTCCATCCTTTCGTGCTGTGATTCTTGAAGTTATACACCAGCTGGGGGGCATATTTTACAAGAGTAATGAGTAGCTTGACGTACGAGATCGTATATACGACGTCTAGCCACGTCCATGAAGTCTTCGGGTCCGAATCCGAAGGCGTAGATAGTACCACGAGGATAATGATAGCGACGGCAAGGAACGATCCACTCGCGACGCCCAATATAAGCCGAGACGGACGAGTACCCGGTGCCCGATCGAACCCCCAAAGAGCGGGTAAAAAGTACTGAGTAGTTAAAATCAAGCAAATGATGAATGCATGAGCTGCAAATACAATATCATTAACTGCGACAGTTGGCGTGTGGTTGTTATGTCGCAAAGCATATTGATGCCGGATAACTGAAGATGAGTAAAATAGGGTATTATAGATAAGGTAGGCAAGAAAGCCTAGAAGAAGTATTAGCATTAGGTACGTATATCATCATGAATGAATATCATCATGAATTATACGAGATGAACCACAATAAACTCACCAAGCGTATTGATAAACGGGAAGTCGACGGTCGTCCCGGACGTTGATTTCCTCCGAATATTTAATAGTGGTTGTGAGTAGAATGACAGCGACCATGATAGCGTATATATCCACCCGAACAGGGCGGATAGGAGCCCAAGGAAACTCATAACCCTAGATATTGCAGGTGTCTAATCGTGTCTAATCGTGTCTAATTCGTATGCGAAGGTCGGCTTATCATTCCGAGCAAATCAGCCTGAATGATGACACAATTACTGGGACCATAAGGGAATGCTAGGTATGCTTCCTTGTAACTTTTTATTGATGCTCGTGTATGTATGCCAATAGGTTAATTAATAAGCTTAGATCGCGTTGGAATATTTAGGCGATGCTATGAAACACTAAGTCTCTAGTATCTATAAGACGGTTCATAAATGCAAATAAAATAGGATTTGAGTCGCGATCAGAGAAAGTCAATCGAAACGAAATCCATCAGCAAAATTACGCCATTTCGCGTACCTTATAACTTTGTACTTTAAATTAAATATCTTAGGTAAGTACCCCTTTAGAAAGATATGCACGTGACCTCTCGAGGATCATTAAACTCGTACCTGACGTCGTACAACTAACAACCTCCCAACGCAAGCAGAGAAAAAAAAAGAAAAAAAAAAGCAAAGTAGCAAATTAAATACGACAGCCACAATTCATATCGATCGAGTTTCACCGCTATATCTTGCCAATAAGCAAGCTGACCGCTTTGACAGTTGGTTGCACTGAGGCGTAACATGTGTATCACAACGACACGGGAACGTCGTCAAGCAAACAAGTTAGGGTAAGTATAAATACCTACTTAGGTGCTCACCAACCTACCTAGAAAGATGTTCTTAAAAGTCAATCTGGTCTGCTCCAATCATCTGCATTACGTCTAGGACGAGCATCTGAAGCTTGTCAGTGAAAATAATAAATTACCTAAGTACTTAGGTAGATATTGTAATAGAACGTAACGCTTAACCCGTAAATTAAACAAGCCATCATCCAAAGCCAGCTGAGCGAAGTACCCCTAGATTTAAATCCGAGCTCCCGAAAAGTTCACCTATTATTATGCCCGACTTTAGGAGGGATGTTGTGTCGGAGTGTAGTAAGAAGGATTATATGAGGTGGTAATACCACTCATGGTCAGACAGACTGTAATAGCACTTGTGCTATTAAATACACTTTTGGCTCAGCGGTGTGTCTGTCAGATTACTTAAATAGGAAATTCTCGCTTAACAAATTGGGAAGACTAAAAGTAGAGCAAAACTTAATCAATTAGGAAAATGAATGAAAATAGAAAGATACATTAGTACTTACCTTATGTAATGACTATGACATGCTCCTAAAGTCGGGCTCTTGTGGTCCCCTACACGGGGGGGCCCTCGGTTTTATTTTTTTCCTCCGATCTTAACCTAAAGCTCGTCCTCCCTTTTAAAGGTAGGTAAGAACCTGTTTAGGCACCCTCATTTGTTTGGCGGTTTTCCGTATCAGGGTGGGAGCTACTTCTTTCCCAGCCTCATCTTTTTTATTACACTTGTCTTGTTCAGTGTTGGTAGATAATTTACCCTTCTTGTCGTCCTTCACTAGGGGTTTCTTATTCGGTAGCGTCACGATAATTGGAGGCTCAAAGTCGCTAGAACTATCAACAGGTAGTTAGTCGAGACCATATAAGTACCTTAGGTAAGTATAGTTATCCTACGAAGTACGCCTGTTGGGGAGAAGAATCAACCTACCTTGTGAAGCGGCCCATTTGGATATGCTATGCCCAGTATACGCTTAAATGATACGGTAGTCAATGTAACTGAAGTAAGACTGTTGAATAAGTTTCCTCAGAATATAAGTGTAAACCGAAAGGAAAGGAGATTCGTGAAAATTATGGGTGGCCATATTTATAAGTTTAGATCCCTACCTGCCTAAGGTAATTTTAGCTAAAAGCAGGGCGAACAAATCTTACAGCGTCTCTTCCCCAGAAAAGTGGCCAGAAACAAACCAACCGTAGCTAAATTAGAGATAAACACGGGCCCGTTTATGGTGAGCAACTTGTACACGATATCCTTGTATTTTCCTCTTTTTAAAATTACGGAACAAGTGCATAATCACAGCATACTTGTCAATAGTAGAGCCCGGAAGCTTATGGCTAGCCCTACCATATCTCGAGCTTCTGCTCACACATGTAACTTATCGGCAGGTACTATTATTAGATCTAGATGAAGGAATTGGAGACATAATTGGAAGTTAACATGTTTCTTCTCTCTACCGAGGCTAACTTTTATGTTATCAGTGTAATTCAAATGCAGAGAAGCAGCTTTTCTGTTCTGCAAGGAATTTTAACAATAATTACAGGAGCTCCTGGCTACACATATGGAAAGCATATTTTGTCGGGGATATTTTATTTAAAGGCTTGATATTCTGATGCAGTAACTCCATGGCTAGTGACTATTATGGCAACAAGATTTTGTTATGGCAGCTATTGTAAAGGGTCAAATTAACTAATCCAATCCCACCCCCCTTCCCTCCCCCCCACCAATTTTGCGCCAAAACATAGCCTTGTCACTCAGTGATATCTTCGCCAATAAACATTTTAAAATTTTGCTTCTAGTTTTATTTAATAGAAAATTAACTTCTTATGTAAAGCGAATATTTTTAAAGCTGATGTTGGGAAATATATTACTAGATATTACCTGACAGGCGATGGCCTCGTAGAGGCCATCCACAAGGTCGTTGAATAGCCTAGATCGTGGCTATCCACCAAGGCGTTTAAGCCCTAGTATCCACACACATACGAAGGCTATATACAGCATACGTAGCCGTACGCTGTCTCCCTCTTTCGTAATAGTCAATTCAACGTTTTACAGTATTGTCGTTTTTCGTGTTTCGCTCCTCCGTACAGCAGTACGTATATCCTGTATAATGCTTCGTATTATATAGACCTTGTCCAACCGAAAGCTGATATTCAAAGAGGTATCATGGTTCAAAGCTGACTTTGGTTGACTTTTAAAAGGTTCCCCATACAAATCAACATTTTTGTATGGGAAATTCTCAATATTAGCTATAAGAAGAAGTCTTTTACACAGCGTAACTAGCAGTACCTAGAACTCCGGCCTAAGCTTGGGCTCATATAAACTAGATACCGCACGCTCTGGTATTTAGACCGTGTAATTAGCCGAACTGATTGAAACAACCCCTTGATCAAGTAGGAGGCTCTTTAAAGCAAGCCATGGTGTCAAGTTTCCTATTATAGGTTGAAAGCAGTCGGCTAACAAGCTGTATATATATGGTGAGGTGAGATTGTAGAATATAGTTATGAGGCTGAAATAGTGCCACATGGCGTTTTAATGAATAAGAAAAGATTGTTTGCATTCCACTACAGAAAAGCCGACGCCACGGTATACACTCTCCATAATGGGGAGAAACAGCCCCTCAACATGCACCATTTAAACGTCGTCACTCTCCCCGAAAATCCTCTAGCAGCTACTTCTTACAAAGCCCCAAGACATGAGATGTACCCAGGTATTCGCTAGCATTCAAATTTTGGTTATAGCTCCTTGATGGAGGGAGTGATATAGTACGCAACCCGATTTTTCAAATTACTCGTGATTTTTGATATGAGCACTGCCGTTACGTATATCAATACACTTTCCAAAAAGAATATAAACATCTTAGGATACTCTTAACTCCGAACGCAGTTGTACGGGGAGTTGAACACGTTTAAAGATTACATAGGAGGTAGGTAGCCACACTCTCCCACCTTAACTACCACTTATCCGGTTCACAATTTTGATTGGAGTAGACCCTAAGACCTTTTCAACAATATTATGTATATTCTCGCAGACCTGTCAAGCCACCCCATACTACGTTCCAATGACAAGTTAGACATCGATACTCCGAAGGAGCACAGCACATGATAAGCGCTGTCCCTATGCCACTCCCTGAGACATAACCTCTAGTTGAGCCGTAAATCAGCCACAGATCTTCATATATACCTGAATAATATATATAGGCGCCTGTAAACACTATTGGGGGTTTTCAGTTGAGCAACCCTAAAGATAGTGACGAGGCCCTCGTTGTTACACAGTATACTTGATTTGAGGCTATATAAGACTGCAGCAAAACTGATTGAGAGTATTCCTCTCTGATTCCTCTCTGATAAACCATGTGTTGTCACTAAACCAACCTGGTCCCATGGACAAATAATCGCAGGCTGAAAGGGGCAATGCCCCGGTATTTACTCAATAAACCGAAGACCAAGACGGCATTCCAAGAAGAACCTCTCAAAGTAACAAGCCTCAGTTAAATATTCCAACATCAGGCTCTATACTTGGGGGTGGTTTGTTTCACCCCTATTCTCACGCAATTACAGGGCCGCTGATAGTTATAGGAGGTTTTGCGAATACAGCAAATGCCACTTCCAAGCCCATCCGATCTGAAGAAATATGTAAGTGTGCCTCATTCTGTCATGCTCAACTCGCATCCAATATTTCATAACTAAGCTTTGGGCAATTATAGTAGTTGAACCACTCCCGAGTCGGGCCCGAGCGGCTGTCTTGCAGAGCCTTTCACGAAACTTAAGCCACCAAAGGCGGTACGATACACTCTGGCACCGACTCCTGCTGAACGAGCAGAGCAACATTACCAGCATGGAGGAAACATTAAAGCAGCTCGAAGAAGAACTCAGTTCCGAGGCAGAGGGCCGAGAGTTTGACAAGGATGACACTAAGGTTTCGTTACCTTGTGACCCCTATTACAGCAATGCTTCTAGTTCGAGGGGCTGGAAGCTAGGTCAACGCGATGATGAAGAGAGGAATGGTACCGACAGTACACCCAATGTACATGCTGAACCTGCGTGCGAGGACAGGGCCCAGAAGGAAAAGCTGAAGGAACATGTTATGGAGATGCTTCTCTGTAAGCTCAAACGCTATCGTAAGGTTTCCACTCTATCAATCAAAGGGTCCCTAGTTTATATTAACAGACTCATCCAGCCGAGTCTGTACTCCTAGTTCACCAACTGCAAAAACTTCCCCGAACCGGGAATGGTCAAGTTTGTACCACACACTGGAGGCTGAGGAGCTGCTGCAAGACAAGAAGAGTTGGAAGTTCGTCATGTTCCAAGATGACTTTCTGAGTACACGCACCGAACGAGCTGACCAAGCTTTTGCCGCTCTGGTATACGGTAGCTCTCCTGTAGCCGTACGTCCCTCTGTCCCCTTTGCCCCGCCCCCTACAAACAGATAATTAGGTATGAAGAAACGAGAAAGAATACGATTCGTAGACATATTCTAACTTCACCAAGAGACTGTTCAGGTGGATTTTCAAGACCAAAGCGTATAGGAGCTCGAAGGCCGGAAACAAGAACGAGGAAGTTACTTTCCTATACACGAGAAAGATTGAACGTTTCCAGAAAGGCCTCCTCGCTATAGTGAGCGGTCTTGTCTTGATGATACCCGTGGGGATTTTGTTCCTCCGACCGATGGACAGGTGGAAATGCTTAGCAGTGGTGGTCTGCTTCGGCGCTGCGTTCATCGGCGTCATGGTCCTTCTTGACAACAAGCTTGACAAAATGCTGATCGGCTTTTCGGCATACTCGGCCGTCTTAGTCACGTACGATTACGTTGATAAAAACCCCCTTTTCTTGACTTTGCTGACTAATCCCTTTTCGATTATAGGTTTCTGGCAAACATACAAGACACGCATGGTTGCTAATGCTCGAGCTAGTCGTGTGAAAGATAAACACCATGTCGAATGTTAACGTAAAGTACTCGGCAAAGTTATACGGCCTTCTGTCGCTCTAGACCTATGATCATAGGGTTTAAGTTATCTATATGATACATCCAATACTCGGCACCATGTTTCTGCATAAGAGGTACGTCAACAGGTAGGTGTATCTCACGACACTAGTTTAGACAGGCCGTTTGGGAGATGCCCCTCTACTCGACCATGATCATCAATATGCTTGATGAGCAGGCCCATTGCTGTATGCAGCAGGAGTGCCAATAACTCTTGGAAGGTAGCTATCGCGCGAATCGAGTTTGTAATACAGAAGTAGGAATTGTAGATCTGAGATGAGTAGGTAAATAAATAAAGGAGGGGGAGGGAAGGAGGGGGTTGGTTATTGTTTACACAGGGAAAGGTGGTGGCTGATAGATGCTTCGCGGTACTAGTGCTGTCTACGTATACTCGACGGCGCACCCCAAAGGGGTGCTGCGCTTTAATTAGGAATTCGGGCAGTAATTAAGCTAGCGTACCAGACTTCAAGTACTTCCAGTAAGAGGTTATTCCGATCCCTGTTACTTACTAAAAGCGGAAGAGGAACAATAATATTTTATGAAATTTTATGAATATTGGAAAATACTTTAAAATGCGTAGGAATTACACTTGTTCGGAAGTACTTCGGATCGAATCCCTAATCTTGCCCGTTTCCTTAATTAAAGCGCAGCACCCCTTTGGGGTGCGCCGTCGAGTATACGTAGACAGCACTAGTGCATGATTTTGCCGAAGGCTGGTAGAGAAAAAGGTTTCATTTGTACCTCAATGTTAATCGCGAGTAAACACGTCGTCTGTAATAAGTACCTCCTACTAGATGCCTGTGGCGGAGTGCATACATGTAGGAGGTACCTAGGTAGAGGTAGTTATAAGTAATTTACTTGTAGACCGCCCAAGGCCGTGTACATATAAAACCCCCTTCAGTCATGTATTATATTACATCCCTTTGCTCTTTTGTTTACATCAAGGGGCCACCGGATTCGATGAAACATGAGTCACCCCAACGCGCGCCACACGAACCCAACTTCATCTAAGTAGCTTCTACATGGCAGCGAATGTATACGGTCTCGCCTCTTACTTGCTTACATTGCACGTTACCGCCTCTTTGCTGGTTACTGCAGGTACCTAGAGATACTCAGGACAGTGACCGTTGACAAGTGCAGATCAGACCTAACGTCCCAAAAGGTACAGGCGTCTGCCTATCACGGAATACATCACCACCAATACATAATCTTAAAGTATTCTGTCGACCATGTATTCCTTTCTTCCTCTATATCCCTGCTGCTCTTTATCCCTGCTGCTCATGAGCCTATTCAACCTGCACTTTTAAGAAGCATATTAGCGCGTACAATAACCCTGCGGTTGGGGTTTAAGACAGACGCGCAATTTAGAAAACCCTGGCTATGAAAAAATTTTCACTGGAGTGGCCTGCATGATGATGAGTTGTTCGGCCCAAGGAGGCATTGACTACACCGCAGCAGTCTCCTGCAGCTGGAGATTATGCGCATGTTAATGACTCAGGCGTATCCATGGGTACATTGGAGTTCGGAAAATAAAGAATGTACCTGCCTACCTGATATGTATATTATGAGAGTGTCTAGCGAGAGAGTGTTTATTCATCTAGATATACCCATCGCACTTTTCCCCTTGAGTCCACCTCGGCGGACATGAGGGTAGAATGGTAGGTACCCTATGTTGCTCTTAAGTACCTCAGGGCAGGCACGGTACCTCCTAACCTGGTCTGGGCCGACATGAATCACACCATAAAAAAGGACAATGCAATAATAGACTACCGCGTGCAAAAGATGAATGTGGATGTTGAGATGCTGAGGAGCAAAAAGTCAATAGAACGTCGTGGCAGCTGTGCTTACGGATGTTGAAGCTGATAGGCGATCAACCTTCCAGCTAGGGCATATTTTGGGCTACGACTATAGGTATCTATGATATTTTGAAGCTATGTAATGCAGCCTAACATTGTATTGAGAAAGAGTATAGTTAGGTAACTAGCATATGGAAAATGTATGGTAGGTAGTGTGATAATACACTAATAATTCATCTAGTCCTTTTCTTGAAAATAGGAATACTTTGAGTGTGTCGAGAGAGATCAAATGTCCATTGTCTTTTCAGTTTTTGGGACTTGACTTTTTTTATCTGAGTCACTTTTATCCTCCACTCCTTTCTCGTCTGGATTTTCCACACGCCCCTTATTTTTATTCTCCGCGTCCTTCTCGTCTTTAGTTTTGCCAAGTTTCTTAGCGTCGGATACCTTCGTAGGAATCATAGCTTGCATGAAGCTTACTAAACGATGAGTTGGTGATCGTTCAGTGGTCTTGGACGGGGCTGCTTGACTGCCGTCGCGCTTCGTCGAATACAGCGGTCCGCCATGAATGTTTGCTCCCCTCCTTCCAGAATTTCTTTTCGGTCCAACTGACTTCGTCATGACTTTAAGGTAACAGATCGACTATGCAAATAGGTGTAAGTGGGGACTTCTGTATTGGCCGTGTGTGTTGAAGAGAATGAGAATCGGTAGTTCCAAATATTGCTTGTTTGGATGTTGGGTTCCTGCGGTAAACAAAGGTTAAGCTTGACCTCGCTCGCCAGAAGGTTGCACTATAGAGTTATGAAAATAAAATGAATTATTTACCTCTTATCATCCAGAGGTAAATCTAGATTACATTAGTTTAATGAACGGCTTTGAATTTTCAGCACATCTGGAAGTTTTGGGGGAGGAAGAGTTGAAAAGGTCGTAACTTATACAAAATATACCTAAACAAGCCCGTGCGCTGCTTGATTTTTGATCCCGTCGCTACAGGGGTACCAGGTAGGTAGGTGCGGGACCATGGGCATACTGCCTAACAATACCGAACCATACCTCCAATACAACCCTATTGGGGACCAAGACGCGCTGAATTCAATCGCTGTTTATAAATTCCGCATCCGAGGGAATATCCGACGTAATAAGGCGACCTTGGATACTCGACATTGAAGAAAACAAGTAGGATACAGCACCTTGAGTCTGCTTGACTGTTAAATGTCGAGGCACGTTCAACGCCTAACGCCAGGAACGCTCACAACTACCTCGTAATTTGTTGTGAGGCTTAAGTCGTCATAGTCCAAAAGCATACATGTTTCATGAATCCATTTCTTATCTGACGTATTGACAGAGAACATGGGTGGTGATTTGGTGATTGTTATCGAGGGGGGTCTTTCGGAGTGTAGCGTTGAGCTAAGCGTCATCAATAGCAACTGTCAAAGTCACTAATTCTTGCGATCGAACGTTTCAACGTCCAAGAAAACAATCGGGCTCGTGCCTTTTTTTTTTTAATGATCATGAATAACCATTCCATACATGGCCATCTTTTCAGGTTTGTACCAATTCAACTGAGCATGCTTAAGCTAAATTGGATTATTTCATCGACTCTTTACATCACACCAAGTAAGTGGGGTATGTAGAGCTTAATCCGAAGGCACATATTATCTGACCCAAAGTCTAAGGTTTCTAGGGTTGTCAAAAGTTAGTAAATAAGGTAAATCTTGACATTGCTTTGGTTATACGAGTTTCTTTAATGAAAAGGTTGGCTTTGTATAAATCCATTACTTTTTATGTATAGAGTTTGGAGTTGAGTTGAGGCTTACTTACATAGGTGCTAGATGAGCCCAGACGATTGGATCCGGGGCGCATTAGCGGGTAACCCCCACTATCTTACGGGTCATCCCGTCAGTGACCCCCTACCCTTTAAGCTTCGACCCTAAGGGGATAAGGCCTTTTCTAAGTACCTAGGTATTCCCTATATTGAAAGGAACCCCTAGCTCCGATATGCAGATGATATGCAGATGCGGATACAGAAAGGAAATCCGTTATACCTAGTACCCGGGGTACTTAGTATGGACCTGGATAGGAGGTATGTAACCTCATCCGCTATTTGGCAGCCACTTCTAGATCGGGAAGCTGTTGCAGCACATCATGCATCCGGTGTGTTGCAGACTTATACCTAGCGAATCGAAGGTAGACATTATTTTGGTAAAATATTTTAAGCGCTTGTCGCGCCTTTTCAGCAAGGGCGAAACCGGCTATCTTCGAGTTAGTAAACGGTGAGAGGGAAGAGGGGCACTCGACGGGCAACTCGACGGGCGCTCAATGGTGGATTAGGAGATAGTTTTTAACTCGTCAATAAAATGAGAGGTATCTAGAGGTAATGGAGGAGGGTTACCAGGCTTATAACATAGGTATTCTTATGGGTCAACCGTATCCAACTCGAGTGTAAACTGAGACGAGGTGTAATAAGAAGTGGTTATAACGCGTATATTCTATATCTGGAAGGGTTGGGGTCGGAGGATGTAGTTGGAAGTTACCTGGGTATATTTCAATTAGTAAACAATCACGACTCGTGAACTTGCCTGGAGGGTCGAAAGATCCAGGTAGTACCTTGGGCCAAGTCTTTGCTGTTATTGAATCAACCTCCTCATCCCACCTATCCTTTTATCGGGGTTGAAATAGCATATAATAGACGATTCGTAGATTGGAACCAGTGTCTAAGAAAATTCTGAAGTAGAATAGTAAACGTCGCGAAGATATCTAGCGAGGCCGTGTCAATATTTATATGAGACAGTACGTCTGGCCCCCTGTCAGTAAATAAATGTAGGTCAGTGCTTCCGAGATTAACATTAGCCTTGTCCAATCTCAGGTAGGTTTACAAATCGCTCTACCGTAGCCTATCGGCATTAATGGATATAAAACAGGTACCTACCTAATATATACGCCTCTAGCTCTGATCGTCTTACTCGGTCTCTTAAAGTCAACTTCAAATAATAACTTAAGAACAAACATGGTTGCTCTAACATAATGTTTAATCTAGCAGAATGTTTTCTAGTGGTATATAAACTTCCAGGTTGGCATTAGAAAAGTAGTGGCGGCGTAGTAAGGCGTAAAAGTCCTAACTGTATGCACCATCTTGCGTTACAAGCAGGGAGGGAACCCCCTAGTTGTGGTATACAGTCCACGGTACTATTTCAAAAGGAGCCTGGAGATAAATACTAAGACAAGGATACCTCTTCGAGTCTTTATGAAGTTATAAATTAACGATTCTGGTACCCTCCACCAGATTATTATAACGAGGGAGATACATGTTGGTGACCTCAAACTTTTGATGGGTTAAGCATCGCGGGTGGGGGGGACTGATATGCATGGATGTCTTAGCCAATAGATACCAAAGCAGTAGGTAGCTTGAATATGTCTCGTTCTATCAAAATATGAGGTAGAGGTACCTATACTAAGGAACAAGTACCTACCTACCTGGTAGACACCTGGTTATTGCCCCCATTTTTGGGCTGATCTTGTACAATCGTAGTCGGCCGAGCTCGCAGAGTCGCAGAGCCGCAAAGCGGCAGAGACACTTCACTTGATCTAAGGCGATAGGATGAGGTCTTCTTTCCTTCCCTCTTATCGGCAAATTCACCATGTTCCTATAACCTTATATTTATAGGAGGGTCAATGTTTATTTGGTACCGAATCTCTAGTCTTAAACGCAGCATCGCTTTCTTCTATAATAAAAAGAAATCCTTATGGCTACGCCGTCTCGCTTGGAAGAGGGTTATGAAATGAGGAGCATTCGCCAGGAGACTAGAAGTGGACAACAGTTTCCTAGTACCACGAACCCGCCGGAAATAACCCCCGGTGACAATGGTGCCGGTCAAGATACCATCCCGGCCAACTTCCGCAGTGATTTCGAACTTAGTATGTCCATACAGTAGGTACCTAGGTAGCTAATCGTTCAGCTAATTGAAAGCATAGAAAATGAAGCTCCTAAAGGTTGGCCTTCTATTGCCGCTGCACAGCTACACTATCCCAATTACAATATCTATCGCCGCTTTTCCTACCTTCTACATCGAGCCCTCATAGACCAAGAAACGAAGCTTGCATACCTCGAGAATAAACTCCGAGAACTCGATAAAGAAGACGAGCGTTGCAACTCCCCGAGATTGACTTCGCTGCCATTTGATCCTGAGACACTGCTTTCCAGCTACACTCGATCTCAGCGTGCTTCCATCCGACCAATCCCGACGACGTCAAGGGTAGATGATGCGCAGCAGACAACGGGATACAGGTATAACGAATGGAAGGATAAAGACCGCATCCTTGAAGCCTTTATTCCTAGGCTGAAGAATTACTGTTAGTATTTATATATACTCCTGAATGGGGTGCCGAATAGATAATACCTAATGAATAGGGGCTTGAAGACGAACTACTTCAATTCGACAAGGAAATGCAGAAGCTACCAACTATCTCTCACAGAGAACATACGGCATTTTATGAACATGTGAAGGATTATCATACGCTTGACGAGGCCGCGTATAAGTTCTTATTTTCGAATGAGGACTTCACAACCACAACCACTGACCGAGTGCATCAGTATTTCGAAGCGTTGATATACGGGAAGCCTCCAGTCAGATGGGTGAGTATCCCCCTTTTTAATTACTCATGCACATGAATTCTTAAGCAATTCGTCGTCGACAAACTATTATTTTCTAACGCTCCGTCGATATTTCAAGTTTTTCAGGAAGATCTTCGGACGGACGCACCGAAACAATAACCGAGACACCCCCCCTGAGGTCGAAATCAGCCACTCCGCTTTAAAGATGTTCGTTAAGGTCTCGGTAGTATTCGGAAGCGGAGTATTGCTGCTCTCCCCAGTTGCTATACTCTTTCTCGTGAACCTGCCCAGGGGCCTGTCGTTCGCGGTGGTGGTTGTTTTCATTTTTGCCTTCGTGGTCGTCTTGGCCTCCTTCAACTCTAACTGGGACACTATCCTCGTCGGCCTAAGCGCATATATGGCAGTGCTTGCTACGTTTTTATCTAATCTTGAGCAAGGGAAGACTCAAATATCTTGAAATGTTCTAAAGGGGGGTATCCTTGATGAAAACCTCGTTGAGAGATAGATGACTACCTCCTCCTATGTACCTAGTTTTGGCAACGAATCTCCTATATCAATGAATACCATACTTTTAAAACCACTGCATGATAATTTGCGGGACTTGAAGACAATCTTGTATTAGGCAGTTGTATATTGCTGGTCTTCATTTTAGACGTATATTTTATTTCTATCGTTTGTGTAACTTTGGCCAACCATCTACAGTACACTTCGTCCTTGTCCTACATATACGATATTCAAACTCCACCGAAATACTGTATTCACAGGCGTCTCAAAAGGCATATCGAACATTTATTGCTTTGATCATATGATCCAACAAGCTATAAGCAGTACAGAGTAGAATATTATGGGCTAAGGTTTTAATGAGAAGATGACTTAGCTACCCGAAAAGGGTAGAATTCGAAGAATGTCGTTAAAATTAGAAGATTCTACTGGCCAGCCTTAATTACATGGTTTAATCAGGGGTAACGAATCAGTGTCCCTTTCCTCTTACATATGATTGGTGCCGGCGCCTATGGAATAGGCGCCGCCTTATGCATGGTTTGCCTTATGCAAGGTACCTATGTCTCGACTTTGCTCTATGTACCTAGGACTTGATACGTTGAAGTTGGTTCAGATAAACGTGCTTCGTTTTTATATTCTTAAAACCGGTACTAACTTCTTTAAGCTTACCACCTCAGCTTGTTACCGGAGCAACCCTATCGCGACACCCTCCGTATGTACCTAAATAGGTAGTCTTAGGTCGATACTCAACTACGTACCTAGGTAGGCACCTAAGGGAAGTAGGCAGGTAGGGGTCCATGGGAGGCCATCAATCTTGAATAAGTGGCGTCATTTGGACCTATCTCCTTTAGGTAATAGTATGAGTATCACCTTTTCTATCCATGAGCATAACCAACTCACTGCCGTCGGGGATGTATTTTCCGGGGTACTTATCGGATTCGGGGTTTGTTTTCATGAACAGAAATGAGTAAACAAATAAATCTGGGTTCTTTTGTGGACAGTTATCTCCAAATTACTACATTGACAAGTGATTTGAAAGGGTGGGCCTAGACAGTTAATGCGTTTTCATATAAGGACATGGTCATTTCTGACTACACGACAGTTGTCCTTAATATATGGTTGTCATGGTTTATTCAACCAGCCCCCGGATTTTCTCTCCTCCAATGACGTTACATCTTTTTGTTAGGCAGTAAATTGCAGTACGGCTTTTTACTGTGGGTATATATATACAAGGGGCCTTATCTACCTCACAGCCTTACCTGCTCTGTTCAAATCCCCTGGTGATAAACCGCGTGATACCTCTAAATTCGGGCTGGCCAAGTACCTGGCCGCCAGGTACTCGGCCGTATATGTAGGGCTAGGACCTAATCTTCCACGCCGCGGAAAGTATACATAATACTTATAAAATTGTTGAGATGAACCGCACCGGGCAAGAGGCCCCCTTGTCCAACTCATATGTAGGTACTGTACTTCTATGCATGTTGCAATATCATTATGAACCCCACCGACATATGCGATGTACTAGGCAAAGCAGCGGTACCTAAGTTGTATGTAAATTCTCACCTAATACCTAGCATCTTTGACCAATAACAAAGTATGAGTAGCGGGCAGGTCACATAATCTGCGTCTTCCGTTAATGAACCTCCATATCTTATAATAAATACACTTACCATTTCATCGCTAGATTGGCATCAATAGCATTCAAAGGCGAAATAACTTTAGCTTACGTCCTTACGACTTCTTTAATAATGATTTAAAGGTGAGGCCTAAAGGTATTTTCTGTATATTAATATATAGGCACCTATCTAAGTACATCAGATGAATAAATGAATATGTTTCGCATGCAATACCAAAGCTGCGACGAGTACCGAAGACAGTTTTGGACGTCGACAAACTCCTCTTACGAACAATAATAGGTATAAAGGCCCAAACCCTCCCCAGTTATATATATCTAGGACGATCATTGCGATCCCTCCGCGGTATTTCCTCCTCCCTCTCGCGTAGTTTCGATTAGAGTCGGTTGAGTATGGTGAGTATAGTCCCGCGTGAGGATATCTGATCCCTTTGAGCGACCACGTCGATGTTGTGATCTACGTTTCGATTTACTATTATCCCTTCTACCCCGTGGGAACAGTCCGCATAACGAAGGCATCGTGCTATGTAGAGGAAGAAGCGGCTTCACTGTGTTGGCTGGGGACTTAGGTAATGATTGTAACAGTTTCGATTTAGTTGACTTTGGGGATGAGCGTCAGTTTAACGAGTGTGAATACAGAGTGCTGAGGTAACAAGAGATGTGTACAATGGAAGGGGGCATTAGCTACCTTTTATGGGAGGCTCTCAGCCGAGTATGTATTCTTGTTTGACTATACACCATCATGAAAGCCAGAAAGGAGAGATTTCTCTAGCTTTTTATACGCATTTTCTTTCTCTTAAGCAGGGCGTGGACTCACCTTGTAATCAAGACCACGAGTCAGCCTTAGGGCTCCAGAGAACAGAGACGAGAGCTCATTGCCCAAGAAACTCTCAGAAGTACCGATGTAAATTCTATTCAGGTGGCTTGTATACAAGGGTTCTTTGTGGAGATGCTCATACCGTGATGTGTGCTCAAACTGATGGCTGGGATGAAAGACGCTGCAATGGCAGGGTTAGCCTAGTCGTAATCGTGCCGTGGTAAGAGCTACTGATGTCCCTGTAACTTCGCACCGATAAATACACACCCTGGGGAGATAGGTATAAGGACGCGTCGTCGATACCTAGGCTGTATGTAGTGCGCTTGATTAGAACAGTAAAGCATACCTACCTTTCATACCTATTCCACGTTTTCCAGGTGTTAAAGAAACGAAGTGAGATTGATTTTTTTTTTCCTGTGCCCGCCACCGTGTGGGAAAAGGAAAGCAGATAGCCCCGGCCCTGTAAAAAGTACATGCCAATTCGAATCGAGCATCGGATAATAAAGATTCAATTGCCCAATAAGCAGATAAACGGTGTAGGTATTAGAAACTCGGTAGTAATGATCGTTAATTTTCCCTTTGCATCGACAGTAGGGACCCTGCGTCGCTTTGAGATTTGTTGGGAGTAAGGGATATGACGGAATGTCACTAATGATATAATCCTAGCGTCCATCTCTACCTAATATTAGGTACTGTTCGGTATTGCCCCTGTCAACAGAACCGCAGAACCATGGCTCGTGCTAACATCTTCCCGTCCCTCTAATGATATCTTTCCGCTAAGCGTTTCGTGGGAATCCGTAGCATGTTACGTACAATTTTTGACGTGAACATTTGTTCTTTCGTATTCTAGAACTCTCCGTCCCAAAGCCCTCGCGGTAATTCATAGGTTTGGCACCTAATTCTGTCCAGTTTCATAATGCGAAACTGAGTGCTAGCGCGGCCGCATAAGTGACCTCTTCATCTGTCCAAGACATTTCGGTTTGGTTCATGAGACATTCATTTCCGACGGCGAATTTAACTCGTAATCCGATCTCCGCAATATTTCCCATATTAATCAGCGTGGCACATAGGTGCCTTAGGGGTGGGTAATCGTGTCGTGGTCGCGATACCTTAGGTTAGATAGTTGGGTATGGTTAGGCTGGTGCCTTTTGAACCTCCATCACAGCTTCCTTTATAAACTGTTTCCAACTTCTCTTCCCACTTATAGTAATGTCTCTTATGGAAGCTAACAGATTCCAATTCAGAAAAGACCGAACATTAAGAGGCAGATTGATAAGTACTCGAAAGTTTCGGCCCGAAACTTTGGTACGCAGGTATCGGCGGCAGCTAAACGGTACGGGCCGGATCAAGTGGGGCCTAGCACCGTGCCGAAGAAAATAGGGGCATCCGAACCGGGCAAGATAGATAATTTAATGCGGGGTGCAGCAATTCGTCCGATCTCAAACCCGGGCTTGTTTAGAAGCTCATGAACACCACAGCTCTTTGCAACTGCGATTCGCAGTGTGCAGTGTGCAGTGTCAACTGTTACCGATTTTGCACGTGCGTTGCCCAATCGCGCCTGTCTTGAAGGTATTGGCTCCAGATGAATAACCTGCCATCCTTTGCTGGCATTCCTTATTCAGCTAGGTGCATACAGTCTAACCGTTATAGAAAGACATACTCTGGACCGCGCGGATTCGGGCATAAAGGGTTACAGCGGACTCCATTGAGTTCGAGTCTGTTTGCTGGACTTTTTCTTGCCACCCCCAAGCCAAGAACCATCGCCTAAGTGGAAGGGTCAGTCAATATATTTCTCCAAGCTAGTCTAATCGTTGTGGACTCCGAATTTGTCGCTCTAAGAACGTCGGTATGATATCTTTCACAATATCGAGACTTACTAGGAGAAGGTAGGATTTGTTGAAGATGGGCGAAGATCAGCATAGCGGCGTTGTCTTCTAAGGAATTGAAGTTAAGTGAAAGAAAAATGCCAAAATGAGATTGGAAGGTGGTGAGGTCTTATTCCCATTAAGACGCTTAGAAAGAAGGTGGGGGTGAATGTCTATTAAGTAGGATGCTCAACAAGTACCTACAGGTATCACAACGTCTTGCAGGTAGACCAATGTCTCTCATGGTTGTGTCCAATCACCCATCCTTTGTCTCTTGCGACTTATTATCGGAGCTCCGTTGGTCAGTCAGCGTTTGGATAGAGCCGATAAAAAGGGCCATAACATTTGAAAACCTCCATTCGTCCGGAAAATAGTACACCAGTATGATATCCCTACCCACATCTAATGTTACCGTACGCTACAATCCATCGCTCCGCTATCACATGTTCTAGCACATGGCTTGAGATCTAAGTAGAAGACTTTAGGAGCATTATGATTTGGGCCTGATGGTTTCCACTCCCACAATATGACCCCCCCACAATGTGGCCCTCCCACAATGTGGTCCCCCTACATTGTGGTCCCCCTAAGTAGATGACAAAATAATTTATAGACACATGTATGTAAAGAGGTACCAAGTTTGCAAGTTATTTTGTTGCCCACTTGCCTCCTACGATGTGACCCCCCTTACAATGTGGCCCTCTTACGATATGGCGATCCCATATAGGGCCATATATGGATAGGTGTAACTATGCGCATGACGGGTGCCTGATCATGATTCTACGCAGATTTCCCCGCTAATCTACTCGCATCAAGCCCCAAACTAGAATAAACGAGTCGGGGTGTAACTGACTTCACTTCCCCCTATTACATCCAAAGCTAAACAAATATGTTCTTCGGAGTTAAAAGGCGCACTCGCTCAAAGATGATACGAGTTTCTCGATAGACTACCTAGAAACTATAATAAAGTCATACTTTTGAGGTTGTCGAGCGGTGACTGTTGATGATAGACCTAGGAGCAAAAGCCCCGCCAATCTTAACCGATAATCTTGGGCTTCGGCCGTGAGGCGAGGCGTTCCGAAAAGAGTTTCCATTCATAGTAATGAGGGGGATAGCACACATCTGCAGGCTTTTCTCATCAGTATAATCAGGCTCTCATGACCTTACATTATGAAAATCAGACTGGTACACACGAAACAGACCGCGAGCTTATAGTAGGTGTGTATAAGAAGAGACCTATTTTATATATCCAGACGACTTTCCTAAAGGAGTGCTCATTTGGTTCCCTGTTAGGATGAGCCCCTATAACGACTAAGTTTCGAGAGAACTTCAAGCAGCAGTACAACATCCGGCTATTCTAGTATATGAACCCCATCGCCTTAACCGTTCATCAGTTATTTCCATAGCCACGATGTCCACGATAGACGCACTCAGCCGCATTCCTAAGTAAGCAGATTTACCTATGTCAATGAGATAGTTGGATTTGATGCCCAATGCCGTAGACGATAATAAGATCATCCAAGTTCTACGACAGGTGGCTTATGTGTTACCCTCATACCAAAAGCCCGGTTACCATGACGCTGGCTAGCACCAGCTTTCATGAGGCTGTATCAATACGTGCCTCCGTCCTAACAAGATGTTCGCTGGCTAGTGATTTCCAAAATAGGGAGATGTTGGCTCAGAGCTTTTGAAAATGCTGCACTCCTTTGTCAGCGCGCCAGATTTTATTGGCTCCCCCTCAGCATACCGCTTTTACGTTAAGAGCTACGAACCTTTAGATGAAGGATCTAGCGCGATATGTTGACGAGGCTTGCGTTCATATCTGCCTTCATCCTCACCGCTCTATTATGACTTGCACTCTAAACGCACAGCATTGAAGCATCTTCTCTTGAGATCAAATCGCACTACACCCTCCCCGAGATACTGGCCACTTTTTCGACCGCCTCATGAGGGGGCCAAGTTGGGTTTCAAGCGAACTGGAGAGTTGCGAATGCTTTTGCCAATTGTTCGCATAGACGATCGATGTGACGATGTGTTCAGCGGGGCTAAACGGCAAGCCCGATGCCCTGAATATAAATATAGGAGAGAAACGCGAAGATAGCAGGAAAATAGAATAGAATCCTACACCTCAGTAAAATTCTTTCATAATGGCGAACCAATCTGGCACTATTCCAATCCTCCCGCTGAACAACACGCAGTTGCACAATGGGAACAGTAGCCGCCAAACCCCTACTACCCATTGTAAGCCGGAACAAACTACGAGGGAGCATCAAAACCATTATAACATATACGAAAGGATTGCTTCTGGTAGGGTTTAGTTTTTTTTTAAAAAAAAATCATTATAATCAATTATGTTTTACATCACATGTTAACACTTACGTCCCAGCCAAAAGAGCAGCCGGCTTAGGGGAGGATGATTTCTATACCGATGAAGACGTCCGTAAGTCGAACCACCACACAAGCCTTTCCATGGAATAAAGTCCTAATAGAACGTGTTCCAGTCAATTACTCGCCCCCTGGCTGGCCGTCAGTCGCGTCGCAGCAGATGTATTTTGGCAACCATAGTAGCCACAGGGGCTTCTTCCCCCTGACACACTACATCCTGACGTCTTACGAGCTCAAGATCTCCGTTATCGAAGACGAACTAGACAAGATGAACTGCGAGGATAAAGATGCGGGAGGAAGGCCACTGCTGTCCCTCCCTTTCAACCGCAAGCAATTCGTCGCCCGTTGCCGCCAGGGGGTTGGCCATCTGCCGCCACAATGCTCCGGACCAAACTTGGACGAGCTCGATCGAGAGACGCAAAAAGACAATCTTGCAATGAGCGCGAGGATCCTGCTAAGAGAATACCGTATATCTTTGAGTCGCAAGTCGAGAAATGTATGTACTAATATTGAGTGCGTGTATAGTAAATCTTCTTCTCCTGCATCGCGACATCAAAAAGCTACCGGGCGTGTCTCGGGCTTCACACGAGACTCATTTCGAAACCGCATGGAAGCGCCAGAGCTTTAATGGCGAAGCATGCGCGTTTCAGCGCTATATCGACGATTTCGTCAGCACGGAGCCAGATGCGCATTTCGCGCGGTTCGAGTCTCTAGTTTACTATATAAACGATTGCTGGTTCATGGTAAGTCGGATTCATTTACCCCCTTCTCCTCCCCCTTTTTTTTCTCTCCTATTTTTCATTCATCCCTTTCCACAGGCCTCCTAGATTAACATACCCACCTAAGAAACCACTGAAGCACCTCTGCTACCTCTTCAGCCGCTCTACTCCCCCCTCCTCCATCCCCCCTGGCGGACCGCACATAACTTACAGCTTGCGGCCCTTCCGGTTCTTTCTGAAGATTTTCCTCGCAGTCGGCAGCCTGTTGCTCTCGCTCTTCCCCATCGCGCTCTTGTTCCTGGAGACCGATTGGTCGCGCGCGGAGTACTTGACCGTCGTCGCCGTCTTCTCGGCCGTCTTCGCGCTTGTCATACTCGCCTTCGAACCTCGCACGGTGCCTATGCTCGTCAGTCTTAACGCGTACTTCGCAGTGCTCTCCACGTTCCTGTCGAACTTGCCCATGTAATTTACGATACGACCTAAAAACGAGGTTGTGCTACGGGAGATTCAAACACCTTTTCAGTACTAGGAGGTGGTTGCCTGATGTATGTGACGAGTGATCGAGACGAGTGGGAAAAGGGGTTACCCATTACAGCCAGCAAGGTAAAGTGAATATCATTCTGTTGACGATCAGAAAGCTTGCTATCGTGCCCCATATATTTTAGATCTCATAGTTCTAATGGTGTTTGAGGATAGATGTTACGGTATAGTGAACATAAGGTCGTCTTGAGATGAACCCTGGCGGTCTCCATTAATAGATTTTAGCTCTTTACTTTCGATGGTCTATCTGTCTTAAGTCGTTTTCAACTCTAGTTAGGCACAATAAATGACTATCGAGACCGGTCATTATTGTTGATTATCCGAAAAAGATGTCCGCAAAAGAGTAATCGGCCATGCACAATCGTCTATTCCCTTTCATTACGAGATAGAGTTGAGTGTAACTTATGCTGCCTCATTAATGAGACGCAAACAAGCTCTAGAAGGACCAGTACTAGCATTGTAAGCCACACGCTTCTAAAGGCCTCCATGAACGACGCCAGTACGCCATCATACCAGCCGTTAGGGAGGTGCTTCAACTCGTCTAAATCATCTCTGATTCTACTAATTTCTTCGGCAGCCCCGGGGAAATCGCCGAACCGCCCCCAGAGTTCGGACTTCAGCACATTTTGATAAATGGCTGATGCAATCGTAATGCCGACTGTCCCTCCGACAGATCGAAACGCGTAAGTAGCAGAAGTAACTACGGCTTGGTGTGAGTGGTCTACTGCAGCTAAACAAGCTAGGAGAGTGATAGTGAGCATGCCCCCCTGGCCAGAACCAAGAAGTAGGAAAGCAACCATTAGATGCCACTCTGGAGAGTCCTTATGCAGCGTCGTGAGTATAACAACAGAGGCGACCTGAAGTGATACGGCGGTGATACCTAAGGCCAGCTATCGCAAGATTAGCCATCTACAGAAATCACGAAGACTTGCTTACTATAAATGTATTGATTTGGAGGAATAATGCATAGCATGTTGAATCCAAAGCTACCAAGAACTTACTGCTCAATAGTTAGCATATGCGCTAAACAATGAACCGGAGAAGTTTGGGACGGGTTTTCTCATACGTACCATATCGACCGGTTTTCTTCATGACTAAACCACTCCCAATAGAGCAGATAGATAATCCGATAGGTGCAAAAAGGATAACCACCCCAGAATCCGTCGAGGAGCTTCCGCGAGACTGCATGTAAAGAGGAACATAGAAGAGAGCCATCATATTTATCATCGTGCCTAGAAGGTTGGTCATGCAGGCTGTGAAAACAGTCCGGTCTAAGAGAAGGCGTACTGGGATAATCGGTTGTTGAGCACGGGATTCCCATAAGATAAAGGCGGCGAAAGCTACCAGCGAAAGAGGTAAAGTAGTTAGTGGCAAGGGATGAATCCATGGAACCAAGTTTCCACCGGCATTCAAGCCAAGTAATAACAGGACTAGAAACGTAATGAGCGAAAAGACGCCTGTGAAGTCGATGCGGGCTAAGTATGACTTCCCCGATACTTTGGGTGGTATGCGAACAAGATAGGCGACCAGAAAAGCTGAAACTACGACTAGAGGGACCTGGACCAAGAAAGCAAGACGCCAGCCCCAGGCAGAGTTGTCATTGACTAGGCCACCGAAGATACCGCCTAACATGGCACCGGCTCCGTAACAAATATTACCCATGCCCTGGATAACTCCCCGGTTCCGTAGAGGGATGAGATCGGTACCGACAAAAGTAGATATGGACATGAGGCCGCCGCCACCAATGCCAGCAACAACTCGTCCAAAGATCATAGCATTTTGATTATGCGCAAGACCGCAGATAAGGTTACCGGCAGCAAAGAAGACGTTGCTGAACACGAGACCAGGGCCTCGCCCGAAGATATCCGTTAGCCTCCCGGAAATGGACTGGCAAGCGGCATTGGATATGAAGTAAGCGGTCGCGAGCCAAGACAATAGACTTAAAGATCGGAACTCGCTAGAGATGGGTGCTGAGAGAGTGGCGATGATAGTAGAATCGATGGCGCCAAGAAACACGCCTATCCAACAGGTGAAGAGGATGAGCCATAGTTTAAACCCTTTCACTTCATCGACAATCAGAGTCTGCTCATCGTCGTTGTTCGCCAGCGGGGATTCCTCGGCTGAGGTGCCGTTCCCATTTTGATTGCCCAACAGCGGCGTCCTCTCATCGTTGAGAACGGATGGATTCCCGTTTACGAGGACTAGAGGAGCGGGTTGAGTGGATATGTCATCAGCCGCCATTGACAGTAACTCTTTCGCCTCTCTCCGCTTGAAGGTTTAAACAGTAACTTCCACTTTAGATGAGAGTAGGAGGTAAGTATCAATGTTTCAAATTTTCTGGGAACTGAACACTTTATATAGGTATATAGGTATATATATATTATCAAAAAGGAAAAAAAGAAAATGAGATTAGAGTATAATAACGGTGAGATATGTTTACTTTGATTTTTACTCCGATTTTGATTATTCAGGAATCAGAAAGGGAATATCAAAGATTAAAGATGGCGATATCGAGTCGGATTTAACGAGTTATGCTGTAGTCGGGGCTCAAATACCCCGAGCATCGGCATCTAGCGTGCGCCTTATCGGGAGGCTGGAGCTGGTATACTTAGGTAATGATGTTAGGTGTTTAGCGAAACTTTTCGTAATAAAGATTTTGATAAGAATGCCGATAAGATACCTGCAACACAATGTGTACCTAGGCAGCTAGGTACATAAGGTATCTGTTTTGATTTCAAGAGGCATTTACATATTTACTAATTCCTATAGCTCATGTTCAAGTAATGGAGTTATTAGTGTATATAGAAGTTCCCTATGCACGTAGGTGCTTTTGATGTTTAGCGCCAAGACGTTGGACTTAGAGGCGCCTAAAGTTAGTAGTTGCTCGGGAAACGACAAGATCTAGCAAACACGAAAGGATGCAGTGTGCATGATCTCGGCAAAAGATGCGGAACTGACATCATAGGTGCTGCAGGGGGTACCAAACTGGTGGCAGTAGGTATTGTATAATACAAGACGTAGCCGGGACGACGTATAAGCTAATGCGAGCGGTAGAGGGGATACCGGTTTTATTAGTTATATGGAATATAGACGAATGTTCTACCAAAAATTTCAAGAATCCGTACTTAATGTAGGCTGCCTGCCTGCATGTGAATGATATTAAATATATTAAATATACTCGAGTAAAGTGAGACAAAAAGAACGAATTAGAAAAGTTGTGCTTCTTATATATTATATATTCATCCCACCAATTTTTCCTTCTTTTTTTGGCGGTTATTGCGGAGTAAATGAAGGAAATATTTAACTCTATCTCTGTATCGCTGGTATTGATGATTCTGCCTTTCGTGTCTTAAGATTATCCAGTGGAAATAACATCGAAGAAAGCCCTTATGAAGGTAGTGTGGCTCAGCGCTTACTCTTAGGTGGCTCCCATAGGCTGTGTTCGTTGGGAAAACAGCTCTTCGGATTGAACATTAGAGGTTCAATGTTCTAGTTGATTGTGGCTGAGCTTAAAATAGACTGCTCCCTAGCAGCAATACGCGCAATCGCTATTCATCAGCGTAGGTCATTTGATGTCAGCTAAGAGGCCTAAGGCTGCTAAGGTCCCATTGTAAGTATTGTACAATACATTAGGCCCCTCCATTAGTACAGGTATGGTATGGTATGCATTGTACCTTGCTAGGCAGGCATAAACACAAAACCATTCATGCGGGAATAGGTCGAGTACATGATCATAATATTTTTATTTTATTTTTTTCATGAAACCCGATCATAATTCACTGACTTCACTTTTGTCTCCAGTTCTCCTATTTTTTCTCCCCCCTCGAGTTGAAACTTCACCTAAGCCCTTGTTCATTTTACCTTTCGACATCGTCATCAGCCGCAACGCCGCCCCTAAAATACGACATAGCCTTCTTGGCTTTTGTTTCCCTCCTGTAAGCTTCTCGTCGCACTACTTCGCACTACTTCTCCCAAAAGTCGAAACCTTCTGCTGCATGTTCGGCAAATCTGCCAACTTAAACTTAAACCTTCTACATAGTACTCCAGAAATCCGAGCTCACATTAAATTAACCTTTGGTCTACAAGAATTTAGCGTAGCCATAAAAAAATGGCATTATTCGAGAAGCTAGATGTTAATCCCGACAAGGTGCCCAACGCCAAACTTGGCCTCCATATCTTCCAAGCCGTCCTCGGCGTAGTAATATTCATCCTCGAGATCGTCTTATTTCGAGCCAAAGATTCACTCATCAATGGCAACGATGGATGGCCCTTTGGCCTGGTACGTAACATACCTCATTATCTTATTTTCCACCTATACTCCCGTCCCGAAAAAGCAAGATACCAGATAGATATATGGTCAAGAACTTATGAGAATCGTGGTAATAGTGTTTTCTATCTATCCCAGCCTGGATATACCTAGGCCTAGCGCCGCGATTCGAACGAACTCGGAAAGCTGCCCAACCGCATGCAATGGTCGTTATTGACACAATCTTCACCATTTTCTGGCTCTCTGCTTTCGCTAGTCAAGCGGCATATAATACAGCCAACTCATGCGGGGAAGGTTGCGCCGTTAGCAAGGCTATTGTCGGAATTGCCTTCTTTGAAACGTAAGTACCTCTCTGCCTAGATAGCTAGCAGAATGGTCTATCAGAGTATATCTCACTAACTATTGCTAAAGGTTAGCATGGGCTGCATCCACAGCTGTTAGTGTATACACTTTGAGATACTACCAGCGTACCGACAGTCTACCCGGCTACGAAAACATCGGGACCAGCCAGAACATCGATCCCGACAAGGCAGCATTCTCGATGGCCCCGCACGACGAGGAAGCCTATGCGCCCGTACAGATGGATGACCACCACGATGACGATCATCACGCCGGTGCTTATGACCCGGATTCGTTCGGTGGTCGATTCGAAAACGACACCGCATACCGACCACACAGCACTTCTCCGGCCCCTCTCGAGAACCCCTTCGATACCTACAGAACGCACAGCACATCGCCTGCGCAGAGCGATCTGTACGGTGACCCCTACGGCTCGCAAACATCCAGGCCTCACATATATGCCCCACCTGCGGCTGATGAATACGACGACGACAGGCCGGTGCAATTCCCCAGCGCGAACTACGACCGGACGTTGCATTAAGCTGTGTTTTTCTTGTCGGCGTAACGATTTCCTGTTCCCGAGGATGCGCTTGGGAGCTTTATGACGATCCTGGGAAAGTTCAAACCCCTCTAGGTATATAGGATAAGAGAGTCGTTTGGGATGAGGTGGCTGGCTAATACGAAAAAAAAAGAGGAGAAAGAACTTCACGACGGTGATCGGTGTTCCGGATGCCTATTTCATTGTGGTACTTGGGGATACCAGGATAGTGCCTACGGTTGTTGCGTTTATGTTTTTGTGTTCCGATAGCATAGTGTGCGAATAGACCTTGCAGGGAAGGGTACCTACATATTGGCTTTGTATCACACTACTATTTCTGGGATTTGCTGTGTTGCTCTGTTGCTTTGTTACTCTGGACAATGCGTATGCCTTTGTAGACTCGAGAGATGGCTTTGTAGTAGGTAGCTCATGCCTTTTGAAGTATATACCGAGGACCAGCTTCTTAGCTAGCTAAAATAGTAACATCCATAACGCCTTGCAATGCAGTTATTTAACAACTCCATCCACCGATTCCAGTCACTTGTCACTTTGCCCCTTTTTTTCAAGCTGAAGAACTCCTCCATTTCTTAATCCTCCTAGCGATATCCGCCTCGGTTTGCTGCATTGGGTTTAACTTACGGTCCCTCGACATGGCCTTAGTATCATCGCCATATTTATCCACGAGGCTCTGCAACCACTCGATTTCTCGCTTGGTCATGGTCCGAGGTTTTTTGTTTACAGGCCGGTTGGCCTCTTCCTCCAGCTGCGCAACGACCTTATTATTATCTCCACCCGCGTCCTCGATCCCACCCCACTCTTCAACTTCCTCGTCTTCGTCTTCGTCTTCGTCTTCATCGTCCTCATCCGAGTCGAGGTCGTTCAGAGGGTCGTTCAGCGGGTTGTCCTTCTTCCGCTTCGACCCGCCGAGCACGCGCACGATCTTGCCGTTCTCGTCCCGCTCCACGCGCACCTCGCTGACGATGGCGCCCGTGGGCCGGCTGATGGCGAAAGGGTCGACGGGCTTCGTGGCTCGTCCTTGGAGTTTCTGCGACGCTAGGTTGGGCTCTACGCCGCCGGTCGGCGCTTTGAGGCGGGACACGAGGCCGAGGCGGCGGTAGTTTTGCGTTGTGGTCTCTTTCTTATTCCTGTATCGCAATCTCTCGTCTTAGCTTCCGGTATCTTCTAAAGCGCCCTTTTCGCTGTACGACTAGAGGGATAAGGGATATATAGATTAGGTAGGTACACAGAGAGGACTCTTACCAATTCTTAGCGACTAGATCATTCCCGAGAGGATTCAAAAGGCGCTTCGATCTTAAGGTCGACGAAGGCTGGCGAATTTTGGAGCGAGAGGAACGCCTCTTGCGCTTCTGGAGATCTCGGCCCATAGCGTTGTTGGATGCGCAATTCTGAGTTGCTTAAGTGTATGGTATACGGATCCGTACTTATTATAGAATCAATGGTAGGATAATCCAGCAACGGATTGTAGAATGCAGGTCGCTCCCAAAATTTCTTACAAGCACCAAGCGCAGATACCACTTCATGATAAGATAAGAATATAATCTTATCTTTGGCTAGTCATCAGTTGGCACGTGCACTCCAACTGTCCCAAGCTGTCAAGCCGTCAAACTGTCAAGCTGCCAAAAGCCGTTCTGCTTCTGCGATTTTGTAGCTAACCTTTTCATCATCTTTCTGTGCTGTGATCCTCCAGTCCTCACGCCAAAATTCGGCATTCTTGAGAACAAGTGAATTACCTACCACTCGTTTATTTATCATGTACGTCAGCCCAATGCTTGTTGGGCTTGGCGCTGTGGTTAAGTAACGATGAAGGTGCTTCTAACAGATATACTGATCTTCTAGATATCGTTTACACATGCATAGCGTATAACTTTGAGGAAGTCTTCTACAAGTACCTATATATCTACTAATATATCATGACAAAAACAGTCTACCTCTTAAGCGAGCAGGGCAGTGCATGGGAAAGACAACGAGACGATGCTACGTATTCATTATTCCTACGTGGGACTGTAGCAACTATAGACTAACGACTGTAACTGAATCCTTAAGTCCCGAGATCATTCCAACACCAGAAGGGGAAAGAAAAAGAAGAAGAAGAAGAAGCATAGCAAAGTACTACACTTGACGTTACATACAGTACTTACCTCTTTCCCAACGTTGGGACTGACTGGCTTTACTCACAGATACGAGTTACCAGTTCCTGTCACCTCGCTAAAGAAAAGAAAAAAACAAATAAAATAAAATAAAAAGAGTTGCTTAAGGGTCATCGGCAAAGAGTTCAAATAAATTTACCCCCAAACTCTGATCGATCGCCGACTTTCTGCCCAGTAGGCTTTCGTGATCCGACTAATACTAGGGTTCCGGGTAGGCCAATCGGTAGCCCAGTGAATTTCTGGAACCCGCCGATGCGGCCAAGCCCGCGATTTTGATGCAATGGCCCGCCTACTGCACGTAGAGTCGCATAACAGGGGCGTAGATTAGTTATCGATGAGGAATGAGCCCCGAGCGCCCTCCTCTCCTTCGATCCAAGTCTCGAATCACGGAGCCACGCCCCCAAAATGGTACCCCTGGCTAACAAATCCAAGACCTACTGGAACCCGCGAAGAAGAAGCTAAAATATCGTGCTTCGGGACCTGGAACTCACCATCTTCGTACCTACTTTCGTATGCTACCCAACTAGACTACCTGACTACTTGCGTGGGATGCCCTATCTCTTCGCGCCGCCGCCAAAGTAGCGCGCTGCTTGCAAGCCCCTCTAACTAGGAACCCTACCCTCCTTATCCTCCTTGCCCTAGTATTCATGTCGCGTCGGCGGAAGATCTCGGATCCCGGAGTCTGTATCTGCCAATGAATTGGGTCGGGGGGGGGGGGGGGGGGGGGGGGGTGGTGGGGTTGGGGGGGGGGGGGGTTGTGGGGGGGGGCGCCGGGTCCGGGGTGCGGGGGGGGGGGGGGGGAGGGGGGGCTGGAGCGGG